AAACTCATGAGAGCACTTTTGAACGATTCAAAGATAAGCAAGTTTCCAACCAAAGTGTTGCACCTTGAGTAATAGATGCATGACCACCAGTTCTCTTCCAGAAATATACCGTTCGTTGCTATAAACTGCGCATGTGTGCTATACGGTGACCAGCATTTGCGCGCGGCCCTATAGTCGCTTTTGCATGGGGGAACGTGCGTCAGCATTGCACGCAAATATCTTAATATAGGTGCAATTAACATACGGTTGCGTTGCGCGTGTTCTGATTACTATCTTGTTTGTCCCTATGACACTTTTATTTGGCAATACATCACAATGTGACAACGAGTAAGATAAGCATTGTCACTCGGAAGCGACGATTATGTTCTAATTAATAACGCGCGCCCGATCACAAATTGCTTGAATCAGATATTCTCCAGATTAGGCCTTCAAATGCAGTTCATATTTGGGAATTTCTTTTCACGGACGTAACATTGTAACAGCGCTTGAAATGAACCCTTTCGCTGTTTCATAAATCAATATTTCGACGCTAATGCATGCGCTTATATGATATGCACTTTAAACAAACACCATGCACTTTTCATCTGCATGCAGATATATATTCATTTTATGGCAGAAAAACGAATCTTCAAACAATCTTCATGCAATATTCACCTTTCCTCAAAGCAAAGCGGGAATCCTCTGCACTTATCAGATGTATAGTTGATCATTGCAGCACAACTAGCAAGGCTGGGTGTTGACTGTTGTATTTTATAGTAGCCTGCATGTCTAATCTGTAGTATTCAATATTACAATTTCGCTTTTTCTCAACGGAGGTAGTAGATCATTACGGTAATTCACAATCTGACTGGGTGCTGATTCTTACAGCTAATACAAGCTTGTTTTGTCTAATATTCACTACATTCTACATATTTTAACTCGGTATTTTATTTCAGTATATCACTTTCGAAACCTGCCCATAGAAACCTATTTGAACAATTTGATCATCGCAGTTTATGATTGTCCAAATGAGTGAGTATATATCGACTGTTGCTACCAATGCTAGCTAGCAGCCTAGTACACTCTAGTATCCCCCCCTAGCCCTAGATATTTCAGACACAGTTTAGTATGTTTTTACTTCCAACCACCCTGAATGCCATTTGGCGCGGCAACACAACAATGTCTCTCCGACTGGGAAACTATTTTTAATTTTACACCATCCCTGAGAACGGCGTAAAAAATCCGAGCCACTTCAACAAAATTCTTACTTATTTTTCTCATTTAAACTAACACTTGACCCTCATTAAAGTAGACGAACCCTAAGTCAGTAAAGTTACACTGCACTACAAATATATCGTGAAAAAACAGCCCAAATATACTATAACTCTGGTAAAAGAAGCCTATACGCCGATTTCTTAATTTTCTTGAAATGTACGAACGGTTTAATAGGCATAGTGCGTCGCAAACTCTCTTTTAAAACAGCATTAGAAATTAGTTCTTCTCTTGGCATTCATTCTAATTCCCATAGTTCAAGTATTAAAATGGAATTCCAATCTATAACTGAATTCCAATCTATATTAATTATGTTTTTCCAAATCAACTTGCGATCACTTCCTATACAATCATAAAAGTAGGAACTTACTACAGTGGTTTGCCCTGAGTTGAAGTTTAAACCTGCGCTCATGATATAGAGTTTCCGGCGGCAGTAACAGAGACCCTTAAAAATACTAAATACCTATTTCCTATAGTATAAAGGCCATTTTGCAATCATTTAATTGGCTGCCCGGCACTCAATATAAATCACTTGAGTATCACGATGTTTTTCTTCAAAAACTGCATGTTGTTTTACTAAAACAACATCATGCACATACCAGTTTGTTTTCGTCTTATTTTTCCGTATTTGTATATAGAAGAACCTCTTCGTCACCATAGAGACCCAGACATAACAAGCCACAAAGCATTGCGCAACACGACGTGGTTTATGCTAATTTGATTTAAAATTTCCGAATAAGCTTAAGTAAACATAATTACACAAATCTGTTTATCCGAGGCAAAAAAACGCGAGAATTTTCCTTCTTGTAAAAACAAATTAGAAAGGAAGTGTGTATAAGGGAATATTCCACTCAAACGGAAGAAAACAATTAAAAAATTATTTAATGTAATTAAACTTAGTATTTCAGTGTGTGAAATCTGTTAAATACAGCAATAACCCAGATTATGGAAATAAAACGAAGCATCCGTTATTAATATAATCTTGGCTGTGTTTTTTTTGCACAGTGTTATAAACTTCTAAAATAACATCCATTTTAATCGTAATAGTCCGTTGTATAAACACAAGGGAAATAAATGCGGAAAAGCTCGCCAAATTCCATGGAGTGTATACAATAGCAATTTATCTGGAAAGGCCAAAGAGATAGGCACTATGCCAGTTAAGTAGTCTCCGGTTATTAAAAACCCTGCTAACATATAACCATTGTTTTTTGTTAATCTCAAAAGGCAGTGTATCCAAACAGGACTATACGAATATACCTCATGATTCTATACCTCAGACTCTGGCGTTTATACGACCCGAAATAAATACACTGACAACAGATTTGCTGGTAACGACATCACGATCATATTTAGTTGCATGTACTTAACGGTTTGACAGATTTGGTATACATATATACCTGCACTCGCTGTTCATCTCTAGGTCTATGTCCCAGTATGACACTGAACATATTCGCAGCCTTTCAATACCTACAAAATTTGATCCGGCCCCGATATCAGCAATCAGGTATAGTGTAATCGAGGAGCACATTTCAGTAATGGAGCGATCCCGGGTAAAAAGTCTTGAAAAACTACAATTTCTCGTTATCGCAAGCAGGCAAACGTGACAATATTAACAAGTTTTAGACGCAATATTAATACTGATATTCCACTTTCTCTAAAGCCATTATATATTTGAATTAAAGGCATTTCCTTGCCAATCCTTAGACTTCACTTTATGCCCTGGCAAGATAGTTAGTTTATTATATAAAAGGTCTAAAAATAATAGCGCATGCAACCCTAACTCTATACCGCGACGACGGCCGGGCGCTTACGTCGAAATTTTGTCTATTTTAGGCAGTTGATTATTACCACAATTGATGCGAAGTTATTCGAGGATTCTGCTCCTATGAAACTCAATCATATTCAGTCGCTTTCACGCGCCGAGTAATTCTAAATACAAAATTATGCGTTTCTCTGCATATGTGAATCAAATGCGTCGATGACGAATGTATGACGAATGCTCCTATATGAAACTGATGCCGTGAATCTTAACTTGACGCATGCATATAGATTAAACATTCAAAGATGGATCTTTCCATATAAGCAGTCAGGAGTATACCATTGTGGGTTATTCTCTACCCACGATCGCATATATAGCTCACAACACGCGTTTTCACTTAACGTAGCTACCACTTATGTTCCGCATTTTATACATAAATTCTTCGCGCGCTTTCATAATCAACACTCATTTGGGAACTTCATATCTTCGTGAAAGCTCTAATGAATACTGTTCAACGCAGTTGAAATTAATATTAAAGTTGTGAAGCTACGATTCTTTCAACACTGCATGTCTGTGCGAGCAAGCCTTTGCCTAATCAAGAACGTAATGCAAATATTTCATAGTGTGTGGAATTGGTGTATAGCTGCAATCTTAAACATGCTTCGTACATATAAACAAGATGTTACATAGATAACAGTAATGAGACGTACACTTTAAGAATGGGAGATATTATTTCTTGCATGAGCGCTAGAATATTTTTCTATAGCAAAATTCATGCTGATACCACAGTTTATAGTTTGCATGCAAATCGAAAATTCCATGCAAACTATCCTATAGCTGTTCAATCCAATGGCTCAATATGTATAATTCATAATAAGATGAGACCAATTTTTTTGTTCTTTTCCTACACCATATGGCAACCACATTCTAAAAGTAATCTATGTGATGAGAAGAATGCTTGATATGCTGTATACTTTATTCATTTCTTTACTCGTTAAAACTCAATGGCGTTTTTCGCAAGCTGCGCTTTACGTCCATACGAGATTTCGAAATCAGATAAACGCCTTAAGTGATACTTAAAATATTTTCAACAGTTTTAGGTACCATTTAGGGATTAGCGATATGAGTGGAGCAGTGCCAATGCTCTCATAGATTTAGGAACTGCTATTGATTGAAGATAAAAAATTGTCCTTGGAATATCGTTCGGTTAATTGAGAGTCAATTAAAACTCAATTGAAACTAGACGATGCAGCTGAGGAAGAAAGATTTTGAAAAAGACCGCATGGCCAGAATTCTTTGTGATGGAGTTTCTATTACTTGCAGTTTTTAACCACTTAGAATATCGTTGTTTTACCCTTTAGAGAATGTGGGCATCTGTTCTGTACCTTGCATGTTCTGACATTTCGACAAAGAGTGCGCTTGGCATATGTTTCTTAGGCATTAGAGAGAAACTGGTTTTGAATAGTTTACTGCATTCTAATGATCCCCTTATTCATGTCTGTATTACAGAGTTGCTTTGGAAATGAAGTTGTCCTAACCCCAACACATTTTACGATCGCTATAGAAAGATAGTTTACGGACTAACCGCAAGCAATTAGCGCGTAATCAAGCAGTAAGCAAACTCTCTTTGGAACCGGTGAAAAATGCCTAAAAGTGAACTAAACGTTCGCGTTCAATTTGTGCTGATTTTTCTTCTTTTAATAAATGCGAACAAGTGAACAGTTAATGCTTTGATGTACGAGTCCCCTTTTATTCGACTATCAGTAACTTGCCCACTAGTTCGCATCTTTCAAAAGACGAAAATTGCATCTAAAATCGCAGTCAAAATTCCGAATGTAAACGCTCAAATTTGTTCCGCTAGAGAATCTCATGCAAATGCATTCGTTTTCTTGTCTCTCTTGTAAACGAAAGGCGGAAATTTCAGATCGCTTCCAAATGAACAACAAAAACGAACTCATTTTAAAAATGAAAGAGAAGCAAATTCACATACCAGTTATCGCCGTTGTATGTCATTGGATAAGATGTTCTGTCGAAGAATCCTCGTCTCCCTCACTATCGCTGGATATGCTCGTCCCCTCACCCTCCGAGGTCGGGGCATCCACCCTGGATGGGGTGGGGAATACTTTGAAGATGACGACACCCAACAGAATGATAACAAATGACCAGATGTAGAGATTGGAGAACTAGGGAGAAATACGACATTTTTTACCTATGATAACTACGCTAATTTGTTGGGAATTACGTTTCCTGATGGCGAAGATAAATGAAATTGGTGAAGTTGCTTGGAATGGATCTTATAGTCTCATCAAGTTCGTCAAATTACTCAAATGGGAATAAATTGTTTAACAGGCAGAGACGCCGGAACGATTTTAAGACAAGAAGTAGATTGTAATGAAAGGGAGTTATTGTATTCAGTGACGTTAATTAGGACGATAATTTGGAGGGGTTTTATTCATATATTTAGTTCTGCTCGACGGATTTCCATTGTAAGCGCAAAATCCTTCCGGCAGAACTGAATATATAAATAAACACACACGCCTACCCTCTCCCTCCAATTATCGTTCTAGCCACACCACTGACTATATTGACGCATACTAGCGAGTGTTTTCTGAACATCGACAGTTATATTTAGTCTTATCCCGTGTTCTCTTTGACTTTGTTAAACATGCAATCCCTGGTTTCAGCAAGACGTAATCTTTAAATAGAAATAGTATCCTTTGTCCCACTGCCCCTGATGGTAAAAGGCAGGAGGGTCCCTTTCTACCCTTCCACGAGCAATCCCGGGGTGCCCGCCAACTGGGGTAAGTGTTGAGCTTGCGTGATGACTGATCTAACTTACTTTATAATCAAATAGATAGAGTCCAGCAAATAAGGAATATAAATCAGCTGTGAGCAGCATCAAATTAACCATAGTTGCACTACTGTGGTAGATTAATAGAGGCATCAGGAAGTAGAACAGAAACATAGATATCACACTGAGCGCTAGGTACAATACTAGAAAAAAGAATTGACCAGTTACTTTTCAATTATATCTTCAAGGAAGCTGTAGTAACTGAACTGCTAAAATCTAGCAAATACCTACTTGTTTCGGGATCCCAAATGACATGGCTCAAATTACCCCTCTCAAAAAGAATTCTGTGGAAAGAAGAAACGTATGATCTAGCTTAGTGTCTGTTAATCTATGCTTATAAGAATAGTTTTCCTTATTATAGAAACACAAGGACACTTAGTTTTCAGGGCATTAACATTTTCAAGCACAAATTAGGATTTCGGCAAATGCTCATAGCTTAGAGATATAATTAAGCCACTCGGATGTTAATGTCTGCAGTGATTAATGCAAACAAATGATTTGCTTTCCTCTTGGACAGTTAAAAGTCTTAAATATGACAAGCCATTGCATACATTTAATACAATATATTGTTGCAGTAGGACTTTAAAATAATATGAGAGAGGTATAATTTGTGTTGAGAAAAATATAAATTTGAGCAGTTTCGTAAATGAGCTGATTGTTGTGATGCAAGCAGACCAGAGATAGATTTACTTGGGGGGAGTGTGAGGGGGTGTGCACCTAGAGCTGTACACTTGAGTAATATTCTAAATTTTAGAGAATTATGTGCAGAAAAAGGGTACTCAATTAAAAATATTCTGGTGTACTTGGAACCTCAGAATCAGAATCTTATAGGTAACACATCCCATTTTCACTTCAAATTTCAAAACCACACTGGAAACCATGCACCTCTACTCTACATTTTGATAATAATTAAATATGATAAATTCTTACACATTGGCCCCAGAGAAAAAGCAGGCAAAAAATGACATCATTCCCAAGAATTCTGTAATGGTTGATGTCTTAACAACAAATTCTTCAGCAATATTACTGACTGCATACAAACATGCACCTGCAATCACTAGGAAGTCTCCTAACAGTGCACTGTGATGATTTCCTATAAAAATAGCAGGTTGTCTTGTTAGTTTTGTATAGCATCAGACCTTCCTCACCATTATTAGAAAGTTCTATTACATACCTGGTTGAGGTCCTTGGCTAGTTCTGGATGTAAAATCTGCCCAAACCATAAATCCTAATCCAGCCACACATACAAAAACACCACAGAAGTGAACAGGTCTATACTTTGCTTTCAAAAATGCAATTGATAAAAATACCACAACTGGTATACTGAGGCAATCTAAAAGCTGAGAAAATAAATTTGTTTATTTTGGAGCAAAATTTAAAACCATATTGTTGAACTAACTCAGGTTAAAAATTAAGCAAAAATGGCATCAAAGTTAATACCTGAACACTTGTTAAACTAGTATATTCATAAGCTGTGAACACTAAAAAGTTTGCATAAACATCAACTATTGCAATTAAGATGTATTTCCACCATCTTTCTTTTAAAATGTTTGTTGCTTCTTCGGTTCCCCAGGCAAGTTTTGTTGTGAACACAATTGCAAGCAGGATATAGGTACAAAATGAAATGAATCCTGGAATCTTTACACCACAAGCAATCACAAGTTTTTGATTAGCAACACCGGTTGCACATAACAATAAAGATAAGCATTGTCCACAGATTAAAACACCAAAAAACTTCCTGCAAAATACGAAAAGCCACATGTTAAATTATACATATTTTTCAATGGTAATATGAATGAAATATAAATATGATTTTGTGTATTGTTTAAATTTGTTTTATTTGTGTGGTTTTTTTTGCATTTAAGGTGACGACGATAAAGTTGTGACATAATTATATGTAGAAAGGGTCTATTGAGCAATTGTCTATAAAGGCCTGTAATGCTAGAAATTATATGAAATTAAATTTTTATTTTTAATACCTTGTAAGATTAGGTCTAATTTTCCTCTTATAATAATCGCGTATTCCTTGCGAATATGGACTTTCCCTCGTAGTTCCATCCATATATAATGTCTGAAAACATAACCATTCTCTTTCCAAATCTCTAGCACTTTCCATCACGTGGGAACACCTGGAAAAATGGTATAAATTGCAACAATATTTTGAAAATTGCTTGGAAAGTGATTTACCAAACAACGCACATGAAAAATACCAAACGTTGCCAAAAGGAACGGAATTACCTGGGTTGGTTCACAGGCTTGGGAACGAGGCTGGGTTCGGTTATACCAACAGTTTTATCTTGGATTTTTACATTACCAGCTTTTTATCTAAATTTTAGTGTTATAATCCATATTTCTAGCCCTCTAAGTAATTGAACTCAAAATGTAGTTATTTTGAATTTCTATCTCAATACAATAAATAAACTGCAATGGTAATAAATATTTTAAGAGAATATAGCTGTTCAATAGGTAGAATTACGGACTGTAACCAGCCTTTAAAGGCTTATGTATATAGTATAATTTATTTCTATAAAATTCATATCAAACATTAAATAATACAGAAGGTGTCTTTTATTTATTTTGTATCCCATTTTTGAAACTTTCCCACAAACATCCTTGTCAACTTCAAGTAATAATCAGGTCCATTAGGTAAATAATCTTTATAAGTAAATCCATTTCCTGACTTGGGAATTGCTTTTTCAATTTGCGTCCCTTCATGCCACTCATTAAAAGACGTCACAGAAATGATTGGTGGTTGAACTGATAATGCAGCCTTGAAGCTCCTCTTGTAATATTCCCCATTCTCTCTCTGTCTGGTATTGGCGTCATTCCAGGGACGAATACTAGTGTCGATATAGCCTGGTCCTACACTTGGGATAAATATTGAGTTTGTTTGAACTGCAAAAGATTTCAACTTTGGCCATGCACTCAACCTTGAACCGTATGTGAAACCATTGACAGCAAAATATGTATAGAAACCATCAAATCCACCAATATCAATATAATCCTTATGATTGAACTCTACCATCAATGCTATCATAACACAGTCATAAGGTGTATCTCGTATTGTATATTTACCATCTGGTTTCAAAAGATTTGCCCATTCATGAGGCTTAGTGTGGTATGAATCATAAATATACAATAATGGCAAATATCGGCCTTCTCTAGTTCGATATTTATAAAATGCTGGATGCTTCGCATATCTCTTATGAATGTAGATTGCATCATCTCGGACCGTTTTTTCATTGCGACCTTTGTATGGCTCAATGTGCAGTGTAATTTTCAGCTTGAACTCATCCGCAATGTTCAGAAGCTTTGGAACAAGTTTGTCAACTGGTATCCCTTGCTGATCAGCCTTATCCCTTGGATACCATGATACAACTACTACCCCAGCACCTGATGTCCTTATTTGCTTCATATGTTCCCTTATTGTGCTATCGTCCGATGAACTATAACACCCAAGCTCTGGGTAAAAATCTGATCCGATATCATCAGGGGGGACGTGGACCCCTTTCTTATACTGTTTTGCAATCTCGCTATTCCAGTGCGGGAGATATTGATGATTCCAATGCAAGTATTTCCCATCTGTTGTTGGATTTCCATACCAGGGATAATAGAATATATGAACATTATTTGAGACTTTACTTAGCAAAAGATTTTTGATGTTATGACTTTGACTTGGCAATTTTGTTGTCTTTGACATTAAAGTTCTCTCTCCATAACTTGGTTTTAATGTTCCTTGAGGCTTTTCTGAAGCAACAATAAGACCTTTGTTTCTTCTAGTAGGGAGCCTGTCTATTGACAAAGTTTTTACAGAAGTTTGAACTCCAATAAGAGAAATATTTTGCATATATTGTTCATTAGAACGAATATAACTTTCCCACTGATTAAAAAACCACAGAAAGTATCCAGTAATTGCCAAAATTAAACAAACTATAAATATTCTCCATTGTTTTTTCCTTGTACTAACAAAATACCGTAAAACTTTCATTTTAAAACCAGTTTGTTTTGGGTACTTTCTTTGTCAATTGTCATATTATTCAGCAACGATAAAAATATCTGGAAAAAAATGTACTGCTTTTTGTCGTAACTAAGAGCTATATATTAATACTGGAGTACTCGAGTCATTATTATCATTATTATTATTTAGGTTTATTTTATTTTTCACTTTAATAGCTCCCACTAAAAAATATTTTATACCCTCACGGCCTCACCATGAATATTTACTTTGTATTACATATTATATTATATTAAATACATTACAATATCTATTACATATTGCCTCGATCTAATGCTATGCCACTCTAAAAAATGGATGACTCAGAACTTTGTTTCACGTGGTGTTGAGTTGAGTTTGGCGTCTTGACTCAAATCAGACTGAAAATTGTCACCAGATTCGTGCCCAGTGACAGAATTTCTCTCTTTAATCAGATTCTTCTTAATCGACTCCTGAGATGACTTCAGATCTTCTGAGCCCGATGATTGTTTCACTTCATCTGAATTCACGTCCTCAGATACAGCAGGATTTTTGATGACATCTAAATCCACATCTTCAGGAAGTCCTTCCGACATCCCGGTAGGGCTTTTGCGTTTATCCGAATTCACATTATCGGACAATCCGTTCGACAAGGCCGGATTTTCAACGACAATGTCATGATCTTGGGTATCTATGGTACTACGACTCTTCCTGCATCAAAAGCAAATATTTCAATAAAAAACACATGAAGTCTTTGGCAAGATTTGACTGAATTGCAAAAGAATACGAATTAGTATTATTAGAAACGCTTTGAATAAGTGAAAAAGTTGGTGTTTTTCCTTAAAGTGTGAGATACTTATCGCTCTAAAAGAATGACTGAAATATTTGCAGAGAAACGCTTTGAATAAGTGGAAAAGTTGGTGTTTTTCCTTAAAGTGTGAGATACTTATCGCTCTAAAAGAATGACTGAAATATTTGCAGAGAAACGCTTTGAATAAGTGAAAAAGTTGGTGCTTTTCCTTAAAGTGTGAGATACTTATCGCTCTAAAAGAATGACTGAAATATTTGCAAAGAAACGCTCATGAATAAGTGAAAAGAGGTTGCTTTTATAAATAGGAATACTCTATCACAAGGTCGAAATTTTCTAACCTTTTCTTCACTTGCAAAGGTATTCCATTCTTCAATACCAATAATTTAAAGATATCATTTCTTCAATATATATTATAATACACAACTTACGTGACAGGAAGACCATCAGGGCTTGAATCAACACACGAATCAGGTCGTACAACGACATGGCGACGACAGAAGATCGTCAGCCACACGGGCAAGAAACAAAGTCCATGAATCAAGCCAAGAACAACAATTCCAAAAAACATTTTAAAGAATATTCTGAAAACCGCAGATGAGGCAAATGCCGTAACTATCATTCCGAGAAAGGTACTGAAACCTGGAAGATGATTAGATTGAGATCAGATTGAAATCTGTAACAGCTCAGCCAATCAGACGATATTAATGGTATGAATGAACATACCTCCCATAATAACGCTTGCTCCAGCATTTTTCAAGGCATGAATGGCTTTGTCTTCGGGAGTTTCCTCAGCAGAGAAGACAAAATAATGAGCAACATGAGCACTGTAGTCAACAGCAAAACCAATCGCCATAACAAGATTGATCATTGAAATTGAATTCAAAGATACACCCCAAATATACATTAAACCTACAAAACACAATGATCACAGTTAGCAAGATCATCTCAAATGAAAGAAGGTTTGGATTGAAATATTAAAGGGAAGTACTATTGACATTAGGCTATGGATAACTGAGTATTGAAGAGGATAATCACTAATGAAATGGCGATTATCCCACAGTTATCACAATCTCGATAGCGCACCAGACAATGGTTTTTATGAACGCTCTGAAATTGGTTTAAACTGGACTAAACCTTAGTATTCCTAAATTGGGGGTTCTCTTCAGTAACGTTTAGCTACAAAGTACAAATCTTTAATCTCATTGCTGCTTTTCATGAATGTTTACAACGGTTGAATACATCGCTATCCGGGACCGGTTGTATAAAACTCTTTAACTATATTTTGCATAGTTAAATCCTAGTTAACTCAGAAATACTCGACTCTGGTTGGCCAATTCTGTGCTTAACAACAGTTAAAAGTTTACTAGTCTTTTATACAACTGGCCCCCAGTGGATAGCGCTATCCAGCTCTCGTACAACAGGCCTCAGGGCAACAGAACAACAATTTCTTACCGAGTAATTCAAATATAAGTGAGACGAAACCTAACAAGACGAGCAGAATCACAAGAGGATTGACAAGAAACAAACTAGTGACAACGCAAATGGCGCCAGAAGCGAGGGACAGATTATAAATGGTCTCTGGTAGCGTCGATATGAACTGCTCGATAAATATGAACACGTAGGCATTAGCAAACACGGGCAAGGTGGATTTATCTTTGAGATCATCACGCAGGCTTGTCATGGCATCACGTAGTTCCACAGAGCTCGACGTTGATTTGAGAAAGCAGTAGAGTCTTGAGACGGTTATGGTCGAGTTGTCTTCTGAGAACATGATATCTTTCCTAAAACGCGACTGATTTTTCAAGAACATTTCCAGCGAGCCTAACATAAAAAAAAATAAGAAATGTTACGAAATACGGAAACTCAAATTTTCAACCAGTTCAAGTCGACGAGCGTTGATGATGTATGGCTATGAGAGTTCGCGGTTGAACGCTAGGCGAGAGGTGCAACTCTCATCAACCCTTATCAAATCTCATCAAGCCTTATCAACTCTCATCAACCCTTATCAACTCTCATCAACCCTCATAAACTCTCATCAACCCTTATCAACTCTCATCAACCGTCATCAACTCTCATCAACCCTTATCAACTCTCATCAACCCTCATCAACCCTTAGCAACTCTCATGAACTCTCGTTCTCGTTTGACCAGGGCTGAAGTACGTAATTGCTCGGCAAGTGCTTTTCTCTACGCAAATCGACCACGAATGAGGAGTGAGGGTGAGCTTTTCCAGGGCAGATGAAACCGTTCCAAGTTACACCATCAACATGGAGTGTGAATATCTATAGTATATATACCTAATAATGTGGTGTTTTGTGAATTATACCATTTCTGCAGTTCTGCAAACCACGACGTCACATTGGGACGGTAAAACTTGTTGTTCGCCACGATCTGACTTAGATCATTCATCTTCCGCTGAATGCTTGGATCAGAATAGTTCACATTCTCTATGATGAGGTCCACGCGTATGTCAGCCATGAAATAATCTTCATCAGCATCTAAATACTTGATAAACATCGAACCATCTTTAGCTAAATCTCGACGGTCAAATTCCTCGTTCACGAATGTCGTACCGTAAATACCAACAGCAAGCAACCCCATCGAGAGGAAGACGATGAATATCTTTGTGGGAGTTTTCATTAAGAATTTCGCCCAAAGCTCCATTACTTTATTTGACGTTTGGGGCAGGGGTTCATCCCAACGTGGCTCTCCAGCGCGAGGAGGGGGGGCTTTCAGAAAGGGGACCATATCTCTGCGACCTGCGTTCATACGGCGACAATCGTACGACATAAAAGCGACAAAAATCGTGACGAGAAATAAAAACGCCAAGGTTATTGTTACCGCGGCATACGTGCAAAAGTAGACTATGGCATTGAATTTAGACGTCGTTCCAATGGCGAATGCAACCAGGTCCGTCATCGTTGTCATGGTGATAGCTGGCCCAACAGTGCGCATGACCGTGGCAAGACGTTTTGGGATGCTCTGGTCGGGATGTGCTCGGTCCAGTTCGTCAACGATTATAAACATATCATCAATGCCAACACCAACAATGAGGAAAGGTAGAATCCCAGCGATGCTTACAAAAGGTATTTGAGAAAGCATGGACAAACCAAACCCGGCCGCAATCCCAAACCCAACGCAAGTAATCCCGCTCATGGCGAGCAACCCATGTCCTGTTAGCGGGTTACGATATTTTCCCAACATCATACACGCAAAGGTTAGCATTAACACGAAGGTCAATGTGATGAATTTTAGATCGGAACCAGTGCTTTTATTGATCGCATCGTCTAAACTCCGTGCTGCTGTGAACACCAGGGATTTGCACTCCAAAGTGCCATCAAAATCTTCCATTTTCTTTAGGAATTCTTTCTCCCAATCGGCTGTTTCGCTGGTGACTTCCTCGTCGAGATCCACGCCTTTCATATGATACACGATCCTCATCGCTTGCGCTGAGGTGATTCGCCCGCTGCTGTCATAACTTCCCTTGCCAAAGATTCGCAGAAATAGTTCTTTATTTGTTGGTAAAAATTTGTTCAACGTTGGTATAATGTTGCTGAAATTTGAGGCGTTACCAAACATCCAAAGGGGCTCCTCTCGCACGCAATGGCTCATGCTTGCCAAAGGATCAGTTTTAAGTTGTGGTAAACAAACCTCTTTGTAACCTGGGATTGCTGTCACAACACGGTGAAGCTTCCGTAGATCTCGAAAGCAAGCTTCTTTTAAGACATTCCCACCGCTTTGAACTATTATAATCTCAGCACGTCTTGTTGGGCGATAGAATCCGTAATCTCCAGCTTTCTTCAAATTCTTAATCGACTTGCTGTTTTGAGGCACGTATAACTTCTCTGTTCTATTCTCAGTTTTCAAGAAGGCAACCCCGGAAACGAAAACACCCAGAAACACAACAGCTATTGCAATGGTTATCAACGGATGCGTGGCAATAACCTCGGACAATGCCGCGAAAAACTGCGACATCTTGTGATTGTACCATCGGCAGAGTTTCAACCAGAGTTGCCAGGGGCTGACGCATCTCTTCTGGGACTCGCTATAATGGAGGAATGAAAAAATAAAACCGCTGAGTTAACAAAATATACGACCTCTTCTTTATTAGGATCTAGATTAGGTTCACGAGTTGGCGGTAAAAATCAGCTCTTATTCGAGTGGGAAGTGATTGAGAAGTGATTGAGATCTCAGCGAGTTTAAGTGTAAGTGCGTGCATGAGCTTTTACAATACGGCAAGTGCTTGCTTTACAATACGGCGAATTAAGTTATAGCGCCATAAAGGCTATCAATAGTGACACAGACGTTGCACAAAATCCTTCATACAGACACAGGGTATATTGCTCTAAAATTTCGGAATTTTTAACGTGTTACCCCTTGGCTGTAGAGAGAGGATGCATATAGAAAGTAGTTCATTTTAACCAAAATCGTGTATTTTGGAGTTCAATATGATTAAACTCCAAATTATCAGCAAAGGAATGTATCCTTGCATGTATTTGAATATTTCTTTGTTAAAATATTAGGGCTTGTTTTCACTAAAATTCCGTAACGCCAGGTCTACCAACTAGAGCCCATTCCCGCGGCAGTATTATTATTACTAAACTTCACATAATGGATTATTGACAGAGTAAACATGCAGGTAATGCTGTTAAACCACCATTTATATATAAATATATAATGTGATTTACGTATTAATTAGTCTTAAGCTTAGCAAAACCCTCAAGCAAATATTGTATAATATTACATAGTCTTTTTGTTATTGACGAGACTCTGAAGTTGTGAAGTAATATGGAAGGAATTAGGTCCTAAAGAAAGAGGTAACTTAGAATTTAAAGAGACGATCGCCATCCATTGTCGGAAGATATTTTCACGCGAAAACACGACTCAGAACTTTCAATTGATTGCTAAAATTCATATAGGTACTTTAGGAGATATAGATACTTGTGAATTATTCGCACCATTAATTGGGTATATTGCACTTTCTTCGTGTATGAACATAAATTGAATGAAGGTTTTTTAGTACCTCTACCTATACCTACGGGTGTTAGTTCGAATCTTGCAGGAGGACCATGTTGCCCTTTTTGCAACGTTCTCTGTTAGGTCTTAAAAATATATACTTCTGCCTTTGTTCTCCCAAAAAACATTAAAAATTTAATCTATTTAAACAATATTCGATAAGTGTTCGGTTTGCTTAACGAGGCTTAAAATGATTCAAGCACATGCATCCGCCTAGGACTCGTTTACTACAATACTGTTTTATCTATCATTACTTCCTACAGTTCCTGACATTTTTAGTATGTGCCTGAGTTTCTTCAAGGCGAAAGGAATAATACAAGCTTCATAATTCTCGATCATACGACACCAGCTTGTCGTTAATGACAATATCAAAAGAGATCGTATAATTTCGTCCTTGCATACACAATGGCACATTTCTTTGCTAAAATGCTGGAAGATATACAGTTGCAAGTAAAATTTGTCTAGTGGATTCTAGTTGAAATTCTTGAGAAACATCACAAGAATCAGACCTTTTCAAGCAAATTAGAACAATAAACGTCTTGAAAGCAAAGATTTAATAAACAATTATTCCGAAGGGTCCTAATTCGTTTTTTATAACTGCTTTTTAGCGAGTGTATATTTAATGTAACAACAAACGGTTAATTTTACAAACGTTAGGTTTTCACATTAGTAACGTTCATCAAGACGGTGATTTGGGATTAGATTAGCTGAAAAAAAGCAGGCTTCGAGCTTAAAACTAAAGGCTTTTCTTTTGTAGAAAATTCCGGTCCAATCTAAGCGTACATATGCAACGTCGCTCTGATAAATGATAATGAAGCTTAGCCATGATCATAAACTTACGTCTTTTCGCCATTGCTTAACAAAGGAGCTAAGTTGTACTTCTGCATTCCTCGCACTGCTGGATAGCTGAATATCCGAGAATCCTCGAGAACGGCAGGCCGACAAGGAAGGGGTCACAAGCCTGAGCTACAACGATCACTGAGGAAAAATTCCTCCTCCTTTGTTGTATTCAAATACTAGACACTAGAGCCTAGGGGCAGGTGCCACGCGGAATTCTGACTTGCTAAAACATGATTATCCGGCGCAGTGTCGCGCATGCACATGCAAATATTCTTGCGCCAAATCTTTCACACTAGAGATCGAGGCATAATGCGTCTGGACACATAATACGTCTTCTTTGGTAATTCGTCTTCAGTATAGAGACGGACAACAGATGCACTATTCGTCCAGACGCATTATGCGTCTCTAGTGTGAAAACTTAACAAATTAATTTTGCAATGAACGACCATACCTCAGTTTGTACATATATTATTGTGTTTCCGAGACTAGTTGAGGTATTGAGGTGAGATAATGAAACAAAATATTTCGCTTTCTAGTGTCGTACCTGGGCATGATGAAATCCTGGTTTTGGAATGTTCAACCTGTAATGAGAAAAGAATCACAAATTTGAGATACCACAACGGAGATTGCGCCGATACAGAGAAGATTTGTTCATATGAGACAAACTATAAGAGCTAGGGGGTGAAATTACAGGGTATTTATCTGTACTTGTGTCAAAAACAGAAACAGTTATTTGGCTGCTTGCTTTCTTGTGTGTGTGCCGAAGACACTTGTCTTTTCAAATTAAAGTCTTGGCTCTGCAATAATTCAGAGTAAGTAAGGCTAAGGAAACAAATTCCCTGAAACACACAAAGAAAACAAAAAAACATGTAGGGTTGTCACTAAACAATCTCCTCAATCCTAGAGCTAATTTTATATAAATATGCAAATACAACAGGCCAATATTTTACTGTCAACATAAGATGAATGAGGTGCATGTGTCCACTTTATAGCACATCTTTGCATAAATATAAAAATATTTAATGCATCTGACATGAGATAAACTGAGCCCAATTAATGCCCCAATCACCAAAATATTAGACTCTACACATTCAAGTCACTTTACAGATAGGATTTAGTCATAGCATTGCCCTTAGCACTTCTCTTATTCTCCTAAAATACACTGGCCTTCGTTTTCCCATAATCAATACACTTACTGTAATGCCCCTGACAGGCTGACACCAGTGTAAGTAGAAATGCAAGAACTTGTAAGTAAACTGGCTAGTTCATGTACTGCATTTCAAAGGACTAAAACTACTCTCAACGCTAGCAATTTTCCATATTCTTCTCAATTCTGATAACCACATAAATTCATATCACATATTATGTTAACCTAATATTAAGTGACAGTTAGGCACCTGCTCCTTCTACAATAAACTTGTAAGACAAACACTCCCTGTTTAAAAATGGATATTCATACAGGCATGATGGGCAGAAAAAGCAATAAAATATGAGATGCACAATGATTAGGAAGTAATTTCTGGTTTTAAAAAAGCACAACTGACACAGCAGGTGAATAATGAAATAAATTTAGAGCCTACAGTAAGTGACTTTAAGGCATGACATAACAAAATGTTAAATTCATATCACAAGCAGACAAAATCTTAAAATAATTGAAGCCATATGTCAAGTAATAAATTTTAATATTTTATCATGTCCTGTCCTTTCCTAGTTAATGCCATTTCTACTCACAATTTGTGTGCAAAATTTATCTTTTCAATATCAGATCAGAAGGTTAGATTCACGTAAGGGTTTTAAAATGAAAGAGCCTATTCATATGATCTCCATCGGCCAGAATGGCACGTAGTCAGTAAAATCCTGCTTGTAATAATATATTGCACACACACAAACTAGGCTATACTGCCCCATCTTTCAACATATAGAATTAACACTAGATTAATACAACAATGGAAACTTGCTATAAAGTTTACTTTCTTACATTGAAATTTATTCCAATTCCAAACCAGGAAGTAAAATTTTATTCTATTTTATAAATTGCACTGTTAAATAGTCATAATTTTCTGCATAGCAACTAGAAGAACGCTAGATATTAAAACATTCAATGACTATTATGAGTTGATTTGCACTACGACCCACGAACTCTCAACTCTGTGCTTTCACTTTGTAAACAGGCCAGCATTATGTATTAAAGTATAACACGGTTTTAAAGTTTAAATATTAGGATAATACTACTAGCCTGTGAGCAAGTTCTTTTGTCCAAGTGAAGCTGAAGACGTCTTTCTATATAAACGACGACATAACAAACCTACAGTAGTGAAGTCATTTGGCAATTTTTCATATAAACATTGTATTATTTCGTTCCTATGACGAACTAACTTATTCAGTTATTCGTGTTTCCTGTCCCAAATAAAAAAACAAACGATAAAAAAAACATTTAAAACGCGATGGTTCATTGGCCACTTGCAAACGTTTTATATTGTACGAGCCAATGAATAGCAACGTTGTATACGAAGTCCTTCTCTATCTAATTAGGTGGTTACGGCTGTCGCTCCGGGAGGGGAAGGGCCGAAGGGGGGGCAAGATGGTGGTATATAAAAGCCAAAGAAATTGAAAAGAAAGAATACGAATGGCGGTAGTTATAAATATAGGCAAAATACGATAACGTTGAAACGGAGAACAGCCTTAGATCAAATATTCCGACTTAAAGACAAAAGAAATTTCAAAAGAATATATTTCCTGCTCTCTTTCGTTCATGTCATGCTGTAGTGAAAACCAGGCTTAACTTATAAGCCTGCAGTGTTATGTCGGTGCTTGTATAACACGCTTTATTGCATTTCATTGTTTTGCCTTTTGTGTTTGAAAGTTATATTATGATAAATTAGGACTAGGAGAACAGGCCACTACGCCAAGAGACTTGCAATCTGTCAAATTCTCGTAGCATACAACCATATGCTTGTTATTTTCTCCCTGTACTGAAGCGGATTTTTAGATTTTATCCTAATCAATGCTAATATTTTGACAGTTAAAAAACAGCTTGGTTACAGTGCTTCCTGGTTACCAATCTGGGCCACTGGCGAGTAGCGACATCTCTTTAATAATCGAATTTTTGGCCACGGACCACGGTGCTTTTTCTTAAATACATTTTTGAGTGAGATCTGAGAGTGTGGGCCAGCTCGTTTGTTCATATCATTGTACACTCACTCTTGCTATTGCTATAACCATCAAATTATTCAAATACAAGATGAAGGTTGCTATAAAAACAATAATCTCCTAAAATATTCGTCTTATGATCTTCCTTAGGTTTCATTTTTCGTAAGAAGAAAATCCCTACCGACACTATCCTTGTTACTATGGATTAAAGACGCTTCGTACGTCAACGAGCAAATTACTTTTGGCAAATTTTCATTGGTATGAAAATTAACATCCGTTTTTCAGATTTTGTCAAAATGCATCCGACAAGTTTAAAAATTTTCCTTTCACACGGGTACAATATGTACACCGTGGGAACTTGGATTCGGTTGATCAATAAACGATGTTTTCTGATAACTTACGGCAAATATTTTAGTCACAGCGGACCATTTCACATAATTTGTTTCTTTGTTAAGACTATACAGTCTTACTGTCTTAAAGCAAACTCGGTCGACTAAAATCTTGCGTTCTAGTAACAGACACAGATTTACCTGAGATAAAGATTTTGTCACCTTCAAATATAAGTTTACTAGTCTACCCCATTAACTTCTTGATTTCATGTATTAAATTTTCATTCATTCCTAATGCCTATTTGAAAGAAAACTTTACCATCAAGTTAGTCAACAAGTAAACTGTATTACCTGGTACTGGCAGACACGGTTTCAATCTTGGAGAGGAAGTGGTAAACTAGTCTATACCGACTATACGTTGTATTACTTGTGTAGAAAATTTACTGGTCAGTGTCAGGCTGACAAGACGTATGACATTTACATTTAATAACCTCACGAGTTATGATATTGTGGCTTACGAAGGCGGGCAATATATTCAACATGAAATAAAAAAATCATCACTCTTTGACAGACTAAAAGACTAAAAGTCACTTGTAACAGTTGTAAATGCTGACGAAATTTTGAAGAATTGTTTGAAAAAAGACGGCGGGGATTAACCCTTACAGTCCTTACAACGCGGAAACTTGATTGAGGGGATGTTCATATATTCATGTTCAAATACTTGAGATATGACATACTCCACCCCCAAACTATAACTGAAACAGCCGGGTCAATCGCTTCTGACAGGAGCACGAGTTTTCATGATATCTAAATGATATAGTAACAAACATGACTCAACAATATAGTATTATGCAAAAACCAGTCAAGTGCAATCTTTTTGTTTGTCTCTCCACTTAGTCTAATATCACTCTATCAACGCAAGTTTTCTTTGCGACCTCATATAGAACCTAGAACCATAGAAATGTAGAACCATAGAAACTTGTAGAATCGTCAGTAGAACCATACAACCATAGAACCATAGAACCATACAACCATAGAACCATACAACCATACAACCATACTCCATAGAACCATGGAACCATAGAGCCATAGAACCATAGAACAATAGAACCGTGAAACCTAGAACCATACAACATACAACCATAGAACCTAGAACTGCAGAATCTAGAACAATAGAACCAATTTTTGCAATTCCGTATAATTTATGCAATTCTGATAATTATTATAATATATTTCGTGAATCGTAACATGGATGACCCTTCTTCTTGACACCAAATTTTGTTTATATATTTCATTTTGATTCCCAATTTATGGGTTTATAACCAATTTAGGCAACAAGTTAAATGTTTGTAAGGTGTGCTATAAGATCTAGGCTACGAGAGGCCCTTGTCAATGGGAAAGCATGGAGAATTGTACGGTTAAAATCGGACAGCCCTATGAACATATTCAACAGACAGGCAAAACGTTTACAAAAGAATAGAGCTGCTTTGCAAGAAAACACTGATGATTACGACTACTTAAAGGATGAAGTTGCAAGAAGAATTGTGGACCGGCTTAGCGATGTTTCGCGTCATTTTCCGCTAGTTTTAGACCTTGGTTGTGGAAAGGGTCACATTGCAAAAGCCTTGACAAAAACACATGTGACATCATTAGTACAATGTGATCTCTCTGAAGAAATGGTACAAAGATCATACACAAACCCAGATATTCCAACAAAAAAGCTTGTTGTGGATGAAGAGTTTTTACCATTTGCAGAGAACACTTTTGATGCAGTGCTTAGTAGCTTGAATCTTCACTGGGTGAATGATTTACCAGGTGTTTTTCATCAAGTAAAACACTGCATTAAGGACGATGGGATGTTTTTGCTTGGATTATTTGGTGGGGAAACTTTATTTGAACTACGCTGTTCTCTGCAGCTTGCTGAACTTGAAGTTCTGGGGGGATTTGGGCCTCACATATCGCCGTTCACAGAGATGGCAGATATTGGTGATATAGCTAGCCGGACTGGGTTCAATCTTATAACAGTTGACTATGACGAGATTGTTGTAAATTACCCTAGCATTTATGAGCTGATGAATGATTTACGAGGCATGGGTGAGAACAATGCATCGTGGTCTAGGAAAAATGTGTTGCGACATAAGACAACTGAGGTTGCATCGAGAATCTACCAAGAAATGTATGGTGACAGTGATGGTAACATACCTGCCACCTTTCAAATCTTGTTCCTGATTGCATGGAAGCCATCAGACAAACAGGCTAAACCTGCTGAACGAGGTTCAGGAACATTTAGTCTAAAAGACATTGATAAGTTAGACTTTGATAAATAGATTAATTGTCACAGCAGTGTTTATACTGCATCAATTTGGCACAGATATTTATTTTATATCAGGACCTATATATTCTATGAAACTGTGGAAAACTATATGTTCAGTAGAAAAATTTGCTAAATTTGCTCTATGGCAATGAAAACTTTACAAACAACAGTATTTTGTGTGTACTTAAGCAAATTCACAGTGTCCACAGGATCCAAAATGCTAGGAGGGTGATTGCAATTAGGGGTCCATATAGGTGCCCCCCTATAGATTGTCCCCCACCCACCATCAGAATCCCTACCATAGTTCATTCACCTCCAAGGCTCCAACATCAGACAAGACATAGTTTCTTTGTCCAAATTTATCTAAACAATGATCTATCTTTTATAATTCTACCCCTAAGGGAGACAATTTTCTTTAAAACTTACCATGGCTATTGGAAACTTGGTAATTTGAATCCCCGCCAATCGAGAGATCAAAGATCAATATTTCGTAAACAATACTAACCTCGCTCTCCTTGTAATGGCTGAACAAATAATATCATGCGATATTAAAACAGCAATAAGCTAATATCTTGCGAATGATAATCGTCTATTTACTGATGCGAATTGACCTAAACAGACTCCTGTGTCTGCACTAGATTTCTACCTCTCCTGATAAACGATGGTCGCGTGAATTATGGAGCAATCAAAAGTTATCAGCGGAAATCAAACAATTTCTCATCAGAGATCGAGGCTAAAAAGTTTTTGTTTCTACACAGCTTTAACAGTGGTTTATTTTGCGGTTCTGTCGCCTTCAATCGTGCCTTCGTATTTTTATTTCACGTCAGAAAACGTCGTTCCAAGAAATTTTACTGAAAGGTATTTTAACTACCTGCGATTAGGTCAGGTTAGATCAGATAGTTCTTCTTCAAAAGATGCGTCGTGTTTTTCGTTGAAATTGACCGTCGACGTGATTATGTGACTTTATAATAAGGTAGACGACCTAAAAGATAAAACAGGAACTTCGTAGAGAAATTCCAACAACTGATATAACTTTTAAACTACAGACTAGGGACAGTAGGTATTCGGTCTCTAGGACGTGCGGAAGATAACATTTTAGTACCTTTCGCACGTTATTGTAACGATCTTTTGAGGAAAGCTAATTGGCAGTTTGTGACTGCTTTCAAAAGGGATTTTTACTGCTAACTTGGATACATGAAACCCCTACATAGTCCTGCATATTCAGTGAAATTACTGAAATAATCAAATATATCTGATCTCAAAGGTTGAATTCTTACAGCTGCGCTTATATAGGACACTCTGTGTGTACTTTTACAATTGATTGATTGAAGATACAGGTAATTACTAATATGTATCACCAATGGTTAAATTGTTTCCAATACAGTCTATAGTCCCAACTAATCTTGCTATACAGTGGAGTGAGTGCCTGAGTGGGCCGCATTCTTAACTGAAGCGGAAGTGCTCAGACAAGACGTGAACTTGAGCACGATAGTAACTAAGGATTAAATTTGCTGAAAACGTTTCCATCCCATTCGTAAAATGGTTAACAAGCGTAAAATGGTTAACAAGCGTAAAATGGTTATCAAGCGTGAAATGGTTAACAAGCTTTTTTAAAATTGATACATGTTTCCCGTTCCCTGGGCGAACTTGAAGCGTTTTATGTGTCATATGAGAATTTAAATCCACCTAACAACAGTCTAACAAGATCAGATTCACGAGGTTTTTTTGTTCAATTCTCTCTCTTTAAGGAATCAAAATATTACTTACCCTCGCGTTGGTCGTAACGGGTCTTACTGTAACAAACCACTTATTCCACAAGCACATCAAGTACCCCCAAATACTTCGTTTACAATATGCGTACCAGCCTGCTCCTGGAGTTTTTTCACCAACGATGAAATTTATCGGATCAATACGACCTTGTTCACTGCATGCGTTGTAGCAATCGTCTCCTTGATCGTCACTTTGATGACCTGGTTCAAAGTGCCACATCTGTAAGTGTAATTTTAATTGTCAAACTCTGTTAATCTTTATTGAAAGAACTCTCCCAGTTAATCCAGGAGAATCACGTCGTGCATGAGCCAAAATTGATTTAATTTCTTAATGCTCAAGTTTGCATTGAGTCTGGCTGACTGTCTTATGAGTCTATGACAACACCAGCGGCGTCTAAACTAGTTTTCACTGGTCATACAACCCGCAAAATTTGCTTTACCGTGAAATTTTATGCCGTTTAACTGCTAACACCAGATACTTAACTTGTGAATAGAGATACTCGCCTGCAGTAAATGAATGAAATATATTTTTAGGTGGAAATTTCCGCATTTTATCATCGTCATCATGATAACACAATCCACCATCATTGGTATGTTATACTCCATCGTTCTGGGTGGCCGGGGGACTGGGTGAACGTTACTTCCCCCCCGGGCCATCCCCTCTCAACGTCAACGTCCATTGATATGTTTGTGGTATTTTTCCTGCAGTGAGTTTTGTGGCAGTGGGTATATTACTTGGACCCGACGCATTCTGTAGCAGTAAATACCTCGAAGAAGCATATAACAAAGCGACACTATTCTGTGTATTGGAAGGTGCACTGACCCACTATCTTGCTGGCTCTGTTTCGTTCTGGTTTGTTGCATATAATGTTGTTATTGCCAAGGTATATTTTCTCGTATATACAAGGACAGGGGCGTAACTAGATGTGATACCATAAGGGTGAAGACGATGGTTGGGATAGTATTGATTGTAATGGTAATAATGGTGATCATTAGGTAATGATGGTAAAAAATATGGTCGGGGTAGTATTGTTTATAATGGTAATAATGGTGAAGATGATCGATAACCATAATGCTTGTGATGATCTTGTTAACGGTCATTTGATGATTTGAGTAATGAGAGGTGGTACCATTGATGTTAATGATGATCACGATGGTATTAGTGATTTGTAGTTACGACAAATTAAAATAGCAATGATTATGGTGGTAATGGTAGTGATGATGATGGTAATTATACTTATCATGATTGTATCATGGTTCATCGAAAACTACAGAATTTACCTTTGATTATCTTCCTAATATAATCAATAGGGTTTAGTATTTGAGAACACTCAACGAAATGAAAGATCAAAATGGCCATTCATCATCAGCGCAGCATGCTGTTGGATTCTCCCAGTCATCCCAGTAGCAATTGTTCTAACTTCCAGCGAAGGATACGCAGCGTCAGCAATGACTTATTGCTTCCCTAAATCAAATGAGATGACATTCTACACTGTAGTTCTCCCTGAGAATGTTAATTACGCCGTTGGTGTATCTTTCTTGTTTGTCATTGTGTGGAAACTAATAAAGGTTTGTTTTTTAACCCAAATAGCTAGCCTATTAGTCCCGAAACCTTTTCTAATGTGTCCTGTAAGATCTACACGATGCGACATGGTCGTATATATGATTCTTATTCTGTCATATGCTCACGCGCCACTTTTTCTGTTTACCAACGGTTGTACGAAAGGCGTTTAGCTTAGACGGTGGATAAGTTCAAAATGGAAAACAAAATTATCAGTATTTACTGAACGACTGTACTGAAATATTTCGATGTAAATAGTTTAATTCTCAATGGAAGAACATATTTAATGCAAAAGATATAGGTTCAGAGAGTTTTTACACTTGGGCTTATCCACCGTTTAAGCTAAACGCCTTCCAAATAACCTGCCCCAGTTTATAACGCAGTTTAAAATGTGACATCTTTATTCTTTACACGCATTTATTCGAAACATACGCCAGACGACCAATTGCATCGTGTGGTTCGGCCTTAACAATGCTTTTGTTTTTTGAAAACGTAAAGGAAAGGCGAGCTACGATAAATTCATCACGGCACCAGAATGAAATACGTAAAAGCAAAATGGGAAATGTTGTGGGACGGTTGTCCTTATTAATGATCTTCTACACGGCAACGGTCTATCTCACATATGGCGGTTTGGCGTATCAGTTGAACAAGGTGGAGGCACTGAAAACATCCTTAAATATGGTACTTCACGTGTCTGAATTTTCACGCAAAGTGTCCTAAAGGTACCAAAATGCAGTAAACGTTAATGTCCCTTGGAAATTGAAGCATCCTTAAGCTATGAACTCATTGCATCTCGCCTGCACAGAGCTAGCGTCATTTCAGTTAGTAAAATTCCATTTTTCATTCTGGTTTTCTTCACAAAATGGGCTCGACTGTGTAGATGTCAAAAATACACGTATATTACATTACTAAAGCCCGTTTTCCACTAGGAAATTTATTCGCGCGACGCGAAGCGATATCTGAAATCCAGTGATGTGATTGCTTTGCGAAAATATTCACCGCGAAAAAGTAGAATCGCTTCCTACTTTTTATCTGTTCGCGCGAATAAATTCGCCTAGTGGAAAACGGGCTTAACAGAGGATGTATGGAGTACTACGTTAACCAGATTCAGTTCCTGGCTTGATGTATCGCTATTGCCATATATCCAATGCATATATCTCGTTTCTTTGTTTTATAGACTACAGAAAATACACCTCCTATTTCTCCCTGGTTTCCCAGTACATCGCAGCAGGACTGTTTCCACTAGTGACGGTTCTGTTCCTCGCTGCAAACGAGAAAACTCGACGATTTTGGAAAACACCTTTCTACAAATTGCGCAGCTATATATCATCACGTCATACGTTAACCTCGACAAGCTCTTCAGGACTTATTAATGCGAACAGTCCTGGTTTTATTGACAGGCAATTTAACGGAAAGATTTGATTATGATAAAGTCCAAAACACCGGGAAAACTTTGCGAGGGTTTAGGTCTTTAAGATCCCAGTTAAATGATACCAGCTTTGCATAATTACGACATTAAATTACATTGCTCAGGGCTTAGTTTCACACTTAAGGTTATATATGATGATAATATGGAATTAAACAAAGTGTGCGCTTGCTGGAGAAACTTGTTTAAACCGACATGATTGTGTTGTGGTTAAGCGTGATGTAGTGAATCCAGTCTGGTGTGACTGGGAACTAACATTTCCTTCACTGCTAACAAATTGTAAGCTCTGTTCTCACAATTTTGTCGTATCCAATTCGACACCGCGGAAATTGGTATAGGCTTAGCCGCAATTCTCGATACTTAGACTTCAAACTTCGTGAGGAAAAAGATTTATAAATATTCAAGAAAATATGTCTTGCACAAAAGATTTGAAGCTTGCTCACGGTAAAAACGAATCGTCTGAATTAATAACCTTGTGTATACTTTAAGCCTCAAAATGGCCATTTCACAGCGGTCAGATGTGTATGATGAGCTGTCAAAAGATTGCAGAATGCGTATTCAGAAGAAAAATTGAACTTTTTTAAGATATTCAAAAGGTTTCTCTTTGATAGGGCGATACAGAAATGCACAATTGTGAACCAGCGATTAGATTTTCGGGTTGAAACGTCTTAAACACCAATTTCTGCGGTGTCATCCAATTCACTTCTGACGTATGAATGTAGCCTGTTATTGATAAAGCAGTATTGCCTTGGCTTTGGTTGATGAACTGCCTGTACTCAACATAATTAAACTCAGATTCGACAAAATTGTTTCGTGTGAAAAGACCTTTTGCCAAGTAAACTGTTTGCTTCAAAATCAGCTTCCTAAATACCATATAATATCTTTTTCACAAAAAAAGCTACAGTGATCTATATACATTTGAAGATTACGTATATTCATGCGAAATCCGTTATATAAAATACTCTTCTTCTCAATAAAGTTAAAAAGGCCAATGTAGACGTATAAAACGCCCTTCATAATATTATGACTTAAAGCCGTTTAATAAAGTTAAAAGTACCGCAAAATGGAGGATATTTGTCCCTGCGAGAAAGGAAAATGGCAACTGGAATCCAGAGTTTTATTGGGAGCGAACGACGCTCGTTGTCAACACGTAGGATCAGGCTATCACGTCAGCGGTTTTCTCAAAAATGTGCTTTTTTATGTGTTGCGTCATCGCTGTGCTAACAACACTCGGTTCAATTTACATTCCTCCACAAACCTGAACTCCATTTCAGCGAAGTGCTGTCTTACCTCTTTCAGAAACATTATAAAAGCCGGATCATCAGGGAAGTCATTTTTCATTTGCAAATCATTGTACGTTAACGTTGAATTAAGGTCCGCCGACTGCCGTGGGGTGAAGGGACCATAGGCTAACACCTGGACTCTGTATTTCGAAAGACGATGGCGAAGAAGCACGTATGATTTAAATTCTTCGGTAAACTGTTTATTTTGAAGAAATGCAGGATCTTTTAAACACTCTTTCTGTTTCTTGCTTAAACCATGTTCTATCTTTCTCACTTGTTCTTCTAAATTCTCTGAAATAAAGAATATGGATTTGTTATCCTCAATCTCCAAAGAGCTACATCATAGTAGCTATATCACATGCAGTGATGAATAGTTAACACAATCCTTCGCAACCCCTTACAATCCTTTACAACCCCCACAACCTCTCACAACAATCTTCATCCTAAACAATAATATGGCATATAACAAAATGCTTTGATCTGCATAGATTACCTGGATTCCATCTTCTGAACTTCGCTGGCCATCTAGCTCCCCCCCTTCCAATATAGTCAATAGCCGGGTCACCTAGACAACAAACATCAAACCTCTTTATGATCATTCTCTGTAAAAACACTATAATTGTAGTAGCAAACGCCATTCCTAATGGCCTTCTATCCAGGCGCAAAAAACAGTTTTATTAGAAGGTAGCTCGTATATATAACTTCATCCAACTACGAAATTCGACATTCACTGGGTTGTTTTATAATACTCACCATATTTCAAACACTCGTCGACCAACATACGGAATTTCATCCACTGTCTCTCGTCGTAACCCAGGTTGTAGCAGAGTCGCAGCATGAGCAACGGCAGGAGGCGAGGACTTGCCACAAACTGGATGGATAAACAAGAGATGACGGATACAACTATAATCAGTACTGTATAAGCACAGAATACCTATCAGAAGAATAACTCTATACTATTTTTTCGTAAGTGTGATTCGTCATGATTCGTCACTTAGCAAGTGCATTTTTTTGAGGCTGTCACCCCCCTGCCAATGTCTAAAATCACCGCATTCTAGTATTGGCAGGAGGGTGACTACCTCAAAAAAAAAGCACTTGCTAAGTGACGAATCATGACGAATCACACTTACGAAAAAAGTACAGGAGTTCTACTTCTGATAGGTATTCTGTGGTATAAGTTCTAAACTGACGGTAATACTCCATGTTTAGTAAATCCTGAATACTTCATGTTCTTCGAGTATCTTTCATTAGGTCGTATTACCTCATTCAAGGTGCCAAAAATGAACTGCGAGAAACCAATGAGAGCGAAGTGAAATCTTCCATTCCGTTGTAAAACAACTTTCAGGTCAAGCCAGTGCGCAGTTTGAGAAACACGCGGAGGCAGTTTTTCTAAAATCCACAAAAAAAAATGCCGTCAAATTTCTCTCACGTTTCATTATCACTTCACTTCCATGGTCGCTATCACCAACCAACTCCTAACAACCCAAGACTCTGCGTGTGATGAAATCAGACAACACTAGGGCAGGCAATTTTTTTTCCAATGAACAGGGTCAGGGAACTCATAAACTTACATATCAAAAAACTTCATGCAGTTAATCGCTCTTATAACATGCAGTATAGCTTAAGAAACTAGCCTTTGAAACTTATAAAAAAGGCTACGAAATCATACCTTCACAAAGGTGGGTCAGTGCTTGAATAGCAGCGAAACCGAGGGCCCAGAGCAATGGATTCAAATACCACACGACGCCGTAATGTGCCAAGGTTATGACATCATGCCATTTATGCGACTTCTCGCCCCATTTCTCCCTGACATCGTCCAAGGTCAGCTCGTTATCGTGTGCCCAGTATGAAGTGATAACAATTGTTTGGAATAACATGTTGGCCATTATATACATGACGAGTAAAGGCCACAACATGAATGCCTGAACGAAAACAATTTAGTCATTGAACGCCCGTTTACCCTTGTGTGATTTTCCTCTTTTGATAGATGTGAACGAGTTACTAGTTACGAATGCTCTGATGTGTGCGAGCTCCTCTATTTGAACATCCGTAACTAATTCACTCGTTTAGATCTATTAAACACAGTTTTTTTTATTCACAGAGTTACAGTGGATGAAAGAATATTATCTGGATCTCTATAGAGCTATCCAGTATAAATAAAGTTAGTTTAGTTTAAGTTTCCTCCTGTAGTAACACTGAAACAATAAGAGATGATCCTTACTGGACCTTTAGGAAGAACAGTTTAGAACTGATAGAGCTAGCTAGTATAAATAAAGTTAGTTTAGTTTAGGTTTCCTCCTGTAGTAACACTGGATCAATAAGAGATGATTCCTACAGACATCCGTCAAAAATAACATTTGATTTACTCGGTTTTGTTCAGATATATCCACTTAGATGGGCAGTAACACTCTTAGCTACAACTTATTGAAGCAGTGAAAAAAATCTCACCCCAAAGAAAAGCATTCTATAAAGACAGCCCCAGATCACGTACCACGCCAGGAGAGAAAGGACAAATACAAAAGTGCCGTTCAAAATGAAAATGCTAACATCTTCAATTCTGTAGTCGCCGACGATACGAAACTGTGCGAACCACGTGGCCATAAAGAGAACGATGATTGGCTGAAAGGAAAAACGATGATTGTAGCCAAAACACTTCGAGTTTCGTCAGATGGCGTAAGCAAACAGCACTGAGTTTGGCACGAAATCTCTGTCTCGTAGTCTAACCATAGGGTCGTAATCGTATGCACTACTGTTAAAGCCCTCAATTATCAACAAGCAAAGTTGCCCTGACATACCATGCATAAGTAATGACCAAGTTTCGTGTAAAATTTTACGTGAAATATCTCGACCAGGTAGAGCTGAAAGTAGAGACTGAGCCCGGTAAAATTAGTCAGCGGCGACACCATGAGTTCTCTGATAAACTTTATGACAGGGTTGTTGGACTCCAGGAACGGTCGGCAGGTTCTTCTCGTGTAGTAGAGGAAAAAGTCATCCTCCGCAAGTTGCTCGGGGGTGGTGGAACGATTAAACTAGAAAGATACAAAATCTGACGTGAAGCGCTTCGTCACACTCTGGAGGATGTAAATACATGCATATGAATACATATACATATATATAGGTCAGTGTCCAAGGCTTATCAAGGATCGCATGATCAGGTAAACTGCAAGGACATATTTTTACCGAGCTTTCAACTTAATTAGAAACAAAGATTCCAACTAAATTTGTGCGAAAATGATCTAGACAAAATATATACGTACACTTCTTTCCAAAATTGCTTCTGCTTCGTGCGAGTCACCAGAGTCTGGGCCATCTGAGCCGTAATCACCTTCCTCATTAATTCGTGGCTACAAGATTAAAACACGTCGATATTCGATAAAATTAACGCTACACAATAGTTTGACAGGATATCTATCACTCAGTTCTAAACTGCTTTTCCTAGAGGTCCAGTAAGGATCATCTCTTACAGGGGCGGATCTAGGATTTTTCGTACCTTAGTCAAAAAGTTTTAAACAAGAAATTCGGGGGGGGAGACGTCGCATTCGTCGGGGGGGGGGGTGCAGATGCAATGTGAATGTTTCGCCAAATATCAGGGCTCATCAGCATGCCTAGGAAAAGCATGATACTACAAAGACATTGTGTGATTCTGACATAGACAGGCATTTTCCATAAGAGCACATGCTGATTGTTTTTATGCCCCAGCAGTAGCCCAGCACCCGCCTTCAAATCTTTGCACTGCTGTAGAAATTGGTGAATTTAGTAGCAATGATGCTTTACATATTGCAAGTAACCATACTTGATTAAATTTACATAGGTGCAACCACAAATATGCTAGTTCGATTGAATATTTGGTGTTTCTTACATTTACAACACAACAAAATATGATGAAGATCATCCAAACCTTTCTTTGGAGTTAAGTGTGGTTGAATCATGCAATTAAATAGCAATTTACTTCTTTGTTCCTCACAATCAGGATAATTAATAGGTGAAAGTATTCCTATTTAAAATTGAAGCCCATTAAATACAGACCCATTATACAGAGAAAGGATGACGATTTCTTCTCACTGCAATTAAGTATATATAGCTTCCTGTCTAACCAAGTCATATTTCGTACAACCAGTATCTATAAACATCCCTTAGAAACAGACATTGATAAAAGGTTATTGATACTTTTGCTGAAGTATTGATCATGCTCTTCCACAGCAGAAGAAAAACAAGGGTGCTGAGAATAAAAATCAGCATTAAGGAAGAGCTCTATGGAGGTCAAAATTCTCAATAGCTCCATTAAGCTATTGTTACCCACTTCTACTAAGGACACAGAGCTTATATATACAAGCAGTTCCCAGTAGTTTCAGATCTAAGAGAGACTAGGGCATGAATGAAACTTGGTTTTATTACACTTAGGTATATCTTAGTCAGTCACTTAGGTAAAGATGAATAAATATTAACCTAGTAATTGATAGCTTGATAGCAAAAACATCATGTTCCACTTTCATGAACCATTAAGTATGAATAATTGGCAATATAATTATAGAATTATTATATAATAAACTTGTGTTCATTGTTTAAAATGTAATCAGAAAATATGGCCACTTGTATGCTTTACTGCTATGTGTTTTGAATAATTATTTTTGAAATTAAAACACAGTTTAGTGCTCTAAGCTTTACCCTAACACATCGGGTTGTACATTTCACAGAAGGTATTAGGTACACACGAAGTTCACATAATAGTGATAAAACATTATTACACTCCTCGATGGCTCGATTCTTCTTGAAGCGTATGCATACGCCGCAGTTATATGCAAATTAAAGCGAAATCCTATGTAAATTTCAACGTGCAACGTGTAAATTTCTACTTTATAGCTTGTGCAGCTTGACAGTTCTAACACAAATTACACAATCACCAATAAACAAATGCACGAAATCTTTGTAAAATGTTGTTATGTTTACCTTAAGGCTGTACAAAACTTCTTTGTTGTCTGCCGAACAGACGCCGGGATGTACAATTTCGCAGCAAAATTTCTCATGAGGCAGAAGCTGGTTTTTTTCAGTTCGTTTAATAATTGCTCAGTTGAACGCTTTGCTGCGGCGTCTATTCGCTTCCTCAGATCGGCCTCGATAGTTTTAAGATATTGCCGATCGTCTTTCTCCAAAGCACATCTCACGGCTTTGTAAAGATCTGACATGATTAATAAATAGTTTTGATAATAAAATTTTTCTTTTGAGTTTAATAATCGTTCGAGTTTTCGTTGCTGTCAAAACGACGATGACGTCAATCAGAAAGGTCAAGGAAAAAAGGAACCTTGCAGTTTGCACGCTCTCAGGTCAAGGTCAGATCACACTGATCGATCAGAAAAATACAACCAATGAGAATTGAGATAGATTTTGAATTAGCCAATTGAATAGCCCAATTCGAGCCCCTGATAGCTTCACCGATCAGAACTCCCCACAGATCGCGCAAAAAGAGAGACAGCCAATCAGATGACTGGGATTTGATGACGAAGCGAGCAAAATTCATGCATAAGACCGCTTTTCTGCGCGCTCGTGCTTGAAGGCCTGGTCACGGAACTCTTTTAACAACTGGACTGCCAAACATCACCAGTGCCCGATCAGCTCAATACACTGCACGTGTTAGCAACTGGACTGCTACTTCATTCAAACACTTTTCTTCGCAATTTTTACCTTAGTCGCGTGATCGCTCTGATCACCCCTAGATCCGCCCCTGATCTCTTATTGATCCAGTATTACTACAGGAGGAAACCTAAACTAAACTAACTTTATTTATACTGGATAGCTCTATCAGTTCTAAACTGTTTTTCCTAGAGGTCCAGTAAGGATCGTCGATCCTTACTGGAGCTCTAGGAAAAACAGTTTATTCGTCTCTTATTGATCCAGTGTTACTACAAAAGGAACTTGTAGGAAGGAAGTTGACTTTATTAACACGACATTAACCCTGGATATTTTGCAGAGAATCAACTTACCCTGTCATCCAATTCTCTGATTCGCTCAACTAAGCTGTCGTCCCTTTCAATCAGTTTTTTCCAAACCGGTTCTAAAGAGCAGACACGAAAAATAATGAGTCACAGACGAAAAATAATGAGTCACAGGCCATCATAAGGCACTAGATTAAGTACCTTTTCACGCGGGAAAAGCTGAATATTTTTCGTATATTATTTGTATTATTCTTCGTATATATCTATACTCGCACCAACCTCCTAACCAGGGTCTTTTTACCTCCGCTCCTTGGCTCACGCTGCGGGCGGTCCGCCCCCCCCCCCCCATATAACGCAGCGAAAATACCCTGGGTACGAGGTACTCGCACCAGAGTCCCTCATTACAAAGAGGTATATAGAATCTGGGTTTCTAGTATTAACGTTAACGACAAAGCCATCTTTAAGAAACTTACCGTAGTAGACAGACATATTCGGTGGAGTCACTTCAGTGGCCTCACAAAGCTTCCCGTCTTTATAATATTGCAAACTGAATGGCACAGGTTTACCGGGCGTCACCCGGCCTTTCGCTGCTGTCACAATACTTGTTGCTTTAAACATTGTACAATGAGTGTCTTTGATGCACAGGAGAGGCTCCAGTGCAACTTTGTTTCCAGCCAGATCCAGCTTAAATTTAAGATAAATCATCATGTGAACATTGCAGGTGAGTTACGCTGCGTGCAACCATTTTCGAGTTGTGATGTTTCTTGCTTGATACTAGAAGCAATCCTCAAAAACTAACTGAGAGTTTGTTTAGACATTTGAATGCTTTTTTCTGGAAATCTTCCTTGAATGCATTTACATGGCAAATTTTCATAGCGACTACTTGCATGCGACGCCCACACTTCATAGACGCAGCTTTAAGACTGAGTCTATATCTTCAATGCAAGCTCTCCGTACATGCATATTTCGCGAAATAACGCAAGCCAATCAGGACATGGAAATATATGACAATGGAAATATATGACAATTGGTGGGGAATTTTCTATTAGCAGCTGACGTAATGAATAAAGTCAATAAACAAACTTATACTTAACACTAGTTTACTTCCATTACCTTTGTTTATTGGCTATAATTGACTTAAAAAAATTCATAAAACTACAATTTTCATGTTAAGCTTACCTCGTAAACAGGGTTCCTTACGTCCCCACCTTCATACATGATTCCAACAACACCTTTAGGAAATGTGACATACAACTCAACTTTTTCACCTTCGTCGATAAAATGCCACATTGGTCGATTCGGTACCGCCATGCGGACGATGACATTTTGACATTCGGGTTCGTCGCTGGAGATATTAACTGTAACATGATGGCCATTCGGTTCGTCCATCGAGCCGTACGAGGTGGACGCAGCCGTCTGTTTTAGCTTTCTAGACATGCTTTCTCAATAGCAGTATATATTGTAATGAGGACGTCCTGTAATTCCAAGGCTTATATATTCCTGGTACTTCGAAAGGAAGTAATTAATCACGGGCTCATATGACTTGCGCGTGATGTATTAAGGGGAAAACCAAAAAAAAAAAGAATTCAAAAGATTTTTTAAAAGGCGGCTAAACAACATTCAATAAATTAGAAATTCCTTAAAAACAAACAAACGTAAGCATTATTGTAATACGAAAGTAAAGGTTTTAGCGTATATAGGGAGAATCCTGTCCACAAATACTCAAGCCAATTGAACAGCACGATTACATGCATGTCGGGGAAACCCAAAGTAGCAAATTAATTTATTCATGTATTAAATTTCAAATATCTGAATGGTAGAGAATGGTTACTTGTGTTGTATTGTAGTACACAAGCCACCTCGCTACTTAGGCACCAGCCAAATCCAACTTCCCTAAAATTTGTAGTGCAAACTGCAAACCCACGCGAAATGAAAACATTCGCCCGAAACCGGAATTCCGGACGACTCAAGAATCACCCCATCTCGTATTTGAATATGTCACGGCTTTAGATATACAGGAAGAAGATATTGTATCATTATTACAGAATTTTACATCAGCCTAGAGCCTATTTTAGCTTCGTTAGCAATAAATGGACGAGTTGCCTCATTATGATTCTTTTAAATTACTATCATTTTTTCAAATAAAAACAAACAGTTTTGCTCAATTGATTCCCTAGTCCCTAGACTCGCCACAAGTCTCGCTTTTACTATTTAAGGATTCTTTAGAATAGACTCTGAAGTCTGAACCAATTTTTGACAGACTCAGCCTCAAGCGAGACTTGGAAAGCGTGTATTCGTGATTCATCCGTGAAAGGCCGGATTTCCACAGTCGCGTTTTTTTCACGCACGTATACGCTCACGGACATGAAAGTCAAAACCTTCTAGCCTAACTTACTGTAAGCCAGAAACAACACACCAAAATCGTCAGCTGAGTCAAACCCTATGCATTTATCTAATATTTTATTTTAAAAGTAATATTTAAATGATTATAAACTTTTACGTGCGTGTACGAATGTACAAAAAAGTAAAAAAAAACGCGACAGTGGAAAGCCATGCATGTTTGTGATCTGTCATTTGTCTGAGTGCTTATTCAAGGACCATGTTAATTAAACAGACCTTGGTCTAGTCGCAGCGTTTGCCTAACTTTGCCAGTTGTTACGGCGTCCCTAGCGGTCCCTTTAAGATCGTTAACAACGTTAAGATCTGTTCACGCAAGCCAATTTCACCTCTGATCTATTTCACTTCTGATGGATGTTTTATAGTCTTTCGCCTTGCAATCTAATATGGACAGCAAATCAACTAAAGCCAAACCCAGCTTTATCAACAACAGACTACATTCCATACATCAGAAGTGAATTGGATCCGTTAAAATTGGATCGCGTGTAAAGAATTATAACATGGGATTAGTGTTCAAAATCAAAGGTGAAATTTCATTGTAACCGCAGTTTCTTATACGACTAAAACTACGTTACCAACTGGAAAATTATGTAAATTTTTGATAGCAGAGATGGCATCCTCAAAGTTCACCGTATGATGCACGACTGGTCTATAAAAAAATATATGATACACTCATAAACAGCAGCATGTGATACGATGAAGGACTCTCACGCGGTCACGCCCTTGGGCTTAGAAGATTACCAAGAACCCGTGATGCGTGGGGTATATTTACAATAATGCACGATTCCTTCTTCCGTCAATGAGTGAGTAACTGCCTAGCGTTGCCTTTCTACGAAAAGCGGACGTATTTCACTGCATGCTGGTCTGCTGAGAACTAACTCATGTTTTCAGGTTATTAATCAGAATGCACATTAGAATACACACTAGCAATCAGAATACACATTACTAGCAAGTGTCCGAAAATTTGTCACATTTTCAAATATCTATTCTGCGGTCTTAGAATTTCAGTTTCGACACATGATGAATCATATGACTCGAAGCTGTACGTGCAGCACCCATGAATCACAAGACTTCTTTCACTTACTTTAATGTTCCTGTTTCAACTTTGTCAAGTACCTCCGTCAAAATATCTTCAAATATGTTAAGAATGATACTATATACACTGCGGCCGGTTGTACGATAGCTGGATAGCGCTATCCATCGGATACTGGTTATTTAAACTGTCTGTTGTTCGGCATAACCACATTAAACCTTAATATTCTTAAATTGGGGTCTCAAATCTGTAATTCTATTGCGTCTCAAGCATGATTCATTATCTTGTAGTGTTGTAGACAATACTATTTCAAATACGGGGTGAAATCAAAGTAACACCATGCAAGGGCAAAGGATACGCAAAAATCGACCTTGCTGTCCTGAAAACAGAGAACAGTGTCAAATGATAAGTATGTGAAATTTCAGAGCAGAAAAACGATTAAGAAATCAATCGACCTTTTGATAGAGTCCAGACATCTTTGAATAAAAATGACAAACTGGCTCCTTTCATGTACAGCATTTTCGAGTGTGGAGGATCCAACTAAACATGATAATTGAGGAGGAATGATGAAGAGAAATGTTGGGAAAACGTTGATAAAAATCATAAATGAAGATTCATGCACCTGTAGATCACTCTGTGTTGTTATCCATCTTCCACCAACTGCTAGACATGACACTAGTTCATGCTTTGTGGGAATGTCAGTGATTGTGTTTTGGTCAGTTTTTGGAAACTGGTCAACTATTGTGCAATAAAAAGAGGTGCTTGTATTAACGTTCAAACAATAGTACGTGTTATTACACGATGCAAAAATGTCAAAATTTTGCTAATTATGACAGCAGCAAAAATAACCTCCATTATCAATGATACAGTCTACTCCAGTGCCTGCAGTCTCATTCAAACAGTCGTCCACCAAAGGGATTTTAAGTTTGGTGTAATCAATAATTTTTCCTGCAATGGAAGAAGTAGAAAGATGTAAAATATGGGCAAGGTGCGAGGATGAAGAAGATTTGGACACATTGCACTGACATCATAATCTCTAAGAGTCCTCCTTGCTTTTGTCTTTCTTTACCAGAAAATTTTTTAATACACCCTGTATAGTAGGCTGACAAGAAACTATGGTTTGTGGCCTTATACATAGAGAGATATCAGGTACCAATTTCAGGTCTCCAACTTTCAAGAAATAACTTTTCCTCCTCGCTATGGGCAGTTGTTATAATCTAAACAACAAAAAACAACATTACTATATTTTTATAATGATGACAAATTACATGGATTTGAGCTAGACCACACAACCTCTTCATTATTGTACCATACTTCAAAGAGGTGCAATACTTTTTTTAACAGATAATTTTTTAATTCTCTGTTGAGACACAGCGTGTTTGATATAGTTACAAAAGCAATGTCCAACTACCTTTGCACCCCATAATTGAGCTAGTTGGATTGCCATTATCCCAGCTCCCTAAGAGAGGTTGAATAACAAGTTAGATTGAGGCAGAAAACTTATCATTGCCTGACAACAAATGTTTCGAGAATTGCATCAATCTGTAGTTAAATAACCCCCACTACTTCAAGTCGTACCGAAGCACCATTCATGACCAACACTGTTTCACCACCACAAAGATTCGCTTTATAATGTAGAGCTGTAAAAGCTTGTAGTCCATTACCAACACAGCATGCTGCATCTGCATAGGTCACTTTACTTGGCTTCTTCACTAAAAAAGGTGATATAGATGAAGATTACTGGAGTTATAATGGGTCAGAGCTTGAAACTGTTTGTTATTAAAGCCAGACATGGCAACTTATGGTTAACGATAAGAGTCAACAATTACCAATCTTGCACAACTCAACTTACCAATATTGTATTCTGATACTGTGCAAAATGATGCACAAGCACCACTTGAACCAGGTGATGGAGAAAGCATTCCTAGTATACATAAATACACAATCAAAGTACATATCAGATGAACTTCTGGAAAGCAAGAGAGAGAGTCAAGGTGATGTAATTTTGTATTAGGTATGTTTGATTACCAACAACATCATCACCAACGCTAAACCTAGTCACATCTGGTCCAACTAAAAGAGCACAAAACAAATTAAAAATTATATTACAAATTAATTTAAAAGCATGCACTGCACTTTACATCTTAAGAAACTAATGACTTTGCACCTAGAATGTCAGTATTACTTGTTGTTGGATAATTATATACTATAGTGTGATTATATATGGGATGCACAAAGGAATTCAATCAAACCTTGTGATACAACGCCGGACACTTCGGTACTGACAGGAACATCTGGTAATTCATCATAAAGAAAAAGTTCTCTGAACAGAGAACTCAGCTGTGAAAGAAATTTTCATTACACTGAAGACAAAATATTACACTCAATTGACTCAAACAATCAGTTCAAACTCAATTAATTTCTAAAGGTCTGTTCACACCATCCAATTTTGTTGGATCCAATTCACTTCTGACGTATGAAATGTAGTCTGTTATTGATAAAGCAGTACGGTGCACATTGGCTTCAGTGCATTTGCTGCCCATAAACATCGAAAGACAACAGACTATAAAACATCCATCAGAAGTGAAATGGATCCAACAAAATTGGATAAAGCACAGTCATGCATGCACTCTGGGCAAGTACGTACGTGCACATGGTTAGTATCCAGTACGCAGGCTTTTACTTGTATTATAACATCATGGCCCTGGGGCATTTCCAGCCTAACCTGCATTAAAAAATAAAATGACGCAGAAATTATGGGTTCTACTAATAATAAACCAGAAACTAAGACACATACACAGACAAATTTAATAGACAATCATACCAGCAAATTGAGTTTAGATTTGAAGTTTTAATACATACTATACCAAACAGATTAAAAATATAGAAATATTTATATTGTATGATTAAAGTATCCAAAAAATGACAAGAATAATTGATATAAATTTATAGGTAATTGAAACAATTGATATGAAACTCATCCAGGCAGGAACATACATTTTCTTCTAGTTGGTATGGCTCCTGAGTTTCTGATAATTTATAAGTAATTCTTTTCTGAGCTTCCATCGAACCATCGATGCAAAAAAACACAAAATTTAGGACCAAAAAGACGAATTGAAAGTAACTGAAAACATGATATCCTGCAAATGCGCTAAACGGTAATGCATATGATTTAATCAGATTTGGATTTGACAGACATCCGTAAAATCTTTCGCACCCCCCTGGTAAAGGTAAGCTGAAGGATTAGATATATGTTTAAGCGATCTATAGCAGGGGGGAAAACGAAACGTGTTGATTTTAAGCGCTTGTTATTCTAATCTGAGAATGATTCGAATTTATTTGAAAATATAAATTATTTCCCAGGAATTTAAAAACTATTTACAACATTTGAAAAATGAGCTGCTCATTTCCATTCCTAATCATTTAAAATGTTTTATTCATGTAAAATACATTGTATGACTGTGTTTTTCTTCCACTTTAATGTCATTATTCACAATTCTGAGAATCTCTTCCTGTGATTTTGGTTTTTTTCCATTGTAAAATTTTCTGGAAAAGCACAGAAATGTTACTAAACTAACTTTATTCATACTGGAAAGCTCTATCAGTTCTAAACTGTTCTTTCTAGAAGTCCAGTAAGGATCATCTCTTATTGATCCAGCGTTACTACAGGAGGAAACCAGAACTAAACTAACTTTATTTATACTGGATAGCTCTATCAGTTCTAAACTGTTCTTCCTAGAGGTCCAGTAAGAATCATCTCTTATTGATCCAGTGTTACTACAGGAGGAAACCTAAACTAAACTAACTTTATTTCTACTGGATAGTTCTATCAGTTCTAAACTGTTCTTCCTAGAGGTCCAGTAAGAATCATCTCTTATTGATCCAGTGTTACTACGGGAGGAAACCTAAACTAAACTAACTTGAAGACGTGATGGACTAGTACTCACTCGGTATGCATGTGATACCTCGCTCTGAAGGCGACCAGATGAGCATAATAAGCTGGCGAGGGAATGGAAACGGATCGCGTGCATCTAGCAAACGTGTAGCACAGTTCATTGGTCACTTGCTGCAGATGATCTGCACTGAATTTATTATCGTCATGAAGCACGTGATAATGCGTAGGTCGACTAGTGCCCTAAAAAACCCCCAAAAATTTAGTTCACATTCGGACTATGAGATACGCGCGATATTTCGTGGGCCGTGGTTCCCCTATTACCCACCTGTATCCCAAAATGGCTACAGAGGTAGAAATCAAACTCGTACGGATGAACAACGCCACGATCAATGGTCGTTCCTGCAGGAATATTTCCAGCCTTTCCAGACTTGTCTTTGGCGTCAGCACAAAAGAAGCGTGCGTGATGCCGCTTCTGAACGATAACCAAAGTGATTCCGGGTCTGTATTTCCCTGGCAGCTCCATGCAGGCCTTCTGAATGGCCCGTAGTTCGTACATATAAACGGCCTCAAATTGTCCCTCGCTAACGCCATCCCTGTAGAACAAAATCTTCGCTGGCTTGCATCGCGTTTTCTTGTAATAGCGAACAAGAAGTTCCTTGACGATTTGATCTAGATTGTCGATAATTTCGACTGTTTCCGTCTTTTTCGACGGCTTCGTTTTCTTCGTCACCTGTGCGCGGACAATGGCGGTGTACGAGCTGGCCTGGAGATTGATGCTTGCGACGACAGCCGCGATGGAGGGCGATATACTGTCCCCTGTCTGCGGGTGAGTAACGTCCGCGCCAAACACGATGATAGGTTCCTTAAAAACATCCGCTTGCACGTCTTTGCATATGATGTGATTGATCCCGCCTAGTTTCGCGTTGACCTTCATCGTGATGTTCGAAATCACCTGCGGCTTTGGTGTCACCAAGAATTTTGATTGGACGCACTGCGTGACAACGCCGATGACGTTGTCGGCGACGCGTTTGATCTCGCCGTACAGAGCTTTCCTCGTGTCGGGCAGAACACAGAAGAGTAATTGCAGCTTCGTATGTTCCGTCTTCAGAGAACACAACAGTTCCTCGACCTTTATTGAGATGAAATGAATTAGATGAAATCTTTATGGTTGCGACATGAAACTAACAACTACATTTTGAGTCGTTTAAACTAACCCGACTCCGTAATGTAAAATGAATAATTTGCGGGTATGGTTCATTACCACCGTTTCATTATTACCAAGGCCTAGAGATCGAGCGAAACTGGTCAATCAGAAGAGGTGTTAGATAAACCTACCTTATGTGGTTTCTCATACTTCACTGCTATTGGGTCTGACGAGACTCGTACACCTTCCCGTGATGCAACACTCCGAAAGTTGCCCGCAAAATTCCGCACTTGGTCAGCGCGGCAAACCTTCTCGCTCGTGAATAAAACAATCGCCCAGCAGTCGATAACCACTCCTCTGTAGAATTCCCTATTCCTCATATCCCATGATCCATCGTGAGGTGTTAGCCGATTATTTTTCCCACCTACATCAAGTATCGGGGCTGGAAGCACCCTGCCTTGAACATCGGCCAACTGTGGTATCATTTTCATACCAAATTCTTCGCTCAGATAATCCCGATTCATTTCTTCCAACTGGTTCGCCTAAATAAAATCGCATGAAAATAAGCTAACATCCTAAAATACCATTCTCAACCCATACCTATCAACCAATGTCCCCTGTTATCCTGTTAGGTTGGATGCAGTATTGGTATTGAAACAAGATTTCTTACCCATAATTTGATATCATGTTCTCTCTCTTTTGCTGGGCGAGCTGTCTGTCGAATCATCTTTGCCTTCTGTTCATCTGTGATCTTCTTCCGAACACAAGGTACAACATCGAGTACTTCCAAAGGAAACTGAGCCTGCTGTGTTGGTCGTGTCACACATGGTAGATTGGGGTATCTAGGGTGATATAACACAGCTCATGTCTATCTAAACATAGCTGTCTATTGTGCAAAAGGAATTATTCCATATCTCACCTCAAGGTGATGCCATATTTCTCTTTCATATATTGAGCGACGGTAACCTCCTTACCATCACATTTAAAAGAGGCTTGATTCGCTGGTCTTGTTATTCTACCAATGACAAACTTTCTTCTCAATGCTTCAAGATGATTTGTTTTAACTCTCAGACCTGTGAAACGATTCAATTAGTTAGGGCATCAATTTTATGTACCGTAACACAAGATATTTCATGAATTACCATGTCTTACCAATGATAGCATCTTTCAGTTGATAAAACTTCCTTTTGTCTTCAAACAGTCTGGGATTGTCCAGATCCTGCACACCAATGTTCAAACTTTCACAAAGAAAATTGACAAGTGGTTGCTCTTTGTAAAATGCTTTTGCTGAAACTAAAAAAAGCAGTAAGTCAGGACCGTTGGTGCTTCAATATACATTAATAGATTCTTTTAGATTTAATGTTTGCAATTCACACTTACCATCAACATTAACCAGCACAGTCTGCCACTCAGAGTGACGAACAGTTTGATAAAATCCAAAACGTAAATCAATGCCTTCACCAAGGTCAACTGTTCGTGAGTTTGGTGGGCAAAATATCCCTTTACCAACTGCCTCAAATTTAAACGATGGGATATGCCGTAAAATGATATCCAGTGTCATTAGAGCGTCCTGAGGTCGTGATCCAGCACCCTTACCAAACAGGAAATCTGAAAGAAATTCCCTGAAGCATAAGGACAAGAGAAAAAGCTAATACTTGTTGCACAGCAACCTGCTTTTCTTAGTACCTTTTAATTCTTTCAAATACACTTTTGCTGCAAACTTGATGGTTACCTTAAATTCAACAAATTCACCACAGTTTATTTAAGATAATATCTTGTCACTAGTTCAGTCAAATTGCCTTCAATCTTAATGACATAATCGGGATATACACAATACTCACTGTAAAACGTCTGTCCTTTTCATCATTAGGAAGGGTAACCACCAGTTTCACTCCATCTTTGCCAATAGGAAGATCCTTTATCGTGTAGAAATTCTTTATTCCATCAAATGCAGGCCTTGCTTTTCCAAAAGCTTTCTCAGAATATTTGTTATAAACAATTTCCATGATTTGTCTATGAATGGACTTCACAGTCTCTGGATGGATTGTGACATCGTAATGGTAAATGAATTCTTTCCGAGGCAGGGTGAGTGCAAAAAAGTTTGCAAGAAGGTTGATTGATCGACCAACCTTGCCATAACCTGGTCTTCGTGGAAACTGAAGTTCTTCCTCGCGCCTTGTGTAACCTAGATATGAGTCATGGTTATGAACTAAGGGTATAAATGGAGGGGAGGAAGAAGAATGAGGAGTTGAATTGAAAAAAAAGAAGGCATAATCAGAGAAGGACTACCCTTACCAACTGAAGATGTTGTTGTCAGTTGTGATAATTGTCCTGTTAATTGAGGAACTGCTGTGGCACCTGTAAAATGCAAATAGAATTTGCTTATCATTTTCATGTTGCCCAGCTGTAGGTCAAAGGTTAATTATTAAACCATTCAACAACAAACCTGAGACAGCAATTAGACTTCTATCAGAAGACACCTTATTAGCCCCTTTTTCTTCGCTAGATGGTTCCTTTTCTGTCGGGTGATCAGAGTCTAGAATAGGAGTTATATCCGGCCGTCTGGCTGGCTGTAGAGACTGGCCATCTGCCAGTACCTGAGCTCGACCTTTTCCTTTCGCTCTTCCTCTACCTCCCCCACCCCTAGGCATCTATTATTGACTCTATAAACATAAAATAAATGTTCAATTTGCAACAAAAAAGATACGAAAGAAGTAACGAAAAAATGACGTATAAGGTCACGCAATATTCTCTCGGGTGTACGGGTACGTGCGGGCTAACCAGCGAAATCCGAAAAGTTGGGGCGAGTTTCCAAAAGGTAAAATGATGTTTTTCACCTTGAGATATTTTTTTACGAACAAAAACTAACTGGGAATAGATAAAAAAAATTAACAATAATTTTTAAGGTCAAAAAAAAGGAGAAAAAAAGGGCAAAAGGTAGCCAATTGCCGACTCCCGGGACTGTTCAGAGCTCAATGCGAGCTCTCCGGATTTGAACCAGGGACCTTTAGATCTTCAGTCTAACGCTCTCCCAACTGAGCTAAGTCGGCTTGACTTGTTTCTTCGTCGAAAATTACTGTATTTGAAGAAGCTACAATATGTAGGATACTTTGTTTACGCATGTATTCTAAATAATTATTAATATTCTAATTTGATTTTAGGAATTGTCTGAACTCTAAAATTATGACTGTTTTCTCTAAAGTATACACCAAATGTAGTGAGTGTGTTCATCCATGGACTACATCGTGTTCATTCTTTAGCCTAGAAGTATTTTACCATGTCTTTAGGACATCTTTCAAAATATATGGTACCCTATATCTGGTAAGGGTGGTGACTAATATTACCTAATTTATACTAATTGCTATTTTACATACATAAAAGTGATAAAACTGATATATTTGGCCAAACAATCAATTTTACAGATAGCCACACTTCTTGGACAGAAGGGTTGGGAGTATGTGAGGAAAGAATTACTGTATGAAGTTTTGCGATCCACTGTATTCCTTTCATTAAATGGTAGCTTGTTTGCAGCATTCTTTTGCTTGATCAGGTATGGTCAGGAGCACATTAACTTTATTATCACCCTTACTACTGTGATTATTATTACCAACATCATCAATATCACCATTATCACCAATATGCCATTTCTATCACTGTCACCATACTACAAGATCATTGCCACCATCCACTTAACCATTATACGGTAATACCTCATTCCATAATGGATGATAATTGTGATCATGATCTATAATAATTTCTATTTTTCATTATGAATCAGTACCCACTACCATAACTCATGATATTTCCTTACATCTTTCAAAATCGCAGGAATCTTTTTGGGGTATTCACAGTCTTTACAAGTGGATTTCTCCCTGCATCTCTGGCAAGCTACATTGCTATCATTGTTGAAAGACCAGAGCGGCGTGGATTGCTGGCTTTGTACATGTTTAATAATGTAATTATACAGTTGTTAGATAATAAAATAGTAACAAACCACACTTCTGACAACACACTTATGACAGCACTTTCATTTTGACTTTCCTGCAGGCAGTTGAAGTAATTTTCAATGCACTAGTTAACAGAAATATTATAACAACATTGTCATATGGAGAGGTAATGCAAACTTAGGACATAGATACCATGTAGAGCCAATGACTGATGCGTTTTTATCATAATTTATAGGTTTATATGTTCTGTGTGGCCACAGGACTAATAATGTATTTATATAGGTAAGCCTGGAACTATGGAATCATAAATGACAACAGCCATGCAATAACTAACGTACTGAAAATTTTTACTTTTGAGGGCTAACAAATTAAATAATGGTTTCATAAAAAGAATAGTGAGGTCAGTAGTTAACATGCTTACAGTTGGTTTCAGATGAGCAAGTCTAGTCTCAGATCTCTTTCAATTAACCTAAACTTTCGTCCCACAATTTAGATTGCTTCTTGGAGAACAACAGTCAAATGTAAATTCGATTAGCCCCGAATCTGTAGGCTCAACTTTTGGATGTAAAGATATTTATAAGAGGTACATAAGCACTATATCACACCAAATATTGTTATAACATGTATATAGTAGTGCTTATTTACAAGTGTCAAACACTACAATTGAGTTTGGTCCTTCTTAATTGCAGAGTGCTTTCAACAGTAAAGGCATTCTCTATTGGTTATCTACTACAAGCAGCACCTGGAATTTTAAATGCTTTGTTTAACCCTAGTAAGTTTACTATATGCATGTCACGTATCATTGAAGAGGCTATAATGTCCTAGACCTAATGTTTATCTTTTAAGCATGCAATGAAATATGTGCTGATATTATAACATCATGGGTTTTTCATCATCAACTTTTCAGGGAAAATTCCTCAAATTCTGATGAACAAAAATAACTTCAAACTTGCTCTATTTCTCAGTAGTTTTGTCTCAATATTTCAAGTATGTATTACAAAATGCTGCATGAAATAAACTTGATTTGCACATGCATATGTGTAATCCTAACCAATCTTGTACCTTAGTTTGTGGAGTTCATGTTAATGTTTCTTCGTGAAAAGAAAGATCCATACAACAGTTTCATTGCAGGTAATGATTGCACATTGTATTGGTGTAAGAATTTCAGAGACTAACTAGATCGGATTTATAACTTAAATAGGTGCAGCATCTGGACTGTCAATGCTTTTCTACAGGAGCTCAACTATTAGTTTATATCTATTGACAAAGGTTATAGAGGTATATATTGGTTCCAAACAACTGCAAAATGCATTAAACCTGTTTAATATCATTATATACATTAGTTTTACTATGCTTTTGTTAACTTTTTAGATTATATTTAAGAATGCTCAATATGAAGGTGTCATACCATTCATCCCTTATGTTGATATCATCATCTACACAATTTCAACAGCTACGACATTTCATATGGTATTGTACAGAATTCTTGGTCTCAAACAATGAAATATCATCCTCCTATGGAAAATAATTTTAAAAATTTTGTCAACACTATTTCTTATTCATTTTAGGCTGTATTTGAAAGGGAGACTTTGAAACCAAGTTATATGAGATTTCTCACCCATATTACCAACAACAGGTACATTTGATAAATGTTTAACCAAATCTCCATTGACAAGGCATTACAAAATGTTTTAATGATTTGATAACCTCTATTCTATAGGATCACACCAGCAACTAAAATATTTCCACAGTTATTTCCAAGCAAACATAAAATATAAGGTACAAAATGAAACAACTCATTCATACTATGTTAAAAATCTAAAAACTAAAAGCCTCTCTGTCAACTAAGAATCTCAAAATGCAAGAATGTTTTGTCTTCTGCTGGAAGACATGAATGCATGATAAAGGCTACTGTGCTTCATGTGTTTTCACCAAGACAACTTCTGCTGTGTACATATTTTGTTCACTATCGGTTACTGGTTCGTCGGCAGAGGCATCAGAAGGATCTGCCTTTGATAATTTATTTACATCAGCAACAACAGGTATATCTACAGAAGGTGTTATTGTTACATCCATTGCAGCAGATTCATCTGTGGTAGCTGTTTCACTTGTAATTGCAGTCACATTGTTCAATTTACTTTCCTCAATATCATGAATGGTCTGCACCACTTGTTCACCGTCACCAGTGAAACTGTTATCATCAGGATAGACAATGCCTCCTTCACTTCTCCTTCTCTTTGCTCTCCTGTTCTTGAACCACATGGCAATACTATCTGTGGTCAACATCCTCTTTGATTTCTGTGACCTGGCTTTGTTTAATATGTTTGTGTATTCCTCAATGATCTCCTTTTCAGGTCTTTCATTGTCATTGAACCATGCATTAAGGCTGCTTAGTTCAGTCTGTGGGTCAAATGTGACACGTGATTTGGGTATCTTTCGAGCCTTTGTTGGCGACTCACTATAACCTCCTTGCTTCGTCTGTGGAGAATACCTTGCAAGCATGGTAGCCAGACCATTGATTGGCATACGAATCTCACCACTACCTTCTTCAGTACTTGTAATTGCCATAGCTACAGGTGTACCAGTACCACCATTTCCCTCCACATCCCCAACTGCCATGGTTATTTGTGGTGTACCCCCAATGGCTGGTGTGTAACTAGTTGCCATGGTGACCTGAGGGACATCACCTTCTGTCTTAGCAACGTCAGGTGTTTTCACATCCCCAGATGTTTGTTGGTCTTTCTCCCAAGGTTCGAGAATGCTCGGTTCCTCTCTTCTTCTTTTGGATCGTTGGTTTTTGAACCAGAAATATATGCTCTCAGGTGTTAGTAATCTAACAGAGGCCATCTGTCTTGGAATGTTCAGAATGTCTGTATATTGACGCATGACCTCTCGACTTGGCCGTTCGTCTTCATTAAACCACTCAGTTAGGTTGTCAATTTCATTCTGTGAGAATGTTATCCTTGGTTTGGTATTTTTACTTGCTGAAGGAGACTGAAGCTGGTTTGGTCTTGGTGCTTTGACCTGTTCCTCAGCGTTTGCCTCATTGGCCAGGTCTTGTCGGCGCAACCAACGAATGAATGCCTGGCATTTGTCATGACCAATTGTACTGGTATACTTACCCTGGGCTATCAGACTCAGCATTCCCTGCAAAATCAAATGATAATAAGTACACAGCTCATAATACCAAGCCATAAAAGTTCTACTACCTATAAAATGTTCACCTCTACTTACGTTGGATAGTGGACACTCTGCAGCTGCAAGGGTTGCTAATGATTTTGTTTTCAGAAGATTGTTTACAATGTTTTTCACTTCTTGGTCATCTGCCTCATTTCTATCAATTAAATTCAATATATAGATCAGTATCTAGATAAGAAACTGGCAGAGAAAATTGAGATGTTTACAGAACACAACTTACTCGCTTTTTGGTACAATCCTCAGCACCGGTTTGTGCAATCCAGTACACAAGGTTCCCAGCACATCTCCAACTGTATAGCAATCTTTCTTATTATCAAAATCAACAATGAAATCCTTAAATTCCAGCCATTTCCACACTGGCATGATACGGATAGCAACTAAAAGTGATAGTGCCAGTTTAATTAAAAGGTCTGGTTGCCACTATAGAACTAGTACACCACCATGCTGTTTGAGGGCCACCCAGTTACCCACACCAACCTATACCCAATATACCATTTACACTGATTTAATAATGTAAAGATGAGGTTAGGTATCGTGTAAAAACGTCTTTAGTCAACAGAGTTATCCTCCCCATCAAACACTTACTGCAGGTGAATAAGGTTCAAGTGAAAAATTACAAAAGTGAAATTCTACACAAATTCTGACTCACCATATGCGCGTAATATACAGCGATCAATTCCACCAAAACTCTTCGAAACTTTGCTCGTTTCACCCTCCTTGTTGTGCGATTCTCTCTCCTCCTTCGTTTTCAAATACTCCAAGCCTGTCTTTCGAAAATTATCGTCGAGCCACAAGCCCTGAACTATATTCCCCATGCTGCAAGCACGAGGCAATTTAACATCAGCTATAAGTTGGCCATTGAAACTAATATCACATAGGATAAACCCAGAGTTTTGTTCATCCATATTGAGTTAAAAAATTGAGTTTATAAATCCAACTTTATACAAAACGAAATTCACAGCCGAACGCAAGTAAATCCGAGCTGAAAGCCCCGCATAAAACCTCCTTTGTTAAAATTAATCCCCAAGTTAATCTTTCTTTAGCGAATCGTAGCACGTTTTCGGTGTTTTGCTTTTGCCAATGAGAGCGTTACTATGAAAACGGATTATATTTGAGGCAGAAATAATGTTAAAATATGTCAGTAATTTTAATCCCTTCGCTTCTCTGAGCTTCGTTAAGTTCAGCTGACAAAAATTTTAATCCAACCCAACATCGCAATGTGATGATTTACATCTAGGCGACAATATTTCGCGATATTTTTAACGCGATAAAACAGTCACGAAAAATAAACCCCCTGTTCTTGGTAATCCGTACCAGTACTTTGCCAGCACTGCTCGAATTCAGACTAGTTGGTACCACCTGCTACCGATTATTAATAAACGTTTACTCATTCACTTCTTAACTACATTTCTTAATTCATTCTAGGAATGATTCTTCGTAGGGAAATTACTGTACAGCGCCTTTGGGTTTGTACAAATGGAAAATTTCGAAAATGGCGATGATAGTGGTGATAATGACATTAGTGGGATGATGATTCCACCATAAATATATAATGGATGATATAGTTTAGTGACTAAAAAGATAAAATAGCAACTTAATACAGACACAATACCGCATATAATATATTAGCTTTTTCTAATAAATAAAATTCAGGCAATTCGTAATATACACATTAATATTTAAAAAAAGATACGTCTCATTTCTTTTTCGCTTTGGGAGATTTCCGAGCTCCTTTTGGACTTTTGCTTGCTTTCCGTCCTTTAGCAGGTGTTGGTGATCTTTCCTTGACTGCTTCAATTGCCTCTTCTTCTGGTGGTTCCTAAATGAAAACATCAATAGCCGTCAGTGGTTTAAACTATACATGGTAGACCATCATTAACGTGGACAAGCAGTTCGCATTGTGATACTTCTTCAGTTATCGTGGTTTCGTTTATCGACCGTAGAAACTGTGTTACCTGCACAATAAATGTCTGTCTATACGCCTCGCGGGCCGTGTTTATATCCTCTCGAACTTTATCCAACGCTGCCTAAAAAGCAGTCCAACAATATGAAGTACAACCACTGCTCTCAACCATTATCATTACTACCATTATCTTGTACATGCCTCTACTATAATTACACCATTGATCACGATAATCATCATGACCAGTCAAAACTATTGATATCATCACCGATACTATTGATCAATTACATGCAAAGATCTTCAAATCTTACCTGCCATTCTTCACACATCTGAATCTGTTTTTCCTTGGCTATATTTCTCTGTTGTCTATCCATATCTCGTCTTTTTTCCACCTCGTCTCTCCATTGTTTATGTTGACGAAATATTTCTTGTTTTTGTTGCCGACGTTTGTTCTCCTCAGCCTCGTCCAACACAATACGATTGCCACCACACCTGAGTATAAAATATCAACTGAACAAGACTCAATTGATTCAAGGCTGAACTAAACTAAATTGATTTCAGGCTAAACTAAACTAAATCGATCAAGGCAAACCGGAATACCTCACGACGCTTTTTCAGAAAAAGTGATCCGTCAAATTTACATGCAAGATTCACAAAGACAAGTATCTCTATACAATTTCCCATCTTTCGTACCTCATGTATGGTGTGATATCAAAAGGCTTCAAAACTCGACTGGGTTGTCTTGGTGGAGGTTCCCTAAACAACTCCTCCTCTTGATCAGTTGCCAATGCGGATACCGACGATGATGCAATATCAACTAAAATATTAAAAACAGTCGTTCTTAATGCCCTGTGGCTTGTTCTATTCCTACCTGGCAGTGTTAAGCCCTGGGCAAACTAGGAAACATTGTTTCGGAAACATTTATGTTTCGCAATGTTTCCTCATATGTTTCCCTGTTTGCCCACCCTGAGAAACATTGAGAAACATTGGCGGGAAACAATGTTTCCGAAACAATGTTTCCTAGTTTGCCCAAGGCTTTAGTAACACCACATTTTTCCTGTAACAACGTATTTGATTCATCGACGTACTCGCTTCTGGCTGCTCTTCCCCCTGATCTGCTTCTTCTATGTCCGGATCTTTCACTTTGATCAAATGTTCGTTGAGAAATTTTTGGCGACTTTTGTAGGCCTGTAAGAATGCGTATATAGTTTGCTGTAAAGGAGAATACTGGGCTAAACAGAGATCCTAAAGTCAAATGTCTAAAGCCATGAGCAAACACCACGAGTTTGGTTGCTAAAAGCACTTGACAAAGCCAGTATAACGAACAGTATATTCACTAATGTAGTATAAATGTGTGCAAGTTTGGTTAAAAATTACCTTCGCAGCTCGGCCAGGTTCGGCTGTCTCCCATGCAGCTTTCATTGCACGAATTTCGTCCTGTCTTTCCGTGTCTTTTTTTATATCAACATCGTCCTGTTGAGAAGCAACACAATTATTGGCTGACGTACATCATATGAAAGACATCGTGAGCAGTACAAGACGATCGACTTACTGCAAGACTTGCATCGGTAACAATCCTCAATGTCCAGTGAGCCTTTGTTGTATCGAAGTTGAGTTGCTGCGAGGCTGGCCTGGAGCCAGATTGATTCTTACTCGATCTACTTTCCTTGCCATCTTTGCTTTTCTTGCCCTTACTCTGACCTGCAGACTTCTCGCCACGACTGGACGACTCCTGCGTATCTGGAAAGCAAATGAGATGTGAGTGTTTAATGAACCAGTTCTACTACGATTTTGCCGTGTTAGTTAAAACACCTTCAACTACGACGCGCTTTAGAGGTGCTAGCCTAGTTTACTTACAATCAAGAGGATCAGTTTTCTCGGCGTTTCTCTGCGAGAGAACAAAGTCCCAAGATTCTTTGTTGAGTGGCCAACTGTCGCGGAGGACCAACGCTTGGATGATGTACTTGTGAACCTGGAGACGTAATGATTGTTCAGAAGTGGCAACACTTGCGGATCATTTAGAACGAGGTGAAATGAATAAGCAGTAGTACCTGAGGTTTCATATCTTCCTCTTGGGTTATACTGCGATTCATACTCCGCTGAGCAGCGCGCTTATCCTACAAATATACAAGAAACTGGTTTGAACGGGGGGATCATGTTACAAGAGAATGTAGGGACCAGAATTTAGCCAGAGTAATCTATATGAAGTTGTTAATTCTCCTTCAGGTAATTTCAATGATTCTTTAAATGACAGAGTTATGTAAACCAAAGACAGATATCCTTCATCAAGATCTAAGTTACAGTCTAGTTTAGCGTGAGCACATTAGTGAAGTTGGATGAAAAGTCCAATAATAATATTAGATCATATATATCTCAGGATCTTCAAGATCAGTCTTACTATTGATGATCCTGGTCTGGAATGCGCTGGTGAACTGTCTTTGCCTTTCTTTGACTTTGATTTAGGATTCTTTCCTCCGGCCGTTCCCGCGCGACCTGGCGCCGCTTCGCCATCCTTACCGCTGTCCTTACTTGGAGGTCTGGAACCTATATATGGATTGAACAGGGAAAGATGAGGTAGACTATGTTAAAATCTTGCCATCTTTCCGAAGGGAGTGTTGAATTCTTTGAATGCTAACCCCGTTTACGTTGTCGGTTCTCCTCTTCACCGGCTTGCCTGTCTCTTCTTACGATGTACACTGGTAGTACAGTATGACCACGACCATAAGAACAAGCCACTTCCTCTTCGTGGTCTAAGATCTAAAAAATCCTCATGAAGTTATCATAAATTGCCATGATTCACACAGCTAAAGACACAGAATAACAAACCTGTAACTTGATCAAGACATCGGTCTTTGAAGTTCCCAGTTGAACAGTAATTAGCTGATCTTCAGTCACATGGACGGAATATCTGCCAGAAATATGGAAACTGGATGTAAACTAAGGTAATGATAAATAAAGAATACATTCTCCCTAATGATAGCCGTACCGAAGTAAAACGTGATCTTTGTTGGGCATGTAGTAATCCCTTATCTCCTTTGCCACAAACTGGGAATTCACAGAATCCCCGTCTGGAGCTGGCAGGGGTTCAGTTGAACCAATCAGACGCAAGCGAAACTTCCCGGATGCGAGAGAGGATAGAGTGGTTCGAGCTTCCGCGAGAAATGTGTAACCATGCTAGGAGGAAAAAAATCCATATGAACTTCTGTCAGATATGCATGTCTTCTCTAAATCGAATGAGGTTACTAGTAGCTGGCCACGCCAATGGAGGTAACTTAGGGTCTGTTTATATGGAGCAAGTTATTCCGGCTAGGCGAGGTAAAAAACGCATCACATCAAAGTGTTAACCTGACTAGTCTTTCATTATATGCAGTTTTCACCTCGCCTAGCCGGGATAACTCGCTTGATGATAAATCAATAAGTACATTTAAGTTATTATTACAGTTCTTTTACCAACCTTGTTTTTAGTAAATTTATACGGCGCCACCCGCTGGAAGACTTTAGGAATTTCCTCAAATGTGTCGTTGTTGATGACACGCAGGAAGCAAGTTGGAATATTGCTGTACATTTTTGGTAATGCTAAGATCTCTTCATCCACGTAGAATACCTCCCTGCAAAGAATTTGTTTTACTTAGGGGCTGTGAAAACAGGCTATAAGGTTACTTGCAAGCTTGCCGCGTAGAGTTGGTTAGGATATTTCTGTTGTGGTCTTAATACATATATGGCCCCATCTAGGCTACCTCATCTGAAATGGTGGAATAAGACGTGGACTAATCAAATAAAAATCATTTCTCCGTTCCGACCATTTAATATCTCTTGAAATATAGTTTATTTCGGTCTCAAATTAATGTCAGAGCTATAGTTCTTATAACTAAACATAATCACAAAATTTCGACCAGTTTCATAAAGAATAACAAAAGATATTATCGATTAAATACAGCAGAATGGATTTCTATTTCAACAAGCCTTCTGAGCGCTGATTGGCTGAAATATGAGAGAGATTACCTGGAAGCCTCAACTGATCCTATCACAACCCCAAACGTACCTGAAAAGCAGGAACCATGTGTTCGCGGCTTGTTCTGTGAAGCTGCTGTTATAATCGTTGTGGGTCACTCTGGTCCAATCATCGTTGTAAAACGGGAACATGGCGAAGAGACTAGGATCGATTTTGTACATACGACGGTATAACTGAAGAGAGAATGACTCCAAGTTGTTCTCCATGATCGCCCAGGCCTTGCTGAGGTTTTCATGAACTTGCTGGTGGATTGTCGAGTCTAATGGAAAAAAAAGATCGAATCTGTTGTATCATAAACAGAATGATTCAATAAATGGATATTGAACAGTTTATATTGGCGGATGAATCTGGTACTTATGAAGTTAAAACTGCAAATTTACTGCATGTGTGATGGTTTTCCACGACTTTGTACGGATATAGCTTCAAGTCACGGCAAACCATTACATATATAGTAAACACAAGGTCATCTCAATGAGCAAACTAACCAGGTCTATATGCTGTGTTCAACTTGCGAACGTAGTAACCACGGAATACGGCTTGGATCCTAGTTGCAGCAGAATTGTCGTCAATCGTCGCTGTACGATGATGACTCGACGAAGATAGACATCGGGAAAGATCGGAGCGCTTCTTATGAACGCTACCAATGCGGGCGACATCCACCGAAGATCTGGGACGAAACGAGAATCTCTCTTTGAGGTAGACTTGAGAAATGAACTCGAATGCTTTCCACGCGAAGTGCATATCTCGGGTATACTCATCACCTAGCTGAGTACTCAGCGTTTCCAGCAAACAAATCATAAACACCTGTGGGAGGAAAATTACCACGGTATTAGAAAACTCGACCTCTCGATGAGGCTAAAATACACTCCCATCAATACTCCACACCTGAAAGTGTCTCTCCTGCATATCCTGGTGCTGTTCCTTCACCCCTAAGTCCAAGATTGTGTGCTTGTTATTCGTACTCAGTTCACTAAACGATGTCACGACCTGGCCGACATTTTGAACGACGCTTGTTGTATGCTCAATAAACCGACAACTCTCCTGCAATACACACGTTCGACAAAGTAGGGTAAGTTGGGGCAAGGTAGGACAGAGTAGAATAAAGTGGGATAAAAGGCAAACAAGGGAATTAGAGAGAAAATAGGGAAAGCAAGTTGTTACCAAAATGGACAAACACAAAATGACATACATAATAGTCTGTGTGCTGTACGTGACGTACCTTCGCTAAACAGATCATAACTTGATCTTCGTCACCAAATGTGAATGGAGTTTGAGAACACAGTCCAACGTGGTAACCATTTGGAGACTGGAGTAGAAACCTTAGCAAGTGACGACTAGAAAAAACAAAATGATGATGTCACATCAAGATCTATATCTTCGCTTCTCTGTTTTTTGGCTTTTCGTTTGCCTTGTGTTTGAAAGTCAGTTCCAATTGTTTAAAACCTTCTCTATCCCATGCACTGATTGCTTCTGACCTAAGAAACACTCCACGCTTGTTCATTTGTCTTTTCTTTTTCACTCACCCTGGAGGAAGAACCAACACGGCGGCTTTAGAACCAGTTGACTTTATTTTAAGACAAGGTTGACCTGTTACCAGACTCTTCCAGGTATACGGTTCGGCCACCAGCAATCCTGGCGTCGGAGGGACTGGATTCAACTCCGTCGCCGACTCAACTTTCAACTCTACAAAGGAAATATATAAACGGCCGTTCGTCAAGGAAAAATATGGCAAGCGTCTTTATTTGAGAATATGTGACTTATTGACTCCTTCACATCTGTCAAAAGAAGATAGAGTCGCACCCACCAGTGTTGCTTCCAGACTCCCTGCCTTTCTCCCGGAATATCGGTTGAGGTGGATCCAACCATTTGGAGAACGATGTAAGACACACAACAATCTCGATTACATTCACACTGTCCACGAATAGGAAGGGAGGCGGGGGATCTATAGGTATACCCCCAAGGACATGATGTCCCACAGGGACCGGCGGGTTAGTTTGGCCTTTACCCGAATTTTGCGCAGCAACTGACGAGTTGTGTAAACCAATGCCTGATTTCTTACTGTGAGTCGTTAAAGCGACATTCTAAAATAAATCAACCAGAGTTTATATTTACTGGATATTTAGTTTAGAACTGATAGAGATAAGCAGTATAAGTAAAGTTAGTTTAGTTTAGATTTCCTCCTGTACTGAACCTCTAGGAAGAACAGTTTAGAACTGATAGAGCTAAAGTTTGTTTAAATATGGGTTGTTACCTTTAACTCCAGATGAGATTTACTGTACATGTAAGTGACTGGTTTATGGTAGATATGGAGAGTTCTACAACATAAAATATAACACCTTCAATATCCAAGCACGTCAAAGAGAAGATGCCAACCACATGAATTGTCTCAAACCTAACATGAATAACAGTGAATATACTGTAGTCCACTGCATCATCTGTAGTGAAACACACCTAAAACATTTCCAGAAATCATCATATTCTATCCAAAATGTTTTCTCTTTATTAGTCCCAGGAGTACCATCTTCATTCTCCTGTTCTGTGGCTGGTGCGCCATCTTCCAATCCGTCATTCTCGACATCGCTCGTGTCTGTGATCTCAACCTTCACCTCGTTCTTGGCCTCCTTCTCTGCAGCCTTGGCTAACTTCTTTAACTCTTTCTCGGACAGGCCTAGGAATTTCAGAGAAACGAGTAAGATGGTCAGGGGCGTGGCTAGCTCGATAATTTGGGGGGGGGGGGTGTTTATACATATATTCAGTTCTGCCCAAAGGATTCCTTTTGTGAGTGCAATACTTTACAATAGAAATCCGTCGGTCAGAACTGAATATGTTTCGGCCCTGAAGATGGTGCACCACAAACTTTCCACCATGGTGTCAGGTTAGTTTTTCAGCTTGCCCGGTTGGTAACTCAGAGTAGCACCATTACAATATAATATGCATTCAAACTCACCCTTGACATCGACCTTGGACATTCGTCTTCCAGCAGGATTTTTACTCTGGTCATTTTTCTTCTCGTTCGTCAGATCTTTGCTCATTTTCTTCGTCTTGTTCTGTTTCACATCTTTATCCTTGTCTTGACTCAGAGTCGTCGATGATCGCTCGGATTTTATCGGCTTCACTCCGGCGTCCTTCGTGGCTTTCGGAACATCCTTCTTATCATCGGATTTGTCGCTACGAGCGGTTATACTGCCTTGTTTGGTGAGCTGTAGGATGAAGAGGAAAGAACCTGTTTACACGTGGGATTTTTGCTGCGATTTCTTTGATGTTTATCCTATTATATCGCCTATATATAAGATCGACTTTATTGCGCTTAGCCATAATCTACTACCCTCTCAAACAAGAAGGAATCCAACCCATTTAATAGTACTACGCTAGTGTTAACCAACATACATTATTTGCAGTGTCATCCTTTACAGGAGGTGCTTCAGCTTCATCCGCTTTTTCTTCTTCCACTTGTCCCAGTTCTTCTTCGCCTCCTTTCTTTACAACATCATCATCATCCAGTTCATCTCCCTCTTCTGAAATCTCCGCCATTTTGTCCTTGTCTCGACGATACTTCACGAATGACGGAGTGCTAACATAAAACGATTTGTTGAAAGATCAAAAATTTATTTCTTTTAGCTCTGGCCTCATCTGAGACAAATACAAGTCGCCCTGGCAGCGTAATCGTCGTGAACAAGTCATTTCCACTGATGAGAAATAGTCCAGATGTAAACTTGTCTTTATATCTCAAATCGGTCACACATATAAGGCCCTGCGATTTTATGTGCGAATTGCTTCCTTTGATAGATGTGAATGAGTGAATTAGTTACTAATGTTGAAATAAGAGCTCTTATTAATCAGAACATTCGTAACTAATTCACTCGTTCACATCTATCAAAAGAGGAAAATCGCAAATAAAATCGCAGCAAAAATTGCAAGTGTAAACGGGCCTTCATGAAATATTCTGTCACATCAGCCACCGTGACCTGTTCACGACACTTACAACTAAATGGAAACCAGACATAAGTGTGATGGTTTTCATTGCCCGAGAACAAATTCAGGAAGTGTCTCTTCAATGGTATTTCCAGATTTTCCATTGACGATGTAAACGAAGTCTGGTATAATAATAAATTGCTACGTACTCAACTCTGGCGACAGGTGTTGGGCTAACACAATATCCCACAAAAGGCGAGGTTATTTCCAAGAACTGTGGTTCCTTAGGAGGGGTAATCGGGGTCAACCGGGGATCACGTGGCTGCTTGTGTTTCTTCTGTCTAATCAATCTCCAGCGAGGTATTTCCACGGGTGGCGGAGGAGCGACGAAGGGACAATCGCGGCGCAGTGTCACCATCACGGAGTGCGGGTGATTGTGTGAGAGGCCTGATTGACGAAGTTTCTCTGATGCATCAGCCTATAGGGGGGGGGGGGGAAGGAGAGAAATCATTGTTGAGACCAAATGAGCTCTAATACAACTGGAACGATAACTCGATAAGGAAGGGGGGTCGAAGCTGTTGCTGTTGGGCAGAAATACTTAACACTGAACGCAGTGTGCTGTAGATGAAATTGAAACGATAATACAACTCTATTCGGGGGGCTTAACTAAGACAGCTGACGCACATGTACATACCATTTCCCTGAGCACGGATACTCTTAGAGGCTTCTTGGGTGGATTGCAGTAACTAGCAAAGACAGCAAACTCTGGTTCCTTTATAACTGCATCCTTTAACATCGCATTACTTGCAGCATTACTAAGAAATTTCTCTTTGCTGTCTTTCTCCCGTATCCTGTTCTCCCGTTGCTCGGATGATCTGTCTGACGTGTTCTGAGATGAAATCACTCCTCTCTCAAGTTTCTCTCGTGATTTCTTCTCTTTTTCATCTTTCTTCTTCGCCGGTTGTGCGCTGACTTCCTTCGCCTCCTCCAATGTGATGGAGTTCTCCAGTTTCCAGTGAGGAAGAATCTTACCGAGTGCTGCCCATAAATCATCGCCGTGTTCGCCTCTGGTAAGAACGAGATTTAGCGCATGAGGATGGGAACGTCAAATACGACGTGGAAATGGCGAATAAGTGACGTGGCATGTCCATATATGGATCCATTACGCCATTTATCCGCCATTTTTTATGCTTATCTTTAAAGTTTCCGTTCACACTAAAGCCTGGTCACACTTGTCGTATGAATCTGGGATTCTCTTTGTCTGAGGTCAAGGTTTTCAAGGTTTTCAAGTTTGTCAAGGATAATCCTTTGTCCGTCGGAAAATAATGCAATGGATCCCCGATTCTTAGGACTGACAAGTGTGAACCAGGCTTACCGCTTATTACCATTCTTACCGCCACCGGTGATAAAGCGGTGAATGTAAGCATATTTTGCATACGACGTACCTTAGTGGAATGACTTCAGGGATCCATCCAGTCAAGCACTGAACCACGCTGAAGTCACCAAACTCGCACGATGCTTCTCCTCCGTGATAACTACACATACGTGGAGAATGTGTTACTAAATGATGAAAGTGTAGAACTTAGTAAAGTGTATGATAAACAAGAACCTACTCAAGTGATGCAACTTTGAGTAAGGCTTTCGCCAGCAGCATCGGCCACAGTTCATTGGATCTCTTGCAAGAAGGTAGTAAAAGTTCTCCATCACTGTTGAAAGGCATCCAGTCATCTATCGTCACCTTTCGCCAACACCCCTATCAATGAAAGCAATGTTATAGCTTTGGAAACTAGTGGTCTGCCTGCCTGCTTCACAGAGGCAGCTCAAGATGTATCCATAGTTGAAAGACAACATGTTGTACAATTAAGGCCTATCTACACGATGCGATTGGTCGTATAAACTGATGAATAGAAAGAGTGGCGACAGCAATCTTTCTCATACGTCAGGATAAGAATCGTATACGACTTATCGCATCGAGTTGATCGGCCTTCAACTTGAGCATCATAATCTGAACAGTAGTATAACGTACATCCGACCATCAACTTACCATCCAGTAGACTTTTACTGCGTATTTTCCACCAGTGTTATACACAGGACAAACACCATTCTTGCTCTTCTCCTTCGGCCAGATGTGTTGCCATGGTTTCCATACGCCATCATCACCTTGAGGGACATCTTTCACGTCTTTAACATAGCGTGATTCAATCGTGTCCATGTTCGGCTTCAATTTATATAAGTTGGTGATCTCAGCTATTATACAACGCATTATCTGGAGAAAAAAAAAGAAAAAACTCTGTCAATAGGTTCGCTGGTGGTTAGTCTAATGGTACCACAATGCACCATCCACTCAATCCACCATGATGAAGACTGTTGGTCATGCAATGTATTTGAACAATACCATTGTAACATATTGAGTATTTTCCTCAGCAACCATACCTCAGAACAGCTGATCACATCTGAACTTGATGATATCAAATCAATGTCTTTTTCTTTGGAACCATCGGGATCAACAATCACTGGGGTCTTGAGAAATAATGCATGAACATTTTATACACAAACAACTGTGATAAACATATTTCCAACATTTCATGGCAATAATATGATGGGATAGTCATATATATACAATGTTGTCATACTTTATCTTCAATAAAATCAACCGGTCTCTTCCAACATTCAACCTTTGCTTGAATTACGGCTGGTAGATCAACACGTCCTTCTGGATCCTCGTAAGCATGCTAAATGAAATACCAGCTGCACAGTTAAATACAATGCTTAATCTATTTATTTGTCACAAACATAATGAAAAAGAAATAAATGAAAAAAGAACGGTTGCAGAATCACATTTGATGTAAGTAATTTAAACTTGCAACATAGTCACTTACCAGGTTAGGACTTTTCCCTTTTTCCTTGTCTTTCCCTTTGTGAGATATATCCTAATAAGATGTTTAAAATACACTTTGTCAACAATATTGTGGGAAAGTGTAACTAAAAACCCCATAAAAATCCACAGTACCCATTTCTCAGAAGCAATTTCTTGGTCATTCCACTCTGGCCAGATTGAAATAGGTTGTTTGACTGCTTTTTGTCCCTTAGCATCATTACCACCTTGTGATACAGATTGTCTAAAAAAATGAAACAACATGAGTTTGAAAGAGTTGTCTCTCCTTCATTTGTGCTACTTCGAAGATGAGTTTTGTTTTATATTAAACTCGCTATGGTACTTTGTTTTTGACCTGCAGACAATTCACCAAATAAAGTTACACTAGACTAAAGGGAACACATTACTATTACCTTCGATGTCTTGCACTCTGAAGCGGAATGGCTAGCGATGCAACTTTGTGCATGGTTCATACAATAATCCCCTAATTTCTACCTTGGAGAACTTCACCTCACATTAATTCAGGAGTATGAAATAACACCAACACACTTAAGCTGGTAGAACCCAACAAAGCCAGTAAACCGAAGTAATATCACTAATATGTATATTGAATTATTGATATATACAACACTCAGCTCAGGTTGCTAGGGTTACAATAAAATTTAATACCTTGTTTACATATAGTCAAGTCATATGGTATGGTAATTATATATGATAATGAAGGTCTCAACTCATGACCCTTATAATCTTAAGTAATGCCTAAAGCTATTTGATATTATGTGCTAATCTGGACAATGTTTAATTTGGTATTAGTGAAAAGCAGTTGTAAAAATATTTCAAGTTTTGATTTATTGCTTAGCCAAATTCACACTTGCTCATTGAAAACAGCTTTGAATTCACATAGATTGGTACAAGATTCAAGGGTCCTCTTTCTTAGTGAACTTTCAAGACATATTGTATCAAGTTTGTAGGTGGATTAGTGCTGTGATATTTTAGAAATGTTTATCAAATTATAACTACAGATTGATTTTTATGTTACTATCAATGTACTGAATGTACCAATATCTAAATCTCTGTATTTCACAGATGAACATTGTAACTCATCTATGCAAATTATCAAATAAACTTTCAAATACTGCAAATCACACAATATACAATATTGACAATTTGTAAAACAATGCTTTTTCTAATAAAAAGCACACATTATATAAATCACAATATACCTACTTTGGCCGGGATGAACTTGAACGAGACCTCAGACGCGACATATTGTTTTAAAATGAACACTTTTGATGAAAAAGGACTCAAAAAACGAGAGAATTGTCAGATCACTGACGCTTTGGGCAACAGCCATAACACGACTCAAATTTCTGTTTACCCAACTGATATTTTGTTAATAAATTAGAATAAATCATACAATGACAGCTCGGGTGACTCGCGGTTGACCTCTGTTGAAAGAAACCAGCTTCTTTATATATTTTCAATATGTTTATGTTTTATATTTTTAGAGCCATATTTTATACAAATTAAAATAAGTAGAAATTTTGCACTTCGACTGACAAAGTTGTCGTAATACATTTCATTCTCTGAAATAATTTAATATTATATTATGAAATCAGTTATGCTTTATAGAAAATTGATGAAAAACAGACGCGATATTGGAGAAAGCTAGTATTTCAAAACGCAACATTCATTGTTAAAAATATATTCACTTACTCTGGGGCCGTTTTCGGAGCTGTGGAGGACGAAACCCGTTCCCTGGATTCCTTTTTCTTAGGGGTTTTTGTTGCCATGCTTTTAAAAGATTTAAAGTCCCGTTCTCGCCTCAAAAAGCACAAAAATCCTCAAAAAATTTGAAACTCGTGCGAAATTGGAGGACATCTTGGTTTGGTATCGTTGCCAGGGCAACCAAATTCGCTATTCACTGAACTCTAGAGAAAACTGGATGTCTGGTTTGGAAAAAGTAACAATTTGCATAAATTTTGTTTTAATTGCTTAATTTATATTCACAAGTGTTCTAATTATAGCTATTACCTCTTAAATAGGCCTACCATTAATTGATAATCATGTAGTAACAAACATAACCTCAAGAGTAAATTATCAAATGGTAGAATTTGATTCACACAATAGACAGAGCAGAATTACATGTATCAGCGTGGAAGCTTTTTTGTCTATCTAAATGAATGTTTGCATTCTCCTTAAGATGTTCAATGGTTTTTGATCTTTACAATGCTAATGTTTTATGAATGAAAACGTCTATTGGTAAAAATAATTCCACATAGTGGTTTATGCCAGACAGTTGTTTATACAACCTTTAACAGCATTCCTAAAAAAACAAAATATTTTTCATTCCAGTGCATTTTGCACATCGCTTGCTATTAAAGAGTGGTAAAGTCCTCACCTTGCAAATGGAATATATGATAAACAATACCTAAAAAAGAGCAGATTATTAATGTTTATCCAACCACAAAAAGCATATACAACAAAATTTCTCATACCAAATCATCGCAAGATACTGTAGAATTGCAAAAAGTATTGCCAATCCATTGTTTTTCCACTGTGAGATAAAAAAAATTAAGTATAACTTTAACTGGGACTGAATTATTACTATTGAAATGTACCACTTTGATACACACCCATAAAGCAGCACACAACGTCAACACAAGGCAAACCTATATACATAAAGAAAGAGGATTTAGATGAATTGACAGGCGTTTGTTGTATTATACTGGATAAGACTCACTACTATTGACTAATATTTGTATCAAAATACTTCATATTTTCAAGGGTGTTTGTGAAAGAAAAGAATAATGGCCCAGTATATGCTTACCAACATCACTATAGTTGCAATAAATCTCTTTTCCTTGAACATGTTTTTCAGCTGCTTCAAAGGTCCAGTCAGGAAAAATGAACTATAATTAAAATAAAATTCCAAATTAGAACCCAAATACATCTTGTCTCAGCCAATCAAAACTGATGGAATGACATGATAATTAGTTTATATAATAACATAATGTGATACCTTGCCAATGCAGTAACATTTCCAAAAGAGTAAAAAACTGCAAACAATTTATAGTTGTTTTGAAATAACATAACAATTCCCTAGGAAACACAATGAATTTGAAGAGATTAGGATGTTGGAATAACAATGTGACTATATATTCAACTATTTCCAATCGATGTGCCATTGTGCTTACTGCTTAGCAACAAGATGTCAAAATTACAAAACTCCAAGCCAGGCAGTAGCCATGCAATGTTAGAAAAAGTCTCGTATTCACACACTGAAATTTGACCACACATGAAATAAATCTGTTCCTGCTTGCTTTGCAAACTGAAGCAGACCATATATTCAAGCATAATTTTTTAAAAGATTTACAATCCAAGATATACATTTTTGAGATACTCACAAGTAAACTGAAACCAACTCCCAAGATGAAACAAATGATAAATCCTTTTATTCTTGTAGACCAGCTTAATGTTGTGGCATCAGAAATCTAAGACAGCACAGGTGTATTAAAATGAAAATAAAAATGTACACTTGTACATTACGAAGTCCCAAGATTCTACTTCTAACTTTTGTCATATTTTTCATTTATCCTCTCGGATAACAGAATTAAAAGGCCGCAAATTCAAATAAAAATTAAGACAAAATTATTCACCTCGTCCAGTCTATCAAATAGCAACGATTATTAACTTGCAGTTTAATTAATATTATGAATGACTTTCATGCTCAAATCATCAACGTTTCATGACAGAATTTGAACACAAAAAAGCCACAATAAATAAATAACTAAAGGGACATAAAAAGATTGTATTGAACAATATTTACCTCAGTTATAAGTGAGCTTTCATCGTTTGGTTGGCCAGTTACAGCCGCTTTTAATTTTTTTATCGTGGTCGGCGCCATCTTGTATTTGGGCAACCGATTGTTTTTCTATGACGTAATTGAGAGTGTTACGTTTTCTTCCTTCTCCCCCCTGGTAAAGATTTCCTACAGTTATATCTTATCCTTCCAGCTTACCTTTACCAGGAGGTGACAAAATGTTTTACCGGTGTCTTTAAAGCCATTATTAATTATTATAAATCAGTGAACTATAATTATAGTTATAAACCTGAATCATTCAGAAGATGTTTTAAATGATTACTAATTTTGGGATTCTCACCTCAGAACCGACGAATTGTCCAGTAACTATACATTATATTTAATTATATAGCAACCATAATGTGGCTAATAATACTGACAAAAAAGTGACTATGTCATATGTCAATACCCCGGCAACATTGATTACATCGTTATTTACTGGATATTTGGCTTTAAAGTACTCTGCAAGGACATCATAAATAGTTTTGCCTTTGGTGCGGTTTATAGTTTCTTTAGTGGTATTAATATATTGGAAAACAAAATAGGAATCAAAGACAACTTTATATGTTTTTGACATGTTCACTTGTACATAACACTTTGAAATACCAGTTGAACATGGCTTTTGCTTGATTTGTAAACTTTCTACTTGAGGTGGCTTGCCCTTGGAGTATCTGACAGCCAGACCTAATGAGAATAATCAGATGAAATGCATGAATAAAGTAAACTGGCAACTGACTAATGTAATTTATAAAGAAAAAGAAATAAAGAAACAACTATTCAGGTTAAATGACTTGATTCCTACCTTGAACTTGTGGATAACCAGATTTTGCTGCATGTTCAATGCAGTTCTTCAAATCCAAGCCAGACAGTTCAATCATGTCAATTGTATTGCGATATGGAAAACTTTCAAAAAGGTCTTTGTATAGAATATAACCTGCAATTAGACCAGCATGTTCATTTGTTAAGCATATTTCCGAAGAATTTGCTCTCAGAATGTACCCTCATTGGTAGATAGTGGTGTATACCTTGTGAATCGGTGTGCAGGGAAGTCAAAACTGCAGTGTGATGGAGCATGGATGTGGTGACATTATAAGATCGATAATGATAGATCATAGCAGAAGTCACTAGTTCACCGAAGAAACATGGTCCAATATCACAACTTGTGGAATCAATCTTTCGTTTTATTTGACCAATTTTCTCCTAAAAGAAACAGCACAAATAGTTAATAAGTTACCACCAATGATTCATATAATTCACACTCACTTTTACACAGTGTTCTGTCAACTCAACCAATAAATTGCAGGTACTCTATCACTATTAAACATACATTTCCTTTTTTATCAACCAATACTTTCATCTTCTTGACAATATCATAGACTTGCTGATCTTTAGGCACAGTTGAGCTCAACAACACAGGATTGCCAGACCAGGCTGTGACTTCTCCAGCATCATTGAAGGTAACCTGAAGCTTTCCCAAGTACTTGCTGTAATAGTATGCTTGAACCACTGGGACACTGAGATTTGTGTTATGTTCTGGATGAACCACAAAAGGATATGGCCCTTGGCATTTGTCATCTGAAGGTGGATTACCTGGCAAGACAACATGACATCAAATGCAAATCATGAGACAAGATTATATTGTTGAAATGCAATACATTTACATGAATCGCCCACTGCTTCCACTTGCCTGTATAAAGGAAAGTATTTGAATGCCCTCCAACAACCACATCCACTCCAACAACTTTCTTAGCAACCTCTTTATCATATTGAAAGCCAGCATGTCCAACAGCAATAATTTTGTTAATTCCTTTTGATATTAATTCATCAACAGCTTTCTGCACAGAGCTGATTATTGGTAAAAACTTAATATTCTTACCAGGGTTTGACGACCTAAAATTATTAACATGCTGGTTGTTTGTTTCCCCCTAAGGTTGCATTCTTTATATCAACACTTGTCTGCTGCTTTATACAGTACCTTGTTGTGTAGGGTGTAATATAGCCAACAAAACCAACTCTTTCTCCACCCACATCAACAATTGTAGTATTTCTCACAAGCTTCTTATCATCTGGCCATAATGGTTCTTCATTTGTGTTTATGTTAGACACAACCACAGGAGATTTTATTTGTTCAAGAAAGCGAAGCAATGTTTTCACACCATAGTCAAAATCATGATTACCCAATGTCTAGGAAATCAAATTACCTGCTTTGTTAATGATGAAAAACATTTACAATTAATAGATACCAATAGTTAATATATATAGTTAATAATTAACGTTTTCAGAAGGACTCACAATTGCAGTATAATTCAATGCATTAAAAAACACTAGTGATGCATTTCCCTCATAAACATCGCTCCAAATTGTTCCTGTAAATCTATCTCCACCATCCACAAAAACAACATTGCGTTCCTTCTTTCTAGCATCTTTAACAACTGTCGCTATTCTTGCTACTCCACCAAAACACGCCCCCTTAATCCGCTCGCAAATGAAGCCTCGTGAATCTATCTCCTCAAATCTACCATGTATATCATTTGTGTGAAGAATTGTTAGCTTAAAACATAAAGTAATTGATATTTTCAAAGAAAATATAATAGAAATTTGACGCAACTGCCGAAACATATCTGCGCTTCGTTTACTGTAATTTCGTTTTCATATTAGAATAATTTCCATAAATCAATCCAGATTTCAATCGAAGTCAAAGTTCTTTTAGCACCTTTATATAGAGATCAGATGCAATGTCGCGATCTCCATAGCAACGAAGACTATGGAGGAATGTTTGCATAACAATATTTTAAAACAATCTATTATAGATTGTTTGCTTGTAAAATAAAATATAAAAGGGACAAAGGATGATCGAAGATGAATATCGAGAAAGATCTGGTAGGATTGAAGTCCACACACCAGATATTTTAGAAGAAATCGTAGCAGATAATGCAATACACGACTCAGTTTACGTCAGGGTATGTATGTGCTTCTGATCTTTTCAAATCTTCTGTATGTTTGGTATCCGTTGCTTGTTTTTAGACTTGCATAGGATATTGATGTTGGATTTAACGATTGCGTGAAGCAAAAATGTATATTGATACAAATGAAATTGAAATTGAAAAATGAAAAAAAATTGATACAAAAGGAAAAGGGCCACTTGAGAGCAAAACAGCTCTTATATACTTGCCCTCCTGAAGCTGAGCAAATTAATGCCGAACCTTGAGATTACTAGAAAATCCCTATTGGGCTAATTGGCTTAGCTAACTGACCGATTGCCCATTATCTTGAAGGATGGCACAAGGAAGAAATCCTCAAGGTCTGCCAGTGCTCCAGTTTCCAAATCATGCAATCGATCTTCTCCATTTCCTCCTCACACCCCTGTGAGGTCTGGTTCCGCCTCACCCCTGCACGGTTGCCGTATACAAACTTGGTTGAATGAAGATTCCATCAAGGATATACAGGTAACTTGGTAGTTTCTTTTTTACTACTTTTGGTTAGGTAAGGTACCGTACAGAGTAAATTACTGTAATCTTCACCTGATGTATTTGTAGTTTAAACACGGGCTTGGTGTTTTTTTAAGGAAAGATCAAGTCTTGAGTCGAGGTCTGTACGCAATCAGTATAAAACAGTTCTGGACAACGAGGAAAGGCTTGTGCAAGATGCTGATGCATTCTTGGAATATGTTGATGTGGCAAATGAGAATCGAAGAGTGGAGTTGTTTAAGAAATGGTCCGAAAGAGTGTACACTCCGCTACAGGTATTGCCTCCTTTCTTGAAGAAATATATTTTTAGTTAATATTAGTTTTAAGCTTTCTGTCCAGCGTTTGTGGTGTTTTCATAATATAAATGCCTTTAATCTGCAATATGATAATCTCACCATCATTGTCTACAGGAAAAAATCAAAACAGAAATGAAGAGTACCAACTTCAAGTCGTATGAAAAAAGGAAACAGCAGCTGTATGACAGATACATTGACTATCAAAACAGGAAGGTAAAAATTGGAGATGATTTTAAAACAGTTTGCATGAAAGTTCTCTCAATATGTTACGGAGTCAGTAGATTTGTTAAACTCATGCATCATGAGAACAATCATGAGAGCATAACTTCAGTCCAAGCTAGATCGCAATATTTCCCAAACAGGACTTTATATATTTTTCATTTGAATTAGTACGATAATCTAACTTTGCTTCATTATTTCAAGGGTATGGTATTTCTTGATGTCTATTCTCCTGAAGAATATGATCCACTAGAATTAAACAATACTAGACCAGGGCCATTAAAGGTACGGTAACCAGATTACCAGAACACCAAAAATTTAAAATAATCTCTCCCATTTAATTCTGGTTTTTTTGTTCTTCTCAGGCTCCCAAATGAAACATTTACCTAATACTCCTTAATAACTTCATGTAGTATACTGTCTAGTTTCCTGGAACCTATATCAGCAATCACTTGAATGAAATATTTTAACAATTTCTCATCGCAGGCCAAGATTGATAATCTTGACAAAAATGATCCATTACTACATCAAGATTTTAAAAAGATTGTCGAGGATCAAGATGTGATAAGATGTTATACAGGCTACACTACTGGAGCGAAAGATATCAAGAATTATCATCTTCCTCCTGAACCATTAGTTCCCCTCTTGGAAGACAAAACACTACGTGCAGAACATGGTTGCGTATGCCAATACATCACATTGATAGCCCACCACGGCTGAAAAGCAGGTTTATAAATTAACTTTCTGAAGTCTTTCTATTAATTCCTCCACCTCTGTGATGCTTTATGTTTTAACTCTCTTTCAAGGTACAGAATGAACCAAACCAACAACAATTCTCAGATAGATTTCCATGAACTTCAAAGCAGCATTACTAGCCGTGAACTGGTCAATGCAGAGCTACGTTGTCAAAAGAAAAGATTTTTTCCTGAGAGATATAATAGACGACCCATTCTTGAGTGGCCTGCTTTACCAACGTCATGTCAAAAACAGAATGCTACGAACAATAGTGTATTAACTGTAGCTAGTAAATAAGGGACTTTGCATTGCATATTTTGTTATCCAAATTGCTGTAAATATTCTTTTATCAAATTTATTTCAAATGGTTTGTTGAAAAATTAAATCAATTGTATATTCATACAATATTGTGCTGTATGCTTTTGCACCATTATTAATGCATATAAAAACCTTTACCTTTTGAACTTTATATATGGAGTTCACTGGTTTAAAAACCTTTTGAACTTTATATAATATATAGTTCACTGGTCAAAATAGCTTGAGGTCTGGTATACCCTGAGTGAACGCCCAGCTTCACTCCAGATTACCATTTATATGGAGCTCAAAATTATTTGAACAATCATGGCAGATTTAATATCGAGTGTAATTCTTGCTGGTTTTATTACATATTTAGTGTTTTATCTTTTTTTTTGGAAAAAAAATGGACCTAAAAAAGTCGTGAAAAAGATACGGGGAAAGCCAAATCAACCGATTGAGTGCAATATAACAGAGTTGGCAAGTATACGTTGCAGACTTGCAGTGACATATTTAATATATTATACCACTCCTCGTCTCCTCCTAGCACTTGATTATCGCAGATGGTTATCATATATTTGCCCCTTAGCCAAGTTAGGAATATGACCGATTTAGTAACAACCATTTATTATTTATGACCTGGGAAATCAGAATTGTGATTTTGGGAAAAAAGTAAACGTTGATTGTTTATAAGTTCTGTGTAAATGTTGCAAATATCAGACTTAGCTACATTTTACTAATTGTAGTTGATAATCCCTCTTGATAATCTTTCCTGAGCATGATATTGGCAATCCTATTATCCGCAATAGTCGATTGTGTCGACAATCTGAAACCTCTGCTGACAAATGCATGCATACAATTGTTAAATTAAAGTAAAAGTGCAAGGTATTATAACCACCAAGTAAATAAAGAAGATGAACAAATTTATCAATAACTACAAATTTATGGATAATAAGATGCATGCATTATCTTTATCATCCAATGGCATATACAAGTGGCGTACTAATGACTTAGGAGATCCACTTCAATTTATCTGTATGACTATAATTATGTTATATAATGCCATACCTTTATCATCCAATGGCATATACAAGTGGCATACTAATAACGTAGGAGATCCACTTCAATTTATCTATATGACTATAATTATGTTATATAAATTTCTAATCCATTTATTTCGCATTTTAGAACCTTCCCGTTCTCTCGGGATGGCCTCTATACTTAATGAAATGTATCTTTAAATGGGTATGTTGTATTATTGCCGTATAATATTTGTACAGTGCAGTATTTCTGTACTTGACCTTGATCATTCTATACTTTTTTATGTTCCGTTGTACTTTCAACTGCAGAGAATTACTCAGTTCCTAAAAAACATTATTATCAAAGAAGCTGTTAGGCAAGTATTATTATGCATAGGCATTTTTGGTGTTAGTAAAATTTGTTTTAATTATTGAACTTTAATTGGATAAGAGATTATAGGGGTGCATGATCATAATTTTAAACAAACTTTTTTATTTTATGATTTATTTATTTTTATATAATGGCAATATGGCAGAGATGGCAATATAGGCTTTCTACAACAGATATCAATTCCTGATCCTCCTACACTTATTCCTCAAATCTCTCCCAGCAAAGAGCAGCAATTGCACCAACGATCAGATCTTGCATCTCTTTTAAAGAAACCGTATGTATATGCGACATGCTTTAACTATTTAGGTCATGAAAGCTACCTCTAAGCACATAAATGCATATATACATGCCTATATTTATTTTTATCAAGGTCAAATGTTAAAGGCTTTCAATTTTTGTCCATTTCTGATTTGGTTGAAGCATATAGGTATAGTAGCTATGAATATAGTGTGACTACCAACTATGTGTTATTTGGGTTTGATCATACATTAATTATGATATTCCAAAAAAAACTTTCTTTGTGGAAGCTGATACAAAGCAAGGAGAGAGAGATGAAGACTGATAGATCTTCAAGGTTTTCCATCTATTATCATTGTTTCTGTCAATGTACTTCTTCATTGTTTAGAAACGGAAAAACATCACCACTGCAAGTGACAGAGAATGCTTTGGAGGCGATTGAACAGTCTGAAAAACAGAACTTTGAATTAAAAGCATTTGTTCAATTTAACAAGACTGATGCTTTGCAGGTATAATGGATGTTTCCTCTTGTCAAGCTGGATACTTGCAAAGATGTCCATCTCAATAGGTGCAGTTGGCTTGTTAGCCACTCACAAATTACTGATGATCACTTGAAGAAGAGTTTGGCCTCAATGCAAACACTTTGTCTGCACATAGTAGCTGAGCGCTAGTCTCTCTAATCCTTTACTGGAAAGTATATTTTCACTATAGATGGCACAAGAATCTACAAAACGATATGCTGAGGGCAAGACTTTGTCAGTAATTGATGGTATTCCTGTTGGCATTAAAGGGGAATATGCAGTGGTAATATTCATCTTTTTTTCAATCTCTCGCTCTGTACTGACGTAGTGGCCTTATGCTGCATGATCATGTCCTGATTTTTCCAGGCAGGCTATCATAGGCGATGTGGTACAGTATTTATGGGGCAAGAAGCTGAAGAAAAGGATTGTAATCTTGTTGCTAAACTACGTAGTCTTGGTGCTGTGATCATTGGAATGACCAACATGCACGAGTTAGGTTTGGGAACGACCGGTGTTAATCCCAACAGGTACTGTTTAATGTTCTTGTCTGAAGTACAAAATGAGAATTAAGTCATAATCAATCTGTGAGATTCCCTGATTTCTACCTATCTTTAAGATTTTCGTTATTGGTTTTTCTATTACCATGGTATCTCACGTAATCCTTATGATCTCAACTATTTTACTGGAGGAAGCTCGGGTGGTTCAGCCGCGGCTGTTGCCGCAGGTAATCCGTAATAATAACATCAGTCAAAATCCAGAATAAACAATCCAAACCTTATTCTCTGAATCTGTGTCAATGTTAAGGTTTATGTCCAGTTGCTATTGGTAAAGACGGTGGTGGGTCTATTCGTCTTCCATCCACACTCTGTGGTATAGTTGGAATTAAACGTAAGATATCTTACGAGCAATATTGTCCATGATGGGTTCACCATCCTGACTTTTATGGTTGATCTTTCATTTTTCTTGGTCCAGCAACATTTGGTCGTGTAACATTGCAGACCTCTCGCTATGGTAGTTATAGTGTCTCACATGCTGGTAAGTTATGATTTACGAAATGTGTGATAGTAATGATACCACCAGTAACCAATCTTAATCCAAGATTCTTTGTATTTAACTTGTTCTTAGGTCCCATGTGTAATAACGTGCGAGACACAGCGATCATGTACGGTAAGGTCCTTTCACACAGCATGGTCCCAAACAGGCCAATTGCACTGTACATTTTGTGGTTATACGTGATTTTCTGGTTCTTTGGTTCTTTCCTCCGAACCAGTATTTGAAAATCAAAGTCACCTCCAACATGCATGATCATGATTGGCCGATCCTGTCACAAACTATGGGTAGACGTTGACGATTTGAATCAACAAGGCAGACCATTTTATACTAACGAACCCAGCTAGAATGCTAACCGAAGATTCACTAAGAATAATTCTTTTTCTCAGCTCTACTTTCCGGCCGCGATCCAGAATATCCTGCAGGTAGGTTAGATCGAGTCATCCTTTAGAACAATCCATTTCTTTACTTCCCGACAGCTCGCTATTCCCTCTCCATATTCAATACTTTACTCTCCTTATTCGTTATTGAAGTATCCAGATTCGTCACATCTGTCACCATATTCTTTTGAATATTATTTATGTTTCATGTGATGAATCTGTACAGGTATGATTCAACCAGAACATGCAACTTTGGAAGGATTTGAAAACTTGGATTTGTCCGACTTGACCGTGGGAGTTGACTGGGATTTTGCACAGGTATTAAATGATCTCAATCAAGCACATCTTTGAGACTTGATGTATTTGACCAGGCGCCAGGCGGACTTTATTCAGGTTGTCTTTCATTAATTATCATCACTTTGATGTTTGTTTTCCGTCTAATGTTTCATATAGTTTGCGGACGACGAGATCATTGAGCATTTTAAGAAAGGTAAAGCTGGTTTTATGAAATTCATTGTCCTAGAAAGTAAGATTAGCAGGCAGGCAGGCGGCATATCGAGTGGAAATAACGTCTATTCGTAGGCTTATTATAACCGTCGGAAAAAAATTCAAGCAAAGCTAATTGTCCATTGTGTGAATGCAAAGACTCATTACTACTTTTTGTGGTGTTTCAGCCGTCGAGTTCCTGAAGAGCAGAGGAGCCAATATCGTGTCAGTTCAAATCCCAGAGTTAGAAGAGAGTCGCATTGCGCATATTCTGACAATTGGTTGTGAGATTACTCATGCTGTAGATAATGAATATCCGAATGATATCGAGAAATTGGTGAGGAATTAGTACTTCAAACTGAAATTACAGAAATGGAATGTTTACATGGTCAAGACAGAATTATACCGTCCGGTTCTATAGGAATAGCAACGTGACATATCTGTAGCCTGTAGCTGGGCTAGTGTGCCTTGCTGGTGAGCCTTGCAAGCCCGTTTCGAGAATATTTAACATTTAGTGCTGAAAACGATCACCACGTTTATTTATTTATTTCCCTTTATATAGAACCCGGACACATTTCTTCTGGCTTCTATAGGGAGGCACTCACACCCATTTGATTTTTATCAGGTGAAAATCGTTTAGACCATCATCGGTTTTGTTACAGGACTACATTTGATTGTCAGCACAACTATTTCCGACCTTAGATAACAAATCAATTTATTGCAGAAATTTTTATTTCAGTGCCAGAAACAACGTACTCGCGCTATAGAGTTTCTGAAGACAATATTTCAAAACGTCGATTGTATTCTAACACCCGGTACCTTTTCAATATTTTTTTAATCCTCTCGTTTGAATGAAAGGTCTGTTCAAACGGTCCAATTTTATCAGTTCAAATTCACCTCTGATTGATGCTTTGAAGTCTTGCAGTTTTGCTTATGAATGACAGACTACATTCCATACGACAGACGTGAATATGATAACGACAATATTGGATCATGTGAACAAAAAAAATTATTCAATGAGTGCCTCTATTTCTAATTTAGGTTCAGCTTGTTGTGCAAAGAAGATTCCTAGCAATGCAAAGGGATATGGGTTGAGCGATGTAAGCCTCACCATGAAATATGTCAGGTAACGCTAAATTTTACGTACTCATTCTGTTTTTAGGAGGGACAGATATGGATATTCATTTTTTTCAACGCAAAGTACACCATTTTACTTTACCTGATACTTTGAAATTCCTGTAGATTCCACTTCTTGGGTAATCTGACTGGCGTACCAGGGGTTGTTGTACCAGTCGGGTATGATGACCAAGGTCTACCGATAGGAGTTCAGGTTATGACGTCATGGTGGGAGGAGCATGTCGCGTTGCGTGTCGCTCATTGCCTCGAGGGACTGGTAGAGAGAAAAGAACCAAAAGTTTATTTTGATATTTTGAACAAGAAGGGATCTTAGCTTATGGAAATATATTGAAATCCAGCAAGACTGATTTGCTTTGCTTGACAATAAATATCAAATACAAATATCAAATAGTTGACCTTTTACTTGTTCAATGTGATAGTTTTCATATGACTGAATATAAATTAAACATTTAGTATAAATTAAATTATTTTTGCAATGCGTGAGAATGTCTCAGATCATATTTATTTGCCATCTTATTTGCCTTGTGCAATGTTATTTTACACCATAACCTTCCCGACGCGTGTTTTTGTTCTAATTATAGCCGTAATTATTGTCTCGCGGCAGGACACGCGCGAAGCGACTTAAGACGCGCGCGCCTGGGGCGGCCTGGCAAAAATGTTGCAAAATGGCGGAACGTTAGTTAGAACTTAGAAATAGTTAGAACGAAGAAATATTGACTGAAGATGTCTTATGTGCGATTTCGGGAATGGAAAGACTAGTACATACTGCTTTCGGAGCAGGGAAGATGTTGTGTCGAAACGAATTTTGTGTCGAATAGATTTTTGCCTACCATATAAACTTTTTATTATACGTTCAAAACTTCAAGATATTTAAGATTAAAGATTAAGGTAGAAATATTAGAATTTACCTTCGATAGTAACGTTCTGAAAAGACTTTCTTCGACCACTGTTCTTCTTCAAGTTTGTAAAAGGTTGCCAAATTTATCTCACTTCTCAACACATTTTCTGCCAGGCGCGTTCCCTGCCTTGCTTCACGCGTGTCCTCCCGCGAGACAATAATTACGCAATTAATACAAAGCAAAAACACGCGCCGGGGGGAAACTGTACGTGGCCTTGATGAAGCTAATGGTTACTAATGGTTACAGTCCAATTGATGCGCAGCCGGGTTTGCGCACCGGTTGTTTCTACTCGTAAGAATGCGCGGGGCCCTCAAATTTTAAAATTGCTTAGTTTGGCCGCTTTGTCGATTAATCGGTTAAGATCCGGTACTTTCAACTTTAAGCATGACTTCTTCATCAGAACTTGTCTCTTGTATTGCCGCTTTCAATTGTTGTTCTCTTGCAAGTGTTTAGCAAAGAAATCCAGTTTGATTTTGCCTCAGATGATCTGGCTTGGCAAATCCAACGTTTCTTAGGCGTCACGATTACAAACGCATTTTGTGCATCTAAGAGACACAATTCGCACTTCGTGAGGTGAAATTTTGAAGGATTTCACGACAAAATTTGATTTAAAATCATGAGCGAAATGTGGTCCAAGACACACGAATACATGGGGGGATTTTCTCAACAACTGAACGGACAATAAATACTTACACTTAGTATCACTGATTTCCTCCAATGTCAGAGTAGACAGTGGCACTGATTGATGGTATCTTGAGAAATCAAAGAGAAAATAAGTTGACCTGGATATCGTGAGCATTTTCACATGTGCATAGTAATCGAAAGCGTCCGAAAGATTATAACCGCTCATATTCACTTACTTATAACTTATTTCTAAAATTCTTTGAAACGGCACAGCCGTGAGGTTTTTTGTCGTCAAGACCAGACAATCGTTGAATAAAAACAAGCCCAAGTTTCCAATGTTATTAAACACTCTGTAAAATGAAAAAAATCCATCATTTTGACCATAGAAATTATGGACAATGTCTTATATTTATTTCCCACGTTTTTAACCCACAACTTAGATGGGAATTGGAAACTCGCGAAGCCTTCTATAGTATAGAGCTTAAGAATAGGTAACGTATATCTTATACATAGGGTTGCTACAGAAAGTATAATTCACCATCAGTTACCGACCGAATGCAGAATTATCAAATTTACCTAAACTCAGCCTTTACGTCGTTTTCATCTGTTTGTTTTAAATGAATAACATCTTCTTGTTTCATGAAATATCTTCCGCGTTCAACTAAAGCCTACAAGGAGAGTAGCAAGAATACAACAACTGTTAAAACCTGAGTTAGGTTAGTTGAAACTGTGCTCAGCGTTTGAATACCAATGATTTATCATAGTATCTGATAGCAAGGCCTTACCGGACAGTTCTGGATTTGCTGTTGAACTTCTTTCAGACGTTTTTCAAGACGCAGCCTTGTGCTAGCCTGAAATGAATGAGTATAAACGTTCAGTGGTTTGAAATGAAAAAATAACTTGATTAAACAAGTTTCAGGTACCTCATCAAAGAGCAATCTTAATTGTTTCAACTGCTCGATTGCTTTGATCAGTTTCTTGTGGTCCTTGTGTTCCACAGATGTTTGACAGAGAAATGATTCCAACAGACAGATATACCTAAACAAAACAAGATAATATTCATCCGAAGGACATGTAAACTAAACAGTCTAACCGATAACGGTTAACTCTAGCTGTTCTAAACTGTTTTCCTAGAGCCTCGTCTCTTATTGATCCAGTGTTACCACAGGAGGAAACCTAAACTAAACTAACTTTATTTATACTGGATACTTCCATCAGTTCTAAACTGTTCTTCCTAGAGGTCCAGTAAGAATCATCTCTTATTGATCCAGTGTTACTACAGGAGGAAACGTAAACTAAACTAACTTTATTTATACTGGAAAGCTCTATCAGCTCTAAACTGTTCTTCCTAGAGGTCCAGTAAGGATCATCTCTTATTGATCCAGTGTTACTACAGGAGGAAACCTAAACTAAACTAACTTTATTTATACTGGAAAGCTCTATCAGTTCTAAACTGTTCTTCCTAGAGGTCCAGTAAGGATCATCTCTTATTGGTCCAGTGTTACTGCAGGAGGAAACCTAAACTAAACTAACTTTATTTATCTTTATTTTCTACTTGATAGCTCTTTCAGTTCTAAACTGTACTTTCCAGAGGATCATCTCCTATTGAACCAGAGAAAACCTAAACTTAACTATAAACTTAACTATATCAAAATATATCTATCGTGATTGTGGCAAAGAACCTACTCGTGTACTCGTTTTGTAGGGGCCAACAGCAAATTTGGCAAACTGAAAGAAAAAACGAATTAGATGGATGAGATGGATGGTAGTCGCTTCGTTATTGGTTAACAGGTGATCGAACGAAAGCATAATATATAACGGCAGGAAATACTATTATATAAGTTATAAAACCAAACCTAGAAAGTTTGGTGCTGGGCTGTTTTTCCAATTGCAGCAAGAATCCACGAAATGCTGGGTGTTGCTTCTGACACTAAAATTAAACGAGTTGAGATGACTTTAGAAGAAACCATATTTACTAGAAACCTTGTGTCATTGCACACGAACCTTGTCGATTGTCGCCAACGTTATTGGATAATTGTTCAGAAAATTGATGTAAGCTTTAGATTTTGTGTTGAACTTCAGGAAAACGTCACCAAGACACTAAAAATTAACAAATTAAAAACAAATTACTGTGTACAGTACAAGAAAAGACAGATATCCATGGTACAGGACAGGACATTTGTAAATACGGTAAATCATCACACCTGGTGAGAATCCCAATCTTTCAAACGACAAGACAGATCATTTTCGAGTTCCCTTTGAAACACGTAAAAAAACGAGTGAAAGGATAGAATATATTATTTCACTCTGTGATAAACCGATAGGCTTAACGGCCAATTTTAAGTTAGTTCCAAATATGTGAAATAATTAATTTTCAACTGAATGAACTGTAAACACATTTGACTGAGACGAATTGATTGCAAACCTAAGTAATAATTTATATATGGAATCTCACTTGTTTACTGCCAGTAGAGTTTCGCTGTCATTAAAAATCATTCGAATGTTGGCACTTCCAATCACTGGCCTGAATTAAAAGAACGAGTGAAAGTTGTTTTATTCTTAATGGTCCATGCAGATCTTGTTTTAAGCTAGATCATCAACTGATACCTGTTAGATTTAATCGATGCCTCCAAAGGCTTCCTAAATGTATCTTGTATGATACTCAAAGTTTTGCAATAATCCTTCTCCGTACTGAGCAACTCATGTGCTATCACTGAACGCCGCTCTCCCAACGATAGACGTTCCGTTAGATTTGCATTCTGCAACGAATGAAGATTTATCTCAAAGCAATATCTAGATCGTATTATGTTACATCATCATATAAACCTAAACTAATGAAGCAACAATCATCTTACTGTTGTCCCCTCGTTCAATCGCCATTGCTCATCTTCCGACTCAAATTCATCTTCAGAATAAACATCTTCACCTTCCTTCAAAGGCTCTTTTTCATCCAGAGGCGCTTTCTAAAGGATTGAACCAAGTTGATATTATTTTACCACCGATAACTAGCAACGACCATACGCGGAAAAAGGACGAACAAACCTTCATCTTCTTCCTCGCCCGCTTCTTTCTCGGATTTTGCTCTTTTTCGCATTCTTTAAGACAGTGAATAAGACTTGCAACTGGTTTGGCCTGAGGAAACGAAACCAATTATATTTAGATATTAAGTTAGCCTTGCAAGCTTGTATCACGAGTTATGCATATCATGGCTTCTTCTCTGATAAAACTTTGGGGAAATAAGACTCCGTTTACACTATACTGCATGGGTTCATCTGGTCACGACATTATAGCTTAAATTGTTTTACGGTATATCTGTTTCCCCAGAACTTTTTCGGATCATGTACAGTAAAAGCAATCATGCTATCACACTTGTGACTGTGACTCGCTCTGACACGGCTAAATTTGTAAACAGGGCCTAAGACACTACATCGCACTGTCATAAGTAAATTGAACAGCTGGTTTAGTCCCATACCTTTTCAATTTGTTTCTGTTTCGTCATCAAAACTAAAGCTTTAACCAATATCCTACTGACATCTTGGATTTCATTTAATTCAACCAAACCCAACACTTTGAAAATTATTTCACCTGCATTGGATGAAATAAAATTGCTGATTATTTCTAGTTGTTTGTAATATAAATTCTGATGAAAACTAGCAGTTGTAGCATACCAACAATCTTTGACGCCAGGCCGTAAATTTCGTCTTCAAAATGTCCAGTTAGTTCTGCAGACACTTTATTCAAACTCTCCTAAAAAAAACATCAAGGAATATCAAAGATATATAATTGGTTTTAGTCCCGGGATCAACATTGCCGTCCTGTACAAACCTGGATATACTCAGCAGTCTTACTCCAAGCAGCCAACTTAATTTCGTTGAAATACAAACTTGAAGGTTTCTCCACGTCTTTTTCGGGCACTGGAAGCCAACTATCATCACCTTAATCCAAAAACAAATCTCTTAATACAAGATTTAACACGCCAATCCTAATCCTAATCGTAATCGATACCAATCCTAATCGTTCATATTAATCTTTATTATTCTAATCCTACACAAATCCTAATCATTGATACTAATCCTAATCATTTAAGACCAATCCTTAGGTTCTTGGTAATGAAACTTCAGCCAGTTATAAATGCAAATGATCCTGATTCCGAACCTTTAAGCAGGGAAGACGTTGTCCCAGTAGGAGAAGAAAATATCAACCCTGTTGCAATTTGAAGTTGGCTCAGCAATTCCATTCCAACATCTAAACATTTTAAAGAGATTAAACAAAAATCAAGTGGACGATATTATTATCAATGACAGGAATCCAATCCAAAGTTTTCGAGGAATCAATCTTACTGATCTAGATCCGAGTTTTACCTGAATTAAGGAGGTTTTTATTAAGGTAGTTACCTGTTGCACCCAGTGGAGAGAAGATATCAACATGACCACCTTCATCTTGGTTCAAGATATCCAAACTCAGCGATTGCCAGAAATTCTGAATCTCAGCATCGTTTAACGATGACAGCGATGTTCTACTATCTGCAATACCCAAAATAACAACTGCATTACTGCAACACAAATTTGTGTACGCATATGTACGTTAGTGAATGCGATTTTGAACTTTTTTACCTCGAGTAATATCCAAAATCCCGCTTTCCCCATGAACAAATAACCCAACACTCCTGCAGGAAAGTTTAAGAAAGAGTTTTACCGAGGTCTAAAAGAAAACTGAGCGAGACGTAGCTACGTGTGATAGCGTTCACAGCGTGAACTTAGCTGTATTTTTAATTCGGTCCATAGTGGAGGAAACTCCCTTTTTTACGCCAGAATTATATGTTATTGTTTGTAAATGGGTAGCGAGGACGCTCGAGGAATAAAGTAATTTCAAACCTTGCTTTTCGTCCTTGCAAGACGGCAGAAAAATGATCCAGCAGTCCTCGCAATGTCGTCCCCTCGTATTGGTAGACAATAGGAAGAACTCCATACAGCACGGAGCTTGCCAACACCTGAAAAACAAAAGAGATGATCTTGATAAGTTTCAGGCCTCTCGAAAAAACCTGACCGGGTTATAAATTAAAACATATCCTTCGCGGAATTGTTTTCGCTCTACATACACAGATGTGATAAATCCTACCTCGTGAGCTGTTATTTTCGATGAAATAAATATAACACGAGGATTTACGATATTTGGATAAGCCTTTGGAAAAAAGACAACATTTTTATTAGCGTTCTCCACAAAATATGACGATAGTTCAACGTTGAGATTTGGTCTTCGGGGGGAAAGTTGTCCAAAAAGAAACGAATCGCGACGACAATCTCATTAAAATATTGCAACAAATTGTATTAGCAACGAACCAAGCTAAATTCTTGTAAACTCTTCTTGGCATCGACATCTGAATACAGTTGAGAACTCTTCAATTTCTTTGAGCTGAACAGACATTTTTGAAAAAAATATTTATAAGAGGAAATTAGGAATTCGAGACATCATTGCTTCACAAAATACAACAAACACAAACCTTTTTCTGTCATTTTGTATAAAATTTTGATTTTCATCCAATTCGAAAGTCATTCCATCAGCTTTATGATGAAGAAAATTTGCGTCAACAGTCTAATATGACCATCGGTAATTACGTTTCACAAAAAATTGCAACTTACTCTGATAGAGAATTTCGTAGCGCATTGCTTCAGATAATGTCAACGTGGCTGGATTCGCCTCATGTTCTCCAAAAAGTCTAAATTCCTGGGAAATTTAATGAAATAGAAAGATAAACTACATTGTTTTAGGATTGTACAGAAGTATATTTAGCATTCAAACGTTCTTTCTAAATTGCTCGTACCTCACTCCTTGTTCGTCTTAATGAATGATCCTGGTATTGCCCACTGCCAGGAATATGCACTGGAGTTGTTTTTGATCTGAAGTGCTTGCTTCGAGTGGTTGGAGCTTCCAGAGCTGTCAGGCCAGAACTTTGTTTTTCTGGACTTTTTTTACCACGCAAAACCTTATCAGCAAATTCTAGTTCTTTTGGTCGAGAACTGTTGGCAATCCATGGTGGGCGAATAGGTTCTATGGTACAAAAGATATTCATGCAATTTTATTAGGTTGGTTGTAATTCTAGTTCATTTTCATAAGAAAATGGAAAAGTCTTTCCAATAACTTCTCTTACCATCTTTATGAACAACTGGAAGGTTCTTCTTCCATTTACTGTAAGCTCTTGCAGCAATATCAGACTCACTTTGGTATTTTCCAGCTGTCAGTGCTTTTAAAATATGGCTGTATTTCTCATGAAGTGAATTTGCCTAGAGACAAGAGGAAGAACATCTTATGTCTCCTGGGCTGTTTATTTTCGATGAGTGAGGATTTTCCCAGCTAAATGATTTACAGTAAAATATAACAACATTTTGCATTTTCTAGCTTCCAAAAATATACCCTGAAATACAAAATTGTTTGACCAGGGGAAATGATGAGAATTACAGCTAGGTTTGGAATGATAAAGCCACAGTTTGAATGTTGATCAAATCAGTTTAAACATACTCACTGACTTATGAGGCACTTCAATTTCTAAAGTCTTAATACACATCATATAATGTTTCTTCCAAGCTCCATTTTCCAAGCTACTCGGCTGATATGGCAAATACCAACCAAACTTCAGGCATTTGCTTCTCCAGACAGCATCCTGTTCGACCAACCATTTCCAATGCCACGACACACCTGCAGCTCGGCACAGGCTGCGTGGATCAAGATAACTAAATATGTGTGTTGAGACAACTCGTGGAAGCAGTGTTGTGAAATCTTGTTGAGGTCTTACAGGTTGCTTGAACCAGGCTAGGATGAACTTTAGTTCTGGTGTCGACGACTGGTCCAGAATAAAATCAAAGAAACGTTTCCTCTGCACTTCACTCCATGTTTCATACTATACATGTTTCATGCCAAAACAGAAAATACAAAATTCATTCTTTTTGCCCTAAAAATCATGCTGTATCTGCGGTCAGTTCATGATAATCATTAGGGAGTGAAATATAATCACATACAACAAAATGAAAATGGCTTTGCAGGGAAGTATTATGACTGCAGTCTGCATGCATGCAGATGATTAAAAATGAAAAACCTTGTACTTACCCATTGACCAATTAAATTACGACGCTCTAGGAATACCTACATATGAATAATTTGTCCTGCATTAGATATTGAAGAACTGTAAACCTAGCTTTAATTTTTTACGTAAAACGGTATCGGCCAATAGTTTCGTAATTTGATTTTACAAAGCCAAATATTTGCCGGTAATAAATTATATCTATTTAACAAACAAAGCTGAATAAACACGATATTGTACTTCTGTATTGTATTAATACATTTAATACAAAATTCCAAAAGCAGATTTATGCTAATTCCATCATTCAGATTATAGACTAACTTAGACAAAGCGCATTAGCAAACTTCAAAGTTCATAATAAATATTTTGACAAACGTACTTTATCATATAAAATATCGTCGACGTTGGATTTCCACGCACTGCGATTGGTATTTTGATTCCTATACCCCAGTATATCATTTGACATCGTTATATACTTGCTTTTCATGTACATTGGCTTAGAATCTCGCTTTTTGTTTTGTCTTGTTGACATTTCACTCCTTGGGCGAGACGCCATCTTGGATTCCAACGCTAAACGAATGCTGTTGCTATGGTAACATTGCGTAGAGTGACACAGCAAACCCAGGAGTCAATGTTCTGTAGGGAGTAAGGGCTTTTCAGGTACTACTCCCCTTTAGTACCAGTTTCGACAAATTCACAAGAGATTTTAAGCTATGATATTTTACAATACGGTAGTTTTACCATCGTTATAAAACTATCGTCTTCCTAGCTGATGACGGAACGCTAAAACGAGCGTGATATTCCTAACAGTACTTATTAGAATGTTATTATCAGACAAAGGTTCAAATTAACGCCTTACCATCTAATGTACAATTGTTTATACGCGACGGGTTGAGGTGTTGTGCCTGGAAATTCGGCGAGCACAATACTGAAACAAAACTTTATTTTTCAAACATCTAAAAAAATGCAGTTTACAGTTTTAACATGAAAGGTAAGTATGTATCTTGGTGCAGGTGGAATTTACTGTCGCAACTGAACTCATACTGATGTTTACCTATTTAGACAATCCAATCACTGAGTGTACTTTGTTGTTCCTGTTGACTTTGTCTTGTTGTTGTTTCTGCAAAGGTAGACTATATTGATCTAGAAAATGATTAATCTTTTCAACAAAAAATATGTTTTCTTCAAAAGCTGTGAAACGATTCTTCTTGTCTCCTTTGCAACACAGGAGCTGAACATATGAAGTGTAACCGAACTTCCTATGACAAGATCGCTTGCTTCAAGAGGAATTCACATCGCGGATTCAGATTGTTTGAAATTCTTGTGATGACTGACCGTGACTGGTCTGCAACACAGTATGGTGGTGTGGATATTGACTGGAATAACTGGGAAAACTACATACATGGGTAGGTTTAGGGTAGGTTTCGCGATCGGTAAACCATACAGAAGCAAGCAAAGTCTAGTAAAATCAACTAAACTAACTTTATCTGTATTGGAGTGCTGCATAACGGTCTCTAAACTGTTCTTCATAGATGTCCAATGAAGTTCATCTCTTATAGATCCAGTGTTACTACAGGAGAAGACCTAAACTAAACTAACTTTATTTATAATGGATAGCTCTATCAGTTCTAAACTGTTCTTCCTAGAGGTCCAGTAAGGATCATCTCTCATTAATCCAGTGTTACTACAGGAGGAAACTAGCCCGTAATCTTTTTAAAACTGGATATCTCCAGCAAAAACCTTTCATATTCGATTTTCACATCGATTCTTAATCCTTTAGATTTGCATGTCGCTGTCTTGAAAGACTTAAAGATCTCGTCAAAACAACTGGGAAGAAATATCACCACTTCTCAATGCTGAACTACGGTGAGTGTTGGACTTCGGAGGATGTTATATACGACTTGACGCAGCTGGACTTAGACGAAACATGTGTTGGAGATGATTTTCTCTTGTGTCAACGCGAGGCAGAGAGCGAGTGCTTTGGTAGAGAGGAGAGTCAGTTCGTGTATCACGTTAACTACGAAGACGAGCCGGTAGTGGACGAGTACAAGAATCTTCAGAGTGAATGTACAATCGAAACTATGACAGTCTGTTCAGCACCTAGTCACAGTTACAATGCATATGCTAGCCCGACAGTTCAACCATAAAGAAATAAACTGAGACGTTTAATGATAACTTTATATGTAGGCATCCTGAAAGAGGAAGGGTCGCCAATTCGTAAAACACTATTAAATTTAGCTGGACAACGATTGTTGAAATTGTAAAAACTATCAACTTACAAGTCGTCCCTGCCAAATAAATCATTTAAACCCAAGTATGAAAAGAGTGTAGTGCAGACGTTTGATCCTAGCCGCTTCAACTCTCATCTATTATCGACCTCGTTATCGACATTGTTCAAGATGATTCACATTGTTATGTAATGAAGGTGTCCACACTTTCCCACACCGAAGCCGGGGAGTTTCTGTTTAATTGCTGAGATATTTTCAGAAGTGTTTAGCGCGTGATTGTCTTCATCACAATACTGCGTACGAATAACTACAACCAAATAAGACATTACTAAGGAAACACAAACAATTGTAGAACGTCAATTGCTTCTACAAACCTAATTCATAATCAAATTTCTTACGAACGGCTAGTCTACAATCGTCCCTTCCGTGCTGCGATCCTCCTCAGAAATCATCCTTCCTAAAAATGTCAAAATCTATAACCTATAATGTCATAATCTTCAACTTGATATCTATCATCATCTTTTAACTGAAATGAAAGGTATGGGAGAGCAATTTTAAGTATACCGCGCATGCTATTCAGTTAGTGTTAAAATCATGCAGCAAAGTGCCTCATGTCAAAGCTCTTTCAAACACTTTTATAGGAGACGTTTTGCTGTTTATTTCGCTCGCTTTTATCAGCTGGTTTCAATATTTCAAAGGTAAGAATAGAATGGCAAAGTATGATGTGTTAGATGATAGTAAAATAGAAGAGCAGAGTATGAATAAAGTTAGTTTAGTTTAGGTTTCCTCCGGTAGTAACACTGGATCAATAAGAGATGATTCTTACTGGACCTCTAGGAAGAACAGTTTAGAACTGATAGAGCTATCCAGTATTAATAAAGTTAGTTTAGTTTAGGTTTCTTCCAATAGTAACACTCGATCAATAAGAGATGATTCTTACTGGACCTCTTGGAAGAACAGTTTAGAACTGATAGAGCTATCCAGTATAAATAAAGTTAGTTTAGTTTAGGTTTCCTCCTGTAGTAACACTGGATCAATAAGAGATGATCCTTACTGGATCTCTAGGAAGAACATAGCGCTATCAAGTATGAACTTACACAACATTGATCATGTTAAAATCCATCATCAGTTCGCGGAAGCCATCATGAAACGTGTGATCGAGAATATACCAAGGTTGGCTGCGTCCACACTTACCAGAACCGAAAAAGAATCTACAACGAGCTAATTATCACTGATCGCGACAGCCGCTCTCCAAAATCAAGTGATATTCCTACTGACTGGTTTCACTGGGAGGAATACTTGCTTGGGTAGGATATTGTCAACGAACCAAATATAATTTAACACCGTTTAAAAGAGCCATAGTCTTCAAAACTCCTTCCACCGAGCCTCGTAATACGACCATGGTCGTGTTCGTTATTTTTCGGCCAATACGACGTATCATGATCGTTTTGGCCGGAAAATGACGAATACGACCATGGTCGTATTGCCCGGAAAATGACGAATACGACCATGGTCGAGTTAGACGTTTTCCGGCTAATACGACCATGGTCGTATTCGTCATTTTCCAGCCAATACGACCATGATACAACCATGGTCGTATTCGTCATTTTCCAGCCAATAAGACCATGGTCGTATTCGTCATTTTCCGGCCAATACGACCATGGTCGTATTCGTCATTTTCCAGCCAATACGACCATGGTCGTATTCGTCATTTTCCGACCAATACGACTATGATACGACCATGGTCGTATTCGTCATTTTCCGGCCAATACGACCATGAAACGACCATGGTCGTATTCGTCATTTTCCGGCCAATACGGCCATGATACGACCATGGTCGTATTCGTCATTTTCCGGCCAATACGGCCATGATACGACCATGGTCGTATTCGTCATTTTCCGGCTAATACGACCATGATACGACCATGGTCATATATTCGCCGGAAAATGGCAAATATACGACCATGGTCATATATTCGCCGGAAAACGGCAAATATACGACCATGGTCATATATTTGGCGGAAACTGCAAATATACGACCATGGTCATATATTCGCCGGAAAACGGCAAATATACGACCATGGTCATATATTTGGCGGAAACTGCAAATATACGACCATGGTCATATATTCGCCAGAAAATGGCAAATATACGACCATGGTCATATATTCGCCGGAAACTAATGGAAAATATACGACCATGGTCATATATTCGCCGGAAACTAATGGCAAATATACGACCATGGTCATATATTCGCCGGAAACTAATGGCAAATATACGACCATGGTCATGAAAGAGATATCTTTTACGGCCATTATTTTCATCGTGATAAGCGCAACTTGACAAACATCTCTTATTTCAGATTAGCCTGTCGATGTGTCGAGAAATTGAACAAAATCTCAAATGGTAATTTAAGTCTTTTCCATCAGTTTACGATTGAAAACTACGGCGAATGCTGGAGTTCTCGGTTCGGTCACGACGCTCTGCATTCTCTTACGAAATCCAACAACTGCATAGGAGCTGGCTTTCTGGAATGCCAGCAAAATCGCCCAGGAGAATGTACTGGCATCAAACTTTCCAGTTTTCTTTATCAAATACACAACAGAACGAAGCTACTCGACGAACATTGCCATATCGTGAAGCGAATCGTCTGTCCTTCTTCGACGATACAATGGAATTCATCTTTGCCCTTGCAATCACCAATGACGGACCAGACAACGTTCATAAATTCGACACGAACTCAGCAACACACGGCATCTCAAGTTCAAATAAGTCCTTCTACAACAACCTTAAACCAGACGATCAGTAGAGAAAACGACAGCTCTTTACGCGTACTTCAAAGCTCTGATATTCAAAACATTACCAGCAAAGAACATTTCATGACTTCTAGTAAAATTATGCACGATTCAACGATTACATTGCAATACACAAATCCCCAAATTTTATTACAGTCAACGGACTCCCAGCCGTCATCAAAGTCGGTAAAAGCATCATTTCAAGGATCAAGAACAGTCTTTAATCAAACTGACTCAATGCTTTCTCATCGCCAAAGTCTAAACACTGGATTACTGTACACATCTGGAAGCAGAATTTCAAACATAATTCTAGCTCCGACGCAATTTTTTATCACTTCTTCAATGCGCAATGCAACGACAGCTATAGACTTCTCCGTTGTGGAATCCAACATTGAGAATCATTCAAGTGATAATGGCCCAATAAAATCTTCTCAAACACACGCTTTAATAACACCTTCAACTGCGGAGAAGATAACAAACATAAGGTACATCACGCACTCGTCAACCGAAGTCGAAACCCACACTAGCAGGCTAAATGCTGTCGTCTCTAGTATTAACACAAACCCAATCGAAAATATATCAACTTATACTTCACAATCAAGGTCTCAGCCGGATTTCTCAACATTAGAAAGCAACAACCAGACACCACCAGCCATCTCCAGTTCTACTTCAATGACGTCACGGTCGTCTTGGCAACGGAATGAAACATGGTTATCTTCACCTACACAGAAAACTGGTTATGTCATTTCAAATCTGCCATCAAAGTCATATCAATTGAATATCTCTAACAGTACCGCGATTAGAGAACCCCGCCCAGTTTTCAGTACCAATCTCTCGAACATCCAAAATAATTCTAAATCTGACTCATTCAACGGTCCTTGGCCATCATTAAGTACTGGCCTTTTCAATATCTCTAACAAAATGGCAACTAGTTCATTTCAGGATCTACCTACCTTCAGTGCAGTTGGTGGCTCCAGTCTGATCCAGAATACCACGATTCCTCTGTCGCGTGTTAAACCACCCCTGCAGGAATACAGTCATGCTTCAAGCTCGTCTTCCATGTCATCTTTCAGCGATAAATATTCCAGCTATAATTTGAAGAAAGAAACGAATTATTCATCCATGAAACAGCTGGAAAAGACACAGTTCACCGTTCCCACATCCTTGCCAATCGAGGAACCAACATCCACAGTAACGTCTCGAATATCTAAAGCGATTGAAATTACTTCTAGTCGTGGAATAACCAGAGAATCACACACGTCAATACGTCATATTTCAACAGACTCTATGACTACTGGTAAAATAAGTTCACACAATCCTCAGTCCCAAAATAGCTTATCTTCTATCACACAGTCTGCTTTAACGACACAATCAACAACATCGAAAAGCAAGTGCTGGAAATTTTTCTGCAAAGGGAACTCAGCAAGGAGCCAGCAATGCAAGACTATGGTCATTCTCATTATGCAATTTATCTTTATTTTGCTTGCCTGATTAGCGGCTAGACTAGTTTGCCAAGCTCCTGAGCAGATGAGATTGTACCGACGTCGTTCATTACATAAAGGTCACTCCTTCACGCAATTAGCATGTAATTAACCAATTAGAGTAGCAATTATAATGTATATGATAATTACAATGATATTTTAGGAAAATATTACCAAATAAAATTACATACGGTTAAAGTAATAAACATAAGTAGGAATAAAATAAGAAATCCTCTGTCGAGTGTTGTCGCTGCCGTGAGCCAGTGTCTTTTTTGCGATGATCTGTACTCCCAATTCCTAGCGAGATAATTGATTTCTTGGATATCTGAAACAAGACGTTGGTTGAGAACTATCATATCGTTTATGAAGGAAACACAACGAGCTTTTCCTGGCTTCCTCAGGCACGATTCGCATTGGCAGTAATGAGGCGCTTGGTTTTGTAAATTTAAATGTTCGCGAGGGATTTTCATTGTCATGTTAACACCTGCGTCCATTGCATCGTCCAACGACCGTTTATGAACTGTTTCGGCGAGCTTCTCAGTTGTAACATTGCTGTTTCCGGTTCTGTGTTTTTCTGGGTCTATATTGACCTGTGAACCACTTGAAGCACTGCTATCTGTAATGGTACTTCGAGTTGCCTCATTTTCACTGTTTCCCATCTCAGATTCATCCAGTTTTAACTGAGTTCTCTCAGCATGAATCGTTGCCACTCTGCCATTAGTCTGCTCGCTGCTACACCGACACATGCAATCTTTGTTTATGGATCTGTCTATTGATCTCAGTTCCTCAAAATTTTCGCATTTATCCTTTGCCGTATTTGCAATAGCGTGAAGTGTTTCAAGCTTCTCTTTGATGTCATTTCCAATGCTCGTCATACCCCAAACACAACCAAGTTTCTGGATTACAAATCCGCGAACGCCCTCGGACATAATGTTCAAAGGTGTTTGTCGGTGATGAGCATTTAAGGTAATACAGACTGCGTAGAATATCAGAGTTACCTTTGGTGAAAACAGAAAATTTTACACACAGTTGTTTATACTTCTACTACTTTTCAATGAAGTATATTCTAAGGTTTAAAGGGTCTTAATTTCGAGTGGAATTATACACACTTCAAATTCAAGCCAGGAACAGTTGAAGGAAGAATGAGTCAACTAGTTACTGTTTCCTAGAACAGAAATCTTTACCTCAAAACTAAGCATGACAAAGTAAATACTGAGAATAGGAACTGTGTCTGAGGTTGGAGTCCTTTCAGCCACCATTTTCAGAAAGAAAAACATTGATACCAGGCATGTTAACACAAGACCGATCCGTTCTCCTCTTGTGACGAACGCCATGATAGTTAAACCTAAATTTCACGAATGCATTTCGTAATATGAGCAAAGATTTCTTTGCTTGAGGTCAGAAAGAGCACAAAACTTCATTCTAACCTGTCAGAAACACGGCGGGAAAGATGAAGTTCACACCGTAGCTTTTTTGTCTTCGCTTCAATGTGACAGTATATGTGACGTCAGGGTAGGGTTCAGGACAACACGGGTAGAATTGGACTTTGCGTTCTACCGTGGTAGTTACCAGCTCCCACTCGAGACTTGAAGGGGACTTGGAAATATCCATAGTGTATGACTCCGGGATAACGTCCAGAGTAAAACCATCGTACGTCCAAGAACCTATCTTGATCCTACAGGTCTGAAAAAAAGATGAAAAGTTTTATCGTAAAAGTTTAGCAACGTTTTTGAGAGAGGTTTATCCTTGTTGGACTTGAAAAGAGAATAGTTTAGAACAGTCATGATTAAGTTTAGTTTAGGTTTCCTCCTGTAATAACACTGGATGAATAAAAGATGATCCTTACTGGACCTCTAGGAAGAACAATTTAGAACTGATAGAGCTATCCAGTATAAATAAAGTTATAGTTTAGGTTTCCTCCTGTAATAACACTGGATGAATAAAAGATGATCCTTACTGGACCTCTAGGAAGAACAGTTTAGAGCTGATAGAGCTATCCAGTATAAATAAAGTTATAGTTTAGGTTTCCTCCTGTAGTAACACTGGATCAATAAGAGATGATCCTTACTGGACCTTTAGGAAGAACAGTTTAGAACTGATAGAGCTATCCAGTATAAAAAAAGTTAGTTTAGTTTAGGTTTCTTCCTGTAGTAACACTGGATCAATAAGAGATGATCCTTACTGGATCTCTAGGAAGAACAGTTTAGAACTGATAGAGCTATCCAGTATCCAGTATAAATAAAGTTAGTTTAGTTTAATAAGGATGACTTTATCAAAACATCGTCAACACCTGGATCGCTGTACCTGAGAATCAAAAGGGAACATTTTGATGTCGACCTGACAGGATGTTCTCAACACGGATGGACCCATCCATCGAACCCTCCCGTCGTTGTCGACAATAATCCGGGTTTGAAACTGATCCAGACCACTGTATTTACCTCGGTTTACTCTAAAAAACAAATATTTTTCAAACAATGTTGGGAAAATTGTTTCATAGGAACATCTTCTCTGAGTGAAGTGAACAAATATTGTTTCCTATCAGTGTTTTCCCACCACGAGAACTCAACTTACTCGTTGTAAACTTTGATATCTGGAACCCAAACATCGCTGGCATGCATGTTAATCCTTTTGACATTGGAAAAATTTGATGGCGTCCACGTAAACCTGTGATCATACCACGTCTAGGGAAGATTGGTAAAAGCCATGTTTAGAAATGAATAAAGTTTAAATCTGAACAATCGAAAACAAATCGTTTACCTGTCGTACCCATAGACTTGTTGTGAGCATTTGATTTTTGTCATCCTTATAAGAAAAAGTAGATAAATCATGAAAAATCGACACAAGATAAGACTAAAATAGCCTGATCATGGAAGATCGAGACAGTATGATGTCCTACCATATTCCTGATAAGATACAAGGATATTCCAACCGTAACCGAAACATTATCTCTCACATCAAGTACAGGTCTTGCCTCCTTTGAATAGTCCTTCAGAAGCATCTTTGCCAGACGAACTTTTGCATCGAATGTTCTCTCAGCTGGGAAAAAAAAAGCATCAAGATTGAGTCACGATAAAACCAAAATCGTTTGCTTCACATGAGGATTACAATCATAACCGTTACGAATAATGACTTACCAAATGCAAGACAGAAATGCATAGTTCCCAAGTAACACACAAAGCAGAATAACAGAAGATACATTTCTAAGCTGTTTTTGCGACCAAAGTTTTTTTCAATGGCTGAATTCGCTGCAAAGAGTTGATACAAAAAGCTTCAACGAAGCGAAACGGAACTCGAGAATTGATATATTTTAAAAATAAACCATCGAAAACCTAAGTCCTTTTGAGTGCTATAAATCTGCATGTAAATAATACAGATTGTTTCGTGCAAGAAGCAAAATTGGCCTGTTGAGAGGGCTGAAACAACAGCTTAAACACACGCTGATAACTGAAGTGGTTTTAACAAAACTTCACTCAATTAACAGTAAACCATGCTGGGCCCACACAGCGCATATATGCCAAAGGAGCGCTACAAAAGTATTTAAAATATTAAATGATGTTCAAAATATTTTACGTTTCTCGCTATTCAGACTTCCTAATTAACAATTTCCTGCCATAATGAAGCTGTTTAATAAGCAAAGAGATTATTAAAATTGTTTAAAGGGGCTATTACCTCGCTATTCCAATAAACAGACGTTGTATTAATAGCTCATTGTATAGACATACAGTTTGTGATGGCGATGCATTGTGCGTTATTTGCAGAAGTCATTTCAAAATCGTTATCACATTGGATTCAATCCCATTTATTTAACCAATTTTTTTCCTTGTCAAAACACGTCTATATTATAACATAAGACATTTATAGACCAACGTATTGTCCTTTTTGTTGTCAAAAGCACAGCAAAACACTAATTGAACTCTTTGTATGAAAACAGCATGCTGCAATAATTGGGACTTATTTCGATTTGGACAATGAAAAGTTGCTACACAATGCAATGACTATTGTATTATACTGACAAAAACCATTATCTCATATTTAGCTAGCAAAGGCTCGCCCAAAGCCCTGTCATTGACATGAGGCGCATTGTGAAGCTAGTTTTTAGTCAATTTTCCTGAACATCCAGCAGCTGATACTGCAAACTTTAACTAACATGATATTCACTGGATGTATTGACCTCGCATTTGGTGGTAAACACATGTTATAATAATTATCAGAACATTCATCATGTAACATTTCTCGCACACATAAGAAGTGCATTTGACTTTGAAAACTTTCATTTGCAGCACAAAAGTCTTCACGAGAGTCTTAAAACCTCAAATCGAGACGAACATCCACAAATCTCCATCAGACATCAGCCTGATACGACCGAAATAATGACGAAACAAATCACAAACAAAACCAGGAACACTCGATCCAAGATGGTCGCAGCGATCAGCCAGTTTTCTTTCTCAGACGAGGTCTTGTCAAGCTGGCGTGCGACGAATACGATCTGTCGGATTGCAAACAACAGTCGCTTGTTCCCTTTCACCATCTTCTTTATCATGATGGAACATGCGCAAATCTCTGTCTCGGAATTTGCTACGACGGTTGACGCGTTCCTGCTCGAGGATTCCTCGGTATCATGAACGTCTTCCAGCTGAACTATGGATCTATCCACAGCCTCATCGATTATGTCTAGAACGATGAATATGCAAAGCAATCGATTCACTTCGTGGATTAGGAACATTCATATGAAATAATGAAAAGCAATCAATGAAAACCAATGAAGAAGATAGTCGCCTATTCAGCCCCTGACTGACCCCAATGAAGCGAGTCCCCCCCTACAATACCTGAGTGATCTGCCACCCCTGAACTCTGAGCCAACACCAGAGTATTCGAAGGCGCACTCACCCCACTACACTGCCTCGTTTTTACGATAAAACCACAGCTAACCCAATCCATATACTCTTACCTTCTCTCTCACGAGTTTTCAAACAATCACCGTTACATTGTTTATCGAAACTCGCCTCCCCCCTACATTCCAGTCCCGATTTTGAACTGGAAAGACCATTTTTTATATTTTCCAGCTCGTTTTTAATGTTTTCCTTCATCTGAGAAAGATCCTCAAGTGCCCCCAGACGCCGTCCAATGCGTTCCCGGTCTTCCCTCAATGTCCACAAGTTCCCCAGTTTCCCCAAGACAAGGCTTCGTACATAGTTCGGCATCTCGCCAAGAGCTGGGTGTTTGTGGTAGGCATTCAATGACAGGCATACTGAGTAGAGGATAAGACCAATCTGTACAAGGAAATAAAAAAGAAGTAGACTAGGGTCGCGTTCACACGGTATTGAATTGCCATCGGAACAGGTCAAATTTTGAAGTCAACAAAAGACAGGGAAGATTTTTAATGTCCCAGACCAGAAGAAATATACTAAATCTATCAAATTGATAAGCGTTTGCTGAGATCGTTGCTTCATAACGGCAAACGAGGAAGTCGTGACGAGCGAATCCGGAACTGTTTGAACGGAAAGCCTTCAAAAATCACTATTAAACGACCATAGATTGGAAAGCAATCAATCAAGCTTGAGAAGGCTAAGTGAGATGAATATGCTCAATAAAACCTAACACTGATATTTCAATGGACAGTTTAAACCGACTGTTGAGGGATGGGAAGCTCTTTGGTAAACCGATTAAAACAATTGAAATTTCTTACCTCGAAACTCAACATGACAAAGTAAACGCTCAACAAAGGTGTTGTATCGGAAGCTGGGGTTCGCTCGCTGACCAACTTTAGGAAGAAAAACATTGAAACCAAAGCTGTCAAAACAAGACTTATTCTCTCTCCCGTGTCTTGCGCTGCGGTCATGAATGACATCATCGTTAATACTAAAGAGGAGAGAAGAAAAAGTATAGCCATGAAAGTCCCATTCAGTACCTTTATGACCCTACCACAGTGCCCTAGTGAGTCCCACCCAGTACCTAGTTGACCCCCACAACAGTGCTGAACACTGTGGGAGACTCATAGTGACTTCACCTGTAAGAAATACTCCAGGAAAGATGAAATTCATCCAGTAGCTACGTTCACGTCGCTTGATCATCACAGTGTAGGTAACATCAGGGTAAGGTTCGGGACAGCACTTGTATTTCTCTTCATGTCTTTGTACCGAAGTTGATATCAACTGCCATTCAGGATTTGAGGGAGACTTCGATACGTCCATAGTGTAGCTCTCTGGTCTCACATCCAAGGCATAGCCATCGTACGTCCAAGAACCTATCTTAATACCACAGTTCTGGAAAAAAGAAGCAAAGATATTAGACCTCTGCAGTTGTCCAATCTTAATTTGTGAGATGGCGGAGTTTGTTTATTGAGTTCGATATCCTAACTGTGTTTTTAAACAACTCACGATTCCCCAAATTAATTATCTTGTATACAGCTTATGGAAAACTCCGTCCTCCGATTGAACAAATCAACCGAAGGCAAAATGCTGTATATACCTGCGTGTCATGTGGGAAAAAAGTCATATCCACATGACAAGATAACTTCTTTACAGAGGGTGACATCCATTTTATTTTCCCAGTGGAATAAACGATCGCTTTGGTGTGCAGTTGGTCTAATCCGTGATCCAAATGAGTGCTGACCCTAATTTGACAACGGTGTCATATTAGAGACGACCATATGTACAACACAAGTGAAAGTACAGGAAACATACTCATTGTAAACTTTAAGATCTGGAACCCATATCTTATCAGGATCGACATGAATTTGTTTTGTCATAGCATAGTCTGAACGGTTCCAGGTCAAGCGAGGATCATACCATACCTGAATGAATTGAGAGGGAAATATGGAAATTCCACACTGTCAGCATCGCAGGCATGGAGATGCTGTGTATCTCCAACTTTTGAGTTTCATAGGAAGACAACCAGTAGGGTGGGGGTATTTAGCGGGGATGTGAAGGCATGAGGAGGGGGGGGGGTACGTCCTTTCAATGAAGACTGAAATACAGCTCAACAGACATAAAACAATTTACGAGTATGCTGTTTGTCATATTCTTACCTGACGCACCCAAAGACTCAGAGTGAGAACTTGACTTTTATCATTCTAAACAAATATCAAACTTTAGCCACATTAGCATCAAATGTGGTAAAATAACAACTGCCTAAAATAGACAAAACACTTCTCGACGTTCCGACCTGAGGGCCTTCGTCAGGAGAGTTAGTATGAACCACATTAAGTGTTCGTCGTGAAAAGAGCCTTACCATTTCTTGAATTCTGCTGAGGGAAATTCCAACGGAAACAGTGACATTTTCATTTAAATTCAAAACAGGTCGAATTTCTTTTGAATAGTTGTTAAATAAATTGGTCTCCAAACGACTCTGTGCTTCGTATGAACTCTCAGCTGTCATGAAACAAGGGAAATGTCTCCATGAACAGCGGAAGAAAACAAGGAATACTGGACTTATTTTATACAAAAGAAGGTGGATATTTAACTGCGAAGGATGCAGCATAAAATCTTATTTTAACAGCAACAGAAATTTTAATCTGCGAATAAATTGGTATGAATTCTGTTCAAGAATTGAGAAAACTTCTGACTCTGATTTCATGAACAAAAATGAAAGAAGAACTCTATAATCAAATTTACCTTTTAAACATAAAATACGAGTAAAAAACACTGCCAATGAAAAGAAAAACATGTTCAAAAATCCCTACAAGAAATGTAATTCCAATATTAGGCATATACTGTATAAACGATCGAGTTTCATTAAACAATAGCAGCACAAATTTGGATTCTGAGCCTCTCAGGCGGCACAGCGATGTTGGTAAACTTCCCCGTCAACAGGCCCCGCGGGATGATAAGAAACACTGGAAGAGAATCCCAAGGACTAGTGGAAGAGCTTACGTGGCCATTTCTACAGATGGCATGAGTTTGGGGAAAGTGCCAGAGTCTTTTGGCTTAACCGCACTTTTCCCAGTGCATTAGTCTGTCCAAACGATAGCGTTCAGCAGATGAATCTTGGTAAACGTTCAAAGTGACAACAAATTCAGCTGAAGTACTACCAAAAAAGAAACAAAGTTTACATACCATGAAAACATCGTCCTGAACTTGAATGACTCTGGAAATGTTTCAAGACCTCGAAGTGTTGTTCATCAATGTAAAACAACAAGGATCACCAGTTCCTCTAAGATATAATCTGATTGTAATTAGCTTGGCAGGAAGCCTTTATGATCTTTATGCGAAAGAATAACAATACTTTTTGCATGTACATGATACATGTATCACTTTAATGCCTCATAAAACCGCTAAACACCAAAAATATTTTTTCAAATAGCTTTTCTAAATGTATTCCCAAGAGACGATGGAGCGTTCGTTTTGGAATTTCGGTTAAATTTTTCGCAAACTGTAAGACAGTCGATATCTCGGCCTCTGAAACGTCGCCGTAATCAGAACAATGATCAATTATACCTTGCGTGAAATCCGGTTAGCCTTTAGAAAAATTTGCGGCCGGTAAACTGAACAAGGCGCAAGAAAGAAACATCAGAACACCCTGCGGGTATATAAACAGCATGTCTTTGCCTCGGGAAACAAAGTCTGCCGGAAAGAAATGCCGGGTTGAAACAGCTCAATGATAAGCAACTAAAGAGTATGAAGTATAGCATGTTATTGCACAATGATATGAGTATCAATCACTCGTTTTATTGATTATTTCAACAAGACAATATCGATCAATCACAGTATAATTGGGTTTATCAAACTGAGACCGGGCCACATCTTAGCTTGAGTCACTATTTATAGGGTAACGACTAATATTTTCGGCAAGGGATGGCTATGGTAAGGCCAAGGTTTAAAAGAGGGAGGGTTAAATTCAGATAAAATGAGTGTCTTTTATGATAAACACCTCCTTCAACTATACATCTAAGACACCCTATTCCTTACTTTGTTTAGAAAACATATTTACATTAAAGTATACCGTTAGTTTAATCAGCTAGCGATTCCCCAAGTCGCCACTAATTTAGTAAGATACCTATCCAGTTATCATTTTGATATCAGTGCTCAATCCTATATAATACGCCGCTAACTCGCTATTAAGCATGTGGTATTTGCAGGAAGATCGCCAGACTAGAGACAATTAATCCGATGACAAAAAATACCAAAAAACTTCGGTCTAAAATGCGGGAGGCAAGCTGCCATTCCTTTTTCTTTTCCGTGTTTATCTCCTGGTCTGTGAGCATGCTCGTCATGTTGCTCACGTGCTCCACGAGGTTCTTTTGACGATGTTCAAGCTTATCCACAAGTGTCCTATGATGAGACGAAGAAAATGAGAAGGCAGAGAGTTAAGAATAAGATTATTTCATTGAACAAGATCATATACTCGCCTGCAAATGCAATCTTTGTTGTTCTGGACTATCAACTGATTATTGCTTCGAGGTGGATCCTGAGGTCCAGAGTCAGCGCTTGATTTCTTGTGTGTACAACTGTTTGTTGACTTGTGTGTTGACCATGGCTCGCCTGATCCTTTACGACTTTCATGATCTTCACAAAAATACAATAATGTACTTTCGGGATTAAACACGATTACTCGCAGTTTTAGGGTATTTTCAAGAAACTCTGTAAGGATCATCTCTTATTGATCCAGTGTTGTTACTACAGAAGAAAACCTAAACTAAACTACCGTACCTTTATTTATAGTGGATAGCTCTATCAGTTCTAAACTGTTCTTCCTAGAGATCCAGTAAGGATCATCTCTTATTGATCCAGTGTTACTACAGGAGGAAACCTAAACTAAACTAACTTTATTTATACTGGATAGCTCTATCAGTTCTAAACTGTTCTTCCTAGAGATCCAGTAAGGATCATCTCTTATTGATCCAGTGAGTTTTACGCCTTAAAACTAATTGATTTGTTTAATCGAGTGTTCAGATGCTACTACCTGTGGTAAACACATCATCCGCACCAACTTCATCTGTGTCAAGATCATAAGAAGAATCCCATTCAGGAGCCAGGAGATACACGGACTCCATCAACTGTCCATCGCGAGCTTTATTGCGTGAACCAGATCTTTTTCGTGTCTTAAAAAGCTCCAAAAATTTAGCCGCCTTTTGCTCAGTATCCTGCTTCACTTTTCTCACATCTGAAGTGGTGAACGTCAATTTTGCCAGCCACGTCAGCACGATGGTTTGAATCCAAGATGGCATCTTGTCGTATCCCGAGTGACGGCAGTACAACCGCAGAACAAAACACGAAGCAACCAGCGCTAGACCAACCTGAAACGAATAAATTCATCCTTCATCTGCGGCACATGCAGCCATCACCTGGATATACCACCATCGTTTCATGCAAGTCGCTTACCTCACACATGAGACCTGCGCAGTAGATACTAATCATCGGCGTCACTTCGGAATTGGGCGGCAGGATCTCGGCAACGAGGAGAAGAAAGACAACCATTGCCAGGAAATTGGTGATGATCAATGAGATTCTTTCCCCGCAATCAGGTGGAAGGAGAAACGCCACAAGAGTTAGAGCTGAAATAAAAAAAAGTTAATCCTTTTTAACTCTCAGAGAGGCAGCCAGTTGGAGCAAGTATACCCCAAGCGTCACCACCGAATAAACAGGAACGTTAAAGTTGTATACAACAAACATTTCAATGATTTTACTGAAGACGAACTTGAGCGAGACGATCTAAACTATGTCAATAGATTTTCAACATTTTCCAAGTTGTTGTACTTGGGGCATTGTATAAAAGACTAGTTAACTTTTAACTTTACTTAAGGACAGAATTGGTCAATCTGAGTTGTGTATTTAAGAGTTAACTGGGATTTGACTATGCAAAATGTAGTTAAAGACTTTTATACAACTGTCCCTTGGTTGTCTTGCAAACACGCTTCGTACCTGTAATAAACATATTTGGAAACAACATATTGATATAGTAATAGCGAGTTCTTCTTTTGATGAGTAAAGTAAACGTAACATCAGGATAAGCTTCGGGACAACAAGCGTATTTTTCGACATTCCTCTTGACCGAGAACTCGGTCAGATCCCATTCTCCGCTTTCCAGAAACTTTGTGGTATCCCCCTGGCTGTTGTTGTGATCAGAATGGACGTCTAACTGTTCACCATTGTATGTCCATGATCCAAACTTGATCTTACATTTCTAGGAATACGTGTTTCAGAGAATTCTCATTTCAGGAGCGATGTGTGAACAGATGTAATGCACTTATACTATACAATTGTATAGCATATTTTCATATGAAATATACAGCAACGATTACCTGCTCATCAAAAGGAAAGTAGCGCACGTTCAGCTTACACGAAGTTTTCACAACACCTGGAGCCAGCCATGAGCAATGACCGCTACTATTGATTGTAACTGGAGTCTTCCATTGATCCAAAGCACTTTTCGAGCCTCCCTCGGCGCTGTGAAAGAAAGAAACATCTGATGGAGTGATGAACATTCGTATTGACCGCTCCACATATGTTTTCTCAAGACAACTTCGTTTTCCTTCAAAGAAATGATATAAGACTTTCTCCTTCTATTTTAGCCTAACCAGAGAATGGAAGAAGACACAAATCAACGGTATCTGACCATCAAACTCTTCTCGGTTTAAAACTGAAGTAAAACGATTCAAACATTTATACTCACTGGTTGTAAATATAGATATCTGGAACCCACAACTTATCTTTGGCAATGTTAATCTCTTTTAGGTCACCATATTCACTTTCGTTCCAATGAAGAAGATCATTTTGCCATTTCTAGATCCAAAACATTCAATTCAGACAGTGAAGGGTAATCGGGTCTTGCATGGACAACCAGTACTGAAGATAATGTTTATCTAACCTGTCTCATGAATAAGGCCAACGTCACTATTTGATTCTTGTTGTCCTGTAACATACAAAGCTTTTTTAGTCAGTTACGTTTTAAAGAGAGACATCTGAAGTGACTTTTGGTTTGAGTTAACCCAGGCGCGAGCTAGCGTACCCTAACATATCATAGCCTCGTGGCCATTTAAGTCAAGTTAAATTTCGAGCAAAATCATACACCAAAATGCCAGTGATATATCTTAAATCAAATGATATCGTTCAGCTTTAACTAAAATCTAAACCAGTACACACAGCTTGCAGAATATCAGAAAATACTGAAATGATAATAACATATAACAATATTCATATCTTACAACATTAATGATCTGGTATAATGTTAGTCCAATTTTAACATCAAGAGCGAGCGTTTTTCCTGTTGTTTTATTCTTTCGTGTCACAGGAATAACTGAAGAATTTGATGTTTTTATGAGGTAGTTCATCAGACGCGAGATATCATTAATTTGCTCTAGGATAAAGAATGCAACAAAATAATTATACTAAATGAAATATACTACAAGTATTCACGTCACAGAAATATCTCACAGCGATACAAAAACAAGATTTTCAACAAATTATGTTATTTATTTATACATTCATTCTTCCCACGTTAGCATACAAGATTGTCAGTCAAAGGTAATTTTTCGAATTGCAAGACTATCTTGTAAGTGGGTTGTCAGGACACCGCAGAAATTGGTGTTGGAAGTCAAATATCTCATCAGTTGCTCACATTTGAATCCTAGTATTCAGAAACTGCTGTCAAAGAAAATACTATCAAATAAGTTGAAAACAAGTTCAATTTTTCTTCCAATATCGGTTTTGGAAACTTTTGAAGGCCCTTCGTATGCATCTGCCACCGTAAAATGGCCATTTTGAGACATTTTCAGATGATTTGTTTTTGCCGTGTGCAAGCTTCAAATCTTTTGTGCAAGAGATATTTTGTTGAGTATTTATAAATCTTTTAGCTTGCCGAATTTAAAGTCTAAGTATTGAGAATTACGGCTAAGTCTACCAATTTCCGCGGTGTCGGTTGTCAGTGGGATCTTTGATGAGCTACGTATGGGTTAGGTCAACTTAACGCATATAGACACTTATAATAGTGATTATCAGCACACGCATATCTATCATCATACACAAAGACAGTTCAAAGATTGAACAATTTAGTTACTTCTTAAGACCGTCTTTGACTATAAATGAACTGAATTGAACAACAAATATCTTAGGCCTTAGGCTTCTCAGAATAAACAATATTTAACGTGGGGTATAAATGAATGATAGGGAATAAAAAGTTGACAAATTTTGAAACAGCATGCAGTGCATTGCGAGCCTTTTGACACAAAGCACATGCAGTATACGTGGTAATGTTGTTTAGTAAACATATGTTTCACATGCATACCCTCAGCTGAACTGGCTGACATAGACAAGGCGAAGATGAGGATGACTAAACCAAGACTTTTAACAACCATGATGAGACTACGTGATCTTCTGTGAATCTCTACGACAGACTGATGAAAGAGATCTGGCTTGAATTGAATAAAGTCAGCATGAATGTATTAAAACGGCCGAATTAGTGACTACAATATGACACCTCAGTAGGTTATCTACAAGAGATATACGAAGATAATAGAAACGACTTGTATTCCGAGCGTTTATAGACAATTTCTGAAAACATATGTTGGGTGTTTTGCTGTTTCGAGCAGGGCCTATCGTCTTCAACTAACTAGAATGGATATCCTACGAAATTGGCAACTATGATTATTATAATTATATTTTCATGTATAATTGGATGTGTTTTTCTAGTTTGGCTTGCATTGTTTTACTGGTATATTCAATTAAAAATAACAAATGGGTATGTCTGTTAGCAAGCCCAAACGAACAACGAAGCAAGTGCAAATAAAGACAGAGAATTCAGTTTGCAAATAATGAGATCAACATTTTCATCAAAATCACAGAGTCCCTTGATGCAACGACACATCATGCATGGCAAACCTCGGACTCGGAAGAGAGCAATATAATTCTGCATGTTATGATATATACATGCAAATAACGTGTGCCTCAAAACTCAGAGCAACGATACCACACTTCAAACTTGCCAATAAATTATTGTGTCATTTTTATCACTTTCTTTTTACTCGAGTCACTAACTATCAGCAATCCACAATCGTCTATCATAGACGTCCATTGTGCATTTCATTTCGACCCTTCCGTCACTTGTTTTGACGATCTATACACAACACATTGAATTCTGTAACTGTACTGACAGAAGTTACACAACACATTAAATATACAATATCGAAAGCACGACACACACACAAGGCACAAGGTAAACACGTTTGGTAAACACAAAGAGTTATAAGCCATGGAACTAACTATCGGGGAGGGAACGCTCAACTTGGGCTGCGGTCAATCTTCATAATCTGGTACCATTGAAAACACAACAGCTTTTGATATTACGATCATAATGAGATACAACCAGAAGAAGAATTCATCCAATACGGCTGCAGCTAGTTTCCATTCCTCTCTCTTGCATTCTTCCTCCTCCATGTCACGTGCCATGGCGGCCAATGATTCGACGTGCTTGACCAAGTCCTCTTGTTGCTGCACCAAGGCATGCATGGGGCTTGTTTTAGAGCATGCTAAACACTGCTCGTTTGAGGACTCGCTGATATCCAGAGGGTATGTTGGATTAGTAATGACGTTGACAGGTTGTTCCTTGAAGAATGATGGAAAAAATGTTTAGTTCTGATACAAACTGACTGCAGAACACTACCAACACAGGAATACCACGCCCGAATTCTAATCTTACCTCTACTTCTTCAACACGAGTCTCTTGCCTTTCATTACTTGTCACATCACACAGTCCTGCCTGGGAACTAGCAGAGTCAACCCTAACGTTCACCTCTTCAACCCCAGACGCTCCCTCAACATCTCTTTGTGTAGTCGGGTTTTCCTCACCATCCCTTTGCAATCCCCCTGAGGTAGTAATTTCTGTCAAAACGGCGTATTGTTCGCCGCTTTCCGTATTAGGCAATGTCCCGCCATTTTGGTCGGTAAATACACTGTTATTTTCAAGATCTTCATTACCAGTTAAGAACTTTATCGAGCGCCTTCGTTTTCGACTTTGAGATGCCCCTGAAATGCTCTCACGTTGACCGTGTAAGCTTGTAGAAAGTCATATAATAGATAAAATAAATAAACATTTGGCTTCGTTTCAATTGAAAAAATGAATAAGCTACCAGCACGTAATGATCCATTTTATCGGCATGGGAAAAAAGTGATTGAAATATGATTTAATTACCGTGAAACCGATAATCTTGGCGCCCAGGTGTTGAAAAATGTGTTGATTAAAGATCGTTTTCGCTTTCTGAAATGTTTTTTTTGCGACTCAGCCATCTCAACCTGTGGAGTCATACGAAACACCTTCGCCATCCAACGAAGCACCAGCGTTCTGAACCACGGGGGCATGTCACCATGGGAGGGGTGCCTGAAGTTCACTTTTAGCACAACACATGTACATATAAGAGCAAAACCGATCTAAAGAAAAAACATCGCCCAAATTTTGATTAAGGTCTGGATGAAGTTTGATCAAGCCTTAGAACTGAATGAAGTTTGATCACGTCTTAGAACTGGATGAAATTTGATCACGTCTTACAACTGGGTGAAGTTTCATCAAGTCTTAGGAGTGGATGAAGTTTGGTCACGTCTTACAACTGGATGAAGTTTGATCAAGTCTTAGGACTAGGTGAAGTTTGATCAAGTCTTAGGAGTGGATGAAGTTTGATCACGTCTTAGGACTGGGTGAAGTTTGATCACGTCTTAGGACTGGATGAAGTTTGATCAAGTCTTAGGACTGGGTGAAGTTTCATCAAGTCTTAGGAGTGGATGAAGTTTGATCACGTCTTAGGACTGGGTGAAGTTTGATCAAGTCTTAGGACTAGGTGAAGTTTGATCACGTCTTAGGACTGGTCGAAGTTTGATCAAGTCTTAGAACTGGATGAAGTTTGATCAAGTCTTAGGACTGGATGAAGTTTGATCAAGTCTTAGGACTAGATGAAGTTTGATCAAGTCTTAGGACTAGATGAAGTTTGATCAAGACATGATTTCTAAACAGAACCTTACCTCAAACATGACAATAGCATAATAAATACTAATCAGAGGTGTAGCATCAGAAATAGGAGGCAATATGTCTGCAACCAGCAATAGAAACACGATCATGGATAAAAGATTTGTGATCACCAGAGTTATCCTTTCACCAGAATCAGGAGGGACTTTGAACGCTAAGATACTCAGAGCTACAGAGGAAACAAAGGGGAATTAAATTTTCCTGTATGTGGGTTTGAAAAGCCATTTTAACGTACCTGTGATTACAAAGCAGGGAATGATAAGATTGATGTAATAAAATCTTGTTCTTCTTCGAATTCTGATCATATAAGTGAGATCAGCGTAGGGAGTATTAGGACAACAAGGATATATGATCACATTACGATATCCTTTCATGCTAATCAAATCCCATTCACCGTTGTCGACAAATTTTGATGTGTCAGCACTATCATTTTCGAGTTGTACATCCAGGCGTAGAGTATCGTACGTCCATGATCCCAGAGTCACGTTACAGAACTATAATAAATGAAAAAACTAAACTAAACTAACTTTATTTATACTGGATAGCTCTATCAGTTCTAAACTGTTCTTCCTAGAGGTCCAGTAAGGATCATCTCTTATTGATCCAGTGTTACTACGAGATGAAACCTAAACTAAACTAACTTTATTTATACTGGATAGCTCTATCAGTTCTAAACTCTTCTTCCTAGAGGTCCAGTAAGGATCATCTCTTATTGATCCAGTGTTACTACAGGGGGAAACCTAAATTAAACTAACTTTATTTATATTGGATAGCTCTATCAATTCTAAACAGTTCTTTGAAATGGTTCAGTAAAAATCATATCTTATCGATCAGGTTATACCTGTTCATCAAATGGGAAATATTTCACGTTAATCTTACAAGCAGTTTTCACGATGGCCGGAGCCAACCACTTGTGGACACCATTGGACTTTAGTTTAACTTTCGTGTTAAAGGAATGTTGATTCCCATCCGAACTTTCGTCTGCGCTGAGAAAGAGTTAAACGTAAGTGCGTTATTAAATATATTTGTGAGAATGTTTAACAAAAAATCGAAATATTTATATTGATTTCTTCGTCATGAAAGAGCTCAAGAACCTAAATATACTTCAAAGTCTATAAACTTTCTACCCTTATTATCAACTTTCAAAAACTTGGTTGTATTTACTTGTTGTAGAGATACAAATCGGGTTTCCAAATTCGGTTGGGATCCGCGTTTATTTGTGAAATATTGCGATATCCTTCTTTATTCCAAGTCATTATTTGGTTTGTCCAGGTCTGCATGAAATGATTTTGGGATAAGACATTATTGTTCAAATATGTTCCAGAGGAACACTGATATAAAAATATACCTACTGTCGTTACCTGTCACCTACTGTCATTCTCTCTCACTTACTGTCATTCCCTGTCACCTACTGTCATTCCCTGTCACCTACTGTCATTACTTGTCACCTACTGTCATTCCCTGTCACCTACTGTCATTACTTGTCACCTACTGTCATTACCTGTCCACTACTCGAGGTAGTTATTAGACGTGAAATATAGCAGAACATTTGATGCCAACACAGACTTATATAGATCTTAAAGTTTGACAGTAAAACTGTTAAATGACGGACGACACCCCCATGAAGTTCATAGAAACAGTTTGCACGACCAGACAATAGATTAATTTATAGTGTATATCAACTGTCTATGAATTAAAGCTCTTATTGTTCCTTATGCTATCCTGCATGAGGTTCTTCATCGTTATGACTTGCATTTCCACGCAAGCCAGATAGATAGATAGATAGATGTGTAGATAGATATTTGGCAGTTTGCAGTAAAACTGTAAAATGCCCGACGACACACCCCATGAAGTTCAGAGAAAGAGTCTGAACGACCAGACAATAGATTAATTTATAGTGTATATCCTTTGTCTATGAATTGAAGCTCCTATTGTTCTTTATCGTTATGACTTGCATTTCCAAGATAGATGTGTAGATAGATGTGTTTATATAAAATCAATATTGGTGTTACCTGTCTGATCCAAATACTTGATGTGATGATCTGATCTTTCTCGTTCTGGATGATACAAAAATATATGCATGGAAATTTATCATGAATGACTCGATGATCAATAAAATAATCTTTCAATTGATCGACGAGCTCACCACATTGATAAGCTGATGATAAGAAATTCCAACGATCACGACTAATTTGTCTTCTCGTTTTCTGATGGGTCGTACAAACGGATCATGGAACTCGTTAAATATTTCATCCAGTATTCTCTGTTCTACTTGTCCTCTTATTTCCTCTAGAGCAGAAAAAGATATTCAGTATGTCCAAATAGCTCTATCAATTCTAAACTTTTCTTCCTAGAGGTCCCAGTAAGGATCATCTCTTATTGATCCAGTGTTACTACAGGAGGAAACCTAAACTAAACTAACTTTATTTATGCTGGATAGCTCTATCAGTTCTAAACTGTTCTTCCTAGAGATCCAATAAGGATCATCTCTTATTGATCCAGTGTTAATAAAGGAGGAAACCTAAACTAAACTAACTTTATTTATCCTGGATAGCTCTATCAGTTCTAAACTGTTCTTCCTAGAGATCTAGAAAGAATCATCTCCTATTGATCCAGTGTTACTACAGGAGGAAACCTAAACTAAACCAACTCTATTTAAACTGGATAGCTCTATCAGCTTCTATTTTTCGCATGCATACATCACCTTGCGTCCATCCAGATCTGACGTCACATATCACAAGAAACAGAATGGGTAATAAAAATTTGGAATTGAGTAAATTTTCCGACTTCATCTTAGCTGAAAATAAGAAAAAATAAGAAAAAGGAACGGAACAGAAGTTTTCACAATGCATGGATATAATTCAGCACAGCAAGCGTATTTTACCAACGGCAAATAACATAAACACGATGGCAGTCGGGCATCGATTGAAAACAATGAATAACCTTAATCCCCTGATAAACAACTAAAGTAATTGTCTATATTGTCATCGTTTATACAAGTCGGGCTAGTTGATTTTGTATTGCTTCTCGAAGATTTCTCAAAGATTCTCAAACTTTAATATAATGACAATTAACGGTCACAACGTTTGACAAGCTCGCTATCATCTGAGGGGCTGAATCATGTCAGTTTAGTTCCTTGCTACCGCAAGTCATTGAGAACCGCTTTAGCAGGAAACATTGGCGGTCTCATTCGGCGTTTTTATTAAACGTAGAAAAACATAAAATCGATGCGTACCGTGGAGTGAGAATAGAAAATTCCTGGTGTTTTTTTCTGTTGCCTGAGACTGACTGCAAGAAACAGAACGATCCAACTATGACCTTTCAAAAAATACACGGGGTTTGTTGTTAGCGAGTTTATGCTCAAATACCTCTAGGGCAACGGGATCAGTGAGGCATTTGTATGAACTCAACAGGAAACAGCTAAGGTCCTTTGTTCCATCTTAGGCTTGCATAGTGTTGGGAAAATAATGTCATTTACTAGAGAATTGAGTAATTAATCTTAAACGTGTCGGCAAAGCATCCTAATTATAATTTTGCAATATAATTTTCAACATTTCTACAACAGGGTGTAACAAGAAAATTTTAGAAATACCGACATAAAAAGTCTTAATAAAGTGGATTAAAATACAGTATATTTAGTTTACCAAGGGTTGATAAAGGATCGATTTCATTGCATGGCAGTGAAGTATATCAATGTTTACAACCGTATTTCTCATCAAAGATCAGTTTTGGAACAGTCACTCTTAAGAACCACCTAATTTCATAACATTTTCTTGCTAAAAATGCTTATTTGTATAAAACATGGAAAAAATAACAGGGAAGAAATGTTTTCAATAGGATTTGTCTATATTCTTTGTCCTATACAATTGCATTCCCACTGCGAAGAAAAATGACAGTAGACACTAACGAGTGTGGGTCTGTAGTTTGGCTTTACAAATGAACCTACGACCACAAAATGGATTTTAAGATGCTTGGCATACCATGTGCCAACGTGCTTATAAGCAAGCTGTTTCCTTAATATGATATATAACCTATATACTAGCTACGTTTTTTGGACTCAATTCAGAATACACAAATTCAGAGCATGCAGAATTATAGAAAATATTTTAGGTATTTAGTAGCATGAGAGATGAGAACTGTGATTCCCTGTTTCAATCTTTCCTTCCCTCCGGCCAGAAAAGAGAAGTTTTTATACGGTCGTTGCCTGCTGAGTGGTGTTCTATAGTGACAGGTGATGGATGGAAAATGTTTAAGTTCATCTTCCCTTCTGTTTTGGTTGTGTAAATCAGTCTGTACAGGGAACCGGCTGAGACACGATGTCACTCTTTCACATCCGCCACTTGTCGTGGTAGAATTTCAATTCAGACGCAAACGCGGGAGATATCTATACACAAAACAACTACGTTTGAGGTATCTTTTTAACCACAAGTCACGATGGCGCTGACCAGATTTCGTCCACGATGAAACTCTGCCTCAAAAATGACTGAGATAAATGGAAGGGATTAGCCATTCAGTTGGATAGTTTAGATCAGTGGTTCACTGATTACACATGCGCGCCTAAATCAGAGCTAATTATAAACGCACGCATAAACGCGACCGCACCCAATCCCCGGTTTAATGCTTCCCACTCGGAAGGCTGATTAGCAATTTACGCACAATTTGCGTCACAAGCGCGCTCCATTGCGCAGCATTCCAACAGATACGGCTGACTCAGATGGGAAATGGTTCTTACTGGGGGTAGAGTCTGGGCTTAGACATTCTAGCAGCGCTCGCCTCAGTATTAATGAGGATTTTCCGTTGCACTCGCTGTGATCATTCATTACGAAGTCTCGATGAAACACGAATTCGCGATCATGGACTATTCTTACCGGAGTGAGTCTATCTCATACTTCTTGCTAATGTTCTGGGCTTATTCTAAAATTTCCTGGAATGATGCTAGAAAGAAATTTCCAGAAATGAATAAGAGAAACGTCTGGAATTAGCCTATTCAACGAGCCGGCTAACCAAATACCAAAATTCAAAAGTTTCTTGTTAATACTTAGAACATATTGTGCTCATAGACTTAACGGTCAATAGCATATCCAAACACAATAATCAATGTGGTTTATACATTTATCGATGAACACGCTGATATATTTTCACTTGGGCGCAACAATTATGTTCGCTATTAGCCACGAGTTTACTGTACAACAGACCCCTGGAGCTAGGATGCACGGATAAAAATGGGTGTGGTGCTAAATTATATTCTAGTTGTAGGCTTGCTGAACTCATGCTATTAAGTAAATATGCTTAAACAAGGTTAACAAGCCATCACCAAAAAAAGAAATTCAAACCGCGCTCGATAAAACCTTTTCGATGCAGGAGGGAGCCAAGGGCTTCAAATAAACGTTTCTCAAAATAAACGTCTGGACAAACGCAATAAATATCAGGTAGTATCCTGCGTTTAATGATATTATGAGGTCGTTTTAAAGCATGCGTTTTTAAGAAAAAATAGGCAAGCACCTGTTTTGTAGGTTAATTGTTTAATTGTGATGCATCATTCTGGACCTACAGAGACATGAAAACAGGGTCGTTAATTTTTTTCAAGGTTGTCGACCACGGCGTTAGATGACATGCGACAAAACAATAAACTTGTGCAAACACTCGACAATATAGTTGTTATCAACTTGTCAACAAGCTGAGAACAAAAAGTGTAGACAGACTCTGATTTACTAGTTTACAAGTCTGTTATAACTAGATCATGATTGTTGAAACCTGTGTAGCGTTTCATTGGCGCTATAGCAACAGAAAAACAGAAAATTACGCCAACAACGAAAGCTGATCAGGGATTATTAAACCGCTAAAACATACGTATTTTAAACCACCGGTGAAGTCTCCAGAAATTTCACAAAAATATCCTGCCTGGTTTGATCTGACATTCCATGCAAAAAAACAAAGGAAAAGTTGTCATGCAGAGAGATTAATTACGTTCTATAGATGAGGTATGGCTCACGGTGTCTTTATGGTCTGAAAAAACTCGTGGTTGAATACAAAAAGCAATTATTGAACGCTGTGAGAAGCATTGCAAGACCACAGCGCCGGTAGCGAGCCAGACAAACCTAAAGGACATCAAGTGATTGAAATAACAAACTATTTGAACGCTATTAAGAAACCATTTGACATCATACATTTTGCTTTTCTCCAGAACGCTGGATATAGCAGACAAATCGTATATCATTTGTTAGAAGTTTAGAAATATACACAACAAATTCTGAATAAAAAATACCAATGACCTTGACTTGTAAAATAATCACACAACCTCTGACCTCAAGCAACTGTTTCAATCTCAATAAGAGATCTGCATAATATGCGCCTAGTAATTACGGCCCATTAAACACTTGCGTATTGACGAATTAAACTCAATTCAGGCAGACCTAAGTAGCTCTGTGGTATGCTTAAAATTACAGACACTAGTCATGCTAAAGAATTGACGAGTCCTATCGTTTGAGAGAAGTGATTACACGTTGTATCTAGCCGAAAACAGCATTTCTCCCTGTGATATACTGTGATATAGTCATATCATTGTTACTTCCGGGATAGCAAGTACAGGCTATTAAGATCTAATAATACACTGTGTACAGCTTGCCTAATAGCCCATATCGATATCACCTTAAACCTTTGCATTTAGCGCATAATTAAAGAGCATCTTTTCTGAATTACAATAATTTTGTGTCCTTTGAAGCCATAAATCTAATTCGCGCAGGACAGAGAGAGAAGGATTTCGCGGTCTTTGCAAAACATGATCATCTATCTAATACCTAACCTAGCTTCCATTCGCCCGTAGGGAAAAGGTGGCCGATGGAAGAGAATGGTGTCACGTGTTCTGTGTTTGTTGTCGACCAGGACGATCAGGCATGATTTTAATAAAGAAAAGAAAAATAACACTTTTTTAAACAAACCCACCCCAGGGTCTTTTTAAATCGATGGGAATGATTGGCCACGACAAACGAAGATGAAGTTTGAACAACAAGCGTGTCATTCCCAGTAACTGCAAATGAATTTCTAAAAATGCGTAGGCCACCGGTAAATTTGTGGGATAATATGTCACACCACAGTGGTGGTTATTTTTGAGGTTTGAGTTGTTGGACCTAAACGGCATCAACATTCATGTAAACACCGCATCTGTTTGCTTTTAATTTCCGTTAATAGATCAAAACAACCAGACGTATTCATGTGTCAATATTTGTTTGAAACAATAATATTTAGAGCCATGTTAAGTGCGCCTTAAAAAAACAAACGCGCAATGTTGAAACCAAAATTTTTCATAATTTCCGATTCAACATATAAACAAGAAGTTAGCGCGGTTTTACAGCATGTCAAATGCACACGCATTCAACCATTCCCTTTGAAACGAGGCCAAAAAACAGCCCCTAATATCGTTGTAACTGCCTTAGTGAGTGCTTAACCAAGAAATAATAACTCTTTCTTTAACTCTGAAAAAAAGATAAGAACTGAGGGAGATAAATCAAGGTTTCCCCGGTCGAGTAACACCCAATGTATAATGTATTGACAAGTTATGACCCTTAAGAGACTTTAAAGGACTGATAAGGCTATCCAGCATGATCAAGATTTATTGGTTTATTCAGGTTCCCTCAGGTAATTTATTAAAACCGAGTAGTTTTAACCTAATAATAGTTTAGGACCTCCAGGAAGAAGAATTTAGAATTGGTAAGACTATCCAGTGTAACTATAAAGTGTTTAGTGTTTATTTTAGATTTCGTTCTGTATTAACTCTGGGAAGAGTAGTTTAGAACTGGTAGAATTATCCAGTATAAAAAAGTTAGTTTAGTTTAAGTTTCCTCCTGTAGTAACACTGGGTCAATAAGAGATGATCCTTACTAGACATTTAGGAGGAACAGTTTAAAACTGACAGAGCTTTCCAGTATAAAAAAAGTTAGTTTCGTTTAGGTTTCCTCTAGTAGTAACACTGGATCAAAAAGAGATGATCCTTGCTGGACCTCTAGGAAGAACAGTTTAGAACTGATAGAGCTATCCATGAAGTATAAAGATTTAAGTTAGTTCAGTTTAGATTTCCACCTGTGGTAACACTGGATCAATAAGAGATGTATCTTCATGCATGAACCTTTAAGGAAAACAGATTACAACTGACAGGGTTATCCAATGTGAATAGAGTTAGTAAACCTGAATCAATAACCAAAATATAGCCCCCACTAGACCTCCAGCGAGAACAATCTAGTATACAAAAACTCGGATAGATCTGCCATGAATGGAGTTTAGTTTGTTTAGATGTAAATCCTTCTGTTTCATTACAACTGACTCAAAAAAACATGCCAATAGCTGGACCTACGGAAAGGCACACGTGAAAAGACCTAAATGCATGTATAGGCCCTAATCCAATTGAACAAATTCATCATTTAATGGTTTAAATTGATCTCTTAAGATAACGAGACATTCTTTTTTGGATCATTATTTTTTTTCAACCTTGTTGAAAGTTGAAACGAAATCCAGACGAGGGTTCTATGTAACGTCTGACTTATTTAACAAGATGAACGCTTCTCATCTCATGCAAAACAGTTTCAAGAGTTCGTATTAAAGTTCGTATTATGAGAGACCTTCGAAGATTGACGTCAGTCTTATTATATGCGCAGTTAAGATGAGCAGTTTAATTCATATAGTCGGGGTTAAAGAGCGAACAAGTAATGAGTCAGTATTTTGCATTATCTGACATGATGTACAATTCACGGATAATTATCGCTATAATAAGATTAGGCCCCTTCAAAAGTTTGCTAATTCTCACAAGATCATTACAATGAATAAAAAACGCGAGTGCATGCAGCCGAATAATGACCAAATTCGGCCATAGATGAACCTGCTAGAAACTTGTGCTTCTTCGAATCAAATCATTTTCAATTTCTCCAAGCAAACACACGACTGTTACCTAGCTCCACGCAAAATGGCATTTCCTTCAACAGCAAGACTGTGTATTGAAAAGAAAGCGCTAACGAGAAACAATAAATATCTTTGGTTTGCTTGGCTGCAAGAAGGAAATCATAACAAGCCGAGATCACGCTCAAAAATAGAGCTGCTAAATTAGCTTATAGAAAACCTTGGCAAACGTTTTGATAGGAGCACAAACTGCGCAGGGGCGCAGATGACCGGCTATGCGTGTTGATCCTTTGCCGTGGGAATTCGGTTAATACGGTAGAGCTCAATTCCGCATATGATCAAAATTATCATGATATGGTCGGAAACCAGAAACTAGATCGTTTATTTACCATCCACCAATGAAACCGAACTAATCGGGAAGTTGAGGTGCTAGTTATTGATTGGAGTGGACACGTATCACAGATACAAACCAATCGTTTATTCGTGACTTCTCCTCCAACCACAGAATAAATGAGGTCACGGTAACATGACCACCACAAGCACCGTTATGTGGTATTAAAAACATTCAGGAACTCATTCACGGATAACCGACACCTCTCAATGCACCGTCACCGGTTCCCATTTGACCGTTGATCAAGAATTTGAATCGGATCCCATTTCGAACGTTCTGGCTGCGAAATTGGCTCTTTGCATTGAACAGGAAGCTCTCTCCATCCAGCTCTAATTTCGGATCAGTGAGCGAGAAGCTATGATCACTCTTATAGGTACAGAGTCAATGCATAACCCTCTCAGGATTTGTTATTCTTGCAGATTTACGGTTTATGCAATTAATGAGAGCACCTTAGCTTCGACACACGCCGAGAGCTGGTGAGATTTGCTTATTTAGTTCCGAAAGGCACCGATCAAGAGGCCTTGTAACAAAATCTGAAAGGAAATAGGGGCGAAAAAGGAATTAACGAACCGCAGCAATTCTCGATGGCTATCGCTCGTCATGCCGGGATTTGACTGGGTGCGGTGTGCGGAAAACGTGAGTGACACAGTAGGCTAATTTGCCGGAGAATATAGCCCTTAGGTCATTACAGGGAGCCGAGGGAATTAATTATTTAACACCCTCCTCAGCGAATATAAATTGTCACGACATTTACGAGTTGGTATAGAAAGACAAGAGAGCAGCTCAAGTAAACACTACACGCGATAACGATACGACAGTGAAAAAAGCTTGACAGATGACTGGCCTGTGCAATACAAAGGTATGTGGCCATTCTCATGGCAATAATTTAGTTAGTCAGTCAGGGACAATTCACGACAAGTGTATTGTACGTTTAAACTTGTATTGTGACACGCGCGCAATTCATTCTAATTTGCGCAAACGACGCACGCTTCGTTTAAAACGCTCGGTCGTTCCTATAGAAAAATATTAAGCCTTGATACAGGGTGAAAATTGCCATGCACTATACAGGCGTCTCAGCGACGAGTTGTGAAATTATTTGAGTTTTCCGCGGCGATGAAAATGATAAGAATAATGGTCTTAGGATACTTCACGTAAGGCTAAATGTCGTGGTGATATCTTTCAACGAACATTTTAGAATATACCAGGGCGAGCATGTGTTGAATAGGTGAAAGAAAACTCTAATACGCAATTAGTTCGAGACGGGTTTACGTTCTAGAATAAATAACGGTAACTTCCTTGTTGAGGGGTATAAAGAATGGACAAGATTAGTCTCTTCATCTGACACGCCAATGCAGCCAAAAAAAATGGTGGGCTGGTACGTATCATTTCTGGTCAATATAGACACAAAAAACAGGCGTTTCTTTTTCATGGTTTAATCTTCACGATATGAAGTTCAATTCCTCCCGCGACTATCGCCTTAAATTCGTAATATATTCAAGCTTTTGAAAGCAAACTCTCTCTCGGGTAACGGTGAAATGACTAAACATGACAGTTTTATTCAAACAACAATTTTATTCAAACGATGAAAACAGATATGCGACGTTTGACCGAATGCATGCATTTTTTATTTTATTGTGCTGTGATTTACTCCGCCGTGTCTAAAAGAGATCTCTTGTAAGTTCAGGGGTCAACAAGCCATTAGCGATGCATTAATAACCCAATAAAGTCTTTGGTCCGTCGATACCGCAAGAGATAAGCTTTTTACAAATAACTAAGGAATATATGTTACCATTTCAAAAGCGATAAACAACTCATGAAATATCCTAGCTGATTACTCAATGTATCCCTTCCACATAATTTTACTAAGCACATTTAACGACAAGGCGGATCGGGTAATTTAGAATCAAGTGTATAATACAAAACGCAACACTTCAAAGCGAATCTGTTACTGCAGGTTCACTTACCACGACTGCAATTTCTGCTTTTACTTATCCAAAGCATTTGTGCTGAAATTTTTCACCGTGTCGATTTTACAACCTGACAAATGAAAATAGAATAGTTGAACGGAATGTGAATTTGAGAGGGGCAGATATTAGGAGATATTACGTGGAGAGCACTTGGCTAGATATGGTCTTTCATATAATTTGAAAAACTCTCAAGCGCTGGAGACAAAAAAAATACACCACTTGCCAAGTATCTCTCTTGCACAAACGTTTTGTCAACTCAATACAGAAGGGCGCACGGTAAATTGGATTATTTGAGACCCTGCAAATTGGATTAGATCGAGTAGGATTTAACTAGTTATCATTTGAATGAACAATTGTTGGAAGGCCATCCTAAAAATATCAATAATCCTTTTTTCACCTCCCCCCCTGGCATAAGCTTAAAACGAGGGTAAGAGGACGATGTCCGGGCGCGGTGCGGAAAAATACGTTTGAAATTCAGGACGTCCTGTACTTTTGTGGTTTTGGAAAAAAACAACGTAAGTCAATCTATAAATCTATACAATCTATATATAGATAGACCAGCTATTATTTACTTCAGTTGGCTGTCAAACATGCCGGTAGCACACGAGATGTTAACTCGAACGGCACTGTGAGCTAGCCCTAAAGATGTAGCACTGCTTAAACGGACGTTAGTATTTTAAAGCACCATTAACATTACACTCAATTTAGACATCGGCACGGCACAGCTAAAATGGGTAGCTATGCGTACAAACTTCATTCTTTTCCCGGCCTTTGTAGCCTAAGCACTAATAAAATTGGGTACGGGTAGCAACTTTAAATGAATTGCCGTTTAAATGAATTGACTATTCAAATCATTCGGCTTTTAACTCCTGGTATGGAACTCTTCAAATCTCGTTCATCATTCGAGACAACTTATAGAGAAAACGACGTAGAGATTTAGTATTTTCTCTCAAGTGAGTTTTGAAGGGCATCGTTCAATTTAATAAATTACGGTAATCATTCATTGGCAACTGAGAGAGGTCATGCACGAAAGGGAAGTTATTCTCGCGTGGGTTTTGAAGTTCATGAGCCGTCGTTGTATAAGCGGACAGGAACGCCTCCAGTACTTTTTATAGAGATTTCACGTCAATATTTTTAGCGACCTCAAAACGGCCAAATCTCTATTATTAAAGGGGTTATTTTTAGCACACACAGTGCGTCACGAGCTGACAAACAAATGCGCTGTGTAACGATAAAATGTGAATGCACACGTTCACAAACACCACAATATTTGGACTAAAGTTTCCTGTCGTTAATACCAATCCACGCTACTCAGGTTTCTCCGCAAGCGTCAAGATGGTTTCAAAGAACAAATCTCAAGATATTTGAGGAAATTTTTGGCAATGTTGAAATCAATGGCGTTTCCTGTATGTTGATCTCATTAATTAATGTTCTATATATGCGCGTGTAAACGTGTTCAAAAATAGCGAGATTTATACATAGACTTTTCATTGCATGGGATATCTTGAAGAATCGTATAGCCTTGGGATATCCTATTAGAAGCTTTATAAACCGAGATAGCTATGCAAAATTTGGCTTAAAAATAACAGATATTGCACTTGCGGTCACACGTGAACCTTTTATAAGTCATTCAGCGTCGTAAGTCGACAAACAAGTCCAAAAAGCGCGCACGCAATTTGGCGCAACAAAAATACGACGATAACGGATCACTATGGCCGCATGTAGTGAGATATAATAATCAAAAAACATCGAAATTTTAAATCACCCGTGAAAAAAAAAATGCTGCGAAATGAATACGCGAATACATCTTTAGAGATACACTAAACTTTCATTTTTATGTTAAGGTTAATGGGTAACGTTACAAAGGAAGCAATGTTCAATTTTTAAGACAAATATAGAATTATCTGGATTGTATTTCGAGCCCAAATAACGGTCGATGTCTCGTGTTCACTGTTCGCAACACCAAAGGAGACTTCGGAAATACTAGAAATGTTTTCAAAAGGGTTTGTTCGTTTGCGCGGGCCGAGCGGCGTTCATCCACGGGTCTTCAAATTGTGGTTCGCCGAGCACCTCACCCATTCATTGATCACACTCAAAGTTCTCACAAAATTCAAACAAGCCGGTTTTCAACACCGAATTTTTGTTATCTCGTTATTTTAGACAATCCTTCTGGTTCTCATGATCACCGAAACGGTCATGTCTGTTCCGTTGCCGAAATCATCGCGTCGAAGAAAACCTAATTCTAACGGCAATAGACATTTACTGCAAGTACATAATTTCAGTAAAGCCTTGAATCTGAAAACGCCGACGAACAAGCGAACATACGTCCTGTGGTCGGGAAACGGACTCGTTTTTCTACAGGCGAATAAAAATCTCAGCCCTGGAACAAATCAAACAAGAGGACCATATGGTACTAAACTAACAGCAATAATATTTGTTACGAGGGTTTCGTTCTGTGAGGATAAAACGTAACTGATTGATACAAGATGAAACTATACTTGTTCGTACGTCTGTCGAATACAGACGCATCAATTCTGAACACTTTGGTCAAATAAAACAAACTCCCCCATTGTGAAGATATCTCTGAAAAATATACATTTCTGTAAAAGCTCTCTTTCTCTCTGTCTAATTCACACGCCTCTGATGGATTACAGATGGATTTCTGTGCGTATATGTGTCTCTTAAATACAAAATTACTCCCTAATAGTAGACCACGCCCCAAAAAGCCACCTCTTAAATGCAAACATCTCTCTTATACAAATATCTCTACGATGAAGATTTTAAGGACAATTAAAGGTTAATCAGATTTAATAAGATTTTAACGGCCATTATTTTGTTTTTCAGCGGAATTCGTACACGAAATGATGGCGACGGGAATTGTGAGGCTCTATAATGCCGCAACAAAGAGATATCTGGCGATCAATCGAAGAGGGAGGCTTTTATTACAGGTAGATCTTTTGAAACTATTATGATAGATAATATACTTAATGTAATCACTTGTCCAAAAGTTGACGCTATACTTGAATCTCCCAGAACTGGTTTGGGGACCGGTTGTACGAAAGCTGCATGGATCGACTGTAGTTTAGTATAACACAAATTTAAGCCATAGTGGAGTTTCCCTGTTGGGTCAAAAGCTGAAGTGTAACTGTTTACAACGCTACACGGCCAAAAATTGATCAGGTTGTCATGTCATCATGGGTGAACAATGTTGTGCTGCACTCTGGGAACAGTATTGTTAACAATGTTGTTGAAGCTTGTTGAATCATCAGTGTTGATGCAATGTTGTTGTAACAAGTTGCAACAACATTGATGATTCAACAAGCTTCAACAACATTGTTAACAATACTGTTCACAGAGTGCAGCACAACATTGTTCACTCCTGTTTTTAACAACCGTTGCATCAACATGATGTCAGATTTTTACGCGTGTATCCGCCGGTGGACAACGTTACTCGTCCTTCATGTAACAGACTTCAAATGAATGTTCCTCAAAGCCTTACGTCTTTCTAAGCATTATTTTCATGAAATTTTCATCTCTTTTTAGCGGAGACCAAACGACGACTGTCTGTTTAGCTACGCGCATGGACAAGGTTTCAATACCTACGCCTCGTACAAGTATTACAAGAAAACGAAATTTGATATTTTTATTGCTGTAAAATCGAACAGAGATATTAAGTCGCCAATATCAACGGCAAAAGACCAAAAAGCGATACTTTTTAACACTTGGCAACCCTAGACAGAAGGGATATACTTTGACAAATGATAATTAGGTCTGCTTGAAACAAATTTGGTCTACTGGTAAACAGCACGTCTATTTCACTAATGACGTGGCTAGAACGATAATTCGGGGGGGGGGGTAGGGGTTCATTCATATATTCAGTTCTGCCCGACGGATTTCTTTTGTAAGTTCAATACTTTACAATAGAAATCCGTCGGGTGTAACCGAATATATGAATAAACACCCCAGCCAATTATCGTTCTAGCTGCGCCTCTGATGCGAATTAGTTGTATTCACATATGAAATAGATTGTCGATCGTAATTTTGGGGTATTTATTAAAAATTCGAGCATATTTTCTGCATGCTACAATCACAAGAGTGTATCCGGGGATCTGGAAACGACCATAAGGCATGCGAATAAGAATAAGAATCTATAGCGATGGAATGTCCACGAACAAAAATGAAACTACACATTCATGACAAATCTAAAAGTTTGGATATTTGAAAATGGATTTCAAGGTACAGGCCTTTAACTGAACGTCTGTGACGTACGCTCGTGGACAAGGAATGCTTCCGATTGGCCAAATGCGGACCAATCAGAAACATGCCTTCTCTGCAAACTACGTCACATGCATGGACTTTTTAAGGGTTGTTTACACGAGCCTGGTTAACCGAGACTCAACGAAGTATGAGATGATTTCAAGGTATTGAAATGAGCAGATAACATGATCCTTACAGTTGTAAAATTACCACAACAATAGCATGTGCTTGTTTGGTGTCATAAAGACTTATTTCAATACCTCAAAGTCCTCTCACGCTTCGTTGAATCTCGGGTAACCGGGCACCTTATAAAGGTCTATACAACACCTTATAAAGGTCTATACAACACCTTATAAAGGTCTATACGAACTGACGTCGTTTCCAGAAACCCACCGGGTTTATATTGAACACTGCATGATCTTAGACATTGCATTGATGTCAATAAAAGCGCTCGTGTTTTCCATAGTATATATGCTCAAAGACCTCTGAGATAATATGTCTTTCATATAATATTATACCTTGAAAAGGTTAACTTATAATTTAATGTAAAATAAAATGAAGTAATATATATATATACGATGTGTAATATATAATATTATCATGGAGGTTATTATATTAAAAAATGGTGAGATAATGTTGTATTGGACAGAATCCAGCTTCAGATGCAGGTTTTATTAACAATGATGACGTGTTACGACGTCAAACGTCTGACTTTATATTTAAACTGGACAGCATCTATTCACAACTGTTCTGTTTGTTAAGTAAAACCCAATGATTTAACTCGCTTTATAAATATTGTGATTTCCGCATTTGTCTGAAGATAAAAGCCGAAGTTATTCGTACGTTTGTCGATTTTAATTAATACTTTAAATATATTGCCACCTTATAAACAAGAAGCAATAATAAAGATTTAACCCAACAAGGAACTTGCATCACCCTCAAAGAAACTTCTAATCTTTTTTATACATACTTAAAAAATCTTAGGGTTTTTTTCACTTCAACCGTACCATAGGGAAGCGTATACTGTTTTCGTGGTACAATCCGTTAAGTTTTATTACGATACTGTTGAAATGGAAAAGATGCCTTAAAGCCTGCTTTTCATATTTCGTAATTCATTAGCGATGTCCATTGATCACCGACAATGGACTGCAGAGAATCGCCAAAGAATTATGACACATTTTAAGGCCCTGTTCCACATTGAAATTTTTTATGCATGTGAAACAAATTGCAGGAGCCATTCCACTGTGTAACATGCCTTGAAATGACGAGGATCGTGGCGAGAATTGTGAGGAGAATGGTGGAGAGACGTGTCGCATGAAAAATTGCATCGTGTGTTGTTAACAAGGCCTTCGCACTTCAACAGAGACAAACCTTAAAAGCAGTTTCGCGAGGCAGAAGAAGATGCCATAAATAGCCCACGCCCCTGAAAGCACCGAAAAATCAAATTGAATTTTGAAACTGAGTAAAAATATGCAAACGTTTTTCTAAAACCACCAGCTATCCATGAAGCAGGGCCGAGATCCAGTTTCGAACAATCGTGTCATCGGACGAAAAAAAAAAGTTCTCAGGCCAAGCCAAGGTCAATAACATGTTTATCCACTGCACGTTGGCACGAACCTCCGTGCATGCATTCTCGCGAACGACAGCAGTCGCCTATCAGGGAGTGTTCTATACTGTGTTGTGACTTCTACGGAGAGGAAGAAACTTATAATATCAAATGGTTTCTTAATAGCGTTCAAATAGTTTGTTATTTCAATCACTTGATGTCCTTTAGGTTTGTCTGGCCCGCTACTGGCGCTGTGGTCTTGCGATGCTTCTCACAGCGTTCAATAATTGCTTTTTGTATTCAACCACGAGTTGTTTCAGACCATAAAGACACCGTGAGCCATACCTCATCTATAGAACGTAATTAATCCCTCTGCATGTTTGTCTGACCACAAGCAAGGCAAGCTCAGTTAAACTTTAGTGGAAACCTGTTAGCATGCATGCAGAAAGGAGACTTTGTACTTGCAGTTTTTTTTCTAAAGGATAAACGGTATACGAATCGCATTTACATGCAATTCATCATGTTTGCATTGACATTGTCATCCGAATGAATCCCTGTAATCGTCCTATCCAAGACTTTGGCAGACCCTAAATATAAGAAGTTTAATCTTTCAAGTGAGCAGTCTAGTCATATGCGGATATAAACTGTTTACAAATGTTCTTACATACTCAGAGAGGAAAATAGGCTTTTACAGAGGATTGCGTCTAGCCACTTGAACGTTTTCATTGTGAATTCTGCCGTGCTTAAAATTTCGGGTAGTTCACACACAAATCTGGGCGGCATTGGTTTCTAGAACGGTTCAATTACTACATCTACTTGACCTTATGTCTTTTTTAGAAAATCTAAACATCATCTAGAAGAAGGCCGACCACACTTGCTGTGGTTAGTTTCTTAAATCAGACACGGATTAGGACATCCAGTTCCGGAATATACTAGCATGCATGTTCTATCGTTTAGTTTGGACATGCACAAAAAAAGACAGCTGGTCGAATGGAATATCAAATTCCCTCGCAACTGTGACGCAACATTTAATTTCCATTATATCCGAAAATACAAATGCGATAAATGAAAAATAAAATATTTGCAATACTCTGCAAAATATCAGTGTCGGGTTCCGTGTTTGTCAAAATATTTCATGACAGCTTCGAAATTACAGCACAATTAGCGGGCAAAACGCAACAGCCTTGATAGACATTGCTCGCTGGCGGGTAATTTTCGCCGATTTACTCCGTGGAAAGGTAATTAACAGGTGATTTGAACGCAGCGTGATAGGAAAAATCAATTTTGTGTTAAATTACCAAAAATGCTTGCCATGATTGAGGTTATCGCACACCGTAGGTTGCGTGTGTTTCAAGGTTTGTCTGGCATCAGGGGCGTGCCACTAGAACCCTGGGTACGAGCTTGGCGTGCCACAAAATGTCTAAATCTAACGGCAATCATAGTGACTAAAGGCCCTGAAACACGGTGCAATTTTTCTTGCAACTTGCAATGCAATTCTACTTTTGAGAGATGTATATTTGGCAACTACGAAAGGTTCGGTTGCGCGGTCGACCGATAGAAATTGCAGATGACCGCGAGGGAAAAAATACGATCGCTGTCACCGTTCGCTTCCGAACGGAATGTTATGAACAGCTGAGAACGACAACGGCGGACAACACAATAATCATATCGAAAACATCTTAAGAAATGTCTGTCAGACCGAGTTAGGCCGAGGTTAAACCTCCGTCTCACCACGGTAAACGTTCGACCCCGGTCTGATCTCGGTTTAACTGCGATCATGGAACGAGGTTTGATCTACACGCGTAAAAATCATCATGTTGATGCAACGGTTGTTAAAAACAGGAGTGAACAATGTTGTGCTGCACTCTGTGAACAGTATTGTTAACGATGTTGTTGAAGCTTGTTGAATCATCAATGTTGATGCAACTTGTTACAACAACATTGCACCGTGATTGCATCAACATTGATGATTCAACAAGCTTCAACAACATTGTTAACAATATCCCAGGGTGCAGCACAACATTGTTCACCCCTGATGCGACAACCTGATCAATTTTTGGCCGTGTATAGGTTAACCGCGGTTTTTGTTAAAAATTTTACTTTCAGCTATGAATAGACTAAAATAGTTGCAATACTCCACCTTTAGGTATAATTAATACTCGCACCAAAGCAACGAGAAAAAACGAGGAAGTTCATGTCTTGGAGATTCCCTTATGACAAGCCTTGTAATTTATTTAAAGTAACTTCAAAATCAATGAAGTGATCCTTACATTCGGAATGCGTTCTCTCAGCACTGGAATGTGCGTAATATACAAAAGATAGAAATTTATAAGTATAGGAATGCCAACAGAAAAGCTGACCGTGATGCACGATTGAAATTCATCAGTCGTTTGTATGTTTCCCGAAAGAAAGTTCAGAAATACCATGAGACTAAGTTACAGTCCTGCATGGAATAGCCAAATATCCCCGGCTACACGGGCGATTTTTGACGTCGATTTTCTTCTCTTGGTGTATGCTATTAAGTAAATTTAACAGAGTAAGTTACATTACTTTGCCCAGCGTATACAACTGCGTATGTAATTCACACAATAACATACGCTAGAAGGACAAAATCGCCGATGAAAATGGCCCGTGCATGTGCATGTAGCCGCGGCTTTGTAGACGTAATAAACATCTTCCAATGAAAACATTTTATTCATAATATCATCTCCGATATTCAATTAGAAAGCTTTCAGACCTGTGATATTCAGTTTACGCTTTGCGTTTTCCGAGGTTTGTGCATGGTATAGCGTTTATGGTTCGCTCAGGACCTGTTCGTATGGGCAAAAGTTTTCGACAAACGAAATTGTTTTGTTCTGTTGTTCTGTTTATATGACGAAACTTTATCGTTGCAACTTTTTTATTTGTTCATCTTAACACACAACGAGTTACATAAAACATGAATGCCGGCACACGTGCCCAAAAAAACAGAGCAATACTTGCAAAAACATGTAATAAAAACATGTGTAAAAATATCGCGCCACAGAGCAGTATTTAAAAGCATCAAAAACTGGTTGAAAGCACTTCAAACGTGGTTCAAATGAGAAGCTCTGTATAATCACACAACGGAACTGTTAATTTCTTACAGAAGTGGTTGAATATCTTACATGCAATTAGAACCTCTCATCTCAGAGGTGGCAGAAGAATAAAAACTAATCGCTATATTGTATTTGATCGACATTACAGTCTACGAGGTGTACAACTAACTGACTTGTCAGGATGGATTTTACCAAGGTTAGTATATATATGTATAAAAGTTCAATCGCATATCAGTTTAATAAATAGTTCAGTGCTATAGAATGCATGCATTTCTGCGCGGAGAATCAATACTCTCTAGCATATCGAACCATGATAGATTTCGTTTTCTGATACACACCGACGTCCAATTATTTTGGAAATAAAAGGATTCGTTGCACGGTCAAAAAACGACCAACGACAAGTTAAGATAGTTATTAGCTGGACTAACTTGTTCACCGGCTTTGTGTACTGCTAATGTGTTTGTGGACATTGGGAGATGTTTTTTGTTCCGTGTGTAACAACAACCTTATATAGATAATCCGTCGCAACGCGTGCCTGCATGTGAGTCCAATCAATAGTTGCCAAGGTTAGCTAACGAAGTGATAGAATTGTTCGTTATATAAATTGAGTTTGTAACGAATGGAAAATACATGTATTAAGAATAATTTACGGGTGTTAGGCTATATATATAGGATCTCGCTATAGATGTATAACTGTACTGCTTGGGACGGTCAACTTTTGAAAAAGACAGCTAACATTATAAAGTTACTAATTTTTCTCACTCACGTCAGATGGCGAATAACCCCACGCTTTAAAGAAACATTTAGCATCATTGCATGCATGCAGACTTAAAAGCTGACTATATTACGAATTCATACATGCATTATTTAACTAAACTATCCGCAAGTGTCTCTGGTTACCACCAAATCACCCACAATACGTTCAGAAGCGGTGTACTAGCTGTTGCGGTTTACCGTGTCAAATGCTGCTCGCTTATACTGTACATGGAAACGTCTAGCGAATAACATGGATGCATGTTTCGATAAAATACCTCTTTTACAAATTTGTCATTAAAAAGAAGAGTCCTCTTGTGAATCAAATATCACTTTCGAATGCCAAGATAGTCATTAAACAGGAACGCGTGGGTTGAGATATAATATATATATCAAGCATATATTTGTAAGTGAATGCATGAATACAAATATAATTTAGGTCTGGTAAGTACATTAGCTTAAAAACTTCATGCAGTATTTTCGGTTCGTATCGAGAACACAAAAAGAACACAAGAAAACCTCAATGTAAACTTTGATATGTTTGAACAAGCATGCATGCATGGAACGGTGAACAAGAGCTTTGCAAAGCAAGCTCTTAAACAATATCAAAAAGGTATTTTAATGATTTTTTTATTAAGCACGTGTCTAAGCGCCACAGGACATACAAGGTTAGCACTTTCAGCACATGTTAGCATTTTGATTTTATATATTGCATTATGTCGTACGAAAATGATATGGAACGTGTACCATGCACTCTGCATGATCTAACCAAGCATACTTAACTCAGTAGTGAGTTCTGTACAACATCAGATTACTTTAAGATAGCTCACATTCAAGAACATGTACCACCTCTGCTTGATCTAACCATGCTTAACTCAGCAATGAGTTCTGTACAACATCAAACCACTTCAAGGTAGCTCAACATTAAAGAACATGCATGAACTACCTCTGCTGCATGTTCTAACTCAACAAGCGAATTCTGTATAAATATGGACATATAGTTTTGTGTGCATGAATATATAAATAAATTAATCCAACTGAATTACATGAAACGAGCTTCTTTCTCTCGTTCCCAGGTTCTCGTCATTCTTCTACTCTCGCAAACAATACTCACGTCAAGTAAACAATTTGGCAATACAGTACGTTCAAAACTCAAAAAGGTTTCCTCAAATATAAATAACGGAATTGCGGCGAGGAGAGCAAATCGTAATTGGCGAGAGGAAGTGAAGGAATTGAAAACCTTGCCTTATAATGGCTTGCTGAGCGACCTACCAACCAATGTGATAAAATGTCGACTATTTTCCAAGACTGGTTATCTCTTAAAGATGAGGGCCAATGGAGCCGTGCACGGGACATTGAATCAAAGCAGTAAATATAGTAAGTCTACAATTAATCTATAGTTGAGTACTTTACTGGAACACTGTTTCTGGATGTCAAATAGGTTCGAATCAAATACTATTTTGCACAACCAGAATAGCATACCTTGTCAACATGAATCGTGTGGATGAGAGTACGCTTCCATTCTTCTCTTGCTTCAAGGCAAACTAAATATAAAGCAGAGACCAATTATACGTAAGAATTGGTTGAAATCTCTATTCTCTAGATCTTGTGAGGAATTATAGTAACGCCTGTATTCTAAAAGCTCACTCACACTCAAACTCATTGAGTTACAGATCTCAATCTTCTCATAACGTTTCCATTGCGGTATTTCCCCTCTCAGAAAAGAGCTTGATTTTTAGTGTTTTACCTTAAATCTTTACATGAATTAAGAAAGAACTTTCGCATTGATCAGTACCAACAGAATTTTATGTCACACTCAATGAGTAGGAATATCAGTGAGCTTTCAAAAAAAACCTTTTTGGGGACATTTGCATGACAGTATGCAATCGATGAATGCTCTTCCAGAAGTTTCGAGTTTTTTTTCTGTTAATAAGTAAGAAATGTTGGCTGGGTTTTTGATGACGTCTGATACAATCTGATTATTCTCCCATTTCCTATAGCTATATTTGAACTACAGTCCTATGGTCCTAGCATCATTCGGATAAAAAATCTTGCCACAAACTATTATCTTGTAATGAAGAAAAATGGCTTATATACAGGAGATGTAAGTAACGTATACACAAGTGTCCACTATTGTACTCAGATAAAATTAGTATTCGATCCTCAACTGTACCCACTGAAGTACCGATCAGTCCTTGATCGTACTAACTAATGATATACATTCAAATATTCAATGTCTAATCCACAAATGGTCATTGTTGCATTGAGATAATTATTATCGTACCATGCAATATTTACATAACTGTACCGGGATACCCATAATAGTACCAATATTTACATAACTGTACTGAAATGATCATTATTGTACTTATATTCACCCACACAATCGCCACTATTAGATTGGCACTATTTCCTAACTAACGTGCACTGTGCATGCACTAACCGATCGCGTAGGGTGGTAGGGTAAAGTCTATGTCTATTATTAACTTAGTTTATCAACTACATAGATCTTACGCGCCCTCCCTCCCCCCAAAACATCATGAATTGTGACTGAATTATTCCTTTCGATGCAGAAACGATCTGGCACTCTACAAAGTCTATTCCGTGAAACTCATAAGTACAACGCCTTCACCTCATACTCTTCAGTGAAGTTCTACCACAATATTCCGTACGATATGTACCTTGGAATTAAAAGCAATGGCAAAATAAAGAGGGCGATGAAGACTCATCGGGCAAGTAGCATTAAGGCTGAAAAGTTTAAAACCTTCTAAGGGGCTGTTTACCCCCTTGAGCCCGGTTACCCGAGATTCAACGAAGCGTTAGAGGACTTTGAGGTATTGAAATAAGTCTTTATGACACCAAACAAGCACATGCTATTGTTGTGATGATCATACGACTACCAGGATCATGTTATCTGCTCATTTTAATACCTCAAAGTCCCCTCACGCTTCGTTGAATCTCGGGTAACCGGGCTCATGTAAACAGCCCCTATGTTGTCATATAATTAATTTAATTGCGGAAAAAACATATCAAATCTTCAACAGAATGCAACCCTATGCATCTATTTAATCGTAGATTTTAGAAGTATCATTTAAATGATTTTAAACTTTTACGTGCGTTTACGTACGTGCAAAAAACGCGTCAGTGGAAAGCAGCACTTTTCAGTCGGCACAAAAAGCGGGAAATTTGGTGAAAACTGGTGTAGCTAATAATGACGATAACCATGTTTTTATAGGCACAGAATTCCTCGCAATTCCTTGTGATAAGGATCTAACACTGAAAGCTGATAGTTACCAATTGAATATGAAAGAGTTAATCAGAAATCGTGGTGGCTGTAGGTCTGGATTTTAGAAAGAGATTAACGCTGTAATTAGGATTACAGAAAATAATAAGAATAATGGCGTTTTAGTCATTACGTATAAAAAAATGAAAATAGCTTAGTACTTTCAAAACGACGGATCCATGAAAAAAGTTTGTTGTTTTTTTAAAGCAAGAAACTTCTATTTGACGAATCACTATATGCAGTTAAACACACATGAATCCTCTTCAAATATTTCAAATTTTACCGGGATCGAGTCGATTCGAAAGTGAGTGGCAATTGCACATTAATTTAAGTAGCTATAGCCATTATAAATGTCTTTGTTTTCAATTCCTGCACGATCTGCATGTGATTTTGAGTGCGTGACTTGTAAAGTGCACTTGAAAATAATGCGGAGTGAACGAGAATGCATGGCCATATTTGTATAACAGCCAACAATGACGTTTTTGAAAGTAAGGCTGGTTCCTTGGAAATGTCGATTAGCTGAACATGCATGTATATAGCACTTGCGTCTCTGACTGGTTTTTCGTATGGGAAAAGGACGCCTGAGACGTCTTTTCTTTGCTAAGCCTAACGGTCTTTGTCTCAAACGGAGAATAGTCTACAGGTTCAACCGCAGGAAATACTGACAGAGTCAGTATAGTTGTTGTGGAGTCAACGACACAAACTATTTATCATACTTCAGTTATATATCATAGATGTAGTGATATTAAGGTCTGTTCACACGATCCAATTTTGTTGGATCCAATTCACATTTGATGGATGTGTTATAGTCTGTTGTCTTGTAATGTATATGAGCAGCAAATCCACTGAAGCCAATGCACTACTGCTTCGTCGATAACCGACTAAATTCCATATATCAGAAGTGAATTTGATCCAACAAAATTGGATCGTGTGAGCAGACCTTTATGTCTTCAAATGCTTATGTATCACCTGCATGAGGAATATTATATTTAAGACTGTGTATTGTAATTTAATAATAAGGCAAGTTGTTGTACTGAGCCGGGTAATGAATATACAATTCATTGAATAAAAATATATATTACAACACGACTATAATTGATATTTTATGGTCACGCATCTTTGAGGCAGTGTCCAACGCTTTCAACTTTCAACCTTCCCTAAAGTCAGAAACTCGATGCTACTGCATGCTAATGCTTGCTTATTAATGTTTGGATAAACAGATCATCTAGAGTATTAAAAAAATCTTATCTCACTTCATGGAAAATCGAATGCCTCACCTTGAACTACACTTACAGAAGAACATTCTCCATGCACAATTTTAATTTCAATCATATCTCTTCGTGCCAATTTTATTTGATTGCTTCCCCTCTCTTCATATCATCAAATAAGCTTTGTTCAACTATGACAACCACATCCCAACGGCAAATATAGTACGAAAGTGAAATACGTTTTCAAAAGATATTTCTCGTAACTTTCTATTTGAGAGGATTCTCATTCGGTGGTTTCCTATATTATCTATTACATTCCTTTAACTTGAAATAACCTGGAAAAACCGCTTGCCCTACCGTACGGGCTAGTTCTCGTTCTCCCAAACTCCCACGCGTGTTTCTACATGCAACTGTAAAGAAGCATGGAAAATGTTATCTAATTCTTAATCAATTAGATGGTGTAAAAAAAAGAAAGTAGTCACGATACGTTAAGCCAACATTATTGAACACGTCAAGAAGGCTTCGTCCAGATTACTGCACATCCTGGCTTAAAACGAAGTGCATAATCTTGGCTCAAAACGAAGATTTTTGAAAGTCAGGGTCACCCACGTTGGTTTGTGCATTCTTATAACTTTGTAAAACGACGAAAATATCGGCGGAACATTCTAAAAACACCGACTTTAAATGTATATGACGAATGTTTCTATACATTCCAAGAGAAGTCTTTGAAGAGCTGTGACAAAGAGTGTAGGTTCTTTACAATATCAGATTACTACTGAGATAGAATAACACGGCCATAACGGCGATGAAAGAACATTTTTCAAGGAAGATGACAAAGTCTTTATCTTCATACTGAAGCAGACCATATCTTCACTTCAGTTCTACACTTGCATGATTCCCAAGTTAATTGAATTAACGGATAAAAGATTGCTGTAGGTAGGACTCCCATGATTCACGTGTGAATATATAGCTAGTTACAGTGATCTTATTACGCTATCCATCAAGAGTGCTTTCAAACCTTCATCCTAGTGAATCTAACTTGCCTAACCTGGCCCTACACTATAGTGAAATATCGTAGCATGGTATAAGTGACACAGTGTCATCGATATACAAACATGGTTCATACGATATTTTTCCCACATTCGATTCAAGGTGCGACTTCCAGGTCATAAATCTTCGGACGTGCCAAAATTCATGTTTTATAAGACATTAATGTTCAATACACACTACACTTTGCCCTTGTAATGATTAATTAGAACTTTTTTAGCTTCAATAATCCCTCTGTAAAACGATGATTATGGAAAAAATTAGATTTCAGAAAAAAAAGCGCCACTTAACGTCAAAAAACCCTAATCCTTCTGGCTGGAATACCGTAAACTGATCTTCAATAAATGTGCTGAAGTCTGGAAACAAAGTCTTTATTTCGTCTCAAAACAACCAAAAATGGTTAAAATTTGATGATAATTATCATCTCTTACAAACCAACGCATAAGCGCAGGCAGAAGGTTGAACTATCTTCGCGAAACGACGAGGAATCTGGTAATGTGTAAGAAATTAACACTTAAGTGTCATTAACCAATGCAACAATATACATGCTGCCATAGCCCTACTCCCGTTTCAAAGGGTAATTATAAAGTAGGCGTTTGCATGCACTAGAACTGTCCTCATTATTTCCAATTATATGCACTGCTTGAGAAATTGCACGCATGCGTGGGTCTTGATCCCGCTAAAATGGACAATTTTTTTACAGTCAAAGTTACAAAAGCTCGTCGATACATACTTTGACAGACAAATTCTAGCTATTTCAGTACATAGTACGCATAACTGTCCTGCACATACGGGAAATAGGTATGGATCTAGAGCCTGCCAGCGCGGCGTGTTCTCTAATCAAAATGATAATCCTCAATTATAATAACGTATATGATAATAGTTTTAATTCACGATCGATTATTGTGATTTTCTCTAGTATACTAATAAACCATTATTGATATTTTCTATTATGATAACGTATATACTGCTTAAAAAGTCCTTGGCGCATTGATAGTTTCAAATGATTAAGTGTAATCATGCACAATCTGAAAATGTGGGTGTTTGAAGTTAAGAAGCATATAATTAGTCTGAGTAAGTTGTCTTAGCCACGTGTGGGTGTACAAGAAGACAATTACACTGTTACGTTAGAAAAACATGGAATATCACTAATGTAAACAAATGCGCCGATGAATATCTCGCTAAATCCACAAATTCGATCTGTCCAACGTCAGGGATTACGTCCAAATTCGCGCCATTTGACAGGCACCATGCATGCAACTCAATATTAATGTTGAAATTTTCTAATTAATATTGTCGACGCGCACTTGTCATGTTCGAAACACTTGGTATGACTTTCGGCAAATGAAAATCGCGACCTCTGAACTAGGCCCTACGCAAGCTTTCATTAAGGACATCAATTTTGTCGAAATAGGGTTGTCAGTAAACATTGAATAACAATACTTTAGACCTTAGACCTCAATGGCAACGGAGGTGTTGTAATATAAACATAATTTTCTATACGTTGAGCTACTGTTTCTATTTTCCTAAGCAGCGTTTCCATGCGAGTAATTAGCGCCTACAATTCAACTCACACAGGAAACAATTACTTACATCATGCATTTACAACTGAAGCTATGTTTTGACGATCTGACTCCGAAAACAGCAGTTATTTCAATGATAACGTTGTGTTTTCTTGGGCTTCAAAGGAGTCTAAACTTAGACTGATGATTGGGGACGATGGTGTCCATGCAACAAACTATATATATACAGGGGGGATGATGACCGTTTTTACTTGACTCAAGATATATATATGAATGAAAACGCTGAATGTTGTACGCTATGTTAGATTTATATAATGTATAAGATCGATGAAAACCCCCAGTCCGACTTATATAAGGTGCTTGCATGCACGTACGTATAGCGAAAATCGTTTTTCTAACAAGCTTAACAATTAATTTAAACAATCACCCCCATATATTCTGGCACTCCTGCGGGGCTTATGCATCACGCTATATGGCCTCTCAGCCTCTAAGTGCCTACTAATTGCTCGTATTCCATAATAGGATGACAGGCGTGTCTGAAATTATAAATAAGCCTCTTTTCTTTCCACACAAAGAACCTCAGCACAGACTACAGCAGAAAAACATAACAGCAAAACCCGAGAGAAAGACACTTCCTTCCGTTTTCAAGCGATATAAATGCACGAGATTTTCATGGAAGCCATATAAGATCTTTACAAAGTCTACCAAAGATTTTTAGAAGGTCAAAAGCTATCGTCAGCTAACGAAGTCTCAAGGAAAATCGTACAAGACTATAGATAATGCGATGCGTGGCCTGTTTTTGCATCAGGATAATGGAACTGTTCCATTTCAAAACGTATGTGTTTTTACGAATTCTTTCTATGTATAGATACAATAATATCTTGACAATGTATAGTTCGGTGATGAGTTCGTTTCGTTAAACTACATATATTTTATCAGTGTAACTATTCCAGATCTATTAACTCACAATATCTAATTGCTTTTACATTACTGATACTAAGAGCTAGTTGTTCGAAAAAAAAAAGGCCGATCAATATACTGAATTATATATATTTGTCAAATGCCTCTGCCTTATTATAGTGATACACAAGTGAGCTGTTTACAGTCCTATCTTCATATAAGAATCGCCAAGTTCTGGTGCATTTACGACTTATATAAAACATTCATCATGCAGTAGATTAACGGCATGTCGAAATATAATAATGTGATGTACACATTTTTCAATGATAAGGTTTAGAAGGGTTTTAGAAACTGAAAACCAGACACTATATTATAAACGTGAGTACAATACAACCAGTGTCTCAGGAATAAGCTGTCATGAAGAGCCCATTACACAAAAACAACTGAAGAGTTTTGTTTAACAAAAATAATAACAGAACGAAGGTATGACTCAGGTATCCCCCATATTAATCGATCATTAGCGTTCATCTTTAAACAAATATTTGCTTAAATGGTTTTAAAGTAAATTAAGTACAGGAAACAATAACACTATTAAGAAAATAGATTATTTCATTGTGTACTTTTTTCTGGGTTTTTTTTTAACTCGAGTTAAAGACGGTCGGTTATATAGGAGATCGCAAATGAGCTTAATCGTACAGTTTAAGAGCAAACGAGAGCGGTTTAAAGAAAAACAATCAAAGTCCTTTGATAGAGAATTCACCGTGAGATTCAACTACGGTTCTAATTTTCGCAAAGTGTTCAAGATTCGGTCTTATGTAGTTGCTGATGCTCATTCTCCTAACTAACACCTCTTCAGTGTGGAAATATTTCGGCCAAGAAAAAAAAAGGCGAAAATGCATGGTTTTAGATGACACACAGGTGTTTTATGCATGATGCTTATTTTGAATCAAAACCACTTTACTATATGCGATCAGTTCTTTATAATACCGTAAGTTGTACGCGTGTTATAGGGTATAGACGAAATCTTGTTTTCAGTTGTCTAATTTCTGAATATTTCTCTTAACGAACACACTACACCCGTTTAAATTGCAAATATCGCACTTATATAACCTGGCTTTATTTTAACTGTGGAATTCGAGAAAAGAAAGTTTAGTCCTCGTTGATCCAGACTCTAATAAATACTGGCCATTTCCCAAACATATTTATCTCATATTTGAAACTATTCCATGGTGATACACACAGGCAAGCAGGATAGGCAGATGGGATACCTAAACGTTTTAAATACTAGACATAGTTTGCAAGAATAGTCTGATAGTTGTCACCTGAAGCAGAGGAAGATTGATTTCAGTATCAGAAAAGCCGCTACTTATCCTTGAGACAGTCTGATTAAAAAGCGCAGGATTTACTGCTGTAAGTGCGTTCCAGCCATTTCAAGGCTGTCTGCAGGCCCAAGGGAAAATACAATACAAAAAAGGTCATTTGAGGCAACAAACTATACTGATTTCACGATAAAAATGCCAGCATAGAGGCTGTGCTTCACCATGCAGTCGGCAAAACGCCTAAACATTTCCTTCTTAAAATTCAATCTCAAAATTTCTAAACTTCTGAGCCCAATGTCGATTCAAATCTAAAAAATCTTCCCCAAATCCACCCATCCCATGCCAACAGGAATATATTGATAGGGTTATTTTTGGACCAAAACTTGATCGGGTTCACATTGAATATTGCCCTTCCTTGTTTAAGGTTTAATTTTGACTTATTGCCAGAGGCATTCGGCCTCGTCTATAGCTCCACCTGCATGGCATCTTAAATTATGCACCCTTTTAACTCATAGGAAACCCATAACATTGAGGACATGCATCAATCATTACACTTCGTTGATACGGTAGCAATATAGTTCTTTTTCTACGTATATATACTAGTGGTAAAAACGCCCCTTTTCATGTAAAAAAACACATATCAAGCATTTAATGAGTGCGAGAAGGACGCGCAGGGCTTTCAAATTCTGATCCAATTATAGCACGAAAAATGGTTGAAAAATATGTCGAGATTTTTTTCTTTCTTTCTTTATGGCAAAAAATGGTAAAAAAATTGTATAAATGCATTTATGTATAGAAATTTACATTTGAAGTTCATGACTAAATCAGACTGCAGTTTATAGAACAAACAGCAAGCGTGCACACGCATATATATGTGCAGTGCAACCTATAGCTGTATTAACAGAATATAAGAAGAATACGTCAGCGTTGCTATGGTCCCTGCTGTTGGGATCATCATGTTTCTACGTAAATGAACCCTTAGACTATTTGTTTTAAAACATGTCCACCTGTTTAGTTTGTCTAAATCTTGTTATTTCTCCCAGACAAAAGCTATTTCCTGTAGCGTTTTATAACTTAAGTAGTTCGCTAAATCCTTTTAGACGTCTCATCGCATGCCACACACTCAGTTGTGATTCCTAACACACGCGGAGTCTATCAGTAGCTTTTACCCCATAACCATATTGCAAATCTTTAATTCTTTCTTTATATAGCATAGCTCATAAGATTTATCATATGGTAGACTATGCTATCCCTTTCTCTCTCTCGTGACTCGTTTTTTCTCCCTATTATTCCACATAATGCTCTCAGCCAATCAAATCGCTTCTCATTCACCATACGTGATCCGGAACTTCGTTGTGATAAAATAATAATAATATTGTCGAATATGCCAAGCGCTTCGCACGGGGCTTTAGACAGGGAAAACTAGAAATTTCGTAGAACATCTGTGCGGCTATTCTCGTTCGGTTTCTTGATACAAAAGATGTAAGAGGATTTGTATAACTGCTTCTATTTTGAAACGTAAATAAGGGTCTTTGCTGCATGAACTTGGCATCGAAATGGTTATGGAATTATATATATAGACTGCGGTTGAATCATTGCCAAAATTAAATTTATAGCACACACGAATCCCTTGAAGAGGCGAATATTTCTTTTCCGCGTCATTCACGAGCTTTACAAGTTCACTATGGTCTTGTTGGAGCTAATGCCTTTTAAGATATATTGAAAACGGATTGGTAATGATCTGAATAGATATTACATAACGTAAAATATCAGCTTTTGTTTTTGGCATTTTTGCCTAAAAATATCCAAGAACACGCTCTCAACGCGTTAAGTACACTTCAAGCACGTATGTTTCAGTTTTCTGTAGACAATAGTTACAAGAATTTGTAAGATCAGGGTCGGGGGAGCGCGGAATACCGCGTGAAATTCAGGAAGAAGAACAGGTTGGATTCAGCCAATCACAGGCGTGCTGGCCAGGGTCAAGACAATGGGCTCACCGTCGCCTAATGAGCTCTTTAAGTTCTTCATTGATTAAATAATGCAAGTCAAGTAGCCGCCAGAACACATCGTATAAAAAATATAGACTGGAGACGGCTTGTCTGGTTTGTTTTTCCTTAGAACTCGCCCTTGAGCTCATTTTTTCTTCAGTTCTTGAAGATCCAGCACGCCTTTGCAACCGATTTTCGATCATACCGCATCAGTTTCGAGTTGAGCTAGGTTGTAATTTGACTGAACAAATTGGAGCCACGATAAAGCACACTGCCTCTCAATGTCAACACCACATTAGCCGCTGAAGAAGACGTTCGCAGAGAATCTCTTTCACACTTACGAAGCAATTTTTCGCTCCGTTTGACGCCATGCATTTACGCACGCCGAAAGAGACCGTTTTTAAAATAGCAACATGTAATAGTTCAAAGCTTCAAGCAGCTATAAGACCTGTTGACAAATACGATTTCTGCTGCTTTTTAAATGCGATTTTCTCCCTGTGGTAGATGCGAACAAGTGAATAGTTAGGAACGCTCTGATGTTTTAGTTCTCTTACATAAACATCCACAACTTATCTACTCGTTCACATCTTTGAAGAGGAGAAATCGCATATCACCTCTAGAGGTATGACGTGCTCCGTTAGCGAAATCGTGAACACTCTCATATCTTTTAGTCAATAATGCTATTTTCCACGTACTTGATAATTGGAGCACTTCATGTCGTATTGATAATGCCTAATCCATTTAATTTCATTACCGTGAGTCACTTGGTGGGTTTGCTAGTCAGCCACAGGTTAGGGAACTGACGTTTTATGAAGGATAAGGCTATTATTGGACTACTTATAAAAAGGACGAAGCACGAAATGAAGGGAGTGTAGATTGTGTTTTATTGCGCCCGTTTGAAGACCTGAAGCCGGTTGAAGTCTCAACAAAAACAATTAAGGATGGTCTATAAGCTAACCGTTAATAAGGTCAGTTAATGCATTAAAAGATCACTTAATGTTATTATATAACCAGCTACGAGTGTAAATTTAGGTGTTCGCTGTATCCAGTAAGATCAAATTTTTCGGGGGGTTGAGCAGTGAGGTTTAGAGATTATGGAACTGTATGAGGAAGGATCCTTTAAGTATTTTGGCAGCAAGATTGGCTTGATAAAGCGGTTGTTTCTTATGGAATATGTAACGGTATAAGGTGAAATACGGTTTGCTAAAGGCTATATGAGTACTTATACAAAGAAGAGAGCCAAGCTATATCACAATCAGTATATGCGCGCCTGATGCATGAATATGCAGGATAACTGGACTGCTTCTGAAATTTGCATACTTAAATCTATTAGGTACTTATACATGACAATACTAGCCCAGATCAATCATTTAGGTAGTTTTTTAAAAGGTACAATATAAAACTTGGGTGGATTTCGGAAGGTGCATAACTGGATATATCTGTTTACTTTTGGAATACGAATTGCTTACGCCGTATCGAATCCCTGCATGACTATTTGATATTTCAACTTCAGGTTTACCATGGTTTATTTGCGTGATATAGTGTATAAAAAATTCTTCCTTTATTAATTATATCTTTGAGTCTTTAAACTGCAGAATTCTCTAAATTTTTTCGTAAAAAGAGAGAACATTTGTAGTTTAAGTGGCCGCCGTGGCGTCCATTAATAATTAGCAACGAACTTTTGTACCAATATCATGCATGCATAGCAAATAATAGAGTTAAATGACTTTTTGTTACAAGATTATATTACCAAGAAAATAATTGAGCGGATTACAATGTTTGATAGACACTTGAGAAACGATAAAAATGTTGCCTTTAATTATTGGATCTTTTTAGATTAATTTAGGTTTCCTCCTGTAGTAAAACACTGGATCAATAAGAGATAACCATAAATGAACCTCTAGGAAGAACAGCCTAGTCGGAATAACTCGCTCCATGTAAACAGGCCCTAAATTATAAGCTAGTTCAGTTTAGTTTTTCTGCTAAAGAACAGTCTTGCAACTGGTCAAACCATATATTGAGTATAAAGTACATTAAAATACAAAGAAGTTCAGTGGATCAAGTACAATCATACTTAATGTTACAGTATATATAAAGGAAATTACGTAACTTTTTCTGGCTAATATTACATTCATTTTATCTGCAACAGAATCTAACATACGGCACAATTCACAAAATAGGATTATATTTACTTTATAATAGGATTAAATACCATTCCGTCTGAGAGAATTATGCTTCAGTCTGTGAAGCAAAGTGCAACGTGCAGTATACAAAAACTAATTATTCACGAGACATTTTGAAAGGCTTTTTTTATTGGGAATTCATAACCATTGTTCGTGCAAAAAGTTTTGTCTTTCGAAGGTATTACGATTACCCCAGATATATCGAGTATTTTGATATAAAGAATTTTAGTGTAATACACCGACGATTTTATCAGGTTTTTAGTTACGAAATAGCGACCTATCTGGAATTTGGCAGATAGAAAATCTCGGCAGACAAAAAAATGAAAAAATTGCAAGACTTGATTAACATTGCACTTGCTGGAATAAGTTAAACGTCAATTTTATACAAGAGACAAAAATGCGATTGTGAGCATTGTAATCTTCCATTTTCAATCACTATTTATTGCAATGACAAGAGTGACATTTGATAGCGCCAAAAGCTTGATCATTTTGTGAGAAAAGTAGATGCATTAAGCAAGTATTTGCCTGGTATAGCAATGACACCAGCACCGCCAATGTTTTTTTTTCTTTTACACACTGTAAATCGCCCTCTGGCGCGAAAGGAAATCATTAATTGAGCATTCCTCGCAAGTGCATGACAATTAGGAAAGGAGACCCAAATTTGAGGAGCAATTCATCGGTTTCAAAAGATAACAAAGAGTGTTAAGAAATATTTCACCTCCCTCCTAAATCATAACTGACATGCGTTAGTGCATGAGTATCATCCAGTAAGCCGCGGTGAATGTGAAGACACGAATTGATCATAACCAGATTCGTCTGCTGACCTTTGGCAGCAAAATGATGATTGGTACCTTAGATATATACGCATGTATTCTTAAAGCTCACTGACACTCAAACTCATTGAGCGGGAGATCTTAATCTTCTCGTTACTTTTCCATGGCGGTATTTTCAGTGAAAGAATAGCTTGATTTTTAGTGTTTCACCTTTCTTCAAATCTTACCATTGATCTTACCAAAATCTTTCTCATTGATCAGTAATAACAAAATTTCTATGTCACACTCAGAGAGTGTTAGTGAGAGTGAGTTTTTTCAATGCAGGCGAAAGTCTTGTTGCTCTTGTTCACAATCCCGACCCAACCCACACATAGTGATTTAGATCAGTCCAGTTCTTACGTGATCAGGGTCCGGTTGTATCAAGCGCGTTCAGCTTAAACGATGGATAAGTCAAAATTACACTCTTACATCTCTTTTGAATGAGTCAACTTGAATATTATGCACTAAATATGTAGTTGCATAAACAGTATCGTTGTATTAAGGTTAGAAACGTTTAGTTTGCTTGTTGAATAAAACGATCGACCTTTTGCAACTCTTATGTACACCCAGATACGTGTGTTCAAAAGAAGTGGAACTGAGAAAAATCGTAATTGCTAAAAACGTGTCTTTGTGTTTACATACACAGGTTGTCATCTCTTTGATACTGTTCTTTGTAATGTACCCGTTCGCGGCATGCAAGTCGCCATCCAGTTCCAGCGCCAATACGACAGGCAGTGGTAACACGAGTCTCAACGCCCAGGGACGTCAGTTCTTGCGAAGGATTAACGAAATTATAAATCTCAAGGAAAGAGCGAACGTCTTGAAGCAGTGCAACACAACCAAGGACAAAGTTCTCGCGGAAATCATGAAAAGATACAAGAAAATCTTAAAGAACATGTCCAACAAAGGAGTAAAGAAGTTTCGTATTAAGGATTTCGTGAGGGAACAGAAAATCACCGGAAGCTTTGCAATAACTTCCACAAACCGACGAACGCGACAAATTTCGTTTAAAAACGGACAATTTTTACACATGGATAATGCTGGTGTTGTCAAGGGTAGTCCTGTGACGGCTGGGAATAAAAATAACAGTAAGTATCCCTCGCTTTCCCATCGTACCACACCGCCTTCCTAAACATCCCCTCTCAACACAACCCTTGAAATTTTTATTCAGCCATATTCTATGTGAAGCCGACGGGGCCGCAAGTTGTTATGCTTCAGTCATCTCACACGAAGAAATACGTTGCAATGGACAAACATGGCCATATTCATGCCAAAGTGAGTTCCATTTAGCCAACATAAGAGGAGGTGTCCATATTAGAGAGGTGTCTGTATTAGACAGATTTCTGTATTAAAGAGCTGTCTGTATTAGAGAGATGTCTGTATTAGAGAGCTGTCTGTATTAGAGAGATGTCTGTATTAGAGAGGTGTCTGTATTAGAGAGGTGTCTGTATTAGAGAGATGTCTGTATTAGAGAGCTGTCTGTATTAGAGAGATGTCTGTATTAAAGAGATGTCTGTATTAGAGAGATGTCTGTATTAGAGAGATGTCTGTATTAGAGAGACGTCTGTATTAGAGAGATGTCTGTATTAGAGAGATGTCTGTATTAGAGAGATGTCTGCATTAGAGAGATGTCTGTGTTAGAAAGATGTCTGTATTAGAGAGGTGTTTGTATTAGAGAGATGTCTGTATTAGAGAGATGTCTGTATTAGAGAGATGTCTGTATTAGAGAGATATCTGCATTAGAGAGATGTCTGTATTAGAGAGATGTTTGTATTAGAGAGATGTCTGTATTAGAGAGATGTTTGTGTTAGAGAGATGTCTGTATTAGAGAGATGTTTGTATTAGAGAGATGTCTGCATTAGAGAGATGTCTGTGTTAGAAAGATGTCTGTATTAGAGAGGTGTCTGTATTAAAGAGGTGTTTGTATTAGAGAGATGTCTGTATTAGAGAGATGTCTGTATTAGAGAGGTGTCTGTATTAAAGAGGTGTTTGTATTAGAGAGATGTCTGTATTAGAGAGAGTCTGTATTAGAGAGGTGTCTGTATTAGAGAGATGTCTGTGTTAGAGAGGTGTCTGTATTAGAGAGGTGTCTTTATTAGAGAGATGTCTGTATTAGAGAGATGTCTGCATTAGAGAGATGCCTGTGTTAGAAAGATGTCTGTATTAGAGAGGTGTTTGTATTAGAGAGATGTCTGTATTAGAGAGATGTCTGCATTAGAGAGATGTCTGTATTAGAGAGATGTCTGTATTAGAGAGATGTCTGTATTAGAGAGATGTCTGTATTAGAGAGATGTCTGCATTAGAGAGATGTCTGTGTTAGAAAGATGTCTGTATTAGAGAGGTGTTTGTATTAGAGAGATGTCTGTATTAGAGAGATGTCTGTATTAGAGAGATGTCTGTATTAGAGAGATATCTGCATTAGAGAGATGTCTGTATTAGAGAGATGTTTGTATTAGAGAGATGTCTGTATTAGAGAGATGTTTGTGTTAGAGAGATGTCTGTATTAGAGAGATGTTTGTATTAGAGAGATGTCTGCATTAAAGAGATGTCTGTGTTAGAAAGATGTCTGTATTAGAGAGGTGTCTGTATTAAAGAGGTGTTTGTATTAGAGAGATGTCTGTATTAGAGAGATGTCTGTATTAGAGAGGCGTCTGTATTAAAGAGGTGTTTGTATTAGAGAGATGTCTGTATTAGAGAGATGTCTGTATTAGAGAGGTGTCTGTATTAGAGAGATGTCTGTATTAGAGAGATGTCTGTATTAGAGAGATGTCTGTATTAGAGAGATGTCTGTATTAGAGAGATGTCTGTATATTAGAGAGGTGTTTGTATTAGAGAGATATAGTATTAACATCTACTTAATCTTTTCATTAGACAAATCCAGATCATGATGCACTCTTTTACTCTCGATCAGAGGAAAATCTTTTCCTAACACTGGCATCATATAAATATTATCTATTATGTCCGTACGATATGTTTCTTGCTGTACGGAACACTGGTGCTATAAAGTCGCCACATCAGAGTGTACCAGGACAGATTTCAACACAGATTATATTTGTACCAGTTCCATAATAGTCGATAGAGTGTAAAATGTTTTAAATGTAAACTTAAAATGTGAAAATGTTTGTTATTCATGATCAAGCAGATCATATACAATTAATTCATATCTCAAAAGAGTTAAATGAAATTGTCTAGCATTAGGCAGAGAGACACTAAAAACAGGTGCATCTGAGGATATAATACAAGCTTATTTTTATTCAAAAGGCATAAGAAAGATATCTACATCAGAAAACCGCACGAGATTTAAAAGCACGCACGCACACGGGGGGCGGAAAAAATCTATTATTTGCCAGTTTAGTGGGTCCGAATAGGAAAATATTTCCCTCGGCCCAAAAACGTCCTTGGCCTTTTCCCTCGGCCTGCTTTTGAGACCTTGGTAAATAACATATATATATATATTATATATGTATATATATATATATATATATATATATATATATATATATATTTATATATAATTATATATATATATTTTGGACATATCATTTTATGCTTCCAACTCCCATTAATTGCTGACAAACAGAGCCATTATTGCTAATATTTAAAAGGCCTTGAAACATATCAAACTTTCTCAAACTATCAAAACTGTGCAGTATGTTTTTTTATATACGCTTTTTTTAATATACCTGATAAGGAAAAAATATCTGTAAAGTAGATAATTATGCTTATGATATTTATGTACTCCTATATGGTATTTCATTTTGTAGTAATGTACTGTAGGTTTGTACGATAGTATGATATATACTACATATTAAATTATATATTATGATTCAAAATTTATTGATATATAATTTGCAAAACTTACCCACCAAATTTCAGTCTCGTCTCTATCATAAAGAAGCAACCGGATTCTTAAAACGTTTCCCCTTTTAACAGACGCCATCCTGACCACCATTAGGACTTTATGTTATGGCTAAAAATGCCATAAAATATACAAAAAAGAAAAAACTGTAAATATGAAATTTCAGTGTTTTGAAAAACACGTTCACGTTTTTTTAAATCCCGCACCATCGAGCCAGCAATTTTTTTGTGATTTATCAGCGCCATGTGAGAAAACGTCAAGTAAGAAGCACGTTAAATTACTTCAACAGAAATTTAAAGGGATAGTAAAATGTCTTCTTCGATTTCAATCTCAACAACTTCAAAAGAACCAGAAAAGAAACTAAAACCATGCTGTGCCTGTCCTGAAACTAAAAAAGCAAGAGATGCTTGGTAAATGGTTCGAAAATTTATTGCTCGATCAATTCTGCTAGCTACATTGCTGACATCAATGCTGACATTGCATCACTCCCCACAAAGTTTATTTTGTGCGATTTTGTGGTCTGTTGAACCCAGATTAACTATTGGTGTGATATTCATGATGCAGGAACCAACTAGAAAAGCGGAGAGTGCTTTAATGTGTTAGAAATCTCACCCACTAACAAACCAGTGCTTTTCAATGCATCATGGCTATAAAATGATCACATTCAGCTATGATATACTTGATAAGTAGTTGGGTGTTTGTATTTATATCTCACAAGAAATGTTCATTTTTTAGTATAATTGAGAAAGGAGAAATGGATTGTAAAAATTTAATCGAGGCACACAAACAGTGCATGAGACAGCATGGTTTTAATGTTTGAATATTTCTGATCAAGGTAGGTCATATATTCTTCACCTTGAGTTTAGTTCAAATTTTATCCTAATTTGTTGTTCATATTCTCTTTTAGTAAGATGCACTACATCATCTTTGAGATGGAAGCATTAGAGTGAAACTATTTAACTGTCAATGCTTGGCAAATGACATAGATTTATGCAGTAGAATCTTATTTTATTATATTGAAACTGTTGTTCCTTTGATGTCCTTGAACCTGTTGTAACAATGCGATAACAATGTAACAATGTTGTAACAATGGTGACTATATATATATAATGCCTTGTCATAAGTTTGAGATACGAGCTTTGACCATTTTTTCCCACTGAAAACTTTTACTTCAATGACACCAACCAGATGAAAAATTTATGGTCTAGGGGCTGCCTTCACCCTTTCTGCCTCAGTTTGTTGACTTACCATGCTACTGGTTGGACCTGTACCACCACCAGCTTGCCGGCATAGCCAATAAAGCAGTGTTATGCTCTGTTTGTTGTTGTGTTTTTTCAATAATTGATATCCCTGGCAACTTCTAGTTGCCAATTTTATTATAATACCTAATATATTGGGACTAAGAAACTATTTTTGCGACTTAAGTCATCCGGGAAAAGTTCAAAAGAAAAACTAGAAGTTTTTAAAGAATAAATTACCCGAGCTGGTCCCTTGACGACCGTCGTTAGCAACGACAGCTATACTAAAACCAATATGGCCCCAGAAAAACAACATTTAAATGTCCGTAAAGAAACGCGTATTTCTCCACGTACATTTGAGGTTGGATAAACCTTTTTGGTTTTTTCAAAGGTTTGAGGATTATAGTGTTTTAATATTATAAAAATGGACGAAAGGCATTGGTGGTTTGCGACAAAATTGCAAGAGACATTTCACATCGGAGCCCAAGACAGCCCGACCATGCTCGAAGACTTTATGGCAGAGCAGTCAACTTTGGACTACATAAACGACTTTCTAGCTGTTGGCGGACACACAAAGCTGTTCTTTTATTGTCCAAAGTCTAGTCAAGAAACTCTTGTGGCTAGGAAAATGTCCGTCACAAACACAACAGCAAAACTTCGCGAGGTTTTAAATGAGGAGTCTATTTGCTTGTACTTTTTACGGTCCGAAGCAGACCACGCTATCGAATCTAACCGTGTCGAAAAGGAAGTCTTTTGTGGCGAAATCAAAGAAACTCCTTTGTTGACGCTTAATTTGCTGATAAGCGATATCTTTGCGCCAATTTTGCGTGCCCAAAAGAAGTGGAATTGCAGTGAAGAAAGTGTGGCACAGTTTTTGACACAATTTGAAAAACTTGCATCCACTTTGAATGAGTTTGCTACAGCATCAGTAGCACCCCAGCCGATACTCAAACGTGCTGAAATGCAAGTGAGCAATGATTTCAAGCAGAATCGGGCGGCAGCAATAAATCCTATGGTATTGTCGGAGTACGAGGCGTTGGTGACCGACTGGATGCGTACCATTGAAGGAATACTGTGCGATGGTCTGGATGATAGGTATGCTGTGTCACAGATTTCTTTGACATATTCCTGCTGCCTGAGTTTATTCCATCTTCTGATTTATCTAATTGAGAATTTCACTTTCATTATATTCAAGTGAAGTAATATGTCAGCTGGCAACATTATAAATAAGGCTTATATGTGGGCCTTCATAATTAATTTCACAATAATGGTGGAAGTTATTAATGTATAATTTTCCAGCCATTTACATTGAATTCAAGGCTCTACCAGGCTTTTTGCATTAGCTTTCAGGCTGGAATTTGAACCTTGAAAAACTCTAGTTCCAGCCAAATATAAATTAACATGTGCAAACCAACTGGCTGAAGCCAGGAAAAGTTAAGTGGCTGTGGCCACTCTGCAGTAGCTGGACTAATTCAATTCTACTTAGGAAGATAGACTATCTGCATGGATAAGCTGGTTAGGATAGTTTATGGGTGGTTGCACGTAAAAGTCTATAACAGGGGTTCTAGGTTCTCCAGATTGAATCAGGGTTAGTTTACATAGTTTAAACACTGGCTTTTGTTACACAGAGCATTTGATGGGATGCGTGGACCAATGACAGAATCTGACATATGGCATCGACGTCAGAAACATTTGATTGGCATCACAGAACAGTTAAAAACTAAGGAATGTAAGGGAGTCATAGCTATTCTTATCACCGGCAAGTCTAAAATTCTCAAGAAATGGAAACTAATTGATACAAGGTAGGTCATCAAAGTAAACTGATTGTTGATCAGTCACCACAGTGTTTAGGCTAGCTAGAGTAGATTATGGGCATTAGGACCGAAATCACATTTCAAAATGGCTTGTCCATTTCTGATGATTGAAAAACTAACTCATATATATGACCAACCCTAGCCTTTGTTATGTACTTTTCCAACTGCAGTATTACAGATGCATTTAATGAGACGAAGGACAAAGTGAAGTACTTGGATACCCTAAAGAGATATTTGGAACAATTATATCTACCAAATATCACCATTGCAACACTGTCGAATACCGTATTGCCAGGACTGATGGCAACAGTACGACAGATGGATGCAATATCAAGATATTATGCTCGGACTGGCTATCTTGGAGTACTGTTCACCAAGGTATGAATTGACCTGAGGTATTAAAATGAATGTTTACCATGATCACGTCAATGGTGTAGTCATCCTGACAATAACATCTACTTGCTTGGCACTGGCGGATCTAGGGGTGTGCAGAATAAATTACTACAGCTTACAATTGCAATCGGATTGGCAGATTTTAATGTAAACTAATGACATTCACAGGTCACCAACCAGCTGGTGCATGCATTGCGTCAGTATGTGAACATATCAATCACCCAGGGCGAAGAGGACAGGTTATGGCAAGTGGTTGAACAAGAAGTGAAAAATTTAGACAATGGTCAGTCTGCACTCACATATAAGACCAAAAGCAAGAAAAAACAGGTACCATAGCGTTGTGGGTATAAAGATGCTCTCATATAATAAATTATTATATAATATTGATTATATATATAAAGATTGATTATATATATAAAGATGCTCTGGTTATTACTCTATATAAACATCAATATTCCTCCTCATAGGGTGGAGCTGAGGTGAAACATGGCACACAAGATGACAATTTCTCAGCTCGTCTCAATTCGTGTTTGCTAATTCAGAAGCAGTACCGTGACATGATAAGGACCTTGCGCGACAGCTTCGGTGCCACAAACTCGCATTCAACCACAACTCTTGTTGGTATACCAACAGCCCCCCAAACGCTGTGAAACGTTCCTTCCTCCATCCTGGTAGCACTCCTGGCTCACACACCAGTGCCCCACGACAACCATCGAACATGTCAACGCTAGGTAACGCCTGCTTTCCATTTTGTCGTAATTGCTCGTGAACAAGTCATTTTCACCGATGAGAAATAGTCCGAATGTGAATTTCTCTTTATTTCAATATTCACATCGGTCATTGTTGACTTCACACACACATAGAAATACTCTATCACATCAGCCAGCTTGACATGTCCACGACACTCGCGACTAAATGGCATAGTATAGAAAATAAAACAGATTCTGAAAATTCGTATTTTGTGTTGTTTGGTCTACAAATACTGTTGGTAGATTTTGCAAGACTACTCATAACTGCCGTTCTGCATGTTCTATTAGGCAATATGCAAAATACAAGACAACTCGATCATAACTGCTGTTCCGTGTATCTATTAGGCAATGCAAAATACAAAGATTCAGACAGCACTAATTTTCAAGGATCTTCAACAGTTTCGCTTGCGGACGAAGATATGGTATTCACGTCGATGGAAATGTTTTGTACCCGAATACGTAACATGCTTGACATTATCAACACGCTTGCGCAGTTTGGGAAGCTTTGCGAAGCTGTGAAAGATCTCCCCCGCTTGCCAATGGAGGTGCTTTCCCCGGAAGAGGAGACCCCTCGGGAGGGGGAAGGTGGTGATCAGGAACCTGAAGGAGATATGTCACGTACTATTTCTGATATCAGTTTTGAAGAAGGTAAGAGTGGATTTCCACTTGCGGAGAAATAGTTTTCTTTTGAATTGAGAACGTAGCTCTAGCGAACTATTTCTCTACAAGTGGAAATCCAGGCTAAGGGTCCTGTACTGTTTCCTTTAACTCTGGTTGTGACTGTGGTATGATTGACAGCTTACACCAACCACCAACCAGGACTTATTCCTGCATTCTTAAATTGTTTAATAGTACCAGAGTATCCTGGTGATTGAAAATGCAAGTTCACAGTACCCTAGCCACCATATTCTGCATGGTAATATATGCTATATTTTTGGTTACCAGATGAAGAGGTGATCAGCGATGACAATCCTAGTATCTCGTCAGAGCTGGAGGAGAAGCTTCAGGATATGAAAGATTCGTTATTCAGGTCTATTTCTGCAACAAATTTCCCCGATATATTGGGAAAAGATCGTGAGAAATTTGAGCTGGGATATTCAGAATACGTGAACAATGTTCGCAAGATTGAGGCGTGCATCGGTCATTATGTTGAGGTACCGTATGTACACTCTGAAGGCTAGTTTCCACTCAGGAAAATTCTCCTTTGGATCGGACAGGACAGGAAAGTTTCCTTTGTATAAACGCCGCCTGAGAACTCACCGACAAAAGAAATTTTCCTGTCCGTTCCGATCCAAAGGAGATTTTTCCTGAGTGGAAACTAGCCTTGAAAGTGCAATAAAAACATTTTGAACATTTGTAACTTATTCACTCAAATTGATAAACTATACTACTTTAGGGAATCTTCACGCTAAAGTTAAGCGTTGAAAGATCATTGCAAATTTTGTCCAGGTAAATAAATGACCTAGCTCTTTGCATGGTCTACTGAAATTTACGAGATAGTGCAGAATGAAGAGCCTACCTCTTGATTTGATACTATAAGTGTTGGTTTACTGCCTAAATTTCATTTTCTATAGGTTTGAATGTGTGGTTAATCGTCCTGGATTAAAAAGCAGCTTTTCTGAAAAATATGTCGCTGTGTTCTCGCAGTTTGAAGAAGTTCTTGAGGAAGTACAAAATCTCTATGAAACCCAAAAGGTGTTTCGACTGAAATACATAAAAGTGTTTTTATAGTTTTTTTTTCTTCAGATTACTCATGAAAAGTATCATTGTTTTTACAGGAGAGCCCTCCGCTTTCGCGCAATGCACCTATCGTCTCTGGAGCCATTTCCTGGTCGAGAGGTTTACTCAGAAAAATCGAAGAACCCATGAAAATATTCAAGGAGAACAAGTTTGTCACAGCCTTGCGTGTGAGTAGCTTTGATAATTTAGATGATTCAGTATCGCATCTAGAGGCCTCGTGACCAGGGATGGGATGGGAGATGGGACAGCCCGCCCTCGATGATTCTTGGTGTTAAAAAGTTGGTCAAAATGCTTTGTTTATTTATCAGAAAGCTAGAGTAAAGTATATGAGTAAATTCATCAAATTTACAATACACATGCAAGGGTTGTTTCTGATTATTTAAAGCTAGTCATGCCTGACATTTCTAAAATACCGTATGTTGCGTGAATAAACAAAGGATGTTAAAATGGTTTTTCAGGACTTTAGTCGTATTGTGAAGTTTTACAACAGAATTGCAACGGCTCTTGTGAAGTTTGAGAGTCTCTGGTTAACTATGTGGAAGTCGAGAATAGAAAGTGCCAAAGTTGCACTGAAGTTACCTTTGCTAGCGCATCATTTTGAAACAAAGGAACTTGTCGTAAATGCAGATGAGAGGTATATTCGTTAGTTTTACTATAGTTCTCATGTTATCGTATAAAAACCAGGTAGCTACATGCGTCTTTAAACAAAACTAGAGTTTCATCTCAATCATATAAACGCATAAGGGTGCATTAAAAATTTAAAATATTGTATTTGCTAGGGTTGTTGAATTGATCCAGGAGTGTAAAGGTTTGCTGAGATTTGGCATTTCATTGCCAGAAAATGCTTTGGAAGTCTTCAGACAAGTATGCTGTTTCTAGTCAAGTCCTTGTATAACCTATACCTTTCTTCTTAGAAGGGAACATGTTTTCATTCTTTCCTATCATTCTTAATACATTTCCATATATCTCACCACGCTCTGGACATATCGTATGCATACTTGCACATATCATTCTAATCTACCTTTTCCTGATGGTCTAGGAGAGCCGATTCAAAAACTACAAACAACACTTGGAATTTGTTTTAAAAGACTACTCCAATATCTGCTCCTTGGTGCCAGAGCCGTTAAAGAAACTTCTTCTTCCTCATATGGAATCGGTGATACAATACCTTCAGCCTGGAATGTCAACGTTGGCTTGGAATAGCATGAACATCGATGCGTACTTACACCAAGTACACTTAGCCAATAGTCGTCTCAGAGTCGTTGTTGAAAGCGTGAACAAGGTTTGTCTTAAAGATGGAATCTGGGTAAATTTGATGAGCTCGTTTTATGGAGTGTTTGCTATTTTCCAGGTGGTGGTTGATGGCATCCATAGAAATATCAATGCTCTAGAGAAGAGTGTGTTGTTTGATCTGGACCTGGCTTATGAGAAGAGATGGGAAGCTGATCGGTTTAAAGTTGAGTTGAAGAAATCAATAAAGAAGAAACAGACTGATCTGTCATCGATGTTAAAAAACGTTGAGAACTCTATCCAGGTAAGATGAATCATCCATTCAAGCCTTAACTCCGCCCCTGAACTTCACAACCCGATTATCTTTACATACCGGTAAATTTACGGCTTCCACAAACAACGTTCTTCGTGGTAGCTGAGTGGATAGACCGCTGCTCCGGAATCGCAATGGTGTAGGTTGGATTCCTGCCGGAGAACCGAAGTTGCATCTTTAGCAAGGTTTCTGATGTTCCTACACCTTCATCCTTCAATTTTTTCACCTGGATTTACTCTTCTCTTCACAGGAGGTGATCACCCTTGCCGCACATCATCGTTCAATCACACCCATCTCCCCAGGTCACACCCCACGGCTCAACATCTCCCCCAACACGGGTCGCGCTGGCGTCACCAGCACAAGCATGAGTGGTATGACCGAGGAGAGTATTATTGGCGAGATATACACTCATTATTGTGGCATGGCTCACAAGGCTTTGCTTCAATGCATCCACAAATCCCTAATGGTGTTCTACCATTCCGTGTGTCCTGCTGAAATGATTAAAGATATAACTAATTGGTAATGAAAATTGATGAAGATTGTCTGTATAGAAGTTCCTCTTGCATACACTAAATTCTTATAATAAATATGAGAGACCAACGTATAACTTTTAAAATGACCATCAAAACAATTAATATTTTAAAAGAAATCAATAAATCTTTATTTGTTTCGATGGCCATCTTCAAAGTTATATGTTGGGCTCTTAAATTTACTATAAGAATTCGTTTTCCGCGTGGCAAATCTCTCCCTACAGTATACAATGCTTATGCAGAGATTTCCTTTTTTGTACAAAACTAGTTTTCTAAACATCCATTTTTCACAGTTTTCTGTTTCATATTTAAATAAGCACGTTCACCTTTAACAAATACACGCCGTGAACATTCCGATCATGCAAATAAAAAACCACCAATTCTTGTTCACTGTTCAAAATTTCCAGAATATTAAAATCAACTTTGCTTATTTCCTAGTTCTGAAAACAGCAGCTCTCGTCCATCTTCAGCCGCATCGACTCTGTCATCCTCGTCAGAATGGGCCGTACCCAACCCGTCTTCGGATTTACTCCAGTTTGAGGTTGAGATCAAATTCAACATTCCGGATATAGTAATCACACCCACGCTCTCGTTGGTGCAATCACAAATCAACGACGTCACAACGAGCTTGGTTGACGTATGCAAGGATATCCAGTGGTGGGCTGTAGATACCAGGGAGACGCTTTACCAGTCAATATCTCAGAACTCTGGTGTCAGCTCACTCGTGAGATATATATCCGATGTGGTTACATGTAAGCTATCTCATACTAGATAGATCCAGAGCTGTAGCTAGAAGCTTGATTGGGGAGAGGTGTATATTTATATATACGTCTTATGCCCTACTCACTGTACGCTATTTTTCCCATATTTGTGGTGATTTACCAACCACTATCAAGTTCTGTGCAAAAGTTTTAGGTCATCCGCGAATGATTAGAAGTGGTTTTAGAATTAGTACATTTCAACATTTTCATTTGTGGGATATATGCAAAATGCAAAGTATATTGACAGCGTCTTTGAATGTACACATTTTGTTTGACGGTAAAAATAATTCCGTGTGTGACCTAAAAATCTTGCTTATTACTGTATATCACCCACATACTCTGCTGTATTTATTCTCAACTTATAATGTAAGGAACCTCATCACCTTTCCAGGTCTTCAGAATGCTGTTGATCGTCAACTTTTCCGTTTCCATCGCTACGACTTTCTCTGGAAGGAAGATTTGCATGCCTTGTACCAGGCCTTTGTTGACACGGAGCCCAGCACGGCTGAATTTCACAGAGAAGTTGAACGCTTACAGAGTATAGAGCAGGACATCTTTGCCATACCAGACTTGCTAATCATTGGATCAGTATGCTTGAATACTACCCCCGTCAAAGATTCTCTACACGGTCTTGCCGTTGCTTGGAAAATGAAATATTCTACTGAGTTACACGAGATAGCAAAGGTATACATAATTCTAGTATATGATAGATATCATTCTAAAATTATATCCTTATTCAATTTATTGTTAAAGGCCTATTTCGACTATGCGAAATCGTAGTTGTATGCGAACATCATTCTGATGAATGGAAACGAGTGGCCATGTCACAAACCTCCTCATTTCGTTCCAAGGTGGAATTTAAAATGTGACATTTTTACGCGTGTTTATTCGTTCACATACGCCAGGATGCTGATTGTGTACGACTAAAGGCATAGTGTAAATAGGCCTTTAAGGGTATTGTCGTTCACCACGCTTAGATGCGACTCCTGTGTCCTCTTTCAACGCGTTCGTTTCTTTTCTAAGGCTGATCTTCAACAGCTGGTTGATTACAGAGAAGAGATGCAGGAACGCTTATCATGCAAAGTGGTAACACTGGAAAGCCTGAATGAAATTCTAAATTTACTGCAAGAACTCAATGATAGAGACAACACGATCGATGAAGTGTACTTACCCGTGGAGAATAGCTATATGATGCTGAGGTACGTTTGCATGTGGTTGTAACGAAATCTGGATAGCGCTATCCACCGGGGGCGGTTGTATCAAGGTCGTTTAGCATAAACGGCGGATAAGTCAAAATTAAGTAACACTCTTACATCTCTCTTGAATGAATCAACTTGAATATTGTGGCATTGAATATTTAGTTGTAAACAGTATCGTTGTATTAAGGTTAAAAATATTTAGTTTGCTTTTGAATAAAACGATAGACTTGCTTTCTATTTTGAACTTAACCACCGTTTAAGCTAAACGGGCTTGATACAAACGGCCCCGGATGGTAAATTCTTCAACCGTTCAAAATAACATCACAGTTTAAAGCTACACGCTGATGATAAGTCTAAATTGACTAAATTACTAAATTATTATTTTAGGAAATATGAATTGTCTCTGCCGAGAAAAGAAGTTGAAGAAGTGAACAATTTAAGAGATTGTTGGAGAAGCCTGATGGACCTAGCTGATCAGGTTAGTGAATTACTATACACAGTTCATCTGATGCTAGTCAGAATATAATGAAAATAATAAAGAGTTTCACTTCTTCTCAGGTCCACTCTGAATTGATGGTCGATAAAAGAAATATATTTGAACAAGAATTAGACAGAGAAGTCAAGGTATATGTGTACTTCAGTTTGAAAGGTTTTGTAAATTTGGGGTTGCACTCCTGGATATAATCTTGCCGTAGCATCGTTCCAAGATCATATTCTGTTTTCTTATTCTACCATTGCTCTTTTCATGTAGCGTTTTGTGGTAGAAGTTATTCAATTCCGTAACAGTTTCGATTCCCAAGGCCCCGGAGTGCCTGGCGTGCTTCCAGCAGATGCCGTGGAAAGGTTGCACAATTTCCAAAAAGCCTACTCTGAACACGAAGTGAAGAGAAAGATATTAGATGCAGTTCAGTTATTGTTTGGCTTTTCACCAACACATTATCCTGAACTTGACAGAACTGGCGAGGTAAGAGCCGTAAGACTGCATCTGTACACAAATTTTAAGCATGATTTTATACGCGGTTGAAATTTTACTCGTTTCACATTTCGTCTTTAGGAGTTGGTTTTACTTGGGTTGCTCTATGGTTTGTTTCAACAATATATTTCATTTGATGAAAGGTACATATTGTCAGCTCGTAACCTGTAAAATGCATTTGACGATCAAATTTTAACTTTCTACTACATGAGCAATTGTTTTCTTTTGCCTCGAATTTCAGCTTTAGAGAGAAGCTCTGGGCTGATGTTGACCTTATAAAAGCCAATTTTGAGGTAAGACTTCTTTAAAACCAGCCACATATTTCAAAGTTGGTTCAGTTTGTGTTTTTCAGAGAGATGTGCGAAATCTTTGAAAACTATCAACAATTATTCCTGGCAGGTTGAGAGCTACTGGCAGCAATGCTTGAAACTACCAGACAGAATCCAGGAATGGCAAGCTTACAAAGATATGAAATCCTATATCAAACAATATCTTGATGTATTTCCCATATTACATAAACTTGCTTCAAAGGTAACACATATTTTAGCGTTTCAATTTCTCTGCAAGTGCAATTTGTGAGCAAAGGTTGTGCAAACCGATCATCAGCTCCAACGTCTCATTCAAACCATTTTCGTCCATGAAATTTATATTTTATTTCTATGTACTTCTTTAGGAGATTCGTAACCGTCACTGGTTGCAAGTCATGAGTGTAACTGGCTCGTCTTTCCAGCTTGAGGCGAATGTATTTAGGCTAAAATATCTTCTGGATAACGAACTAATAAGGTACGGAGAGTTCCGTGTTATCCACGGGAAATCTTTTCAAAATCCTTGAAAAGAAACTGGTTGAAAATGCTGTGGAAATTGATAGATATCACTTGTCTAAAAAAGGTTTTATTTGAACGTAGTCACCAGGATGAGATCAAAAACATCTGCAGCAGTGCTAGTCGTGAATTGGAGCTTGAAGTAAAAATGAGAAACACTGAAGAAGAGTGGACGGAACAGGTTGGATGCTGCTAGAAAACTATTGTCAGTCAAGCATGATGCTGGTTATACTCTTAAGGCCCGTTTACACTTGCAATTTTTGCTGCGGTTTTATATGCAATTTTCGTCTTTTGATAGATGTGAACGAGTGAATTAGTTAAGGATGTTCAAATAGGATCTCTTATACACCAGAACATTCGTAACTTATTACTCTTTCACATCAATCAAAAGAAGAAAATCGCACATAAAAAGCAGCTAAAATTGCCAGTGTAAACGCGCCTTTAAAACGAGTTGTAATCCCGAATTCCACGTGCACCAGTTTAACTATCTCGTTGACTAAACAGGTCCTCTACTACGGTTGGGACAAACCAGGGGTGAAAGATGATCAGAATTAATAAGTGAACTCCTTTAACTCTTTGTACAACATCTAGGTTTTACAGTTTGAGAAATTCAAAGATGGCGCAATGTATTGTCTGAGTAACCAGCATACAGAAGGTTTACTTGAGCTGCTTGAAGATGCCCAAAGTTCTCTCGCCATGATGTTGACTTCGAAATACATCGGGCCACTTCAACAAGAGGCCGCTGCCTGGGCGATGAAACTCAAGGAAGTCAGCGAGGTTCTTGAACAGGTATGTCAAGTTTCTTCTGCAGTTGTGTTCATCTCATTTCAACCATAACAATTTATTGGAGTCAATTCCAATTTCCAGTGGCTTGCGGTTCAAGACTTTTGGCGCTATTTGGAGGCCGTGTTCAGTAACTCTGTCACAGCCAAAGATCTGCCGCAGGAGTTTGCAAGATTTGCCAGGGTTGACAAAAGTTACATGAAGATGACCAAGCGAGCTCGTGATACGAAGAATGTCTTACAGGTAAAGTTGTCAATATTTATGATGGAATCATTGTGGGATCAAGGTGATTCTAAATCCGGATTTAGTTGTGAAGATACAGTATCATAATAGTATTCGAATCTGGGATCAAGGTGATTCTAAATCCGGATTTAGTTGTGAAGATACAGTATCATAATAGTATTCGAATCTGGGATCAATGTGATCCCCTAAATCCGGATTTAGTTGTGAAGATACCATATATAATATATTCTTCGAACCAGGGATCAAGGTGGTCTTAAATCCGGATTTAGTTGTGAAGATACTATAATAAATCCGGAGTTTCCGTCTTCTACGGTATATAGTACATTTACCAACCCCATTTCCTTCTGCTATAGTGTTGTGTTGGTGGGGATATTCCAAAAATTCAGGTGTTGAAACATCTTTATGAAGAATTGGATGTCTGCTTTAAATCCCTACAAGTTTATCTGAATGCTAGACGAAAGGTACTGTAATATTTATCTTCATATCAGCCCAACTGTGTTTACCCCAACACCCACCGAGTATTCTCATAATTTTGCTCAACAACTTAATCAACATCGGAAGTTCGAATATTGCCAGGTGTAAAAAGCATGCTACACAATCTTTTTCCATGCACATTTCGTTGGCAAGACAACTTTTTCATGTTATCTATCAATTGTATCCTTCAGGTCTTTCCAAGGTTTTATTTTGTATCAGATCTTGTACTTCTGGCAATCCTAAGTCAACCGTACACATTGGATTCGGTCAAGCCACATTTCAAGTAAGTTACACACTCCTCAAATTTTACAACCCTTTCTTCAAAGGTTACCTTGCCTCAGTACGAGAAATAACTAATTCAAACTTGTGTAGTTGATGACAAACATCATCGACCTAAATGTATGAAAAGAGCTCTGATGAAGGGTATTTAAGTCACAGGGTGGAGAAAGGAAAATGGCTCAAGTGTCTTCTAGTGTTCCAGTAACTCTATCAAGTGTCTTCTAGTGTTCCAGTAACTCTATCAAGTGTCTTCTAGTGTTCCAGTAACTCTATCAAGTGTCTTCTAGTGTTCCAGTAACTCTATCAAGTGTCTTCTAGTGTTCCAGTAACTCTATCAAGTGTCTTCTAGTGTTCCAGTAACTCTATCAAGTGTCTTCTAGTGTTCCAGTAACTCTATCAAGTGTCTTCTAATAATAATAATAATAATAATAATACTTATATAGCGCCTATACATTACTGTTCTAAGCGCTTAGTGTTCCAGTAACTTTAACTAGGGTGTGAGATTAGTGTGTTCTTCTTTAGATCACTATTTGTTGATTTGGCTGATATCGCATTAAAACCTCGTTCCGAGTATCAGCCTAAATGTACATGGAATATGGCTGTGAATAATGTGAAGAAAACAATGAAGGTATGCCCCTTTAAAATATGGATAAGATAGGACTCTGCATTGTCAGGCTTCAAATATAATCCAAACCTTTGCACGAGAAAGCAGGAATCTTCCTCTTTGAGCTTTTAAATCCAAATGCATGTGTGCTTAAATACATTTGCTAGTAGAGGTGTCCTATTTCTGAGATGCATCGTGATATTTCTAACCTCACAGGAGGAAGAAGATCAAGGAGCTAACCTCTTTCTTCCACCGCATCGAAAGCCATCTCAAAACATGCAATCAGAGCATGAGCTGGGTCGTACAATCAGTCGAAATCTCTCCACTTCCGTGTCGACATCATCGTACAGTGAGTGGAGAATAGTGTATAGTGATGCTGTTTCTGTGACCTCTGAGAAAGGAGAAACTCTACAGCTAAAGAAAGAGGTACAAGTATTTAGTATGTTCAGAATAGTTGTTATACCTGTGGTATAACAACTGCCTAAAATAGACAAAATACTTCTCGACGTTTCGACCTGAGGGCCTTCGTCAGGAGAGGTACTATGTTCAGAATAGCTTAATATTTGGAGCAGGAACGAGAAACTCCAGTGTGTTATTTTAATGTGATAATCAATTCTTTATTCTCTTAGTGGATCATGGCAATCATCTATTCCCCATTACTACGTTAACTCTCGCTATTTCCAGGTGTTTCTTAATGGTGGTGTTGAACTGTGGTTAAGTGAACTATCGCGAGTTCTCCAAGCGACAGTGCACGAAACTATTGTGAAATGCATTGGGGATGCCAATACACTGAACTACATCGATGAAATTGCACAAAAGGTAGAAATGTGTAGAAATTACGTTCATGGGGCAATCGGTCTTTTTGTGCGTGTGTCTTCCTCTTCAGTAACTGCCAATCAATTGATGCAAATCTACCTTTGTCTACTGTAATTCATTCCTTAGTATCCACCTCAAGTTGCTTGTCTTGGGCTGCTGTACATGTGGACTAGAGAATGCGAGACGGTAAGCTATCCATTCAGTTCCGTACTGTAGATCTTTGTAAGGACTACCATAGTCCTCTACCAAACTTGCTCATCAAATCTCTTGCCATTTTTAGGCTATTGCAGATATCCGTATGGATAGGAAGGCACTTCCAAATGCTGTGAGACGTTTCTGGAGCATTCTGAGCAGACTTCCTAACATTCTAATCAAGGGAAGCTGGAGAAACGTTGACCAGAACCTTACCGTTGCTGCACATGATAAATTAGAAGCTTTGTTATCGGTAAGACAGCACTGTACAATACAATATTTGCAAACGTTTTTTGAGCTTCTCCGAGTAAGGGCTGGAGACAATTAATACCCTTTCTAAACATATATCTATTAGAGAGGTCGCTTACACGTTCTCCATTGTAAAATCTTTCCCATTCCACTACTGGTGAAATTACTTCTGGAACACAGTCCCTGATGTTCTTTATTGTTTTATTTTCAGTACGGCATGTACCTGCGGGACATTGTGGATGATCTTGGCAAACGGAAGCTACGAGATGTCACAGATTTTGAATGGAAACGAAACACGAGGTTTTATGGAGATATACGAGAAAAAGGAAGTACGTTTGTTGGGGGGTTTTGAACATGAGCCAATCAAATGCTGTAGGTTTGTTAGATTAACCAATCACGAGCGCGATAGATCAGCGAGATTAGAGAACGTGGACCAATCAAATGCGATAAGTCTATCAGATTAACCAATCACGAGCGCGATAGATCAGCGAGAGGTAGTTGCAGTGGAAATCAAATCTGAACTTTCACTAGTGACAGTTTTTGGAGAACAACTGTACGTTGGTCATTGTCGGAATGGAGTTGACACGATATAAAATTATACAAAATATCAGTTTATTGAATAGTATAGTCTAAATAGACTTGCTTTTGATGAGTCTAGTTTCATTGAATTTATCTCTTTTGTTCAGAGGATGGTAAACCTCATTCATTGCTGCATTTGTTGGAAAACGACTTGGAATATGGCAACGAGTTTTATGGATCAAGAATGCCCATCGTTCTCACGCCGATAACGGAAAGATGCTTCCTAACTTTAACCAAGGTATCATCAATCATTTCATCTTGTCGACTTTAGACAGAGTTTTATTCTCCTTTTTTCTACAATATGGTGTTTTGTTTTTTAGGCGGTGACGGAGTATCAGTGTGGTGCAATCATTGGTGCCAGCGGTACTGGCAAGACAGAGACAGCCAAGGTTGGTACACTACTATGGGAGGGACCGTCGTTTGACTTTTCAAAAAAGGAAAGATTCAAAATATCTTTGTGTATCACGATATTGTTGCAGGGTCTTGCTCACATGTTGGGCCAGTATTTTGTCAGCTTGAGTTGTACACCAAAAATGGACTTTGGTCAGGTTGCCAAGATCTTCACTGGCCTAGCGCAAGTAAGCTTAGGGAATTAAAATATTATAGAAATTCTAGGCAAGACATTGAAACCGTTATATATCTGCCAGTTTATCAATGCTACCTTGTTGTTGATGCTATTAATGTTTGCGCTTCTGGTTTGCCAACTTCGCTGGTAATGTACATGTAAACTAACACTTTTGTGCAACTGATAAGTATATAATTTTGTTGACAAAGAGCAATCTCAAGTAAAACATCATTTTCTTCATAGGAAGGTTGTTGGGGTATCCTCGACGAATTTCATCGCGTGCCACCGGCGGTCGTTTCTGTTATATTTCATTATGTGCAGACCGTAATTGATGCTATTAAAGTTGGGAGCAGTTCATGTTTTGTTGATGAGGGGAAAGAGGTGAGTTTTATGCAAGAGTAGAATCGTTTTCACAAAGAACAGGTTACCATACTATGGTACAAGTACCTTTAAAGGTATCCTCAGCATGTGTCCCCATGCATGGCACTCCCAAGGCTATTCTGTTGAATGGTTTGTGGTTCGCGTTCCTATCAATCTTATCTCCGACAAACGACAGATTTGAAGTAGGATTGAAGTTAAATGATAATTCAATCCGTTTGAGAGATCCAATGCAGTTGTTTGCCCTGAAATCTGAATCGAAATCTGAGCTCACGAAGAGTAACTTCAAGTAAACCTCTTTTTTTCATTTCAGATTGTTATCAAACCAACATTCAATGTTCTCGTCACAGTCACCTCAGATGATCACAGTTTCACCATGACGACCGAACTGAAGGCATATTTCCGTACCATAGCAATGGTAATGCCAGACATGTCTCTTATTCTGCGAGCTCACTGCGCTGGTCAGGGATTAAAGTCTCCAAAAGTGCTTGCCGATAGATACACCATGGTAGCTAAAATCTGTCAAGGACAGTTGTAAGTTCCTGTGTTCTTTTTATGCGGCAAGTCATTACGATATTTCCCCACACACACTGCAAGTATTTCCCCATGATGTTAGGAATGCCTGTATAGGGTTCCTGCTGTGGAAATGAAGTAAGATATGACAGCGTATGCCGCCATAGCTTGTATATGGTATGCAGTATACAGTTCGATTACCATATTTTTCATTATATCTTCTTTTAGAAGCAATACAGCAGCTGAAACGTTCGGTCTATCATCATTCATCTCAGTCGTGAAGACTTTGGGTGAAATGCGACGAAGTCAGAATACAAGTAATCAGACTAAGATTAGCACCATGACCTCAGACTTTCAAATGCGACCTACCAGTAATACTTCAAGTAAGTTGAGCGTCTTCGATTCATCTGAAACTGTGAAAACAAACTTTGGTACGATCGTCCTAACTCAACAAAGAACTGTTCCGTAACTTATTTATTTAAACTTAATACCGTTGTGATTTAGTTTTTACTGCAAACTAGAATTGCTATTCGAAAATCTTGATAATATTCCTTTGCTGTTTGCCCAGTGCTCAGGTCGTCGAAGTACACTGCCAGTGTAGACAAGGACAAAAAAGCAGGTTCACCTTCATCTGGACTGACAACGGCTGCAAAACTTGACCATTCCTGTGCTATGCAAGTGTTGCAACAGTGCATTGGACCACGTTTGTCTCAAGAAGTAAGAGAAATAGAAACTCAAAACACTTCTATGCATCCGCTTTAGTTACCCTCACTGAATATCAATGCAAAATAACTCCCAGAGCCCTCCTCTTTGGCTACAAGTAGGACCTCATTTCTACCAAGCGCCTTCAAGAAACCTATGGTTTTTGGTGGGAGCGATTTGGTAGTGCTCTTCACATGACTCACACGAAAGATTATCGTCTTAAAATCAAAATGAATCAAGTCACATCACTACCAGCTCACCTTCATCATGATTCGATATATTTCATTTAAAAAAAACTGTTTATTTTTGTTTCAGGATCTTGGTATATTCAATGGTGTTGTTCGTGATGTGTTCAGTGGCTCGCTACGTGTTCCCTTTTCAACGGACCAGCACATTATGAATGAGCGAAGTTTTGAATCATTGCTGGTAAAACATGCTTCAGAAAACGGCTTAATAGCAAGGCCCCAATGGACGGAAAAGGTCGTCCAAATGTACCATCTATCGAAGAAGAATCACGGTAAGTAGTTTGTTCAATTTATTTCAAATTATATAAGGCAATGAAATGGTATCTTAGCTCAATCTTTTGTGCTGTCATTCATTTATAACAAAATAATAAAAATATGAACAATTATCTGTCAGTTATTGTAATACTATGAGAATTACTGCTATGACACGGTTAAGGCCATTAAATTTTCTTTGATGATAGCGGAATTTGAGCATTTCTTCAGTTGGTTCTAGTGCTTATCACTGATCTACATTGCTCTCACATATCTTAGAAACTCATCTACAGAAACCAAAGAAATTTTCATAGCGTACTACGTCTTTGCCACTGACGTGCTGTTTCATTCATTTCCCCAGGTATAATAGTGGCTGGCGGACCTGGTAGTGGAAAGACCTCGTGCATTACGTCATTGGTGGAGACCCTAGCACGATGGTCATTGGTTATCCATGGCAACACTGGAGCCCAAGTACATGCGCATAAACTACAACGCATCAACCCGCTGGCCGTTTCGGATATCTCCCTTATGTTCGGCCAACTCGGCCCTAATGGGGACTGGATTGATGGGATATTCACATCATATTGGAGGAAGGCAAACAAGGAGCATAATGTTCATAGAACAACTACGTGGTTATGTCTTGATGCTCCATTGCATCAAGGCTGGGCGGAGAATCTATCCAGTGTGCTTGATAATGGCAAGGTAGGGACTGTATATGTGTGTTTTCCACTTGTTAACCTCAGATTCAAAAGACGACCTCCAAAGTGGAAGTGTCTACCTCAGGGACGGCCCCTGATCATGTAATTTCTTTCACATTTCAGTATTTGACTTTGGAGAATTGTGAACGACTGCACCTGACCGATGATGTCAGAATCGTATTTGAGACGGATGATTTGACGAATGCTTCACCTGCAATCTTATCTAGAACGGTATGTTTAATCGCCAATAAACAACTCTAGTCTAGCTCAGGTATCCGATTATGCCATCAGGGAAGTTCGGATTCAACTTCCACTACTCTCCTTCTACCTTTCTCCGACCTATTCCTCTCCTGATTGGTTAACCTGATGAACTTGCTACATTTTGATTGGTTCATGTGTCTTTCAAAGTGTCTGTGATTGGTTAACCTGATAGACTTATCAAATTTGATTGGTTCATGTCCAACATCTTATTCTAGGCCATGGTGTATATGGATGACGATGTCCTTGGTTGGCAGCCACTTGCCGAAGCATATGTCAATGAAAGAACAAGTTCAATGGAAAGAAAGGTATTAAAAATACTCACGAATTTACCATTCACCAAATCAAGAGATATTACTCGTAGAAAAACAGGTTTTTAAACATATTTCCTTTCATTTCTTATAGTGCCTCATGAAAGTTTTTAACAACACACTTGACCCCATATCTCATTTTGTTCTTCACGATGCAAAGTAAAAAATCAAAATTCATTGTTTTAAACTAAACCATAAAAGAAGCCTCTTTTCTTAAACTTCCAATGGTTTCTCCATGCTGTAAACCCTTTTCCTTAACGTGTTTGTAATTATAAGTATGATATTCTGTTCTGTTTTAATGTGTAGACCTCTTATGAAGATCTGTGAAGTTGGATTATTCCGTACTTGTCTATCGTTGCTTGAATCTCTTATGCATGTAAGTATGGTTTTACCTTTCCTTTGTGGTCAAGCTGAGCTTTCTAAGCTAACCATTGACTCAACTTACTCGAGCATGCTTGCCTTTCACCATTCCTGTTTTCAACCACTGTTTTATAGAACAACTCTGATTTAAGCGGGGAGCTTCATATAGAAAGACTCTTTCTGTTTTCATTAATCTGGTCGTTTGGTATTTTACTGGATGACCAAGATAGAAAGAAATTTGGAGACCTACTTCTCACCCTTACCACTGGGTGAGTTGAGAAAGCACACATGCAATTTAATAACCAGATTTTAACAGTTCCTTTTCCAACATTTTTTTACCGGACATAAAAGCTCTTCTTTAAAGTTAAGCCAGTCGAAGTTTACAAAACAATCGATATGAGAGTCAAAGAGAGAACACCGCTTTCAAATATCGTAGTTCTTCTAGTCCAATTATAGTCACTCTTTGGACTTTGTTTTATCCCCGCAGGTTACCTGATTATGATCAAGATATCTCCGTATTTGATTATTATTTGGATGAGTCTGGAGAATGGGAACTATGGAGATCGCGGTACGGATTCAGTTCAGTTTAAAAAAACGTTGAACGAGGCTCGTTTTCTGGGATTTGCATTGTTTGTTGACGTGTATGTGTTGTCATTTTTCAGAGTCCCAGACGAGAGTTATTTTGATGCAGCGGATCTACTGGGAGAAGTCTTTGTTGAGACAGATCAAACGGTATTATGTCAAGATTGATTATTTCTATTTATATATGTATGTACTTTGTGGTAAATTTCTACTTTTGGATATGTGAAAGTTTTTTTATGAAATATGTGTTTTTTTCCAAACAGATCCGTATTCGTCTCTTAATGGACTTGGTCAGAATGTCAGGTCGAAATATTCTGTTGGTTGGACCAGAGGGGGCAGGAAAATCATGTCTGGTCAACGACTTCCTTGATAAACAAGGTAACTTTTCACCAAACAATTAATACATTTAATTCTCGCTGCCAATCAACACCTGATCCTATTATGTATATCGTGAAAGAAGGAGTCTTAAATATGCTAGACATATTAACCAATCACTCTATATTATTTTCTATCGTAGTCACCGAAAACAAGAGACTTATGGTTCGTCGTTTTGTTTACTCGAGCAATTCAACAGCCTCGTCTCTTCAACGTTTCATTGAAAGTAATATACATCATAGACAAGGTATAAGATCGTATATATCCGCAGTTTACACAGTTTAGTGGCCATGTCGTGTTATGTGTAACCCTATGAACCACACTGGCTTTCTTAACTGGGTTATTTTGTTCAATTTAACAGGTTATGACTATGGTGCTCGTGGCGGGAAGATACTCAGTGTCTTCATTGAAGATCTCAACCTTCCTGAAGCAGACGTGTTTGGAATTCAGGAGGTTAACGAGGTGAGATTAACAACAGATTGTGTCTGTACATGCATGAAGCACGAGATCCAGATCACTCCTGACTAGTGTAATACTAATTCACCGTGTAATGTGTGCGTCTTTTCCATCCCAACCGCTTCTGCTCATTTTGAATCATCTGTCTTTGAATACACTTTGGAAATTGAAATGCTTTAGAAAACACTGTATTCGCGTGGTAATGATCTATTTGCTGCCTTATAACTCCCGATTTTCTTCCCCCAGCTCCTAAGACAATTGTTGGACGACCGTGCATTGTACAAGCTCCAGAAACCGTTCGAATGGCGAAAACTTGAAGATCTTGTTGTGATTGCCACAATGAATACATCGTTCAAAGCTCCTGCTACCGGATCTCACACACCAATATCAAACAGACTAAAGGTTTACATACAATATTTTCTCCTTAAATCATTAGCCAAATTTCCTCTATTAATCTCAGACGGTGATTCAGTCAATATGAGTCCCACCAAATGGAAACTCTGAGCTTGAATATGTGATGATTATTTTACTAATCCTGGCATTTTTGTTCTGTGTTTACATCTTAGCGCCACTTTGCTGTTTTCTGCCTTCCAAAACCTGCCGCTAAGACATTGTTTAGTATTGTTACCTGTGTTTTAGAGGTGAGTTTATATCATTTTTACACTTATATCACGATCCAAAGATTAAAGCTTTGAAGATTTGAAGCTCCAGTTTACCCCAAACAACTTTCATCCTCGTTTAAGTGTGAAGTTATTTGCGAGCGAAGTTAACGATATTTATTTATATTCAGGGTAATATGTCTCACAACCAAGGAATGGGTCTACAACAAGAGTTGCATGAACAGATCACCGAAGCAACATGTGCCATGATCGAGAGTGTCCAGCAAGCATTACGGGCTTCACCCACACCTGGTCGTCTTCATTATCATTTCAATCTACGTGATGTTGCAAGAGTGTTCCAGGTAGCATTGTGAGATCATGATTCCACATATGTCTCTCCGCACACATTAGGTTTTGTCCCGTTAGAATCTGATCTCATCCACTAAATCTGATCCTGTTGTAGAGATTAAAATGTGATTTAATGCCATTTGAATCTGATCTGATCTGATCAACCAGAATCTGATCCAGTTGTTGAGAATAAAATCCGATGTGATCCCAGTGGAATCTGATCTCATTCTTATCCATTTGTAGGGATTAAATCTAATCTTATCCATTTGTAGGGATTAAAAAATTGTCCTGAGGAGATGAGAGCTGACGAGGATTATGTCGTGTCTCTATGGCAACACGAAGTTCACAGAGTTGTAGGCGATCGCATAAGTCGTTCTGACGATAGCACGTGGTTTGAAAGAAAAGTAAAAGATCTGACTAAAACTGTAAGTCAAGTGTTCCATGATTTCAGAATTGCAAACTACCAGATTAGAGTGGTAAAATCTTCACCTTGAGAAACCCAGAAAAACATCTTAGGTTATGTCAAGGAATGAAAATATCGATTGACTAAGTGATGCAATCGAAACCTTTCTTGCAGTATTTCCCAGAGAAACCGGCAAATTCTCCGTCTCAATTCTTTGTGACGTTTGCAACAGACACAAAGGAGCTCTACACAGGCCGAGCAGTTGCATCATCAAAAGCCGTTACAAAGGTATTGTCGTGTTATCGCTTTGTACTTGTACCAGCAAGAGCTGTTTAGTGTTTAGAACTCAAGTACAGATACAAGATTAGATACAAGATATATAGAAAATCAATTCAATTTGTATGTGGTCTAGCTTTATGTGAATGGCGTTCATCATACTACATCACTTGTACAGTACTTAATTCACTTTCTCTTTCTTATTAGACGACTCATCAAGCCGTGGTTAGTTTGGATGAAGTAATTCCCTGCTTGGAGACATACCTCACGCGATACAACGACGAGTTTTCGACATCTCCTTTGAACTTGATGTTGTCCAATCACATCATCTCCCATGTCATACGAATACATCGCATCTTGAGCATAAAAAACAGGTAATCTACAGCTTATAGTCCTATTATCACGAATTGAACCAAGTATAGTTTTTCTGCTTACATAATAATGAAATTATATATAGTATAAGTTGTGAAAACTATCCTCTTGATAACAGTGATAAGGGATAAAGAATATAATGGCACCTAAATCAAACTATCCAAGTGAAATTGTTTTTCTTTTAGTGGTAATTTATTGTTAGTTGGCCCAATTGGTTCCCAGCTCTCCGACCTGGCCGCTCTGGCTCTCTACATGCTGGAGTACCCCATACACACTATTGATTGTTCATATCGCGGTTCGTTTCTCGATGGTCTCCGATCAGCCGTTCGTAGAGCTGGCTGTGATGGCAAGACAACTACTATAATAATCAAGGTATGATGAGATCATTTCTTTTCTAAACTTTATCTGCGCTCTTTGAAAGCTCAGTCAACTATGACTTGTTTTTCATAAAGGTATTAATGATAAAACTCTGTGAACTTCATACAAAATCTTTTTTGTAGGATCGTGAGTTATTGGAGGATTCTTATCTTGAAGCTATCAACAGTTTGTTGGTTAGTGGAGAATACCCACCTTTGTTCTCTGAAGATGAAATCAACAGCCTACTCCAGGTAATCAAGAGAAAATACATGTGTGTATACTGTTATATCAGACCCAAACAAAGCTGGATTCAGTGGTATGCTATACTCATCTACGCTTTGTGAATAATTGTCTATCTACTTGTCTAAATCGTCTTTCTAATATTCCTAATGCGTTTGAAAAACGACAGCATTTCTCTTAATTTTTTGCTGTTTCTCTCTTAACAGTGTTTTTTCCATTTCTCCAGGCTTTAATGCCATCGATAAAGAGGAAATTTTCTAGTTTTCTGACTGATCCAATGAAGTTCTTCCTGACAAGGGTGAAACGAAATCTTCACATTATCCTCTGTTTACAGCCAACACACAAAATTCTGTCATCTACATCAAGGTACTGTCCACTGTAATCCTTTTCATTTCAACGTTACAAGACTATATAGTCTTAGTTAGCAAAGACTTTCACTGAATACAGCTCATCAGCTTTGCAGTTTTATGTATCAAGAAGGTTTGTACAGATATGCTTAGCTCTGATCAAGAACTGTTGAAAAAACGTATCATTTGGTTGCTCTGATGAGGTGCTTCGATCATGTACAAGGTAAAAAAGGGTCACTTATATTATAACGAAAAAACTTTGATATTTTATTTGTAGCCATTATCCTGGAATCTTATCCAACTGTCATATCAATTGGGTAAAACATTGGGGAGAAGAAGCTTTGGTTGGAAAAGCAAAACACTTCTTGCGAAAACATGATTTGTTCCAAGATGAAACTTCTTCTGTATTGAGGTACTGTGAATGTCTTCATTTTCAATTAAACTAACAACAGGCTAAACTTATCTGTACTTATACACACCCTTAACCTTTTTAACTGGGACAAATATCCAAAACAACGTGTAAAATATTGGTAAGATCCAGCTCAAATCAATCTTAAGTAATTCTTACAATTCTTTCCTCTATCAGACCCAGCGTGGTCTCAACGCTAGCATCGATCCACGAATTTGTGCTGCAAGATTGTCACCATATTCCCTGGGCCGGAGGCATGGCTATCAATCCTGGTGGAGAGTTGGAAACGAAGGACTTGAAACAAGCTAAGAACGATTCGAACAATGAATACGGTCGAGATTTATTGATGGAAAGAATTGCGTTGGCAAACCGTCAGATCGATGTCGCTTTGCCTAACGAAGTGTTTGTGGGTCCAACGACCTACGATAGATTATTGCATTGCTTCATGAGCTTACTAAAGAAGAAAGAAGGAGAGACTAAAAATCTTCTTAACGACTCAAGGTATGTGATGAAACCTTGCCTAAAACGTCTTGTAAGTAGAACAATATTTACGAGTTTCATCACGTGTTTAGGTTTATTAATGGTTAACTTTAGCGTAGTTTCTGTTCTTAGGGGCTGTTTACATGACCCCGGTTAACCGAGATTAAACGAACCGTGAGATGGCTTTTTGAGATATTGAAATAAGTCTATTATGTGATCATGTCAGTGATATAGTCATCCAGACAATAGCATGTGTTTGTTTGGTCACTTAAAGGCTCATTTTAATACCTCAAAATCATCCAACGCTTTGTCGAGTCTTGGGTAATCGGGATCATGGGAATAACCCCTTCCCTATACACGGCTGAAAAGAACAAACCAAATCTCTCAAATCACTTCTAGACTGTGCCTCGATACGCTCTCCGAAGCTCGCCAAGATGCCGATAAGTTGAAGGACTACATCACCAAGACGAAATCAGAGTTCGAGGAAGCAAACCAAACCACAGCCAAGCTTTTGGAGGACCTCACCGCAAAATCAACCGTCTTGGAAAAATTAAAGGCGAAACTTGGTGTAGGCAGCGATACCTTGAGGTCGTTCATCGCTTTGATTGATAGCGAAATTGATGATGATGATTCCTATCTGTTTGTTGATGAGGAGAAAGATGAATTGGACGAAGAATTTGAAAGAATCCAGGTAATATATACGCTTGTGTAAACCCTGGTTTGCTTGTAATAACCGCTGTTGGCTGTTATTTCATGACGCTGTCTGTTGAAAAGTTTTTACACGAAACATCCACTGGACCATTACACCATATTCATGTTCGTTTCAGGTCGCAAAAATGAAAAGCAAGAAAGCAAAAACAGTTGAAGAAATTGCAATGGCAGAAAGGGAACAAGAGAGGTTGAGATCAGAATTAGACGAGGCTAAAGATCAGGTAAGCTTAAGACTCTTTTTAATTCATCACAATGACCAACTCGTAAGCTCGCTGCGAGGATTTTTAACCAATGAAAATACTTTGGTGTTGATTTCAATTCGATGCAAATAATCGCATTGCCATAGAGCTTGCGGGTTGGGTTTAGCAGCGAGTGGAAAGGAGGCTTTATGCCACTCATTGCATGTCCTTGCATTCCACTTTGTTTTCACAGATCTTTTTATTGAATGAAATAAAGAAATAGTTTTTAAATAACCAGCGGAAAGTATTTTATCATATGATGACGTGACTGTTGTTTTCCTCCCCAGGTTCTTGTCTGGCAAGAGCGGTTGGATCGCACGTGCTGTGAAAGACTCAAAGCGATTCAAAGTCCTCCCACGATGATCGGGCTGGTGATGTTAATGACAATGACACTGCTTGGAAAACACGAGTTCTCTCCATTCATTTCAACGCCTTCCACAACAGGACGTCACGACAGGAAGTCCTTCGATGGAGCAGCAGTGACTGACGACACTTCAAGTATCGGCGGAAAAAAAAGAAACAGACTAGAACCCAGTCAGCTACGAGCTCCACCACAGTCTTCCTATGCAGGTAAATTAATTCGTAGTGCTACTTTTCTCCTTTGATACATGTGAACCATATTAAGTTATAAATAACTACATTTGGATAATATATAAAGCTTATTTACTCATACATAACATCATACTGTGTGCATATGGTATATTATATTACCAAGGTCGATTATACCATATTCCAGTACACTCGGCCTTACCCAAATTTGAATATACAATGTTCCGACCATGGTCGAATACGCCGTTTTCCAACAGACTCGACCATGGTCAAATTAGTCGTTTTCCGGCGAACTCGACCATGGTCGAATTAGTCGTTTTCCGGCAAACTCGACCATGGTCGAATTAGTCGTTTTCCGGCGAACTCGACCATGGTCGAATTAGTCGCTTTCCGGCGAACTCGACCATGGTCGAGTTAGTCGTTTTCCGGCAAACTCGACCATGGTCGAATTAGTCGTTTTCCGGCGAACTCGACCATGGTCGAATTAGTCGCTTTCCGGCGAACTCGACCATGGTCGAGTTAGTCGTTTTCCGGCGAATACGACCAAGATCGAATTAGTCGTTTTCCGGCGAATACGACCATAGTCGATTTCACCGGAAAACGGTATACTCGAGAATTTATCGGAGTATGGTATACTAGACCATGGTGGAATTTACCGAATATACCATATACCGGTATATATTCTACCTCCAATAATTTTTTCGTCAATCACCCTGGCAATTGCTTAATCATCATGTGTTCTAAGGTATATCAAGCGATGGTAAGATGGATCGTCAGACGTGGAAAGCCATACAGACATTCATGAGCGACTCTCAGAAATTCGCGGAAGCTCTTCATGGCGTGAGCTGGGAGGAAGGCCTGTCCGATGATATTGTTCGCAGTGTTGAACCATTCTTTGCCAAAAATGAACTCGGAGAACTCGGGAAATCATTGCGTAGTGGCACATCCAAGGGCAACACATCCCCCGGAAAACATTCCCCACAGACAGGTAACACACCTCCCGGAAAGAATTACTCACAGACAGGTAAACTATAATCATATTTAAGCTTTCAAAAACAACAAAAATAACTACATTCCTCTTTTCCCTTCAAATACGAACTTCTGTAAATAATATTGAATAAATCTTTCCCATGAATGAAGTAAAACGCGGGATGTAAATGTTACGCTAAGTTTGATTGGCTCCCAAAAACTAACGAACCAATCAATCTTCTTGTAACATCAGGCTTCCCGGGTTCAACGGCATCATAAGAAGGGTTCATTCTGCATTATATTTCATCCCTTTCAGAGCGTCGTCATTCAGTCGGAATAACCGTGACAGCAGCACGATACTCTTCGGAAGATGCCGTCATCCTCGTGGAGTATGTGTTGTCACTACTTGAGTACACGAAGAAATACAAGCCTTACAGGAAGGTCCTGGATTACATCGCTGAGCTGTCGGCGGAACAGGAGGAACACGAGAAACTCACAGATGACGAGAGATACAGTGAGGATGATTTCCACGAGGAGAAGGTTTGTTTTTGAAACCCAGATTTCGTTTTATCATTACCACAATGTTCTGTAGCGTGGTTTGGTTATGGTGACCCAGCGTTGCTGTGGGATATAAGCGGGATTAAACTTGATTGAAATGAACCAGCTGGGGCACTCTTCTGATGTATAGGAGCAAACTTTGTTCGGACATTTTCATTATGCTAAATACTTTCATTATGCGTAACAATCATCGCATTGATGCAAGTTGTTTTAAAACAGTAAACAATGTTTTGCTATTTTGCAGCGTTGTTATAAACAATGCTTGAATGAATGAACCATCAAAACTGTTTCAATTTGTTGACAAGCATGTTGCAACAGAGCTCGTTTTTCAAAAGGCTGAACAATATTGTAAGAATTACTTTCCATGGAGTGCAGCACAACAACTTTGTTTACTCCTGACTCGACAAACTGATCATTTTTTGTCGTAATATTTGTGATTTTAGCCAGCGGATGGTGAGCCCGAACCTGTTCTCACCGAAGCTGACCTCCCAAGACTAGAGCAGGAGCTGGAGACATTGCAAGAGGAGTTTGATAAAGCAGTGATGGTAAAATACGACCTGCAGGATGAGGTGAATGCCTCGTCAGAGAGACTCAGAGTTGCACAAGAACTACTGCAAAGATTGAAAGATTTTGAAGAGGATTCCAGAGTGTTTGTGACTGAGTATTCCTCGTCTGAAGTCCTCTTGTCAAACTGTATGTCGGCTGCGGCGTTTCTGACTTACTGTGGACCAATGGGAATTGATCAAAGGTAGCATATGCATGTTTAAAGGGCAGTTGGAAAGAGCAGTTGGAATATGCCGACGTGAAAGGCAATTTTCTGCATTTGTCAATGTTTCTTGTCTCATCTTGCTTTGTTTGTGTAGAAAAAAGATGGTGGCGTATTTTACAAATGCATCTTCAAAGCATGGCTTACCAAAAGAATCGAAACAAGTATTTTATGACCTTCCGCTTTGTGAATACCTCAACGGAAAGGTGCGCATCTAGGTTATGAGGGGTTATGAGGCGTTATAAGGGGTTATGAGGGGTTATGAGGTGTATGGATCGATTGCTGTATCAGAAGACGGAACGGGCCTTAATGTTTATTGATGTTTCGAGACAGAGACAGTACATTATACCCACCATATCAAACTAAAACCAACTGTTCCAAGCTTCACGAAATCACACCATCGCATCATGAGTAATTGTCTTTCTTACATCTCCAGCTCGCTCTTAAGATGCTGCAACATTCCAAGGCGCTCACTGATCCTCTCTCCTTGGATAACTCATGTCTTGTGAATCAGGAAGAAACAGCAAACACTTGGCCATTGATCTGCGATCCTCAACGTGTTGCACAATCCTTAGTCACGGCTCTCAACCAGGTCACCATCGTCAAGTTCAAGGTAAAAACCAGTGGCACAAAGAAATGTAAAACACAACCCGACGATAAGCGTTTTGAAACCCAATATATGGACTAAAAGAGACGAAAATGAAATATCACAGGATGTCCATCAGGATTGGGTTAGGTTCACTAACTCCAACGCCTCATATTCATTGAATGTTTGTTCTTTCAGGAGTTACGTGGTCATCTTGAGACATGCCTGATGGAAGGAACTCAGTTGTTTGTGACTGATGTTGATCTTGGAGCTCTCGTTGAAGATGACAGGTTTTACTATATTCTAAGAAATGTACCAACGTTCCTTAAGGCCACCAACCCATTCAAATTGCTGGTGAGTTTTTTTTTACCGCGTGCAATTTCGATCCAGTAAATTGCTGCGTATTTGTGCTATCAATGAATTTTCACGACAAAGAAAGTTTAAGATATTTTATGCTGTCTCCTCATGAAAATTTAGCAAATATGTTGCCTACACTAGACCCATAAAGACCATCGTTAGACAGGACATAGCATGCGTTTCAACCGTATCACAATTCTTTTTCAGGTTGGGGAACATGAAATAGAGTGTCAACCGTCATTCAGGTTACAATTCAATCATTTGCGGCCCAAAATAAAGAAATTTATTAATTTTGAACAGACCTTAATCATTGCTTGGTTCTAATCCATTTTTCTTCCCAGGTTGTTCATGTCTACAACATGTCTTGCATATCGCGTTCCAGCTAAGCTGAGCGCGGTCATCAACGTCATCGAGATGTACTTGTCACGTGATGGTCTTGAAGAGATGTTCCTGGATAGATTCATGGGACTGGAGAAACCTAGGATCCAGGACTCCAGGCAACAGTCTGTCTCGGAGCTTGTTCGCTTGTTGAAAATGAAAGACGAGTCGGAGAGGAAATTCCTGGAAGTTTTGTTAAAAAACAGACAATTCTTACATGATCTTGCTACAATGAAGAAAATATCGTCGATTAGAAGAAATTTTGAGGAAACAGTGGAAAGGTAGACCTTTTGAGCTCGCTGTTAAGGAGAAATAAGTGCATCAGTAATTTTCAAATCAACGTGTCCCTAATCTTTGCTGACTTGGATGCGCGGGCTTTATTGGACGATGATATGAACCGATTCAGCAAGTATTCATAGGAATTAGAAAAATAATTCATTTTGTTGATCATTATCTGTGCTATTTTCAGTATCACACGAGTTGAACAATCCGAAGCATCTCTGCTCCACTCACGTGAGGCATTTCGGCCAATCGCGCGGCGTGCTGCCGTGTTGTTTGACGTCACACGTCACATGGGCGAGGTGAACGAGAAATATACAATATCATTGGCCCAGTTCTTGAAGATATTCGATACAGCCATACAACACTCTGAGAGGTAAGTCATTGACCTTGATCCAGGTTGCTCTCAGCCAGAAGCGAGTCTCGGGCTGTCAAACCTGTCACAGACTGCAACACCACCAGCGTTTTACAAGGCTACACATCATCTTTAACAAACGTTTCACGATACATCCCTGTTTTCGTTAACAGAACTGCTGTGAAGGCTGTGGCTGAAAGAGTTGGACAAAGCGCATTCTTCTTTGCTGCGCAAGGTTTCATGGAGAAAGATCGAACCTTGTTTGCTTTGCTCTCTGCAATTGAGGTGCGGTAATATTAATTTTGTTGTTTATTCTCCCCAGCATCAAAATTGGTGCCAATAAACAATAAGATAGAACAGAGCTAGCGTCTCTATAAATGAACGAATTCTGTCATTAGTCCTTAGGTTGGGGGAAGTCTTAACATCACCCTATGTAGGAAAGCTGTAGTACCTAGCCAATTATTAGTATACTAGTCTGAAGGAATGTTAAGAGACAGTGATACCTAATCATGATACCAGCAGCCTCAAGTGGTGGTAGAACCATCCAGTGGCCACCTAAAACATTATACTAGAGCATACTTCCTATATATAACCACTACGGAATCTATTCTCTTTGTCTTTTAATCAGAATAAGTATACGAGAATATCCTATAGTTAGTTATAGTTCCTATAGTTAGATATGATTATTTTAAAGAATGATCCTTTATTTCTATTGCTGTAGGTTGAGGATTCATTTGGTCGTGTTTCGCCAGGAGACCGCGAGTTTCTTATCTATCCAGCGTACGGATCTGCTGTTAAAACTGCGCTCAGTCACGGCACAGTGACCACGTCTCAAACGAAAATAATCAATGCAAAAAAACCGTTCGACTGGATGACGGATGAACAATATAATGGGTTACAGGTAAGTAAAGAACAGATCCCAAGTGAAGAACGTTTGATCCTGTGGGACTTTGCAGCCCAAAGCTCTCTGCTGTATGTGTTTACTGGATCACAATGGCGATGTATTTGATTATTTTATAGTTACTTGCGCAGTCGTTTGACTGGTTCCAAGAACCGTTTGAGAAAATGACAAAAGATGGTCGTGAAACACAATGGAGGCAACTTGTGGAACATGAGATACCTGAACTTGTTGCTTTGCCCGACAATTTAGACGAGAAGTGAGTAATATGGCTAGGGATGTTCCTTACTGCACGTCTATAGAGCTGGAAAACAGTTTAGAACTGATAGAATAGATAGTTTCCTCCTGTAGTAACATTGGATCAATAAGAGATGATCCTTACTGAGACCTCTAGGAAGAACAGTTTAGAACTGATAGAGCTATCCAGTATAAATAAAGTTAGTTTAGTTTAGGTTTCCTCCTGGGTGAATTAAGCATTGTTTGTCATTGTTATATTATTTAATCTCATAGGTTTACTCCAATGCAAAGATTCATGATTATCAGAGCTATTCGACCGGATCGTCTCGTTCAGACTTCTCGATCATTTATCATACAAGGCTTAGGGCGAAGGTACATACGATGTTCTATAGGTTTTCAACAGTACCATGACTGATCAATGACGTTATGAGGTTGTGATTTGTTTCAGGTATACATCAGACCTGCCTCTTGATCTTGCCTTCGTTCATCGCCAAAGTGACTCAAGAACTCCAGTGTTGTTGTTATATGATGAGGAATCCTCCATCTTACAGACACTTGTCAGAGATCTGGCTGGAAAGAAACAGGTAAACTACATGCACAATACCATACCATACCACACCAAACCATACCACACCATACCATACCATCTTATTCATACCATCTTATTTTGTTTTCTTTAGGTTGATCTGTCTGTTGTGCACCTCGCTACGGGTTGTTCAAATGAAGAGCGATACGCCAGACGAAGTTTGCATAAGGCTATGACTGAGGTTAGCAGATTCTCGTAAACACTTTGAAACAGGTCGAAAACAGCAACAACTAGTTTAGTTTAGGTTTCATCCTGTTGTAACACTGGGTCAATAGAGATGATCCTTACTGGACCTCTAAGGAGAATAATGATGGATGATTATTTCTCTCATACAGGGTACATGGTTGCTGCTTCTAGATGGTCATAACTCTCCGCGGCTTCTAGACATGCTTGACTCGTTGATATCTGACAAACAGATTGAGGGTAACTTCAGATTGTGGATTTCAGCCAAGATCACATCACCATTACCATGCAGTCTGCTGCAACTCACCGTCAAAGTGGTCGCTGATTCACCCAAGGTAACGAGACTAGGACTTGCTATACAACAGATATCATGAAAGGGGGAGGGTTACCCCTGTGGGGAGGGGCACCCCCGTGAGAACTAACAACCCCACACCATAGTGCCCTTGAACTCGCTCATTCTTTACTTTCCTCGTGGTCCGTTTCTTAGATCCAAAGAAAGATGATTAAACAATTTCATTCACTTAACATATCTTAACTCTTTCTGTAGAACATCCGGGACAACTTGGTGCGATCAATGTCATTGGTCGATAGCGATATCCTCGCTTCGAGCACTCGATCAGAATGGCCAGCAATCTTACACAATGTCTGCGTACTTCATAACGTTGTACGCTTGAGGTCCCAGTATCAGTTGGTTGGCTGGAATGAGCCAGAAGTCATAAAACCTGGTGCTCTTGAACTATATGTAAGTTCTGAGAAATTTCAACACTGCAACAGCAGACGATTTAGCCGCAGCTAAAGCTCCGTAATATCTTTAGGATGCCATCAGAGTGGCTGCGAGAGAGTTTGGTGAACACACCTCACACGAACGATCTAAATCACCAGTCACAGCCACCGGGAAAGCGATACAGTGGAATGCTTTGAGATATATGCTGGCAGAGGTAGGGGACATATAGATTCTACCATAACCCTGGTTATATTAGATTGAATTAAACGATGAACTCTGTCATGGTAGGTTGTGTATGGTAAAATAATCCGCGATGAGTTTGATCAACAATCCCTGAACGCGATTGTAGACTACTGGATTAGTCCCGCTGCTGTTAAGAAAGAATTTGAAGCCTCGAGAGGTTGGCTAGTTTATGTGTTTGATACATTGAAATTTACTCTGTTTAATCAAGATCCTAACGTTTCGTTCACCGTTTCATATTCTGTAGTCAAATACAGATTACCTTCTGTGTTCTTCTCTGGTAATGTTCGTCTTCCCACTCTGGTTCAATCGCTCGAATCTTTGCCTGCGAATGTCCTTGATGTTCCTGAAGCCTGTGGCTTGCATTCCTCCCCTGAGGTAAGTAATAAAAGACATTGGATCCTTCCCTCTTTAAACTAAATTTAATACTAAGAAAATTCATCAGTACGGCTGGATAAAGCATCCCAAAATTAGTAGGATTGGAAAGTTTGATTGCAAAATATGAAATGGGATGCTCTTTCTAAGTTTCTAACTGTACTGATGGATTTACTTAGTTTAAATTCGATTTTAAATAGGGCATTGTCAATTGTATTGAATAGATTAATTGTTGATAGGATGTGCGATTCATTGTAGTACTTTCCTTAAGTTCTGTTTATCTTTTCTTGCTCATTTCAAAGACTGTAGTCGCTCACGATCAGTACATCTTCACTCGTCTCAATTGGATCTACGACCGAATGCCAGTTTCCAGCACTCTAACGCACGCCTGCGTGGAGTCTGACTTTTACACTCCCACGAAGGGCGTCGTGGTCGTCAGCGGTCAGACGCAATTGCCAGGCGCAAGTTTTCTCGCCGTTGACAAGTCCGGTGTGTTCGCTAGTGCCAGTCTCTGGGCGTTACGAAACAGGAGAGACGTTGACCTGCTGGAGATATGTACGTCAGCTTTAAATAAAGTACCTAGACCTTGGAGCAAGGTGAGTTTGTTTGTACCGTTTTGACTTTGAAGAAGAGGCTAAGAGTTTTGGAAAAGCTGGTTACCCTCGGGCCAGTTGAACTAAGCCTGTTTAGTTTAAACGGTGGATAGGCCATAAATACTACTTTCATACATGTTGTGAATAGTTTAACAATCCTTTTTAGGAAGCTATAAATGAAAAGCTCAAGAAAGGTGGTGTTACATCGTTCAGTTTATTCGTACTTTCCGAAGTCGAGCAGATGCAGAAGTTGATTCTGACAATCAGAGAGGATCTTCAGGTGTGTGTCTGCGCTACCCCAAGAATAATACATCTTTTTCCATCTTGGGATATGATCAGTTGTGTTAGTGACGCTGGTCGAGGGGAAGGTATCCTTGTGCCAATAGGTCCATCCGTCCCCGTCTCTCATCCCACAGCTGTTAGGAATGACCATCTCTACATTTTTTATCTCATGCAGATCATCAAGACTTCTGTAAGTGATGGTGTTCATGGTGATCTGGTACCACCAGATGTTCTGGAAGCTGCAAATGCTTTGTACCATTTGCGTATACCATCGCGATGGTTGCGGTTGGCTGGCGACTCTTCTCCTCCAGGAACATGGAGTCTCTCTGCATGGTTGGCCGATCTACAAAGCAGACATTCTCACATTGAACGTGTTGTCACTCAAGTATGTGATGAAACTCAGCTCAGTCAAAATCTAACCTATGCTTTAATCTGTGAAGTTCATTGTAATCAATATTTATCTTCTAGGGTCGAGATCGCGTTCCAGCGTACTGGCTTGGAGCATTCTTCAATCCTAAGCGATTACTTGCCATCGTTAAACAAGAAGCGATAAGGAATTTTGAAAGCAGCGGTCGCTCCTCAGTCATGGAACTCTTTGTATTGCAGAGTGACATCACAGGCAGAGATAAAGATCACGTAAGCTGAGAAAATTGTAGACCGGCCCCTCCTGTCTGATCTTAGCCTGCATCTCTCCCCTCCCCCGTCTTCTTTCTTCCAAACGCCCACAGTGCAGGCTAGTGCGATTTCACCGACTTGCTGTATGATCTGGTTTGCAAGCCCAAATCATAGAGATGTAACCATTTGTGTAACCATGTTATTTGAGCGAACCAACCATATGAAAAATGGTCTTGTTTTTTTCAGTTACGAGAACCACCGCTTGAAGGGATTTTCGTTTACGGTCTATACATGTGGGGATGTGCCTGGGAGAAGACTACGGGTGACCTCATGGATGCCGCACCTAGACATGGTCCAACCCCTCTACCCGTCATCCATCTTACAGTTGTACCTCAGTCCGAAAAACATACCCTACATGACCCGCAAAAGGCAGCTGTATCATACTCCTGTCCATGTTATCCTTCAAGGATCTGTTCACGAGAGCCCGTGTTGCAGTTGGACATCGATAATAAAGATGTCTCCGCCAGTCGTTGGGCCCTGCGTGGTTTATGCGCGACTTTGAGACCGTTTTAATGGTCTGACTGTTATTTATTTGTACAAATATCAGAGTTATTGCGAGTTATTGCCGTAATTATAGTTAAATTATGAATAGAAAATATGAGCTGATTGCACTCGCAGTTTCACACCCGCCAGATATAAGATATTTGTACATTTTGAATAAGGTATTTAACCGTCGTTTGTTAAGAAAAAAAAATTCAATTATGCGCTCTTTGACTCTGTAATCATGCGTCTTTTAAAGCTCTCGTCCTCTCAAGAGCCTTCTTCCAATCCAAACTCGTGTTCTCTATGCAAAATTCAGCTGTCTATATTTTTTGAACATTTTTTACTTGTAAATATTTACCAGATAATTTATATGAAGATGTTTGACAGTTTAATTTAGACTTGTCATTTGTATTAGCCTGTTTTGAAAGTGCTGAAGGTATTATTTGCTAATGCGCTTCCCTCAGTTGCTCTGCGTCACTTTGGGATTTTATTGTTGTGTGGTAGTGAAGTCAAGGAAAATTTCCATTCTTTTCTGTCGTCAGTCGTCTAATGCAACAAAAAACGTCGATTTAAAGGATTTATCAGAAGATATTTGTGGTTATCAGCACCATAAAACTGTTGTATTAGGAAGAATGTCCTTCTCTGAACGCAAAGGACATATTTAGTTGGTTTTACACTAAGTATCGTACGAGCTTCATAGAAGTTGTTTGGTCATGGAAGATAAACAAACCATTTCAAAGAAGAAAGATGTTAATGAAAAGGGAGAATATGTTCGACCAGAGTCTGGTTTTAGGCATTGGGTTAAAGCTGACGGTTCAACTGGCTTCAAGCCTGAGCGAGGTATAAAAAAGTGCAATACAATGTCCAATGTACCTACCGTAGTATATATTTGCCATCATTATGCGAGTCAGGCATTCCTATACAATACACATCGCAGTAGGATGTATTAAAAGAATGCAGTTCAATTGCTGTATACAGTAAACTGCTGCACAATAAATTATATTACTATAATGCCCTGCTATAGTCCAAATTCTATGATATTGCTGTATAATGTTGCACAGTTGATACCATTACAGCCCATTACTGTACACTATATGCCTGTAAACAGTACCATGTGGTACATATGTTGGGCAATGCATTACTAATGTCCTTTTATATACTGTGCTTGGAATGCTGATAAATTTCTGAAAACTATAGGCAGATACCATCTTTATGTCTCCTTTGGGTGTCCTTGGGCACACAGGACCTTAATTGTGCACAAGCTGAAAGGCTTGGAAGATGTGATTACTGTTGATGTTGTTGACTGGTTGCTGGAGAAGCCTCAAGGATGGAAATTTGCTGAAGAGAAAGATGGCTGTACCCCTGATACAGTGAACAATTGCCAGTTTTTGAGTCAGGCATGTGAAAGTTGTTTTTACAGGACCCCTAGGAAGAATCAATGCAGGTCTTGAACCTTTACAAATATATTGATAAACCTTTACATATATATTGATTTGATAAACCTTTAGTTAAAGTTAGTTTAATTCTAGGTGTATGCTTTGTCAGATCCAACATATGTAGGAAATTGGACAGTACCAGTTCTGTTTGATAAAGTGAAGAACACCATTGTGAGCAATGAATCCAGTGAGATCATTCGAATGCTCAACAGTGAATTCAATGAATTTTGTTCTACTAAAGAACAACAGATGCTTGACCTCTATCCTGTCAACTTGAAAACAGAAATTGATGAAGTGAACAAGTGGATTTATTCGTATGTTTAGTTTGTGTAAAATTTTGATCTGGGAGATGCAATGGGGCGACTTTCCAGTCACACATGTGACATTGCTGTTTCTTAATTCAGGCTTCATATTTTGCATGTAACAAAATATAGCATTGTCACATGTGTGTCCAGAGAGTCACCCAGTGACAAGGTAGCAATGTTGGCCAATTCCCTGAGAGTGCTTTTATTTTAGAGACATCAACAATGGTGTTTATCGATGTGGGTTTTCTACCTCACAGGAACCTTATAATGCTGCTGTTCAAAAACTATTTCAAGGTCTTGATAAGGTCAGGATCCATTCATGGTGTGTTAGACTACTGAGACTACTAAATGATCATTTTTCTATTGACCATGAGTAAATAATCACATAGGGAATGTTTAACTTTAATTGTTCCAAGCACTAAGCACGTTCACACAAAGAACGATAACATATCTTTCAATATTCTCCAGGCTGAAGAGATTCTTTCAAAACAAAGATATCTCACTGGAAAGAGGCTGACTGAAGCAGACGTTCGTCTTTTTGTCACTTTGATTCGTTTTGACGTTGTTTATCATGGTCATTTTAAGGTAAACAGTGGCGCCGCGAGCAGTTTCTGGCAGCGTTTTTAGAAAAGGAAACATTTATTTTATCTTAGCACCACGCGAAACCTAAACTTACAAGTACAAGCGAACTTAGGCAGATCCACAGGAGTGCACAATTTCAATAATATTATCGATTAGTTTCAATGCGAAAACCAGGCATCGCAAATCGCAATTATATAGCATTGACTATATATGAGACGACTATTATATGGTAAAAAAGGGCTCAGAACTCCCCTGTTACCTCCTTAAGTAAAGAGCAGTGGAGCCGGAACCTACCCCGTTTTTCCGGCGTCCCTAATTAGGTAACTAACTGTGAAAAAAAAGCTGATATTTATTGTTAAACATTCTTTTTCACGAGAGATATTAAGTTCTCAAGTTCTTACGTTGAAGTTCCAGACCCTTATTTTAGAATACTTGGCGCTTCATTACTGTTACACTTTATTCGTCCTTCATTTTCAGTGCAACAAGAAACGGATATTTGACTATCCAAATCTTTGGGGTTTTACAAAAGATATTTATCAAACTAACGGCGTCGCGTCCACCGTCAACTTTGAGCATATCAAACGACTTTATCAGGTAGGGAAAACTTAGAAAAATAGACGAATGTTGAAAAAGATATTATATTAAGATTATTTATCACAGTGTGTATCTGGCTACTATATGTATGGAAATGTCGAAATGATTTTTTAATTGATTAGTAAATTATCAGTAATATGATTATTAATAATCATATTATATTCAATTCCTTTTTATGTGGATAAATTTAGGTAAAACTTTGTGTGTTTTTTCTAAAAAAAGTAGCTTTTTTCTGTTAATTTGCCCGGGATGCACAGCTCAGGCACCTGTCACACCATCCACGTTTTGTTAGTTATTTAAATATTTATCGTATAAAGAACGCGTTTTTGGTTTATCCAATTGATTTTTATACAGCATTTCTGACTTAAAACAAGAGTTAGTAGCTACATAAGTCATATCTCATGCATTCTTCATGCCAATACATGCTGCCGAAATACTTAGTATTTTCTACTGTTGAAAGTTTATGTTCTAGGAAAGTCAAAGATCCATCAATCCTTATGGTATCGTATCGGTGGGTCCTGATCTCGACTTGATGTCTGCTCACAGCCGTGACGAGATGTAAATAATACGAAAATTTTGTCTTCGAAATTATTCACTGTGACTTCGAAATGAAATCCGATTGACACGTTTCCATTAGTAGGCATCACTTTTGCCGGCAGGTGCCTTGCTGGATAATAACCTGTGCACGGCATGTTGTCTTCATGTTTTTCATTTCAAATTCATAACATGACTGAAAATCGACTACTTTTTTCTCGTATGAGTCGTGCCAGTGAATCGCCGTGCATGCAATGTGTGAACTAACCGATGGCTGGTCTGTTTACCCGATCCAATTTTGTCGAGTCAAATTCAATTCTAATGCAGTATGACTTATATATAGTCTGTTTTCTTGCAATGAGTATGAGCAGATATTGTAGATGTTTCAGGTTTTTAAACATATTTCATAGCTGCTTTATCAATAACAGACTACTTTCACATGTCAGAAGTGATCCGAGAAAATAAAATGAAATTGATGAGGGCAGCTTTTGCCGGTTGTCATGAAAACGTTTTTTTGCCATCACGCCACTCTTCTTTTTGCTTGTCAAAGCAAACATATGAATCATGAATGAATGACGTCTATAATATAGCAATTAAAAATAAAACAGGTGAAAAATATTGATAGTTCAGTGTTGTCAGAATCTTGTCGAAGTAAGTGTTGAAAACTGAAGGATCTCATGCACTCAATTTTGAGGTAAGATATACTGTAGCTGAACATTGTTTTGTTAAGTACAACGAAATATACTCAGTCTGTGTATGTTTGCGGTTTGCATTGCATACCTTTCAAGTGAAGGTATACCTTTCTCTTAATTCTTGGCTATTTATTGCAGGATATACTAGTTTGTTGTAATACGGAGAAATTTGAAACGATTATATATCAGCTTTTGATAAGAGCGAATGTTTTCTGTTTTCTATGACATTTTTAATTACATATGGCATTATTGTTAGTTTTTAATTTCCTTTTATTTTCTGTTGATTAGGATTATATCGTCGTTCAAATTAAAAATTACGAGCAATATTGTCTAATCAGACGTTGCAATTAACTTTTGATAGCAGACAGAGGTGTATGTAATATCGGTGTTGTCTCCGGAAAAATTTGCTTAAAAAATGGCAGAAGATAAACGGTTCTCAGTCCACGGCACAATTGCTATCATCCTGCTTGCTCAGGTTGTTTCAACAACTGCTAATCAACTGTCAACGGGAAGTGGAATATTTCGAAAATCATTGGAAGGTATGTATTCTCTTCAACGGTGTAAAATTCTTGATTTTAACTTCCTAATACATTTACAAAGATCTTCTCAAGAACAGGTCAATCTCTCAAGAACTTGTCAATTTGAAGAAATCTCAGCCAGCTTGTTACTAAGGTTCTCAAGTATAGCAAGACCTTTCGTCAGAAAGTCGATCTCTTACAGAGCTTCGATTAGATTGCAAATACATTACATGCACCATTATTTATATACATGTCTTTCACACTCTTTTTTGTAAGAAAAATATCAAATTTTTAAGCCTCTGAAAATGTCCACACTCGTTCACAGGCAAACGTCTCCAGGGCTGTTTAATTTCAACAAGAGCTGTCCCAAGTTTATTTGAGTGTGGTCACTGGTGCATGATTCGAGACTGTTGGTCTTTCAACTACGGACAGAGTATCGAGCTTGAAAATCAAAATATATGTGAAATGAACAATTGCAGCAGAAATGGAAGCTTGGTGTTGGTTGACAAAATATTTGATTACTATGAACTGGTTAGTCAGGTATAATCCGTGAATATTTTTGAGGCGAATCTCTAGTCACGCGTTCGTGGCAACTTCTGTGATTTCCCAATTCAGAGCTACAGACTACAGTCGAACCCTCACAAGAGCTGTTTTTCCCCTAGTTTTTTCCTCATGCAGCTGAGGAAACATTGACAAACTCCTGTCGTGGTTGTCAGTTTCTTCACTGTAGGGCTTTTAAAAGGCTCACGATCCTCCCTCAAAATTTTCAGGCCCGTACGCCTATACCTAAGATGTATGAAATTCGGCTTAGCTCTGAGTGTTATGAAGATATGACGATGTTAGCTCAGCGCTGTGTATAAATTGACTATAATTTTGACATTTTTTGCAGGTATCGCGCTGTTTACTTGATGAAATTTGCTCAGGTGGGGAACGAAGCAAAGCAGCAAAAGCAAACTATTTCAAACGCATGCAGATATTCACTGCAGTAATGTAGAGAATTGCAGTTTCATTAATAATCAGCCGTGTTTTTCGGACATACCAAAAACAACTAAGCGCCTCAGTAAAGCTTAGTTTCTCACTTAATATAATTAAGAAGTAAAATTAAACAAAATGCACTCGTTTTGTAAAAGTGGAAATGAGTCGCAGTGCATGTGGCAATATTCCACAGAATTAGGTCAGAATTGCTGGCTGTGTTTGAATTATTCTCATCGTAAACATGAATCATTATATTTCCATTTTTAGAACCGAAATTCTCCTTGCAGTTTCCACGATACAGTACCAATGATTATGTTGTTATAAGCGATCCCAGTTTAACAGAAATGGACGCCTTAACCATCTGTGCCTGGGTGAAGTTTGTTAGCAACGGAAAGGGCGCCATTATAACCTATGCTGTTCCCGGTTCAACTAATGAGCTCGCTATCTGGTGCTATGTGAATGTAGTTCTCATTTCTGTGAAAAATTTAGTCTGGTTTCGGTGAGGTTTACTCAATTTTTTACCTGTAATAACCCGTCCCCCTGCCTTCCATTTTAAATATAATCTTAACTGACGAATTAAAGTAATTTGAAATCTTCTCTCTTACCTTGTAAACGCTAAAAATCACTACCCATCGCAGAGAACTAATCGCTTCTCCCTTTTTTCCAACTGAACAAAAACAAGAGAACAGTTTCATCGATTTATTTCAGGGCTTACAACAGTACGATGAGTGATGGTTCCTGGCATGCCTTGTGTATGACGTGGTCCAGTGCGAATGGCGAGATCAGAGTGTATAAAGACGATGTCTTGACGGATGTGCGGGCAGGTGTGGGCATTGGCGAAAAGACTGTCGGAGGGGGGACCTGGGTGCTGGGCCAAGATCAGGATACAGTTGGTGGGGGATTTGATATTAAAGACTCATTACGGGGGGAGCTGACTATGGTCAATGTATGGAGGCGTGTCCTTACCAGACAAGAAATTACCAAGTTTTCAACAAATTGTGAAAATTGTATGATTGGGGATGTGAAGAGATGGACGGAGTTTAGAACTGGACTGCGAGGCAATGTTGAACTCAGAGAGAAGCAAGATTGTCATGTGTGTGATTAATGTTAAGATGAGATGAAATGACTATTTAACGTATGATAGTTATTTCATCAGCTGGTCAATAAGGCGTCGATATCCCAGGGGAACTCGTTTTTTTCTCACTCTCGGCGCGAGAAAAAGTAGTTTTTTATAAGGATGCTTTGGCTAACTTAAAGTATTGAATAAGAGAGCTTTTTCGATCTAGCCGTTAAATAGCTGATCACGAATAAACATCATATATGAACCTTCAGAAAAAGTTTGCCAGTTTTTAATGTAAAAAATATGTACATATCTTGTAAATAAATAAAATATTTGAATGCATGGGAATAAGCTGTATAACATCGCCTCGAGATTATCTCTATAGTAACTATCTCTTTTGGATAGCTGATCTATCAGCTCCTTCTGTAGTTACTTGGCTAGTCCAATCTTTAAGTTTCAGAAGAAAACCTCAATCAAGCCCTTGCTTCATTTTTAACGTCATATAAACTTTTGAGAAATTTTGTGTTAAATTTAAATGAGTGAAAATTAAAAGCAGAAAACACTAAATATTGCACTCTAAGATACGATTTTTAACGCTTGTTTGTTTTTTGAGAAAACATCACAGTATGGTCAAGCAGTGTTGTCATAGCGTTTAAATGAAAGATTTGAAAATTTCAATAAAATATGTTCCAAGGAAACTCCACATTTACCCGTATTTAATTAAATCATAAAACGTTTAATTTATAAATAAGATAACCATCATTGATCTAACTGACATTTAAATGTTGTCATACGCTCGCGGCTAGAACATTTTCACAGAAAACGTTTGAACAAATGAAATGAACATGGCGAATGTTCCTCCATTTTCAGTTCACGCGGTGATTGTTTTCATTCTGTTGTCCCAAACTTTCCCAGTAACAGCAAATCATTTGTCAGACACGACTGAGATATTTCAAAGATCTGTAGAAGGTATTTATTTACTTTATCATGTCCACTAAGGCTATGTGCGCACACGGTAACGTTTTCAAGCAATTTCATTTTCTTTTTCACACCAAAACGGTTTCAAACACCGTCAATTTACAATAAAAATTGAAGCTAATTTAACATATTAAGCATATTTTCTTTGGATCGTGTGGACAGGGCGTCTAAACTCTAAACCATAAAAAAGACAAAACCGATTTTGAAAACTCTCGAAAACCATTGTTGTGTGCAAATAGCCGAAGGCACTTACCATTTGCATGTATTTCTTTAATTTTAGTCTAGCCTTCCACCGTATTAAGGTCTGCTAATACCTTACTATTCAACTGCTTATTAACGAGTGCTAACTAGATTAATGACGATTTTAAATTTGTTGATAACTAGAAGTAGTTTGATGCAACCTTTAGTTTGCTCACTTCTGGTGGATGTTTTATAGTCTGTTGACTTGCAATGTATGTAGGCGGCATCCACTGCATGAAGTCAAGGCAGTACTGCTTTATCAGTAAAAGACTACATTCCATACGCCAAAGGTGAATTTGATCTGACAAAATTGGATCGTGTGAACAGACCTTGAGAAATCCTCGCTTTTCATTTTAGGCAGACGCCTCGTCGACTGTTTTATTTCAAAAATCACTGTCGTAAACCTGTTCGAGTGTTCTAACTGGTGTACGATCAAAAATTGTCTCTCATTTAACTACGGTCGAGTCGATGACAACTTGGGAGAAGTTTACACATGTGAACTGAATAGCTGCACTAAAGAAGATAGACAGATGTTAATCTCACCGAATTTTGACTATTATGAACTGCTGAACGAGAGGGAGGTAATGCCACTGCAACAGCTCTGCTTAAGGCACTATTACACTCTGCAATTTTCCCTGCAACTTGCAATGCAGTTATAATTTGGAGGGATGTAAATTTGTGTTCGAAATGCTGAGAAAACGTTAACAGATCGTAAGCAATGTTCGAGGATGATTAGCGCAACGGGAGGGTTTTTAATCATATTATTTTTATTCCATGCAGGTGCCACAGTGCTATCAAAGAGCAACTCCAACAGGTAAGGGACAAAAGATATAAAATGTCCATCATGTTTGTATTTAATTACACCAGGTTATATCAGTGGAATCAGCATGAAATCTCGTGTAGAACGTATTAAGTGTAGAAAGTATTTTACAATATGTTACCGTAGTTTGTGTGAATTGTGTCTGAAGTACCTGAATAAGATCTCTCAAATGTGGTGGTTCAGTGTAGGTAGCATTCTCCAAGAAGCTGTCGTGGTTTGTGTGTGAACTGCCTGAGATATCTCAAACGTGGTGGTTCAGTGTAGGTAGTATTCTACAATAAGCTGTCGTGGTTTGTGTCTGAATTGCCTGAAAAAGATCTCTCAAACGTGGTGGTCTAGTGTAGGTAGTATTCTACAATAAGCTGTCGTGGTTTGTGTCTGAACTACCTGAAAAAGATATCTCAAACGTTGTGACCGGTGTATTCTACAAGAACCTGCCGTATTGTATTATAGTAAGTCGACGGCACAAACGTCAAAAACTTGATAATTTCATAGATATCTTTGGTTCATTTTCAGATTCAACGTTTGACATGAATTTTCCAGCGTCCAACAGTGAGGATTATGTCACAATAGGTGACCAAGGCTTGCACGAGTTAAGAGCTTTTACGATTTGTGCTTGGGTGAAGTTCCTCAGCACCGCGAACGGGACAATAGTGTCATATTCTGCACCTGGTTCAACTAACGAGATTTCAATCTATGTTTTTTTAAATCATGTTCTTTTTGCCGTGAAGGATGACTGGAAATGGTAAGCCTTGAATTTTTTTGCCCTGAATTCTCCCGTACTTCATTTATCCCCCAACCCGACTCGCCCAAAGAAGCTAAGACCCAAGTCTATTGGGAACCCGATAACACAAATTTTTTCCTTCGATCTGGAAATATTTCAGGACGGAAACCAGTGCTTTCGGGAGCAGTTCCTGGCACTCGTTGTGTTTGACATGGTCCAGTATGAATGGCGAGATCAGATTGTATGAAGACAAGGTTTTGAGGGATGTGATAACGGGTGTGGGCACTGGACAAAAAATCACCAGAGGAGGGAACTGGACCCTAGGCAAAGACCAGGCTGCTGCCGGCGAGATCCCAATTTACGGAAAGCTGATGGAAGTTAACGTGTGGGGCTGTGTCTTACCCGCAGAAGATATCTCGAAGTTTTCAACAGATTGTAAATCTGGTATACACGGTGATATCAAACGATGGACGGATTTTGAAGCCTGCAGTGGTCGTGGGAGGCAAGATTGTGGCTATAATTAATGCGGACTGTAATTGATGCATTTATCACTTTTTTGCGGGGCAATAGACCTTTTGCATACTGACGTACAAGCCGTGACACCTGCAGGGAATTCTAGTCTTAGTAGTCAAGGCTGCAGGGAAATTTTGAAGTTTGAATTTTTCGCCGTCACTACTAAAACCAGAATTCCCTGCAGGCTTGATACACGTCATTATGCATAAGGTCTATTGCTATCTGTATCACAAACTAAAGATACATATTCTTCATCTGTGATTGTATCAATACTACATAAGATTGTGAACTGACAGACTAGCTTCAATTGCTGCATGATATTGAAAATAGCTATTTCATCATAACTCATATTCTGCCAGTAATACCATAGGGGAAATAAATAGATAAATACATAGATAATCTTTGTGTAAAGAATAAAAGGAAGGAATGAAAAACTATATTTAAACGTAATGATTGGGGAAGAACTGTGAAGATAGGAGAAAATAAGTAAATTAGCTTGTAGGTACCATTAATGGACCGAAAGGCTTTACTTACGTGGTTTACCGAGAAAGTAAGTCCACTCCACAATGTTTGTTGTAACATGAAGTAATGGAGAATGCAATAATGTAACAAAGACATATTCATCAAAGAATCGAGGTTCAAAGATTAATGTATAAAATTATGTCGAAAAATTTGTAAGTATTTCACCATTTGAAATGTTTAGTATGTTGCATGTTTAATGTTCAATAATTATGTGCAAATATGTTGCATGCATTCAGCCGTAATTTAGAGATTAAAATTCAAAGGTCAAGTACATAATTTTATGTTGATAATTTGTACACGTTGAAGGTTCAACTGGTTTAGTACAGGAAATATTGTTTTCAATTTAACCGGGCGTTATATGTGATCAACCTTTCCACAAACGATGAGAACAATTGTCAGGTGATACACAATATGCGTATCTGCGTGCATTGCTAAGAAATAGATACAGGAATACGGCTGGAACAATACTACAATGATGAACTTAGATTTAATATATAGATATGCATCATACGCTATCATAACTTGTTTTAAAACAGTACTTCTTCTTCAGGAATTCCTATGTGAGGGTTTTAGGGCTGCTGAGAAAATCATGTGATGTGAACTGCAGATACTTTGTAAGTATTGCTTGAAATCCACAGTCTTCTGAGCTTGTGTCTTTTACTTCTGATTGTGGTTGTGGGTTGATAACAATTAATTTGATCAACCCAAACATTCCTCTCATGCAACTGGCATTTGTTCTACCCAGATGAATTGATGCAAATTGGGAGGTTGATGTTATAGTTGTTATTTCAACTTTTTGTCTTTCTCGCCATAGAGCTCTAAATGTCAAGAACAGTCAAAAATATGGTCAGGTTTTTTGTCAAATACAGATGAAACAAGAAAGATTGAACTTCAAAGAATACAAGATACTCTTATCAAATCACAACAGCCAAGGAAGTCAATTGGAGGTGGAGACATTTTACCTGAAGTATGCTTATTTGAATTTCCTATTCTAACCTCATGTTATCCTATTTCCCCCTGAACTTTATCTCCTTTCCTCCCCCATTTGGGTGATTCTCTTCTGGTCACACATGTGACATTGCTGTTTCTTCAGGCTTCATATTTTGCATGTAACAAAATAGAATAGCATTGTCACGTATTTGACCAGAGAATCACCCATTTGCCATTAATGTTGTATCAAATTCTCACCATTTCAGGCATTAGCGAGTGATTTTTTCTCATATTATCAGAATATCAATTCAAAGGTAACATAGAATATTTCAATTCACCAGTTTTAGTACATTAATTTCCAATTTGATTGAACTGGTTTAGAGCTGATGTAAGTTAGGCCAACTTGCAATATGTCTTGAGTGACCATCTGCGAACAGATAGCAGGAACACATTCGGAAAACAAGTGGTCAAAGTTGTTCCTATTTCAATATGTGCAGTCTGTAATTGTATTCTTATTATATGTAAGATTGACAAGCTGAAGGTCTTCACTACTCTTGCACAAGATCTTGGCCTGAATCATGATATGATCATAAACATTGCAGAAGACATCAAACAAACTAAGGTAACATGAAGTACCAGCTTAATTCCAGTGTAGGGTGAAGTACCAGCTTAATTTGAGAGAAGGGTGACCATGAAATAAACCAGTTACACAGCACAGTTAATCTGGTAATTTCTTCGGTAATAGCCAACCTCTTATTTAGCGCCAAATCTCGTCTGTATTTTTCTTCAATTATTATTTATATTGTGTATAGTAATTTCTAGCTGTTGTTAAACTTTCTTACAGTTTTATTTGTAGTCAGTCGCCCCTGGCTAAATGGTGTTCTGAGGAGACCTGACCTAGTTTTGTTTTCGTATGTTGAGGATAACATTCATTCGAAACGCTGTCGATATTCCATTCGAGTCTTAAAATCAACACTCTTACAATTCTCACGTACTTTTTGTATTTTACCGTCTGCTACGGGCACTTGTTCTTCGACGTTTTTGTTGTTTGTCCACCCAACTTGTCAGAACATTCGTCATTTATATAAATTGCCCGGCACTAAATCTCGATGAAAAAATCCTTCAACTTTAATCGCAAGTTTCTATGTGTAAATTCGCAGATGTATGAACGTTTAGCTTCGTCTTATGACATTCATGTGATTTCTTAATTCCATGAAAGTACCTTCTCAGGATTACATTTCCCCATAATCCCTGCCAAGTTCCGTAATATGCGATTTATCTAATCCGATTACGTCTCCGGTAATACGAGTTAATCGGTTAACAAAAGATATTAACAGATGGGTTTCGTTTTGAAGTATTGTTAAAATATCCTATCTTAAAGTCAAAACTACGCTAACGCGGTTAAAGAAGTCTTTTAAGTGTTCGTTTAAAAACGTTTTGATCTCTAGCAACGCGGATCGACCTCGCAACTGAAACTTGAAGAGAAACTTCAACACTCGTTAGAGCCACCTTATATTGAGTTGTTGTCTTACATTGGTCGTCAGGAGGGTGGAGTGAAGTTCATTGTTGATCTGAGGAAAGATCTGTTGGTAAGTGAGTAGCAGTTATTGGATGAGGCAACATCATTTTCTCATTTAATTTTGTGTTTCGAAAATCCGGGATCCAGACGAGATAAACGAGTATTGATACAAGACAAACACGTTCTCGAGCATGACAAACAGGTATTGATGCAAGACAAACAAGAACTAATCCAAGATAAACTAGTATTGATCCAAGACAAACCAGTACAACTGTGACAACTCTTTTTTCAGATCGCAGTGTATGGAGAAGTTCTCCTGGACAATTTAGGCACTTGATTTGACTCAATCAGCTATTTAACTTAAACATTGTCCTTTTCCTTCGCAGGATATTCTTTCGGATAGAGATCTTGCTTGTGAAAGAGACGAATTGATGGCAGTCAACTACAACATCAGACATCTCTTATCCAAATGGTTTTCCGTTGGTTTTCTCGACATGCAACGTATGACATGGCAGTCACCTTGTGACATCACCGAAAAGGTAACATTGAACCTGCGTTCGGATCGAACCGACCGAGTCCCGCGCGGCCAGGGCTAACGTGCACCTTCCACCTTAACCAGGTAGCAAGCTACGAGGCTGTGCACGAAGTACGTAACTGGATGGATATGAAGCGACGGATTGGACCTTATCGACGTTGTTTCGTGTTCTTGCATCCCAGCATGCCTAGAGAGCCTGTGTGTGTTCTTCACATCGCTCTGAGAGACGAGATTCCTGGAAACATTCAGGTATTCATAACCTGCATCTTCTCGTAACTAGAGAATACGGCTGTAACTGTTTTCACCGTCTGACTGCTTCTTTAGAAAAAAGTGAACTTTATTTAATAAGTACAACATATACGAACAGCATGTGTTTGATCGTTTTCAGAAAATTTTAGCTGAAGAAATTCCAAGCGACGAACGAGACGTTGAGAAGAAAAATACTGCAGTTTTTTACTCCGTAACTTCGACACAAAAAGGTAATTTCGTTTGTATATTTTCACTGGACTCCTTCTGTAGTAACACTGGATCAATAAGAGATGATCCTTACTGGACCTCTAGGAAGAACAGTTTAGAACTGATAGAGCTATCCAGTATAAATTAAGTTAGTTTAGTTTAGGTTTCCTCCTGTAGTAACACTGGATCAATAAGAGATGATCCTTACTGGATCCTCTGGGAAGAACAGTTTAGAACTGATAGAACTGTCCAGTATATATATACAGTACGTTTTTGCAAAACCTTTCAGGACTGGCAGAAATTGATTTGGGTCACTCACTGATAATGGAAGCTGTTAACCAATTAAAATACGAATTACCGAACATTAAAACCTTCGTGTCGCTTTCTCCTATTCCTGGCTTTTATAAATGGTTAGATCAAAAGTTATTGGAAACATCAGAGTCGTCTGTTATCGCAGGAATAATGAGTGAGTAAACTATCAAAACAGAGACTAAACTTTCATTAAAGCAAATCAAGTGTGTCATCTGGTATTTTGTGTTTTTCCTCCCAGTAAAGTTAATAATCGTGCATCATCTCAATCAAATATGAGAGAACAGACATCCAGGTTTTCTACCTCTTATAGCGTAGCCAATCACAGTGAGAGTTCAATAACGTAGCCAATCACAGTGAGCGCTCAATAACGTAGCCAATCACAGTGAGAGCTCAATAACGTAGCCAATCACAGTGAGAGCTCACTGGCCAATCAGCGCCCAGAAGGGCTGTTGAATTCGAAATAGAAATCCACTCTTCAGTATTTAATCGATTGTATCTTTTGTTATTTTCTATCTAACTAGTAGAAATTTTGTGATTATGTTTTGTTGTAAGAACTATAGCTCTGACATAAATTTGAAACAGAAATAGAGTATATTTCAAGAGATATTAAGTTGTTTCAACCGAGAAATACCACCTAGACATAATGTTGTTGTTAAAATTGTTTTAGATCACAAGAGCATTTCTAGTGAAGGTCGAAAAGTTCTTGAAAACATTTTAAAGAAACCTTATAATTTAAATTTTAAGGTAATGTATGTATGAATTGTCCAAATCCCTTTCTCATTGACAGGAAATGATTTTCGTCTTAGGTGAAGTAAATCCTTGTATTTTTCAGAATCTCATAAGTAATCCAGCTTGGTTAAGAAATGAACAATTATGTGACGTTCTGCAAAAACCATTATTGGAACTGTGTGCAAGGTATGCACTACAAACGATGGTGCACGTGATGCTTGATCGTAGCGATACTTATAAGAACTTCCAAATGATGACAGATATTTCCATTTGATGCATTTTCCTTGTAAAGAGAAATTGCTATTAATGTTCTGTTCAATGTTCTTTTATGTTCTACCAATTCACCACTGACAATTCTTGGTCACCCTGGTAACTGCTTGCCAACATTTCCCACAATGATTTGTACTGTCGCTGTGTCGAACCTCACCAAGCCTTCATATTATATACTTTCTTTCAGTTATCTTTGCAATGAAAAGAAGAAAGGGTTTGCTTTGGATCCTGTAGGTAATGTCTGAAGAACTTCTCATATATAAATTTGTCTTTGTTTAAACTATCATCGATCGGTCTATCATCCACCCAGTGACCAGTATTACTACATGAAGTACCCTAAACTAAGCTAAACTAAACTAAACTAAACTAGCTTTATTTATACTGGGTAGCTCTATAAACTGTTCTTCCTAGAATCCATTAAGGATCATCTCTTATTGATACAGTGTTACCATGCACAGGAGGAAACCTAAACTAAACTAACTTTATTTAAACTAAAAATGCTAAATTAACAATCCTTTCTTAATCAGAGTTTGTTTTCATTTTATTTCCAGCTAACTTCCATCTTCGAAATGGCGCCATCCTCTGGAGATTGAACTGGAAGGCTGACGTAAGCAGAAAAGGAGCTTTGAGATCGCTAGGCATGATGGTTAACTATAAATATAGTCTAAATGAAGTTCACGATAACAACAGACAATACGTTTTGCGGGGAGAAGTTGCAACCTCAAAATATATTACCGATATTTTAGCAGACAAAAACTTCAACTTTTAATATTTAGATATATATAATAATTAGAATTTTAAATAGAAAATTATATATATACATATATATACTTCATTTCTATTACAGAATTATTATTGAAGTCATCTAAGTTTATACTCCCGAAGATTTGAATATTTTGATACAGCTTACGATTGAATTTTTTCATGTCGTTGACAGAATCTTTCAATGCCTTTCATTACTTCTTGGGTGGCAACTTGCCAGTTCACTTTTTAAACTGTCTGATTTTTAAAGATTATTCTCGCCCTTAGTAAATACTGAATAGACTTAGGTTCAATCGACCCATTTCTTTGCCTTCTTAATTTAACTCTGTTTTACTTCAATATTATCCTGGCTTCTTAATACATTCATTTCCGAATCGTGGATGTTAATCCAATTTCGGGCTGTTGATAAACACGCAACCTCATTAATTCGTACAATGAACCCTTTACGTACAAATCATCATTCGAGAACCTGTTATTGACCTATCGAGTTTGTTTCCCCACCTTGGCCTTCGTCTAGCAGTTTAGCAGCAGGAGTTATCATGAAATCTACAATTGTGGCGCTGGTTTTTCTGTCCTTAGCTTCGCTAGAAGGTCTTGCTGCTCAAAGAGGTGAGTTTTAAACGAATATATTCTTCAAGCGAATGGTAGTTTTTAATGTTTATTGCGTCAGGTTCGTTTTGATTCCTGTTTAGACGCGTTTAACGTTGTAAACTAGTTAATATAAATATAAATAAAGTTAGTTTAGTTTAGGTTTTCTCCTGTAGTAACACTGGATCAATAAGAGATGATCCTTACTGAACCTCTAGGAAGAACAGTTTAAAACTGATAGAGCTATCCAGTATAAATAAAGTCAGTTTAGTTTAGGTTTCCTTCTGACAATCGTTGATTGTTTTTATTTAAGATTATTCCTGCCATGAGCCAGTCGATGTCGCTGTCATCCTCGACACTTCTTCCTATTTTGGATCAGAAAATTCCCCTCAGCTCAAGTTATTTGCGAAGAATTTCATCAGCTACTTTGAGCTGACAATCAACGGCCTTAACGCATTCGTCGGCTTCATCCCCTACAGCGACAGAATTGTCGAGAGGAGCGTCATAAATTTCCGGTATTCTACGTCAGCGCAACGACTGAGTCAAAAAATTGATCGCCTCAATTTTGACGGATCCAGTGGTTCCCGTTTGGACCTGGCATTGCGATACGCACGCGAGACGCTTTTCACGAGCCGAAAGGGATCGAGATCATGGGTTCCACACGTGATTCTAGCCGTAACCGGAAGTGCACAATACTGGAACCCAGTCCGCAAGGGAGCAATTAGGGACGAAATTGCAGAGCTTCGAAAAGCTGGTGTTCGCTTGATTTTTGCGTCTGTTGATTCTACGCTGGGTAAGCAGGGATATCTGAGGTCTTTGGTGGATTCACAGGATGATCTGTACATGGTATCCTACCCCTACCTATTGTATGGCATCTCTGAGAGGATTACAAAACAAGTCTGTCCAGTTCCAAGTAAGTGCTAAGAATTCACACTCCAGCTGATCTTGAGGTCATATTTTAGATGTCATCTTAGCATTACGTCATTCCGCTTTCCTTACTCTCTCTCCTCCAGGTACGCTCGGTTGTCCCGGAAAGGTCGATATTGGTTTCATCGTCGATTCATCCGGGAGTATAACACACTCAGATTACAACAAGATGAAATACTTCATGTTCTCCATAGCGAAAGCGGTCAACATCTCCGAAACCGGAGCACGTGCTGGCATCGTGATATACAGCCAGGCTGCCGAAATGGTCGTGAAATTCAACGACCATACGAGCATAAACGGATTCAGAAATGTTGTGTATAATCTCAAGCATCTCAAGTCTTTCACTCGTATTGATTTGGGTCTGCAAGTTGCACATGCGCAGTTATTCTCGCCTATCTATGGCGGAGCTCGGCCCGAGGTCAAGAAAATTGCTTTTATTCTGACTGACGGCAAACAAACGGCAGTTCCAGGAGTCCAGGTATGTAGTCTCTATGAATTGCTCCAAAAAAAGGGAATTCGTATTGTTAGGTTTCTAAGCATATCCGTCTTTCGCCAGATTTCCCTCAAGAACCGGTAGATAGTGGCGTGAAGACTCTTTCCATTGGCATTGGGGCAGCTGTGGATAAAGAGGAACTTCGGGCGATGGTTGAGTACGATGAGGATGTTATTACTGCTGAAAATTTCGACAAACTTATCAAGAGTATTCAAAACATTACACAGCAAACCTGTGAAGAGATCGGTAAGATATAAAATTTCCTTGGTTTGTGTTCGACCTAAGAGCTTTTGTCAGGAGAATTCAAAGGGATTCAAAGCTTCAGGTGGAGATGTCGAGACGTTTACAAAAGCCGAGAGTTCTAGTGTAGTTTTTTTACTTGAAATAACATATTTCTATTTCATACAGCAATCACGCCTTGCAAGTATGCTGCTGACATTGCGTTCGTTTTGGACTCGTCAGATGACGTGAGCTATCTTGATTTCCAAAAGATAAAAAGCTTTGCAATTGGCGTTGAAAAACGTTTTAAAATTTCCGAATTCGGCAGTAGATACGTTGTAATTGTGTACGGAAGTCAGGCTGAAACAGCAGTCAGGATGAACGGGATTCAAAATTCTACAGACTTCGCAATCACTGTTGGTAACTTGCGGCCTGTTGGTGGTCGGAGATCTAGTTATCGAGGTTTGGAATTGGTGGAAACTACTCTTCATAACTTCGATATCGGCGCAAGACGGCACGCTCCGAAGGTGGTCGTTATGGTCACGGCTGGTCGCGAGGCCGGCTTTTTGGGCAACGCAAATCTATACCAGGTTGCAAAGCGGTTGAGAGACCGGAATGTCGTCGTGAAGATTGTAGGAATCGGCAGGAGCTTGAGCCAGAATGAACTTTTACCACTGGTAGAATCATCGGGCGATCTATTCCGAATGAATTCGTTCAATGATTTGAAAGACGAGACACCAGCGGTTTCTGACGGGATATGTAAGAGCATTGGTAAGTGAAGGTAGTTCATGATTATCAACTTTGCGTTGTGTACCAATGAAGAATGTTTTCCCAAAAGGCTCGTTTACACTTGCAACTTTTCCGGCAATTTAAATTTTATGTGCGATTTTCTTCTTTTGATAGATGTGAACGAGTGAATTAGTTACTGATGTTCTAATAGGAGCCCGTACACATCAGAGCATTCGTAACTGATCACTCGTTCAGATCTATCAAAAGAGGAAAATCGCTGCAAAATCGCAAGTGCAAGCGGACATTAAGCGAATTGTGCTGTTTTCTTCATTTTCAGAGCCAGCTCATTGTGACAAGGCCATGGACATCGCCTTCATCTTGGATTCATCTGGAAGCATCATGAAAGGCGAATTCTCTGAGTCGAGAAATTTCGTGCGAGCGATTTCCGATACCTTCACGATCTCTCCTACGAAGGCCCACGTTGCTCTGATGATTTACAGCGACGATGCCCGGATTATGGCGAAATTCAATGAGATTCAGTCAAAAGAAGCCTTGCCGACCGCCCTCGAAGACTTACCTCATCTGAGAGGAAAGACACGAATTGACTTGGCTTTAAAGCTTGCCTCTGCCTCGTTATTTACCAGGAATGGTGGAATGCGAGCGTCCACGTCAGTGCCAAAGGTTGCCATCGTGATCACTGACGGTCGGCAATCACCGGCGGCCGACGCAATCCGATTGGACGAAGCCGCGGCCCCGTTGATAGTGAGGGATGTGAAGATACTTGCAATTGGTGTGGGTGATAGAATTGATCGTAGTGAGTTGGTGATGATGGTGAAATCATCCGAGATGGCATTCTGGGGTAGCAGTTATCAAGCTTTACGGGTGCAATTGGCCGCGATTGCACGAGAGATATGCACTGGCATATAAAGATTTAACATTTAATGAACACCTAATCTAGCTGCATCACATCAGCAAGAACAAGGAAGTTTCTTTTGTCTGTGAGTTCTCGACCAGAGGATGTGGTTTTAAAACAAAGAAAACTTCCCTGTTCACTCAGATCCGGAAAGCTTAAAAAATAGCTATTTCCCTGAGTAAAACAATATAACCAGGGAGTAGCGTGGCAGCCTCTTCAAACAACTTAGCATCAAATGTGGTATAACAACTGAAGAGAAGTGTTTTGTCTATTTTAGGCAGTTGTTATACCACATTTGATGCTGAGTAAAAAAAAACCTTTTAACGTCACTATTCCTATCAAAGTAAACTTTGGTTCAAGCTAACTGACTCAAACAAAACAATTTAAACCATTTTCTTGAAGTTTTTCATCAAAATCGCCCTCGTATTTTTATATCTTTTTTTAACCTTTTTTATCATCTCGGAATTGCTTCTTCTGTACGTGTTTAGACCTGTTTCTGTCCCATATATTTTTTTCCAATACTCGTATGTAAAGAGTCTCAGATGATAATAAGATCCTGCAAGTATTCTGTATCGTTTGTACTTCCTTTCAATAAAGAGGATTTTATCTCTGAAAACACTTCATAGGAACTCAGGAAGCTTTCAATAACAAAGAGGTGAATATAGTAAAATATCTGGACAATGTCATGAATATTTTTTAAAATAGCGAAGGTTTGTGTTGGTTGTGATAATTTCGCATTTTCACTAAATACATGCCTGTTTCAAATTGACGTGGGTATGTATTGACTCAATTATATTAAACCGCATACCAGTGGGTGGTATTAAATACGCACGCGAAGCCATCATTATGCAAATATACAACTAAATTACTCCGAAATCGTACCCAAACCGGAAGACCCTAAGATCACTATCTGTTAAATTACTGTTGTTCATATTCAATGGCGATGTTCGAATCTTAACGGCGGTTTACTCGATCATTCAAAAGTATTTTCGTTCCCAACAGCACGGTACCAAGGATGCAACTGGAATAATGATTCGTTAAACGTTGTTACAGACCAATATCTTTGAGTTCATATCAAAAGTCCGTTCACTAATCCTTGTAATACGACGTTTGGTTTACCGTATTAAATATTCTGGTTTTAGTGGTTTATATTCATTACGTGAGTATTATGATGTCAATTGTGTGTCCTTGTGGTACACTAGCAGTTATCGACACCTGCAAATCATGTGCTGTGTGATAACCGCCGAATTATCTAAACACTGGGTGACAGGTCAATAATAACTAAGCTCAGGGTTGTATAATTAATGTGGTATAGCTTTGAACATTAATATATTAACTTCATTTGTTATATTAACCGGCTATTCGCCATGTAAAAGTTATATTCTTGCCAAAAATTGAGGGAAACTAGGCTCAGACCACTAACCTAATACCACACGGTCACTACCACAGAATAGGTCAACTAATATAAACCATTATTCTGTATTTATTGAAACTATTTGAACCAGTGTCATATATAACACATCTGAATATACGCTGAACTATACTAAAGGGCCAAATACGAAATCCAGCCGAGACGACAGAGTTGTTTACCCAATCTCTTCTTGTTATTTCTTCCTGGAAACTAAATTCACAAAACACCTCCACATTTCCCGGTCTAAATGGCCCAATTAATAGCATCAATGAATGTTTTATCTAAAAGAACTGTAAGCTTGTACTTTTAATTTTAGGATGGCTACTGCGCCGAGGAAACGTAAATACATCAGCTTTCCAAAGCGTCAGAAGAGCATTGATTATGGTTTACATGGCGGTCCAGATGATCCCAATGGAACTCATATCACTTTACATCGCCTTAAATCAATCGATGAAAAGGACTCCACTGACCAAGATATGAGGATAGACTACGGCACGAATACCCTATCAAACAGTTGTGTGACGCCGAACAAAAACGATCAACTCAAGTTGGCAGCCATCTACGATGACGAGCCTCAAATTATCAGAATTCTCAGCTCCCTAACCAATCAAGAAGATGGTTAGTAGTCCCCCCCTGACACCCCGTTCACACGATACCGGCAGAGTTTGAAAATCGTACAAAACTAGTACTAACGAAACTCATGGTTTAGGATTTGCCTTCACGCGGCGCTTCCAGCAAGGAAAATATAAAAATATAACCTAAACCTGTTGTTATCTTGAGAATGGTTGAAGACTGCGATCATTTCCTTTCAGCCCAGCCACGCATGTAGATCCATTCTCACGAGAAAGATTATATCACATCTCCTTAATTTTGATCCATTATGTGGATGAAATTACACCTAGACTTTTTAGTCATAAGCCAACAAGGGAAAGAGTTTTATAGAGTTGTAAAGAAATATCTTTGATGTTGCTTGACATATGAATTACCTTGTTTTCACTTTTCAGTTCAACGAATATTGGCAACGAACGATGAACGTGGTCAACCGTGCATCTTTTATGCTCTTGAGTCCCGCAGCAAGAATGCTCTGGCCTGTTTACTTCACCATATCAAGTTCACTGAATGTGTCATCGCTGAAAACGGAGAAAGCGTTCTTCACGTTGCTACGAAGATGGGAGATATTGGTACAGTATTCATATATTCCTATGCACCTGAGCTCCTTGTTTGAAATGTACAACCTGGCCAAATGAAAGATAGATCGAAAAAAGGTCGAAGATATATCTTCTAGTTTATTGCTCATTTCAGCAATGAGTTTGATACAGAAAATGCATTCCCGTTGATCAAGGAAAGAGTCTTTAACCGATTTGCCATTTCCCAATCGAGCAGAGTAATTGATTACATTTTTCCCTTCAAACAACCCATAGATGCTTTGCAGTTCGCGATTAGACCGAGTAACCTGCTCGATTGGGAAAAAGCAAATTGCAAGATTTAAAGTTAAACATTTAAATCAAACTCTCAACTCTTTCACGTACTGACGGTTTGAGTGTGAGTGAGTTTTCAAAACACAAATATGCATGTTTATTGCATGTTCATTCTTTGCATGTTATATTCTTTATCAGATATCGTGCGCAGACTGCTGGAAGAGGAGCTTGTCGCGCACCTGGTCGATCATGTTGAGGGTGAAAATGGCCGAGCCCCGTTGCATTTGGCTGCGTGGTTTAATCACATCGAGATTGCGCAGACGCTGGTGAAACATGGCGCGAAAATAGATCGTCCGGACATCACCGGGAAGTCACCAATATACATGGCAGCCTGTAGTGGTCATGCTGATATGTTGCGAGACTTCTTGGAACATGGTAACCGCCTGCATTTCATAATTACGAGTTGAAGATTACCTAGCTAGAGATTTGAAGATTAGTGGCCAGTGATTTGGAGATTACTTAGCTAAAAATTTGAAGATTAGTGGCCATTACCGAGTCAGAGATTTGAAGATTACCTAGCCAAAGATTTGAAGATTACCTAGCCAAACATTTGAGGATTACCTAGCCAGGGATTTGAAGATTACCTAGCCAGGGATTTGAAGATTACCTAGCCAAAAATTTGAGGATTACCTAGCCAGGGATTTAAAGATTACCTAGCTAAAGATTCGAGGATTACCTAGCCAAAGATTTGAAGATTATCTATCCAAAGATTCGAGGATTACCTAGCCAAAGACTTGAAGATTATCTATCCAAAGATTCGAGGATTACCTAGCCAGAGATTTGAAGATTACCCAGCCAGGGATTTGTAGATTTAAGAGATTGAAAATTGAACTACTAACAACTGACGGTAGTACCTCAGTATCAATGAAGAACAAAATCGTCTGCTGTTAGAATATAATGCTAAAGAACGTGGTTAAAATTCAACCATCTTTCGTTTAGAAAAGGACAGAGTTGAAGACCTTCTTTTCAGCAAGTCGTACGGAGGAGGCCTTTATAAAAACATCTTTCACGTGGCGGTCGGGAGTGGAGACGCGAGTTCTGTCCAAGTCTGTCTTGAACAAGATCAGGAGATCGTACGAAGATATTTACAAGAGGAAGTCAAACATGGCAACGCTCACATTATTCACGCAGCGTGCAAGAACGGAATGGAGAAATGCCTGATGAGGATAGTTGAATCTATGGGTCGTCTGGACACAATCCAATTGAACATGAAGGATAACTTGGGATTTGCTCCCATCCATAAGTAAGTATCATGGATTTGTCCCAAGCGAAAAACAACGTTCACTGAGAAACAACCTTTTTATTTATTTGTGTTATTCGCTTCATTTCAGAGCTGCTATTAACGATCATGCAAATTTAGTAAGATTCATTGGTTTAAAGTCGAGAATATTTCTCAACGAGAAGACTGAAAATTCTCAGACGTCCTTAGTCCTCGCAGCTCAACGCGGTCATATTAATGTTGTGGAACAGTTACTTGAACTCAAAGCTGACTTTACCATCACCGATGATAGTGATAGGACGGTGCTGCATTACTCCATCGAATATCCAGATATTCTGAAGCTACTGCTGAGGGTAACCAAATTATCTTTCATAGTACACAACAGACCAACAGCCATGCATATTATACAGTATACACACGAAACTCACAACAAGGTTGCCTGTCGTTCAACAGACTGGTTACCAAACACTTGCAATTGAACAATGTTACAGAGAACTTGCAGATAACAACCTTAAAGCAACCCATGAAATGCTATAAACACGTTGTTAATATCCTCTTATGTACGGATGACTCTTGTCCGAAATTATGGAAGATCAGCTTGTCACTTTTATACCGAATAGTTTTAAACAATTGTTCTACCCTAACGATTAGGAAGAGACATTCTTTATTGTCCAGTTGTGTTACAGGAAAAGAGAAAAACTTCTAAATCGTCTTTCAGAAAAAGGCTCTTACACAGCTGTTGATCAATGCGAAAGAAAAAGATGGCTACACCCCAATCCATAACGCAGCCTTGCGAGGCTTATGTGAAGTAAGTATTGTATTTTTTGTATGATAGACACTGTGACTGTCGATTCTGCTGTGTCTAGATTGAGTCACCTCTTGCAGAAATGGTCGATAAACTACGTTGCAGATTTAGTAGAAAATGAAATCTTGAGCAAAAATACCCAAACGTTTTATCAGAAATGTAAAGAAGTTGTTCTGAGATTTCAAATCATTCAGGGTCTTCATCATCATTGCCCTTTTTTTCAATATGTTGTTTTAATGATATCATGGATTGTATCGTTTTATTTATTCATAGAGTGTTCGGATACTGTTGGATCATGGCGCAGACTTAAACGTCTTCACAAACACCTCTCGCTCTCCACTTCATTGCGCAGTCAGCTCTCAGTGTTTGGATATGGTGGAGTTGATACGAGCCAAAGAACCAGCGTTGATTAATAAAGCTGATGCAACCGGGAAAACACCGCTTCATACTGCAGCGAGCTATGGTAGCGCTGAGGTGGTCAGATGTCTTCTCAATAATGGAGCTTTGATTGTGAGGTGAGAGATGATTCTCATGCAATAAGAGTTGATCTTTACTGGACCTTTAGAAAGAACAGTTTACAAGTGATATCCAGTATAAATAAAGTTAGTTTAGTTTAGGTTTCCTCCTTTAGTAATACTGGATCAATAAGAGATGATCCTTACTGGACCTCTAGGAAGAACAGTTTAGAACTGATAGAGCTATCGAGTTTAAATAGAGTTAGTTTAGTTCTGGTTTCCTCCTGTAGTAACACTGGATCAATAAGAGATGATCTTTGCTGGACGTTTCTAGTTCTATATTTTCAGGGATGGCAACATGTTTACTGCCCTTCACATTGCTTCGTGTAAAGGCCATCTAACTATAGTTGAGATGCTAGCGACGTTCAATAAAAGCATTATTGACTGGCCAAACAAATATGGCCGAACAGCATTGCTTTGTGCTGCAAAGTCATGTAAGACTGACGTGGTGAAGTATTTACTGGACAGTAATGCAGCAATCACAGAGGATTATGAATTATACAATTGCCTGGATTGGTCGATGATAAAAAATGACAAACAAAGTGCTATGGTCATGATGTCACATGATAGATGGAAAGAGGTAAGTCTGTGATCAGAAGTATTCTCACTTGATGGATAGCAAAATTACAGTATATCTATTGATATAAACCACACTTAGAGTTTAGGAACTTACGTTTCTATTCAAAAAACGTACTCATGAAAATTTTGTTATTACTGATTATCAATGGGAAAGTTTCTTTTTAAGTCAACGAGAAGATTTAAGGTAAAAAATCAAGCTATTGTTTGACTGAAAATACCGCCATGGAAAAGATACGAGAAGATTGAGATCTTCCACTCGATGAGTTTGAGTGTGAGTGAGCTTTTAGAATACAGGCGTTAGTATTCAATTGTGCAGTAATCATCTGTCGTATTTGTTACCATTCCTAGGTTATGTCGACCACGAAGCATGGCACCGAAGGAACGATGACTAAGCTGGTTGGTAGCATGCCTGAGGTCGCTTATCGTGTTTTATCCAACAGCATGAAGTCTGTCGGTCATCCTGAAAGCAAGGAGCATTTGGTTCGATATACTTTCATGAGTTTGCAAAACCTCGAATCTACTGGTATGTCTCGAAATGATACTAGTAAACCTAGTGGTTGAGCTGTCCCGTAGAATAAATTAAATTAGTATAGTTTAGGTTTCCTCCTGTAGTAACACTGGATCAATAAGAGACGATCCTTACTGCACCTCTAGGAAGAACTGTTTAGAACTGATAGAGTTTATCAAATAATAAAACATATACAGAACTATATTGAATATTCTTGCAGCAAACAAAACGGCAAAAAGTGAAGTAAGACCACTGGCAGCAATCAAAGCAATGATAAGGAACAACTGCTACAATTGTCTCTGTCATCCAGTCTGTTGTAAATATCTCAAAGCCAAGTGGATGCAATTCGGGTGGAAGATATACTCAGCCAGTCTTTTGATATATATTGTGTTTTTAATTTCATTAAACGTGTACGCATTTGGGATCCCTACCTATAAGGAATCGTTGGAAAAAAAAGGTGAACTAACTAAACTCTCGTCAAACTTTTAAACCATTGAAATGCAACCAGCACAAACGCTTTATAAACTATTGATTTGAGCTAAAGTTTTGATAAATTCTTCTAGAAAACCAGAATGCTTCTATCAATGTAAAGGTGGCGATGGTTATTTGTATAATTTTTGCAAGCTTCAATGCGTTTAAAGAAATAGTTCAGGTACTCCTTTTCGTTAGACATTGAATACTTCTCACAAGTCGATTAGAATCTTGGGAAACATTAAGTTATTTTGCATATTCATGACTGACTACAAATGACACTTTGGTGAAATCGTTTTCTGTACATTGGATTTACTGAATTCTTTATATTATACAGCTGCTGGTCTACAAGTTTAATTATTTCATGGACAAAGTGAATTACCTGGAGTGTATCTTGTACATCTCTACATTCATATTTGCCGTTCCAAATAATGGAATGATTGCAATAAAGAGTAGTTCTCAATGGAAATCCTGCTCGGTCGCTTTGTTTTGTGCATGGCTGAATCTGGTTATGTATTTACGAAGATTTGCCTCTTATGGAATCATTATCCTCATGATGAGAAAGATTTCTGCCACTTTACTCAAGGTTAGAAGTTAAAATCAAACGAAAACAATATAGCTCTATCAGTTCTAAACTGTTCTTCCTAGAGGTGCAGTAAGGATCATCTCTTATTGAGCCAGTGTTACTACAGGAAGAAACCTAAACTAAACTAACTTTATTTATACTGGATAGCTCTATCAGCTCTAAACTGTTCCTCCTAGAGGTCCAGTAAGGATCATCTCTTATTGATCCAGTGTTACTACAGGAAAAAACCTAAACTAAACTAACTTTATTTATATTGGATAGCTCTAAAGTAAGAAAAATACTTGCACGTAATTTCATTGTATTTTCAGTGGATGATTTCAACCCTAACATTCCTATACACTTCATCTTAAGGTAATGCTTTTGCTCATATTCTTTCTGGTTGCCTTTGCGGCTGGGTTCACGGTGATCATGAACGATAGAGATGGATATCAGAGATTTGGGCTCTCGATGATAACCAGTGCCGTGATGTCTTTGGGTGAATTTGAATTAAAGGAAACGTTTTTAAAAGATGCCTTTCCTGACTACAAAACATTTTACTGGCTGAGACTTGCTCATCTGATCGCTTTTCTCGTTGTAATGCCGATCATCATCATGAACTTGTTGTTAGCCCTGGCTATCGACGATACGAGCAGTATCATGCAAAGAGCTAAACTCCAGAAACACATTCAGACAGTGAGTTGTTTTCTCCATTTAACCAGCTACATATCCTAGTTATCCCTGGGTAACACCACTTCCAAGAACTATTCTGTAGCTCTCTCCCTCTACATGTCCCAGTTATCCCTATAGTGAATCCCAGAACTCGTCTGTAAATCTCTACACGTCTTTGTTATCCCTAGTAAATCTAATAACTGACCAGTGACCCTACATGTCCCAGTTATCCCTATAGTAAATCCAAGAACTAGTCTGTAAATCTCGACACGTCTTTGTTATCCGTAGTTTGAACTAGTTCCAAGAACTGTAACTTTCTACACCTCTTAGATTCCTAGTTATCCCCAGTAAATCCAATAACAGACCAGTAACTCTCCAAACGTCTTAGCTATCTCTTATAAACACTAGTTCTAAGTTCTGGCCTGTGACTTGGTCTGAAGCCTTCCCACTCGAAATCTCCGCTCTGATTTCTAGGCGAAAATGATCATCGATTTGGAACGAAAACGTTTAAGTTTCATGTGGAAAAGACCGACGCCTGTTGCTGACCTGGAAGAACGTCCAAATAAGAAACATGATTTTTCACGGACAATTTGGGAGTTTGTTTTTTACGGGCCCGATTTTTCTACCGAACAGAGTAACGATACGCCCCGTGGCGGAACTAATGCTGAGAATTTAGAGATGATTGTGGACATGATGAAGGACTTGCAGAGGCAGACTGCAATTTTGCAAAACAAAGTGATGGAAATACAGAATGAATTTACTGTAGCAAAGAATCGTCGTTCTTTAGAGATCATAAGACTTAGTCAAGACAGGCAACATGTTAGCACTCAATTTCGGGGCTTCAGTGAGAGCATTGAAGGGAGTGTCCCATGGGAGCAGAGCGCAGAAACCAAGAGAAAGGTCTGGGTAGGAGTGCATAGGGAGAAAGATACGCATAGCATGAGTACCCAGTCTCCCAGTGTGCTCGACCCTAGTGATATCATCATGTCTGCGGAGCAGGATGTGTTTGATGACGAGGAAAGAGAGAGAAAGGAACATGATCCTGAGTTAAAGGAGTTAAAGGAATTGCACAACCAGTTGGAAGTTGATGAGAATGATATAGGGGCTGGGTTATGGGGGAATGATGATGAGGAGGAAGGTGGGAAAACTGAAAAGGGTGGTGCAAATGATGAAACAAGTGAGAGGACATTAGAGGATGATGGAGGACAGACAAGGTTACTTCAAGATGGCAATGGTATCATTGTGTGAGGTATATTGGGATCTTCATGTGGGTTTGGAGAGTTTGAGAGATGAGCTGGTCCAAATGATCAGAAATCAGAAGTTAAATAATGAGCACTTAATAATGAAAAATTAACAAGAATGACTATGGGTTTCAACGTTCATATATATTACACACAGGGATTGTGTAGGACCTAATTTAATAATATTTTGTAATATTATCAAATGATATTTAATCTTATGTATCAAAATCTTTAACTTCAATAACTTGTGTCTTCTTTGTACCTTTATTAAAGACAATTCAGTCTGCACACAAAACATGATCTATAATCATATCATGATCAGATATTGGTACAGACTTACAAATCTGAACACTATATGCCAGTGCCACAGTCACAGGAACCTTAAGTTCAAGTTCCGTACACCTTTTGATGTAACTGTCATAGTACCCTTTCCCTCGACCAAGCCTTCCCCCTTCGCTGGTAAACCCCAAACCAGGGACCACAATAAGATCCAGGCCTCCAGTCTCTAATGCGTCAGCTCGGTCATCATCATCCGCAGGCTGTTTGATATTCCATGATGTAAGTGGCAACGACTCATAATCCGCCATTGAACTCAATTCAACCATTTTCATAACTGGGCCGATGTAGTGCGGTATAAAGCACTTCTTTTTCAGCTCGAATAATTTTCCCATAATTCCAAAGGTGTCTACCTCGTTGGGCATGCTCATATACAATGACACTCGCTTGCTTTCTTGGAATTCTTTCATTGCGAACAGCTTTGCAGCGACTTTAGCGGATTCTGTTTGTTTCTCTACCTCCGACATAGCAGCCAAACGACGTTTCAGCTCCTTGCGAAGAACAATTTTTGCCTCCTTGATGCCTGCAGAAACGGCCATATTGGATTTGAGAATATCTACATTGACACATTGTATTGTATTGAACACATTGTTTACCATTTTACATGAAGTATTAGGAATCTCGGCATTCTGATTGGCTTTGCCTGAAAAATGTAAAAAATTACCGATTCTTCCACTTCTCCTTTTGATGTATGTTTTTGTGTTACAGTAAACCGAGTACACAAACCACACAACACAGCTTCGAAACCGCGTGTGGAATTTTTGCAGAGATTTCGTGTTTGTTGCGTACAAAAACTGACTGAAAAGGAGGAAAAACACATGCATAAGGAACTACCGAAATGTCGGGAAATTTGGATTTCTTCGAAGGGTCTGAAAAACTTTTGGAAATTTGGTGGGATTCGTCATCCCAGCTGACAGGACCCACCACTATGAAAGACGCCGACTTAAGATGCATAACCAGGTATTTTGAAACACTTTGCAGAGCATTCATGGTTATTGCTTGGGAAGGTCGATTCTCTAGGTCGAAATATTGTGATCTTAAGCGTATGTTATCTTATTTTAATCGTATTTTACTGTAAAACCCTCAAAAAAATTATTGTGTTGTGGCATATCACGTACATGTTTGTTATGACTATAGAGTATGAATATTTCACGGGGTTTTTTTATCAGCCCAGCCACGTATGCACACAGTTTTTGGGATATTTTTAATGTTATATAAAGTAGTTCTATATTCAGTAATCAATAGTGCACATTTTTGGGTAATTAGGCACGTTTGAAACTTTATATGTACTATACAAAATTTTTTGAATTCACAGCCAATATTATCAGCAATTTTATATTGACATGAATTTGAAAAGAGTATGCATAATTTAGCCCTATGAACAGCAGAAATTTTAAATATTAACACCAACACTACTGCTTAGATACATCTGGAAAATCTTCTTTATTCATATATATTCAGTTCTGCCCGACGGATCTCTTTTGTAAGTGCAAACCCCCCAAATTATCCACTTACGCCCCTGATTATGTTAAAATGATATTGAAAGGTTTGCCAACATTGTCTCTAGATTATGATAATTCTTTTTTTTTTACCACATTTTACACTGGTAATGTTCACTGAAATAACTATTGTTTCTTCACCTCTTGCAAAATGCATATATATGGGTTATATTTCCATGCTTACCAGCTGTTCATATGTCCTTTTAGGGACAAAATTGAAAAGATTTTGGATTTGGCAGGGTGTAAAATCCTCAGTGAAATAAAGAACGAATACACCACAGCTTATATTTTGAGGTACAAACTGGTTTTAGTAGATTGAATGGGAATGACACTTACATGGATTTCCCCTTAAGCTAGACACCAAGCCTTGCTTTAATGCAATATATTCCCTTTACAATAAAAGGGAATTGCCTTGGTGGGAACAACAATAGAATAAAGAAAACTGCATTGGTAGTATTAAAAGTCAATTGACAAACCTAATTTCCATAGTGAAAGCAGTCTCTTTATATCATCCAACCGACTGATTCTCAAGACTTGTGGCACAACGCCATTGCTTCGAGCAACGATACACCTCATGAAGGTTGTTGAAGAGGAATGTGGAATGGCAGAAGTAAAGGTAGAGTGAGGAGTAAACCTTTTACTTCTTGAGTAGGCAATGTGTGATAGCAGTGGATTATCAAAGTCACAATTTATTGTAGTGTCAGGAGTGATTGTTTGCTGGGTTTCTTTCTTCAAAATTACCAAGACATTAAAAAAAGAATACAGGCATTTCTGCATTTCTTTGTTCAGTCTAATCCAATACTGCTCCTATTTTACAGAATGTGTTTTATTCAAGAAAAAGCTTTGCACAGCCACATTTACAACAATCACCGCACCAAAATTTCCAACAAGAGGTCAGTTTTACGTTTATGCAGTTGGTTTCTATTCTATTAATGAGTGAATTTACTTCCTGTGCAAAAAAAAACCACTACAGTGCATTTTTGCGTATTTTTAACCAGGTTGATGTGTTGGATGAGTATTTTCCAGGTATGAAATACCCAGAGACAGCATATGCCAGTACCTTGGATCAATTGCTAGCTATTAATGTCTGTGTTTTTTGTGGTCATATTCCCCATTGACAAATTAAGTCTTGCATGCATTAGGCTAAGTAGAAACATCATTTGAGATGAATCAGGCATGGTCCATTGCAGGCTAATCAATGAAACTGGCCTATTGACCGAGGATTCATGAATGTTAATTAAACATAAATAATTTTTTTTCCAAAGGTGGTGGTGCATACACCCTGGGCCAACAAAACAGCGGCAATTGCTGGCATCTCTTCACTATTGATAACTATACTGATGGATTACAAATCCCTGATCAGACTTTGGAAGTATCCTAATCTTAATCCTAATCTTAATCCTTAATCTATAAAGCTAGATTCCTTGTATGTGATCTTTATGTTCGCCTTGTATTGTACAGCAAACTGCTGTCTTTTACCTGCTGAGATGCATGGATTGTGGCTACTGTTGTTTGTGTAGGAACAAGTGGAAAAGAGATTGAATTGAAATGCTGGAGAGGATATGTGGAAACCACAGTCATCAGTGAACTACATTCTTTGTATAAAGTTTCTTAACATGCATTTCAGATATTAATGAATGACCTTAATCCCAGTATTTTGAAACATTATTACAAAGGTTATTATAAAGATGCAGCGGAACTCACTAAAGTAAGTTGAATAACCAAATTACCCAAATTTGGATAGTTCACCCCCCCTGTACAAGTTCATACCCCCCCCCCCCTGCACTCTCTGGAAATTGGTAAATCCATCCCAATCAAACTAAATAGGTGTACCATTGAAATAGTCTTTAAACAAGAGTCTCCCAACTTAGATTTGTAACATCTTGTCTACCAATGATTACTATATAAAAAACGTTTTCCTCAATTCAGAGTGTTGGCATAAGTGACCTAATCCCAGGCACTACAATTGATGATGTCATTTTTGAACCATGTGGATATTCTGCCAATGGTATTTTAAAGGTATAATGCATAAGAGTTGGTGCATGTTTGTTCTCAAGGATGAGAGGTTTCAAGCAACTTCATAAAGTTGTTTATTATTTTATTCTCCTATAGTTTGCTTTATTTCTTCATTTAGGATTCCTACTTCACCATTCATGTAACACCTCAGATGGAATTCTCATATGCAAGCTTTGAGACAAACGTCAAGTTTGTAAGTGAAGATATTTAGTATCTACATATCAAAAGGAGGTGGTCCGGTATCAGATATCCATATATTAGGGACGGTAGCTCCACCCCCTACCCCACAATCATGCGTTAAATAACCATGCTGTTTTTCCTACACAGCGTTCGCTGAAGGACTTGATAGAAAAGGTCTTGAATATTTTCAAACCCGGAAGGTTTATTATGACATTGTTTGGAAATACTGTGAGTATTCAGAAAAAAGCTTTGACTATCCCAGGAATTAATATCGAATTAGAGTCACTTCGCAAACCAAACTCCATCAAGTTAAAACAATCAGATCTTTTTCCTGTGAAAAGATCTTTTTCCTGTGAAAGGATCTAAATGCTAAAAGTATTACTATATTTAATAGATTGCTCCGTGTGGCAACTCTTTGCGGACTTTTGAGAAAAGTTTTCCGCCATATAAGAGAAAGGATCTTCATTTTGCACGCTTTAAGAACTACAACCTCACCTATGGCCATTACGAGCATTGCTAAACATCATTTCAGGAGCAACGAAGAGTTGATATTTGCTTCACAACTAAAAGGTAGCTAGGCGGTCTATACTATCGCAAACTAATATATATATATATATATATGTATATTTATCATAGGATTACAGGTTTCATTGGGTAATTTTAGAAATTATTAAACATTGAATACTCTGCATGCATGAAAACGGTTCTACACCGAATTGTAAATATAACTGTTAGATATTATAAAGTGACGTGATTGTATGTAATACAACACTTTGAAACTCAACGTAGTTTGGTCACTTTGATGAGGGGAAATAAACAACTTATTAATATCCTTCTCAGTTCTCGTGCATGCAACCATTCCCCCGTGTCCAAGTTAAGCAATTCAAGGTCCTGCTCTAAGTGAACTGAAAAAGCATCTCACGAATCGTTTCGTTGTTTTAACAAAACCTTCACAGCAGAACCTCGACTTCGTACCCAGGGTCTTTTACCTAACCTATCAATATCATCCCACCCAGTGCAACGTATCCCAATTATTTCAATTTCTTGTTCCAAAATGTAATTGATCGCAAATTTTGAAATCATGCACGAATGTGATTCTAATATCGGTTGCCTTTGAATGTTTAGTAAGTAAAATTCCTCACAATTCAACGATAACATTATGAAAGAAATAATTAAGTTTATCAGTTTCGGTTTTTATTTTGTTTGCTGAAGCAATCAGTGCCAATATTGTAATTTTGTATATTCAATTGTTATTCGATTGTTTTTATTAGGATTTTACCTTGGTAGGGAGGGTTCCGTTTTTATTGAAAATAGACTGTATCAGAGGTGCTTCTGTGTTAGAGTGATGTCCATATTAGAGAGAGTGATGTCCATATTAGAGAGGTGTTTGTATTAGAGAGATCAATGTTTGTGTTAAAGAGGTGTCTGTGCAGACGTTTATGCCCCAAAGTTACTTCTTTTAGAGAGCTGTCCATGTATAAGATTAGAAAAATAAATATTGTATGAACGATATTTTATTGACTCGATTTAATCAAGTCAACGAGTGTAATAATCAATCAAGGTCGCATCATTTCACTTCTGGTAAACAATGTTATCAATTTGACTTTATCAAAAACCAATCAGGTCGGTCAAATAAGACATAATTAGCTGGTATTCTATGTTGATTAAAATTGAAATTAGTTTTTCAAACGATATATAAGTTCATTGGCAATTGCTTTGTTGCTACTGTTTGAAAGTTTCTCTTGAGTTCTAACACAGACCATACGCAGAGATCGGTACAGAATTGTCTGAAAAAATGAATCCAAAGGCTTTGCTGTTCAGTTGTGCTCTGTTCTTCTTGACTGCGCGAACGCTATCGTTCAGCTGTGGAGAAACATGCCCCACTTGCATTCCAGTCAACGAGCTAGAGTGTAAAGGTGGCACTGTCCCTGATGATTGTGGCTGTTGTGATAAGTGTGCGAAAGTGGTTGGGGAAGTCTGCGGTGGGCCGTGGGATATGATGGGGCGATGCGATGAAGGGCTTCGTTGTGACATCTCTGATCCAACCGACTTCAATTCGAGTGGCGAATGTGTAAAGCTCGAGGAAGTAATCCTTCCGCCTTTGGAATATTGGTAAGTGTCATACGTGCTATGAAAGATGTACATTTCACTTGATTTCAGCATATATTTTTTGTTATAGAGAGTGAGACCAAGAGTTCAAGGAACTCTTAGAAACAGAAGTACTGGATTATTATAAATATGCAGAATGAAATGAAGATATACAACAAATTTAGAATGAAATAGAAATGTAGAAATAAATTAAATCGGTAGAAATAAATGAAAATATTTGGTGAACTGAAATTGTTTTGTCAACGATATTTTGAAGCAAATTAGGAATTTAAAATGATTGTATAACTATTGAACACGTCTGTTTATAGAGAAAGGTGATCGTGCTAGAGGGTATGTTATGGGAGGTATCCGTATTAGAGCGCTATAGGTGAGAGATGTCTGTGTTAAAGAGATGTCTGTAGTAGAGAGGTGTCTGTAGTAGAGAGCTGTCTGTATTAGAGAGATGTCTGTATCAGAGAGATGTCTGTATTAGAGAGATGTCTGTGTTTAAGAGGTGTCTGTATTAGAAAAGGGTCTGTATTAAAGAGTTGTCTGTATTAGAGAGATGTTTGCGTTTAAGAGGTGTCTGTGTTAGAGAGGTACGAGTCTGTATTAGAGAGGTGTCTGTATTAGAGAGGTACGTTTCTGTATTAGAGAGGTGTCTGTATTAGAGAGGTACGTATCTGTATTAGAGAGGTGTCCGTTTTAGAGAGGTCCCTGTATGGGAGGAGGTTCTATGAACATTAAAATTTAAAATTGAAACCAGGCAATGTCATTTCCGGTTTTACATGGCTCGTCCGGGGTGTCAAGACGAGCCAAAATATTCATTTAAAATCATCGTTTTAGGCTCAAAAGGAGTAGGAAAATCGAGCCTTTTAAAACGATTTCAATTTAATGAGTTCGAAGATGTTCCATCACATACGATCGGTGTAGGACTTTCCACTCACAGCATAGAAATCGGATCTGAAACTGTGCAGGTACTGGGCAGGTATTAACTATTCGCAATTCGTGAAATCTTTATTCACCAGCACGTCAAGATACGGTTTAGTCCAATCGTTACTTACTACCAGACGCATTTTCTCGGTTTATATATAGCCAGAAAATATCTTTTTCTTAAGTTACTGCAAAGTGCAATCTGCCTAAATGTAGTCTCATGCAGTTTCTCTATCTGTCTAACACTCAGTTATCCTTTATTGAGCAAGTGTAATTATTATTACAACTATCTATTGAAATATTACATTGTTGGTATAATTTGTTCTTATTTGAACCCTTAATGTTCCAGATGACTTTATGGGATACTGCTGGGGAAGAGAGATTCAAATCGATTACCAGTCAATATTATAGAAATGCTGATGCAGCAATCATTGTGTTTGATTTAACCTCAAAAAGATCTTTTGAAGAAGTGAAAGATCATTGGATTCCAGCATTTAGAAAAGTTGTTGGGTGAGGATGTATATGTACTCAGTGCATTCAAATAAAGTCTGTCTATCAATGTTTAAGGTTTATTTCTTTCAAATATAGAAGCACACCCTATATTGCTTTAGTGGGCAATAAGAAAGATCTTTTGGACAGAAAACAGGTTGATCATGAGACATTTAAGGTAGTATGAAATCCTGTCACCCTGGGCTTGTGTCAACCCAGCCTGTTTCTATCCAACTCACAAAAAAATGATTATTAATTCCATTTATAGGATCTTGCCAACTTATATTGCATTCATCCCTGGGAAACCAGCGCTAAAGATTCGACTAATGTTAAAGAACTTTTCAATACAATGGGCCGAGAGTTAATTCAACGTGTTGATCAACTACAGAGCTTGGAAACAGGGCCAGATAGTCTCTTTTTACATAACATCCCAGAAGATCCCCAAGATTTGTATAGTTATTGTACAGGTGGACCCAACTCATATTGTGTAGTATAGTTGTACTACCTGTATAGATTGACAAAAAAGATACTGAAAATTTCTGTTATAATTAGAGAATTGCACTGCATGATAAAATGACAGTTATCAAATGCTGTCTTATGCAAAATTATTTTACTCTTAGTGAAAGGAGCACGGCACGTAGACGGAACTAAAATAACTTCCGGAGGACACCCTTGAGTGACCCTAAAATTGCAACACAACACTTACAACAATATGTTACATAATTCAACGTATATTGTTTGATATATAAATACTACAGCAAGTCAAACATACCACATAAAGGTTTTAGCTGCTCAAAAGTACACAAACTCAAACTAAATAACATTCACTATGAAGGGTAGAATAACAGTGTACTCTATTACGGGTTGCCCGTTCTGCATTCAAGCGAAAAATAAACTTCGTGAACTAAACTTAGAATTCGTTGACATCAATTTGGACGTCTATAGAAACAGGCGAAGCGAGATGAAAGAAAGAACTGGTCGAAAAACCGTGCCTCAAATATTTTTCAACGCGAAACATATCGGTGGGTTTAGCGATTTCGATGCTTTGGTAAGTAATATAAAGCATTATAAATTAACAGCTGTTTAGAGGTTTGTTGATCCGTTTTGAGTTATGTAACTTTGTTGCTTAGCTGCCTAAAATTTAATTACGCTAAATTTATCAGAAATACATCAGAATAGATTTGGTTTAAAACTTTGAATTGTACATAATAAGTTTAGAATTAAAATGAATATGAAATTTGAACAAACCAATTTTAAAATCTACAGTAAATATTTAAAAAAAAATAACGTTCCTACTTCCTAACATTTTTATTTTAGAGTTTCAGTGAACTGGATGAATTGATCAAAGACGTAAATGAAAATGAAGCTCCAGATGATGCACCACAGGTGCCAGAGGAATCAGAAAACACTGAAGGTATGTACCACACACAGTTTTACCAGACACAAAATTTATGACCAATGTCATGAATGTCAATCCATCTAATCAACACAATTATTGTATAGTCACTTTCATTGATTGTAATTGATTGATCACCACCTGATACTGTCATTGTCATACCTAATTATAGCTGGTGAGTATGGCAGTTCAGGCTTCTCTTGTGAACAGGATGAATTAGCTCAGCTGGCCAAAGAGATCAAAGATAGTGGTATTGTGAAAAACAATGGCAGTTTCCTATGGTCGTACAAGGACACCTTCAGAGGAAAAGAATTTGTTGATTGGTGGATAAGTTCAAAAGATTTTAGTACGTCATACATATTGCATTTGTATCTCTAAAGACAATACACTTGTTACTTCCTAAAAATGTCAAATTTCTTTTTTAGATCGAGCAAAAGCAGTTGTAATAGGTCAAAATCTTTTAGACAAGCATTTCGTTCATTCAGCCAAAAAAGATTCAGAGAAGTTTCAAGATGATGATACATTGTACCGGTTGTTGCAGGATGATGAAAGTAATGCATTGAATGCAGATGTCTCATCAGACTGCGAGCCAAGACCAGGTAAATGATTTCACGAAGGAAAGAAACTGATTTTTCAATGCTTGCATAATGTAAGAATATATAGGCTAGAATGTGTAGGCTAGCTAGCAGCTGTGAAAATGCTTGTTTGAATATTCTGCAGCTGCTGATGTTGGAGAGTCCCTGAGAAAATTCATTCTGAAACTCTATAGCAAGTATCTCTCTGCAGATGGAAAGGTAATTATAAGTTTTGAACCTAAGAAGAAATATACTGGTTATATCCTTATATATCTTGATATGTTTATCTGACTTGATGAAATTGGAAAGTGGAATGATCAGATACTGCATCGATCAACATTCTATCTCACTGAAAAAGGACAAAGAATAGTTTTCAAAAAGACTTAATTATATTCCAATCTTTGATATAGGGTGTTGATTACAAGGCAATGAAATCCAGCCCAGAATTTCAAGCATATGTGAAGCACACAGCAGAATTAAAGAGAGTTCAATTGGAAAACGCACCCAGAGAGGATAAATTGTCCTTCTTCATCAATGTCTACAATGCATTGGTTATACATGCAAATGTTGTAAATGGTCCTCCTGTTAGTCTGTGGCAGCGATACAAGGTAAACTTTGATGACCAGGGTTGTCTTGTAAGAGACATCACTTGTGAAGACTGAGAACACACATATAAACCTAGCTAACTTGAGCTAAATTTTTGATGAAATGTGTGAATGCATGCATGGAGAGGCAATTTATTAAATGATGTTTAATTCCAGTTCTTCAATGTTGTGAGCTACATCATTGGTGGTCACATGTATTCACTTCATGATATTGAGAGTGGCATTCTTCGAGCAAACCGCAGAGCAGTGGCAGCGTTTTTCAGACCATTTTCAAAAACAGATCCACGCTTGGCAATAGCTCTTCCAGAACCAGAGCCGATGATCCACTTTGCCTTGGTTTGTGGTGCAAAAAGCTGTCCACCAATCAAAACCTACACAGCTCAGGTATATTGCAACATTGTTAGGTTTGGTTTCATTCAAATATTGCCTGACAGTGACGTGTTTTTATAGGGTATAGATGAAGAACTGAGACTTGCTGGGGAAGCGTTTCTTGAGGGTGAAGATGGCTGTGAGATCAGTGTTTGTAAAAAGGAGGTGATTGTGTTTTTTTTCCTTATTTCATTGCAGATGCTTTAAATTCTCAGTACTCTTAGTAGTATATAGAAACATGCTCCCATGTTCTTCGGAAAATATACGTAGCGTTTCTTGAATTACGTTTATTTTTAGGTTAAATTAAGCATGATTTTTAAGTGGTATAAAGAGGACTTTGGAAACAACAAGTTAGAGGTAACAACTAACTGCTTTTCATCGAAGTTTTTAAAGCTGAAGAAGGAATCTAGAATGCCTTTTATTTTGCCTCATAGATAGCACAATGGGTGCACGACCACTTGGGCGAATGTGACAAGAAGAAGGATTTAGCAGAATTGCTGATCGATGAAAATTTCAAATTGACTCATATGTCCTACAATTGGAATCTAAATTCGAAATAAAAAAGTTAACAGGACCACTTCACATTATACTGACGTACATTAGCAATATTTACTGTAAGCAAATCAGTGGAAAATACACAGGATATAAGAGATTTTGTACGTAGAATATAAATATTCATATAGATGTAGATTTGAAAATTTAATGTAAACGTCTCGTATTGACTGTCTGTAGTGACAAATCGACTAATCGAATAGCATAGTTCAACATTCAACAACTATTGATTAAAAGATAAAACAAAAACATCCTTCATATCCAACGGAACCACCCTATTCGTTTTGCTGTATTAAAGGTGCACACATATGATCGAGGGAAGAGGGCGTGGTGTTCTCCCCCAAGTCAAAACGACTCAACAGTTTAGACGATATTTGTGCTGTCCTGAGATTAGAACAAGATCTACACAAAAAGTATCGATAAATCATTTGCAAATTGTATAAAAGTGATGCAATGCTGAATGCTGTTATAGGCAGACTTCCCAATGGGGTTATAGGCAGACAAAGTTCTGAACTGCACAGTGTATTGGTGCAGTCATTTCTGTAGTGAAAAAAGGATCTTTAGTCTTTTTTGTATCGTCTGGGACAAGGTTAATTTGCCTTACAAACACAAAGCCTTGGATAAATCGTTTTCTTTTTTCCAAATGTAGCAAAAGGAACAAAAAATGCCCGTTCTTGGCTCTGGAGAGTGGAGATCTCAAACAACCGAGGAGTCCTGGGTACCAGAATTTATTATTAAAAATCAAAATTTGCGGCATTTTCCCGCGAATGCTGAAACATCAACAAAGCTTTATGAAAAAGTGTCATTTTTTCATATTTTAGAAACGTCATTTCTGTGAAAAAAGGCTTAGTTAATGGCAACGAAGCGGAGCTGTAGTAATGGAGGAAAGCGTTCTTCAAAACGGCAGCGTACCGAAGAGAATGGAGTTCAAAATGACAGCGATATGTCGGACGAGGACAATGGCACTATAAGTGCTAACCATGTCAATAATTGCTCCCAAAACCCTGGTTTTAGTATACAAGAGCCTACCGTGAGTTGCATGTATTTGTAAAAGTGCTTTACGAAACGCTTGCGTGTGTTGTGCATGTTTCATAAGAGGGTTTTTTACTTTGTTTTGTGAATTGTGGATATATTCACAAGGTTTTTGTGAATGGACCATGTGTTTCTAAATTCTGATCAATGGTGTTAGATTACAAGATTAATACTGGGTGTTTTGAAAACAAGAGGAATTTTGTATTATTCTCAAAAGTTGCTTCCTTTTGTAGAATGAGGCTGATGTTGGTATTATTGAAGAAATTATTCTTCAGAATTTCATGTGTCATTCCCATCTCAGAGTTCCCCTATCACCAAGTGTTAATTTTATCATTGGACGAAATGGAAGTAAGTCTGACGAATGAGTGTAAGTTTCGAGTATGGACAGAAATTGCCGTCACACCATACCCACAGTGACATGTCGGTACACACTTAAAATGATTGAATATAGCACTTCACTCTTACATCAACTGTGTGATGACGTTCGTGAAAAATGAAGATGGTAGTTCCCATTCACAAAAAATTGAACTCAAAATTTCTAAATTTCTTGAAGGTGGTAAAAGTGCTATAATGACTGCTATTGTGGTTGGTTTGGGTGGTAAGGCTTCAAATACTAACAGAGGAAACTCTTTGAAAGGATTTGTCAAAGATAAATGCAGGTAGGCAAGTAATGGTGGAAGACCAGTCACCAGGTCTAGCGTAAAAATTATGGAAAACTGTTGCTTCATTTTATATCTGACAATTCTTGGCCATTCAAACTCATTGTGCTTTTATTGATATTCAGTACGGCAGTTATCAGGATCAAGTTGAAAAATTGTGGACAAGATGCATTCAAACCACAAGAGTATGGAGAACATATCATTGTTGAGAGGAGAATTTCAAGTGATGGTGTTGGATCTTATAAACTATCAAATGCAAATGGTAATATAGTGGTTGCGCTATCTATTAGTGTATTTGATCATCTGGACTGAGTGCTCTAGGTAAAAATGTTGCAAGGCTGCTGAGCTATCATGTAATTGAGACCTTTATTTGTCATTGGTGAGGATACTTTTGGTATGAAACTTTATCTTGAGAGTACTCAATTGTCCACGGATGGTATTTCTAATTTCCTTCTGACTGTTAAATTCCATATTATAAGAAAAATCATGTGTATAACCAAACCGATCATTATCTAGGAAATATTGTGTCAACCAAAAAGGCAGAATTGAGTCATATACTTGATCAGTTTAATATTCAGGTACAATATAATTATATATGAATAATGTTAGTATTATATCTGTAAAGAGAGGTTCATATACTAATTTGTAAGAATGGCTGAATGTTACTTTGTGATTTAGATTGATAATCCTGTCTCAATTTTGAACCAAGATACTAGTAGAAATTTCTTATATGCATCTGATCCTGGAAAGAAATATAAGGTACAATATACATTCACCAGCAATCTATAGTATTGGTTTCCATCTAAACCTCTTTTGCGGAGGGCAAGAGGTAATTTTAACTGTCATTTTTCTTCTTGAAATAGTTTTTCTGTAAGGCAACACAACTGGAGCAAATGAACAATGATTATTTGACCATACAAGAGCATCAGAGAATAATGTCAATCACTTTGGAAAAAAAACAAGAGGTTTGTCTTTGGCTACTGTATGTATGATACAAAAGCCAATTACTACACACAGTATTTTTTATTTGTGATGGTGCTACTCTGAGTTGACAAGCTAAAAAATTAGTCAAGATCAAGCTAATTTTTTAGCACATCTTGTTGGTAACCTGGTAGAATAGAATAGCGCCATCACAAATATGAATTCACCTGAGCACACACACACAATATCATTACCACACACAATTCCAAATACTGGTTTACAACTGAAATTTTCAACCCTGCTTTTCAGTTGGAGATCCACCAACAGTCAAATATGTTCTTGGTTTTTGAGTTCAAGATTCTCTTCTTGTTTTAGACTCTTCCTGAGATGGAAAACGAAGTGAACAAACTTCAGGAAAAGTATCGAGATTTAGAACAGTTGAAGGTTCTTGAAGGAAAAATTGATGATTTGAAGAAAGAAATTGCCTGGGCTCAGGTTTATGAGAAAGAAAAGGTATCATTTGAAATTGTGTATATGATATGGTTTGCCTCGAGATGCAAGATATGTCAAGACTATTGTTTTCTTATATTGTGATGGTGCTTCTACAACTAATACAGAGTATTGTCATATATGTTTATCGACATATACGTTTGTTCTAGTTTCACTGTTATCAGATTCCTAATGATGAATCCATCCTTGCGCTCATAGTTATATATTACATCATTATTGATTGTGATATATGTGAAGACTGCTTTATGGGACTTGCTCCTTGCGTTGCCACGCGAGAGGCAAGCTGAAGGAATCTGTATCTGAATCTGTGTTTAATACTTTATAAACACTGCCCATTACAACAAATTTTAAGCCCATGAACCAATCAAAATGATGTTGACTTCAGAATCTTATATTCAGAAACTCAAGCCGATTGTTGCAAATATCAATTCTGAGAAGGAGAGACTGCCGAGATATGATGAAAGACTTCAAGAGTGTGAGGTATTGTTGATTGTTAATACTGTAGGAGATCAAGTATTTCTAAGATGCAACAGCATAGAGTCTCTTTAAGACAGCTCACATTCAAGAACATGTATGTACTAGTAACTTCTGTATGAATTCTCTATGACTTCTCTATGACCTCTCTATGACTTCTGTATGACATTTAAATGGTGAGTTCCCTACAACACAGAGTCACTTTAAGACAGCTCACATTCAAAAACATGTATGTACTAGTAACGTCTGTATGACTTCCGTATGGCTTCTCTATGACTTCTGTATGACTTCTCTACGACTTCTGTATGACATTTAAATGGTGAGTTCCCTACAACACAGAGTCACTTTAAGACAGCTAGTTCGCATTCAAGAACATGGAGCACCTCTAAACAGTCTAATTCACGTAACTCGATACTGAAGTCTGTGACCTGTATGGTGCGTCTATGGTGCGTCTACATATTCTACACCAATATCTCTTCTCAGACCAACATTGCACAAATGGAGGCAAATTGGGGTGAAGTGAAGACTGAAATGGATACGATCTCCAGTGAAAGCGACCAGCTGACAGTTCGTCAAGAAAGCATCAACAAAGAAGTAAAAAAAATGAGAGATATTGTCAAAATACACCAGGTATTCGCTTTGCTGTTTTTTTACATCCTTCATTCCTAAATGACACATAGAAAGTCTTTGCCACCCTTGAATTCTGAAGTAAAGAAGCTGTATTCACGTTTGAAGTTTCACTTTTTAAGCACAATGATAAACTCCCTTTCCATTAAAGTCTCAGTGTTCGAACTTGACAAGTTTTAAAAAACATTTTTAAGAATGAGCTGAAAAAGATGGAAAGAGAATTGAATAATACCGAGAGAGAGAGAAACGAGTTACAGCAACGAATAAAGGATATAACGTCGAAGTAAGATTGAGTAATGAGTTGGCCAAGGTTTCCTCTTGTGGTATTGATGTTTTATCTGATATTTCCCTTGCAGTGCAATGAAAGATATTGAGTCAGAACGTCTTGAAAGAGAACGATCGCTTCAAGAAAAGAGAGAGAATCTCCAATCAATTCAGTTCCAACTTAACACAACCAACAACCACAAGAACCAAGTGGAACAGAATGTCGCGCGCTCCACTAATGACCTCTACCAACTGAGGTAAGAAGCATGCCCTACCCCCTGGGTTACCTGGGTTTGGTTCCCACTACCCTCAAGCGTTCTCTATAAGGATTAGTTCAATTTCCGAATATGATCAAAATTTTATGTTTGTCTAATACTGTATTCTTAGAAACGACACAAACGATGCAAAAAAGAACGTTGAACAAGCCCAGAGAAAGTTGAGTTCACTACGCGATGGACAGAAGAACAGTTTAAAAAGATTTGGTAGCAATGTTCCTGAGCTGTTACAAAGGATTGAGACGGCAGTAAGAAGAGGACGTTTTAATAAGACACCAAAGGGACCTATTGGTAAGACATCATGCATGAATATGCAACCTTCCATTGAATGAGAGAGAGTCTGTGTTTTGCAAGTTTTTTCCATGTGATCTTTGGTTACATTGTATATGGAATATTATCATAATCTGTGATAATCTACGAGAGCAGCTTAGGCTAGGTAGAACAATTTTTTCAAAGCAGAGTCCGATTAGTTCAGATTTCGTTTGACTCTTAGAGAGAGGCTAGATCAACAATTGATATACAGTAATAAAGCTAGTATAAGTTGGGGGGCATGTATCAATATCCCGGCTATTAGTTTAAACTTTGTATAGCTGATCCTTAGAGAAACCCATTCGTTTCTGTTTCTTGCTGTGATAAATGAGTATCGTATTATTCCTTACAGGTGCTCGCATAAAGCTGCGTGCTGAACGCTGGGCTGTGCCTGTTGAAACATGTCTTAAATCTTTGGCGTTCGCATTCTGTTGCAATGACACAAATGATGCCAATGTTTTGAGAGATCTGATGAAAGGAATTTATGAACGTAATAGAACGCCACAAGTTATCGTCTCTAAGTTTCAGGTAATCTACCATAATGTACTCTAATGTACTGTACTATAATATACTATGATGTACTGCAATGTACTATTATGTAGTGTAATGTACTGTACTACTACCTACCATGAGTACCATCTACTAAAACCTACAGAAAAAACTAACGTTCTGTGTTGTTGTTTTTTTGTAGGATGAGTATTATGATATCTCAATGAATGTAAGTTTTAGAGTATACAATCGTAAAAAGTAAATGCAGTGCAATCATATGAATTCATCTTCTATTTTATTACGAATCTTATTCATTTATGTTTATTCAGAAACCTCATTGTAATTATCCAACTGTCTTGGACGTCTTACAAATTGATGATCCTGTCGTGTTCAACTGCATTGTGGATCAAGTACGTGGCTGATATCATCGCGACTATTCAGCAAAGAGGCTCGGGCATTCTTACACAAACATCCACTTTTCTCTTAATTGTAGACGGCTGCTGAATGTGTTCTTTTAATCGAAGATCCGGTAGAAGCGAGAGACGTTATGTTCAACAACACTCCTCGAAACGCTAGAATGGTTAGTTTACATTCTTATGATCAGAGAAGAAAGATTATGCTCTCTGCATGTAGGCTCTTCATCCATTTCATACTCAATTGCGAATGGTTTCATCTCTTTCTGCAGGCATTTGCTGGAAACGGGGATCAAATTTTCGGTGGTAGAAGTGCCAAGTCGTATGCCTACACTGGCAGTGGAAGCAGCTATCTGAAGGGAAATATCGATGATCAAATAAGGTAGACTATCGTTGATTCAAAACTGTTCATTCCTGTGTCTTAAGATAAAGAATGATAAGATCAAGTCGGCCGCCTTGCCTCTGAGAGTGTTCACGGAAATTTTCTTTCAAAATAGGCGGGTCCAAGCTCAGCTCGAGGAAGAGACTGGCAGATATGATCAGTTGAAGGCTGACCACAATGTCCAAGAAAAAGCTTTACGAGAACTTCAAGTGGAGTTGAAGAAAAATAAAATAAAAAGCATGAAGGAACAAGATGTTTATAACAAAATACTGCAGGTAATGTATTTCAAATTCATGTACCTCACCTCAAATGAATTCCTCAGTCTAAAGTTTGTTTAAACGTCCTTGCTGGATCTCTAGGAAGAACATTTTAGAACTGATAAAGCTATCCAGTATAAATAAAAACACTGGATCAATAAGAGATGATCCTTACTGGACTTCTAGGAAGAACAGTTTAGAACTGATAGAGCTATCCAGTATAAATGAAGTCCTAACTATCAGTGTAAATTTTAGGAAATAACAGAGCTGGAACAATTTGAAGAAGAACCTGTTCCTGATGTCACAGTGCTGGTAGGATTTACTAGATTGTGTTTGTTTGATTTGTAGGTTAGTCTTGCTCGCTTGGTTTTCGGACCATCCAGGCACGCTTAGTGAAAGAATACTGTAGTCTGTAGCGTAGCCAGCCTGACGATTTGTCCCGCTATGCTAATATTTTGGTGTTCATTGACTCTGAAAACAATAAATTTCTAAGGAAATGAATAATTATAATAACTCGAAATTTACATAGCGGGACAAAATCGTCAGGCTGGCTACGCCACTGACTGTAGATGTAATAATTTGTAGTCTGGGTCGACGAACAGTATGGGTAGTTTATGAACATCGATTAATAATTGGTTTATTTTGTCCTGTGTAGCAAGATGATGTTAATACTTTGACGCAACAGATCGACGGTATTATTGCTGAAGTAAGAAAATTTCACTTTCAAGCACAATAAATGAAGCTTCCCTTTGTTCAAATAGGAAACGATTAAGCTATCCAATATAGAGTTCATGGTTACTACTAAACTTTGTTTTTACTTACATATAGAACGACAACAAAACAAAGGAGTTTTTACAAGCAAGAAAATCTTATGAAGAAAAGTCTAACGAGTCGGATGCGCATAAGGCCAAGATTCAGGACGTAATTGGCAAAGCTGAACCACTGACAGTAAGACTCCGTCTACTTTGATCACCTTAAAAGAGGCCATTCTTTGAGATCTTAATGTTTCCTAGTACTTTAGACACATGCAACTACAGCAATCCACCCATACATGAATGTCTTTTGCCTCGCTATATAGTTAAGATTAAACGTCATCGAAGCGGAGCTTGCCACAGCCAAAGGTCACCGAAAACATTACCATGATAAAAAAGCTGAATTGTTGAAGAAAATTTCAAATATGGAAGCCGAATTGCTAGGGTTGACCGAGGACGCTGAGGTTTGAGCTATTGTCCTGTTATGTCTTTTGTAGTTAAACTGTTAGTTTAGTTTTGGTATCCTATGTAAAGCTAGTTTAGTTTAAGTTTCCTCCTGTAGTGACACTGGATCAATAAGAGATGATTCTTACTGGATCTCTAGGAAGAACAGTTTAGAACTGATAGAGCTTTCAAGTATAAATAAAGTTGGTTTAGTTTATGTTTCCTCCTGTAGTAACACTGGATCAATAAGGAGATGATCAGTACACGTGGAAAGACCACACTAAGCATTTACGATTCAATTTTCTAGAATGCTGCGAGAATGGCGGCCCAGTATTGTACTCGAATACAAACTAGGAGGACTGTGAAGAGTTTAGAAAGTGAGATCTCTCAGACTGAACGACGATTGCGAGCTGAACAACAAACGTATGTATTAAAGCATGCTTGATCAAACGAGGATAAAGGTCGCCTAACAAGAGTTCAGAGAGTTTTAAAAACTCTCAGCCTTTAGTGTCAATCAAATAGACAGAGAAGTGTATCTGAATTGACCAGTTTTTTGTAATGTTCATTCCCTGGACCAACTAAAAGGTCCTGTGTTGGAAACCAAACACAAGTACTTCCATGTTTATGTCTAAACCTATTCTCATAGACGTGGTCAGATTGAGGAGATTACCAAGCAGTATACAGAGGCGAAAGAACGTCTTAACAACGTGAATATCAGCATGAAAAGCTTAAAAGTTCTGTGCAAGGTAATCTTGATCATAAAAAGCTTGCAAACACTTCCCACAGTCTTTCGTAATTTCTAACTATGTGCTATCATTTAGAATCTGGGTAAAATGTTGGAGGAACGCGTTCAGGTGTATGCCACGTATAGAAAATTAATAGCACTGCGAGCAAATATGCACTTCCAAATGATGCTGTCGCAACGTGGATATACAGGGAGAATGAAACTTAAACACAAGGAAGAAGAGCTACATTTACTAGTAAGCGTGTAATACCTTCGTATAACAACGTATACCTCCTCTTGCGATCATCCATTATCCTGGATTTGTTTTAATCCTACTTTGTTAATCCTGTGATTAAAACTCTCGTATTACCATATAGTATTATTTTTAGTGAGGTTTTCGTGTTCTAAGTTTAGTTGATTTTTATCAGGTCGATGTGGATCAAACATCGAAAGATGGTACTAAAAGTACAAAGTCGCTTTCAGGAGGAGAGAGATCTTTCTCAACTGTATCATTTATTATGGCGCTTTGGGATGCCATGGAAGCACCTTTTAGATGTTTGGATGAATTTGATGTTTTTATGGTAAGCGCCGCTGATTTGAACCAGCTCATGCTGGATGGGATCTGTTATCCCCATTATCTTCATCTCAAACATTTAATAATTATTAGCGAGGTGCCTGTATTAGAGAGATGTCTGTATTAGAAATAGTTGTCTGTATTAGAAAATGGCAATCGTATTAGAGAGGCATATAGGTAATGCGGATTATTTCTATACCTTTCAAGGATATGGTAAATCGTCGAATCAGCATGGAATCGATTATGAAAGTTGCAAAAGAACAGCGACATCGACAGTTCATATTGCTAACTCCACAGGATATGAGGTAGGGGATATGAGTCTAACCATGTTTAACCTGTCAAGCCAGTTTTGTCAAACATGTTACTTTTGGGATTGAAAGACGAAAGTAACCCGCATTTATTATCTTTTCTACTTCAGTAATGTTGGCCAGAATGAAAGAACGAAAATATTCAGACTTCAAGATCCAGAAAGAGGTCAGACCACATTGCCATTCCAACCTGTGAATTCATAACCAAAAACACTGCATATTTTCCATTTTTTGGCGTAAATGAACATGAAGATATAGTGAAAGATTTATGGTATAAAAATTATAAAAATATCTCAAAGTTTTGTTAATAACGGTTAGAAAATTTTGGCCATATATTATGTATATTGTATATAAATTATTTAGAGAAATTAAAATTTGAATTTCATTTTTGAAATAGTGGTTTTTCGTGAAACTTGTGGTTGTATAGGTCATTTTTTTATTGGATTTAGAAATGTAGGGTTGTTTCTGGTTGCATAGGATTGTTTATGGTTGTTTGTGTTTTATTAGGGCTGCTAGTGGCTGCATGTGGTTAGTTAGGGATTTGTGTGGTCACATTGGTTTGTATAAGGGTGTTTAGGGATGTTTGTAGGAAATGATACTTGTTGCAAGGTAAGATGGAGTATCCAGACAGTGCTGTACATAATACCACGCGGGCTCCTATATTTGCACTTGACAAGCCATTTGGAACCATCTGTGGAGCTGCCCTAATTTCCTTCAAAAGAGTCAAATATTGGAGAAAACAGCACTACATTTTATTCATTTTTCATACACAGGCATAACCTGCACCTCCGTAACAAATGTCAAATATCACTAGCTGCTTTCTTAATGTCACGAATGAAGCTCTGTGCAAAGGCAATGTATACTGTCTTTTGCACAAGGACGAAGTCCACTGTAACAACGAAGTGTTTGAAATTCCTGAATCGCCGTTAGATCACCACGATGTTATGTTTTGGGTCTATTTGGGAGTTTACATCGGGCTTGTCTTATTTGCTGGTAAGTTACAACGAAATATATAGAGTAATTGCTTTTGTTTACAAATTTTAAACACAGGCTTACACAGCATGAGCATTACTCAACACAATCAACCTTTTCCTATATGTTTAATATTAAATGTATTAAATATTGTAGTTCCGTGCTTGGTACAAATCGTCTACGTAAAAATGAGAAAAACTCTTTTAGGTAGTTTAGAGAGAAGCTAAAGGCTGTTGTTTTATTAAGAATACTTTTATTTGGCCATTTAATAGGTTGATGGCAATGCCACCTGTTTATATGCCATTGTGAATAAGTGTTTTAAACAATTATTGAAGTGTTTCTTGTCCCTTAGGAATAAAATGTCGCGAAGATATTAGATCCATATCAGAAATGAACGTTTTAAAAGCAAAACTAGTAAATATTAATCTAATCTGTGTATGTAATAACCAAATATTTTTCCTGCAATGTCTGAAAAATCAAAAATGACATATTTTTTACTAATAAACTAGCTTATTTTGCCTACTCTTTGCTATAATTGTGTGTTTAAAAGCAGCTGCATACTTGAGAATATGTAAGTTAATTATTCAAAAAACTTTTAAAGATGTTGGCAACAACGTATATTCATGTTCTGCCTGATCAATTTTTTTTTCAAATCTATTGTCTTAATTTACATGCAGTCTGTTGCCATGAATATAGAAATATGTGCCCTATGCCACTGGTGTTAATGTTTAACAAAAGATACTATGAGCTCCTCCCCTTACAACCTTATCCAGCATCACTCTGTTCTTTTTTATTGAGAATATGAAATATATTATTTTAAGGCCTGATGTCAGGACTTACAATGGGCTTGCTATCTCTGGATATCCTTAGTTTGAAGGTTTTAGCTCGAGGTGGAAAGCCTGATGAACAGAAACATGCTGCAAAGATTATTCCATTGGTTTCGAGACATCATTTGCTCCTGGTGACATTGTTGCTTGCGAATGCTGTAGCAGTCGAGAGCATGCCTTTGTGTCTGGATAGAATATCCAACCCTATTGTTGCCGTGGTAGTGTCCGTCACAGCCGTGCTGCTGTTTGGAGAGTATGTCACTTGTTGAAGTTATAACTTTTTTAAAAAACACTTCATCAACAAATTGGTTTATGCAAAAAATTGTGTAGTGTACCTGAAAAAAGCTTGCAGTAAAGACATGTCTAATGATGTGAAAAAAAATGTGTGATGGGTGAAATAACACTGTGCAATTTTGTCTCTCATGCCAGATGAAAAAATATTCCATATCAATTTTTCCTAGGGTGCTGCCTCAAGCTCTGTGTACCAGATATGGGCTGGCGATTGGTGCATTTTTTTCTCCGTAAGTATACATGCAGTACACCACTTTTCCCTGATCAATATAGCAGCTGCTATTGAGCTGGAAACCTATCAGTTTCCAACAAGTTTTACCTGAAATTCTGTTAAAATTTGTCATTGTTCAGATTTGTGAAGCTCCTCATGTTGATAATGTTTATCATCGCATGGCCGCTTGCAAAACTCCTCGACTGGTTGTTGGGTGTTGAGCATTCAACATTTTTCAGAAGAGCAGGTATGGACAGTCAAATCTCAACTTCAGTTCTTTCCAGATCCATTCTTTTCCACTTCTTCTCTGTCGTCAATCTTAACAAACCATAATATTTGACAGATGTATGGATAACCATTACCAAATGGTCTGTTTCTATCAGCAACATAGGTGTCGTAGAATATTTATATTTGATTTTAGAGTTGAAAGAACTTGTGGCAATGCATTTGGAACAAAGTTTAGAAAATGAAGAGCCTTTAACTGGGGATGAAGTTCTCATCATAAAGGTGTGATATTGTATTCTGGAGTGTGTGGAAACTATTAAAACTGTACAATATACCTGTAGTTTAGAACTGATAGAGCTATCCAGTATAAATAAAGTTAGTTTAGTTTAGGTTTCCTCCTGTAGTAACACTGAATCAATAAGAGATGTTCCTTACTGGATCTCTGGGAAGAACAGTTTAGAACTGATAGAACTGTCCAGTATAAATAAAATTACTCTTCGTTCCACAATGTTGTCAGGGTACATTGGACATGAGAAACAAGACAGTTGCTGATGCATACACCCCACTTATTCGGGTCTTCATGTTTGATATCAATGAGAAAATGACTCAAGAAAACATGAACAAGGTTTGTAGCATTTTCACTGATTAAAAGGAAAGTTCAAGAAAAAAAAACACCGAAAGAGAGCGAAGGGGACAAAAGAGTGAACTCAAAAACTGTATCAAGTTTATTCAACTGATCTACATGAATTGGTGAAGATAATCATTGCACTTTTACCACTATCATTCCAACACAACACAATCGCTTGTGGTAGAATAAGAATGCACTATGATATGAATATATAGAATGCACCATAATAGACTATGTGTTATGTACTATTTCTTATGCTTAATAGGTAGTAGAAAAAGGCCACTCTCGAATTCCAGTCTATGATACGACCCGGGATAATATAGTTGGTCTTCTCATGTCGAAAAGGTTGATTCCAGTGAACCCAGATGATGCAATACCAGTGAAAGATCTTTGCAGAAGTAAACAGAATCTGTTGACAGTTTATATGAAAGATCCGCTGTTTAATCTTCTCAATAAGTTTCAAACCGGAAAAAGTAAGTTTACGGGCAGCCATGAAGGACTATGTGTCGTTTCTGAAGTAAATTTTTCAGTGTTTAGTTCAGTATTTGATTCGGACCAGATCACTACTCTAATGTGCCAATTGCCATATGCCAATTTAATGTACATTTTTTTCCATAATCCTTTACCAGCTGATAGTTTTAGCACATATAGAATTAAAGTAATTCCGAAAAATGAAAGCATAATACAAATTTTATTCTGTATATTTCGAATCAAGATCGATTCATCTTCAGCAGAATGGTTTACAAGATTTGCGTATCTTGTAAACCATTCTGCTGAAGATGAATCGATCTTGATTCGAAATATACAGAATAAAATTTGTATTATGCTTTCATTTTTTTCCATGTTACGTAAGTCGTTAAGTACTCGGCCTGTGATGTGAAATGATTGCGAAAAAACTCGGGTAAACTTTTTCTTCGTTTTTAGGTCATATTGGTATCGTTAAAGATCAAATCGAACTTGATAATGGATCTTTTATTGAGGTATCTATCGTGATCATTCTTGTTGAAGCTTTCCAAACTTTTCTTTGTGGTGCACTTCAGATGAATTTACCTGAATTAACATGCAACAAGACGCTGCGAGTTTTTCTGCCTGAAACATTCACTCAGAGAAATTTACCAAAAATTTAACAATTTTAGTCATGCATGAATATCATGATAACGTTCTCTTGTAGAAAACCTTTGGCATCATAACCTTGGAAGATATCATTGAAGAATTGATTCAGGAGGATATATACGACGAATCTGATCTCACCAGACTTCAAAAGAAAGTTCAAACTCGTATCAATAAAATGTTTAAAGGAAAGAAACCAAGCCTTTCACGTCAGAAGAGCCACGATCCTACAAGACGAAGCGTGGTAAGATACACGAAATATAAAAATTGAGTCTGATTGGCATAAATTCGGCTCTCCAAGGTGGTCTCTTGGCAGGCTTCATAAAGGCTTTGTTTGCGACCCAATTAAAAAAGTCCTGGTCTAAACAGGTGTTTAGCGCGAGAGGAAACCCAGGGTAGTTCCCGGAAAAGATCACTCAAAGTTGAGAAGAAAACCAATTAATCTCGGCCCACTCGAGGTATCCAAAGCCAGCTGAGGTATGCGTCGAGCCCTTGGTATGCACTCAGCGGCGAAAAAAAGCGCACTTTTCTCGCCCCCTCCCCCCAATTCTGCACCCGTGGGACGTTCATTTGACTCTCGTCCATATGCTTCTTTTGGTTGTGTCGTGGAAACTGGCGGAACCTCTCTATACCTCTAATACAGTATTTCTTTGTTTTTCAGCGATCAGTGAGCGAATCTCCTGCAGCTTATGAGGACACAGACGAGAACAGACCACTGCTTAGTCGCGGATTCAGCGCAGATCCGAATAGCGTTCCTTGATGTCTCGTGAGCGTTTTATAGGGGCTTTCCAGTAACCCATCTTGACTGGTCAGATCAAGCCCATACGAAAAAACACGATATAAACTGAATCTTGAACATAGGTTATATGTGGTTATATGAACAAGCGTTTCATAAGCAAATCCTTTTTTAAATCTGAGTCGGAACCTTCCCGAATATGGTGTCAGAATTCTGGTCTGACCAGTCAGAGACCGGTTTTTCGAAGGCTATTAAGCTCTGATAATGGATGAGTCAAAATTATCATGCTTCCGAGCAACCGGTCTTGTATGGAAAGTTCCCTATGCGATCTGGCTACAATCCACAGCATAGCATTCACAACGCCGTCATATACACATTTCATCGTACGCCTAATTATTTTAAGTAATGTTATGAATATACCTCTCTAACTGTAGAGTTGGTACTGACATTATTAAGACTTTCTAATCGAAATTTTTCAATGATAAATCGTATTCGATCGTAATGCATGCAGTATACTGATCTGAAAACGAGAAGAACCAACTCGTGAAAGAGAGGAGCCATTGGCATTGGTTTTAAGAGATTTTACAAGTGGATTTAGCTTATTCAATAAGATTCTCTATCTAGTTCTCGATTTCAGATCAGTAGCTAATAAGCCCAATACTGATTACGCTAATGTAGTTAGATAGCAAATTAATTAAACTCGTCAATATTGATTGGACAGACCCAGTTGTGGTAGTTGAACGAATTCATGATTCCGTGATTCAACACAATCACAGACACTGATGTTGTTTTTGCTAAAAAAATTAAGTCGAATTCCAGCCGCTAAAGAGATTTGCGAATTCCAAACACTGCCAAATAGTTATTTATGTAATCGCAATTCGCAAAATAGGCGCGATTTGGCACGCTTGATTGCTTAATTACGATAGTCGCACGACATGCTACGAACTTAGCCCGAGTGACGTCAAAGTAAAATGAACAACATTTCGCAGTTGGACGCTCTCAAGGAAGGCTATACATTCCGATGCTTAATTTAACAAAGTTTGCGCTCGTTTTTGGCACGATTTTCGGCGCTTTTCTTTAGCACAGCGCAATGGTGCTTTCCCAAAACGATAGCATTGAGTTTGTGGTAAACGAAAACGCTTTTCGTTGCTTAAAACAGCGTCAGAAACGGGTCGAAAGCTTATATAACGTCACTGTAACAAGTGACAGCCTCGAAGGCGAATTAAGATGGGTAAAAGTCAGCGGGGACGAAAAATTACGCATGAAAGCAAAGGTATTGTACTCAGCTTTAGCATATTTTTTGCTCGTTTAGTACTAAATACTAACATTATAACTCCTGGTGTATGTATTGGACTAATAGACAGCCATTGTTTACACACATTTGCCTAATATATGCTGTGACTTATTTAACGTAGCGTGTTTCAAAGTCTCTGCTTTGATACACCGATATCAAAGGCATTGAGAGATGTATACTTCCCTCGTTAAATCATCGGCGAACTTTTAGAATATAAATCTTTTTCTTCAATGTGAATTGGTATTTCGCGTAGGAATATATCACATCAATGGGAAAGCCGGAGCGCGTGAAAGTGATCGAAATCGAGCAATTATTTTGCGGACAATTCGATGAGGCGAATTTGGACAATCTTCTGTTCGTTTTGGAGCAAGAATGCTCGGCAAATATTGTTCTGATTGACAGGAGTTCTATAAGAGTTTCGGGCAGCGCCATTTCCGTAGGCAAAGTGGAGTCGTATCTGAATAACTCGGTATCAAACAATCAAAACAACGAGCTCGAACTGCCATTGAAACGCGCTCGCCTTGAAAGCTGTTCCTCAGTAGAGAGTAAAGACACAGCTTCGCTGAGCGACGATATCTCTGCTTTTGACCCAGTCGAGGACCTGCTCGTGAGTTTGGGCGAAGAAGGCAACTACAGTGGTCTTATGAGTTCCGATTCTGGCGTAAAGGAGAACATAGATCCGATGCTACAAGAAACTTCTGAAGATTTCGCCGCGAAGCTGGGCTACAGCAAAGACCTCTACGCTCAAGCGGTGAAAAAAGTCGGAAAGGGAGCCGGTCGCAATGAATTGTTGAACGAATTAGTCAAACTGAAAAACTCTAGAAAAGAGTTAAACGAAGAACCGCAAAAAGATCGAGCCGATAGACGAAGGACTTCTTGTTCGTCATCGATAACCAGTTCAAAACAACTTCGTCCGATCATTATCGACGGTTCGAATGTCGCAATGAGGTAAGAAAATTGTGTTTCTATTTTGATCATTGCAACATATCCAATGGAACGTTTGCTGGTAATTGTTACATTTTCGAACGTCCACATTTCTTCATTGTAACATTTTCCATGGTTAGGATTGTTTACAACAGTGAAACTATTTTATTCAGTGGGTATATAATGTATTGTACTCGGATTAGACGTGAATTGTGTGGTGGTCGCGTGGGGTTGGGTAATTAGTTATATTTGTAGACCTTTGTGAATGAAATAGCTGATTTTAAGGGTACGTTTTCTTCCGTTTTCCCCAAACTCTTGTGTTAACAGATCTCTAAGACGTGTATATATTTGAATTGCTCCCAATATTGTAAACCCTCTCTAAGAGTTACTCAGTCGATTCATGTGTTAAATCCGTAAGCAAACAGTAATTACTCAAGTTAAAATTGCATCGCAAACTTCGTATATTTTAATCGCAAGCAACATCGTAAGTGCCTCGTGTCTCAAAAAGGGAAACGCTCTAAAAACAGAGAAAGTAAAATATACACTTATTTGCCGTAATATTGATCGTGTTTCTCACAAGGAAAGACGGGTTAAGAGCGAGGTCTTTTTCGGCTTCATAAAAGCCTATCTTTCCGGGATTTTTAATATTAAACAAGTGCTTATTAAATATCTTTTCCTTAATAAAATACGATATACTTTATCATTGAATCAAACGATAAAATAATCGTGACGTCTCACTCATTCTAATCAACTAGCTTCCACCATTTCAACGAGCAGTTTTATACGACCCAACTCTCTTGCGCGAAATCGGGAGCAATTTATCGTCACATACAAACGCACAAACACATTGTTCAACACTTGTGAAAAGCTAGAAAAATGTGCTTCGGTTTGAATATTCAACAGAAATGTGTGTAACGGCATGCTTTGGCAATGAGTCACGATTGAACCCCTGGTGTTCGCTGGAATTTTACATACGTATTTGGCCAATCGCCAGCCTATTTCGCCTAGCATTGAAAGCCTAAGTTTTCACGTGTTGACAAGCCTACAATACCATATCAGCCTTCATTCGTTAAAAACATATCGTGCTAGCATGCAATCTTTTAAATTACGTCGCACCTCTCGCGGTCTAACGCACGTACGATTCTTCGAAGAAGTTTCGCGCTATGCGGATATGCGCAATTTATGCAAGATGTACGCTGGACTTTGTTTAGTCGCATTATTTGCGCCTTTCGCATGTACGACATTACCCGAAATCAGCCAATATAAATTGTCGTCAAAATTCAATTATCCATATCAAAAGTACGATATCTAAACAATAAACATAGTTTTGGGCAATAAATCAAAATTCATTTACGTCTTTTCTTAACTCCTTAGAGGCTCGCACATGCTTATCCTGATCAAAATTAATTTCATTTCCTTTCCTGTACGAAATATGCAAAGAATGTAATTCTCCAATTGGCTTATCCAGTGAGGTCTATTCAATATTCCTGTGCTTCTAATGCATGCCGAACTCATCTAATGTCTATGTTTGTGCAATAATGGTAACCTGCCATCCCTACATCATGTTATAGACAAAAATCACTAAGTTTAAAGGTGTTTATGGCACCAAAAAATCTAAACATATTGAATTTCCTTTAATCCTCGATGGCACATTAATTCGCCTTGGCTAGTCCACGTTCTTGGTTATTATCATTTACATGTTATGCTGGCCTTGAGAGGTCAAAAAATTGTCCGTTTCTTGAAAGATGGTTATAATATACATCACGGAAACCATCTCATTGATGGACACGCATTAAAACATGTTTATTATGGAAATATTAAGCGACAAAGATTAATGTCATTGAAGTATATTTTAACATCGCCCATGCAACACCCTATAAACCGCGTATTATTTTTAGGAGAATATTAATCGGATAGAGGTTTGTTCAAACGCATGCATGCCAAAGGTGTTGTGACACAGCACAGAAATAAACTTTTCTGTTTAAGCGAGATTTATCAAATATGGAATGCACAAACGGGCCACGCTGTTTTCCAGCTAATTTCATGTACTTAAAAAATTTACCAGCTTCTCGAAATTTCGGAGGTTTATTTTAAGAAAGCCTTTTAAGGATACGTCTGCTTTGCTGAAAGGAGCATGAAAATCACACCATAGTTTATTATCCATGATTAGACTAAATTTGTTAACCGCATTTTTTCTAATATCAGCCCATATCAACTGTCACAGGCTGGGTATTTAAGGATAGAAACGCTGACTTGCCTAACATTTGTATCTGGTTATCTGGTACTCTTTCTAACGTCAGACGATTTTATTTATTGCGTATTTAGATTGAATCATTTGTAAAGAAATTTTGGCTCTTTCATCTCGTATAACATATTTTCAATCCTAATTTACCTTACAATAATAAACCAGACATCACTTGAATTCTTGCAATCCTCGTGTGTTACAAAAGGTCCTAAGATATTTTATATAAGAGGCATAAATATATAGCGAAAAAATCTTCTTGAGCTCATGTTACTAGCAGCAAAAACAGAAATAATTGAAAAGCTGTATATGTCTTTATTGCAATCCTCGTGAATTTGTGTTAACACAAAGGTCCTCAGCATGCAGGTCGACAATTTTTATAAATTATTGAAAAGTGTTTAGTTCGTTTAACAGGCATGAGTATATATCGGGAAAAATATTTATTCCGTTTCGTTTTTATTTAGTCATGGAAAGCAAAAGATATTTTCGTGTAAAGGAATCGAGATCGTGGTGAACTGGTTCATTCCTCGCGGACATAAGTCAATTTACGTTGTCATTCCGAAATGGAGGAAGGAATCGCCATCGGAAAGGAACATAATCTCTGACCAAGAAATACTCAAAATCCTCGAAGGCGCGGTCAACGTGGAAATGATCTACACGCCTTCAGGAACTTTCAATCAGAAGAGATTCGCTTGTTATGACGATAGATATATCCTGAAAATAGCTTACGAAAAGGATGGAGTTGTCGTGTCCAATGACAACTTCCGAGATCTATACCTTGATGAGAAACCAGAGTGGAAAAAGATAATTGAGGAGAGAGTGCTGATGTACTCTTTCGTTGATGATCTTTTCATGCCCCCTGATGATCCTCACGGGAGAAATGGACCGCATATTGACGAACTGCTGTCTTTTGGGCTTTCCTCCAAGACGAAGGTATGTCACTACGGGCGGCAGTGCACGTACGGGCGGAATTGCAAGTATGGACACCCTGAACGCGAGGGGGATAGTGTACTCCGGGACGCACCCTCGAATTCACCGCGGCCTTACTCTGAACCTGTCCCTCTACCTGATCTCATGTGCGAGGATTTCAAACGGCTCAGTTTACCCGATTTGAACAGGAACCAACAACCTCCACCTATTATCGCCCGTACTCGGCATGCGAACTCTTCAATCCCACCTGAGATACCTTCGAGATCCTCAACTCAGCAACACCTTGCACCACCTCTCCCACCCAGAAGTAACTGTCTTCCTCCACGTGGAATGCGAACGACCAACGAAAATCGGTACGCACCCCTCCCTCTCCCAGTCGATCCGAATATGTTGTACATGAGACAGCAACAACCACGTCTTCCACCCAGACGAAACCAGACCCTGTCCTATCACCAAGTGATGCCCCTACCCCCGCATGTACAGCAACATCAATATTACAACCTCCCCCCACCAGGGGCGTTCATCCCCAACAGTAACCCAAACCGTCGAGGACGAGGTGGTCCCTACGACAACCTCCCACCCAACGGTCAAATGCCCGTGTACCCCCCGAGAAGCCACGCCATATACCAAGCCCAACAAAACTTCTACAGATCCCGAGCTCCGCCTGCCGACGACAGCAGTGACGAAGAGATGCCGATGGTTCCCGAAGACAAGCAAGTAGAACTTAAAGCCCAACTCGTCGAATCCGAACATCTCCGAGGATTCGTCAAGAAGATGAAATGTCGAGAGGTTTGATACAAATTAATATAAACGATGATCAATATTGCATCGTAGGTAAAACTGATCTTTTTCTCTCTCATATATTTAAAATTGTTTCTTTCCCTGTACACTATTTCAGAGTATTTATATTTTAAAACGGTTGCAAAGGTTTTATCAACCATGCAGTATTTCCATCCTATGAACTGTTTCTACTTCCTCATTGAGGGGAACATTGGAAAACACGCTTTTCAAAAAAGTCAAACTTCTTAGATATTTGTTGACGATTTGTGCAATTCGAATTCGAAATTGTCTACATGACAGATATTAACATCATGTTTTCCGGCTAACAAACGTAATATCCTAATCCAGATTACTAGTTTTGGTTTTTGTATGAAAGATTTAAATAAGTATATTTGAATTAAAAGCTTGTCTGATGTGAACATTAGTTTCAGCAGAAGAAGCTAGGTTTTCTAAACTTAATTTTTTAATTTGATGGCAAAGTTTCGTCATATTGTTTACTCTTACAAAATACTGAGCGGTCATTCTTTGGTTAATTAGGTAATTGGTAATTAGAACGCCGAATTATGGTACTTAGTAAGAAAAAAGTGACCATGTTGCATTTTTTTTCAAACGATGATTGATTGGCTTCCTTCCGAAATATTTTTGTCTGTTTTTTAGTACACAGTGAAATGTGTAAGAATTTCTGGTTAATCATTTGTATGAAAATAATCAGAAAATCTCAGTAAAGGTCGTGTTGTTTATATATTTTACAAATAGCATAGCTTATTCCTGCAATTCCATCATCGTATAAAATTCGTATAAATATACCTTACTGTTCATCCACTGTCCACGTAACACCAAAAGGCCAGCGATGCATGGGGCTAGTGGGTTCAAGCTGGATAAACAGTAAGGATTTGTACTCCGTTTACGTGTCTTTAGAACCACATACAAATAGAATCCAAAAATCGGGACGAATTTTTATAGATTTATATATAAATATATATACCTTACCAAGCTCTTCATAAGAGTATGTCGAATGAAATTCCTGAATATTGTTACACAAGACTTTGAACTCTCTATTATAATATATATAATCGATTTTTTAAAACTTTATTAAAAGTAATTTCATATGTAGGTCTTTTATAAAGACCCAGTTCTTTAGTTTCTCTAGAAAGAGACTTTGTTGTAACTTGTATTTAAATTCGCCCAACTGTTGTATTTGCATTTGCGCAGGTTTTGTCAAAATTTGTTTGGAAAAGTTTTAAAAAGAGATTGACGTTTTTACTCTTTCGGGACGCAAGACTACCAGATTTATTTAGCATTTCGAAATCTTGCAGAATACAACACGAATTTTAATGCAAGAAGGGTTCTTATTAAATTGTTACATGCGAACTGTCTTGTATATTTTCTGCAAGAAGTAGTTCCATTTTTAAAAGTGGGTAGAAAATTGTAAAAATTGAGAAGTAAAAATATATATCTATATATGTATACAGTCTGTGTGTTCTCGACGTTGAGGGAAAGATACGTGTGAAGGAAATCAGAGTGCCTACCAACTGAATTATGTTTTTGCGTGAATTGTCTCATTAATTGATGATGTACGAATCATGATTGCGCAAAATCCAGACAAAACTCTTCAGGGGGCCAGTTTGAAACACTTTGAAAACACTTAACAACAACTTTGCGTATATATATGATGATTTTCATGTGGAATATTTTTGCGTTTTCGTTTGAATGCATCATTGTATTAGGGAATCTTGTTATTTTTAAATAGTCCTTAAGATTCTCAATTATCGTTAAGTCGAAGTTAAGTATATATCTTATGTTACCGAAGTAACTGTAGAGCTGTCGTGCTTCGTGATGATGTTTTGTCAACTAGTGCTTCGTCGAAATGTGTTTTCATTATGACCCTCGGCAAAAGGATTAGGTACAATAAAAAATGTCGTCTTTTGCCGCTCGACGTGGTGGGCTAGTGGTAAAAACGATGGTCTCCCAAATGGTCATTCGCTTTTTGAGTCCCTGCAAAACTGTTTTTTTTTAAAACTCTTGCAAAAGGAGAGTTAGGTAAAACTGTAAACTTTCATCGTAAGATCTGTTGGCCTATAGTTGGCAGAGCTATGATTTCTCAAACCGTAATCAATAGCTATACCACGGCCACATATAAGTGGCTTAGTGCAAGTGTCTGTCGAACGAAGACAAAATTTTTATGGTATAACTGCAGCGTTGCCAAATATTTTATCCCGAGATCTCGGGATTTTCAGTCGGGATTCGTTTTTTTTGAAGCAGTTGGGATTCTTTTTGGATTTTTTTTGAAATGCAAAGCTCGGGATTTTTTTCGGGATTTTTAAAGAAGTGGAAATTTGGAATTTAAATAAGGGCCTGTTTATATGATCCGGTCTAGCCGTGACGGGATGTTTTCATCTCGCTTAGCCGGGAAACTCGCCTAGGCTGGATGGCGTGTTTATATGGAGTTCATTTTGTAGTGCAGGTTCGTTCGACGGCATGTTTTACTGTAGAAAACGAATATGCCAATATATACACATGCTCCTAATGTATGTTTATCGTGAATCATCCCGGCCAAGTGGGATGGAGTGTTTATATGGCAATTTCTCGTCCCGCGTCTAAGCGAGATCCCGGCACTTGTTGCCGGCACATCCTGCCAACGCGGGATAAAAAAGTGGTCATATAAACACTAACTAGTGTTTGATGTACAAGCGGGATCTCGGAAACTGTCTCGTCCCGGCCAGGCGGGATCATATAAACACGCCCGAATGTAGTCCATAGCTCGTAATTTGATAATTCAAATCCTAGGAAAACTTTCTTTTATTATGTGATTTGGATTTGGAAATTTTAAAAAATGCAGCGTGTGTACTTCTTGCAATCTTAAACGGGCGCTGCGGGTTTTTGTATGATAATATAAGGTTGATATCATATGCGGCCCAGTGGTTAAGGCTACGGCCCTACCAGGTTGTAAGCGTAGGTTCGAATCCTGCATGGTAAAGGTGCTAAATCCAACTATACTTTATTACTATGTTTTGAAATGAAATTATTTTAAAACTTATGTGCGTGTACGTACTTACAAAGAAACGCAAAATACCCTCTAAGTTCATCATAACGAATGTGGAGGTATTACTGAAAGAGTTTGGTTCAAATGTCGTTCATTCACTTCATTTCTCGCGCAGTCGCAGTGAGCGAGTAATGATCCCACAATCACCACATTAGGAAATGTCTTATATACTAAGCCTTCCACTGATGCTGCGTTTAGCAAGCGCTTATAGTCTAGTGGTAAAAACAATGGTGAAAAAGGGCATTTTAACCGTTTAACGCTATTCCAAAACTTTGAAATTCAGAAATTCGTATTTCCTCTATTAATTTTAAAGTCTCCAAAGAAAAGATTAAATGAAATAAAAAACCTTGGTCTTTCACCAAAAGCAGCGGTGGCCGAGTGGGTTAGGATAGTGGTTCGTCTGTAGGCTGTGGTGGTTCAAGCCCTTGCAGTGTCAAGAAAAATAGTTGCCAACTCTTACTTAATATCAAAGTCTCGAAAGAAAAGATTAAATCAAATAAAAAACTTTCACCCTTTCACCACCAGCAGCGGTGGCCGAGTGTGTTAGGACAGTGGTTAGTCCATAGGCGGTGGGTGGTTCAAGCCCTTGCAGTGTCAAAAATTAGGTTGCAAATTCTTATTTAATTTCAGAGACTTGTAAGGATAAGGTGAAAAAATTCTAAGTCTAAAAAATTCTAAGTCTCACCACCAACACTGATAGCCGGTGGTGAAAGACTTAGAAAATTTGAAAAGTCTTAAGTCGAAGAAAGGATTAAGTAAAATAAGAAACTTTCGTCTTTCACCACCAGCAGCAGTGGCCGAGTTGGTTAGGACAGTGGTTAGTCCATAAGCGGTGGTGGGTTCAAGCCCTTGCAGTGTTAAAACATGAGTTTCAAAAACTTGGAAAATTATAAAAAGTCTTAAGTCGAAGAAAGGATTAAGTAAAACAAAAAACTGTCGTCTTTCACCACCAGCAGCGGTGGCCGAGTTGGTTAGGACAGTGGTTAGTCCATAAGCGGTGGTGGGTTCAAGCCCTTGCAGTGTAAAAACATGAGTTTCAAAAATTGGAAATTGGGAAATTGAACATTGAAAAGTTAAAAATTGGAAAATTGGAACGTTAAAGTTGGAAGTTTCAAAGAAGTATTGAAAAAGTTGAACACTGGAAAGTGAAAAAGGATAATTGGAAAAAAAATTGGACAATTAAAAAAAACCGGAATTTCAATAAAAATCGGAATTTCAAAAAAAAATTGGAAGTTTCAAAAAGAAAGAAAAAACATTCGGAATATCAAAAAAAATCGGAGTAAAAAAAAATGCGACAGTTGAAAAAATTCGAAGTTTCATAACAAATTCGGAATTTCAAAAAAAAATTGGAAGTTTCAAAAAGAGAGAAAAAAAATTTCAAAGTCAAAAAAAATTGGACAGTTTCTCCTCCTCTCTCTCCCCTCCAAACAAGGAGGGGAGGGAGAGAAGGGGAGGGAGGGGAGGGAGAGAAGGGGAGGGAGAGAAGGGGAGGGAGAGGAGAAGGAGGGGAGGAGGGAGAGAGAGGAGGGGAGAGAGGGAGGAGGGGAGAGCATAAAAGGGGGAGCATAGGTCCCCCGGATGAATGCTCTCCCCTTTTCTCTCTCCCCTCCTCTCTCTCCCCCCCTCTCTCTCCCCCCTCTCCTCTCCTCTCCCCTCCTCTCCCTCCCCTCCTCTCCTCTCCTCTCCTCTCCCTCCCCTCCCTCCCTTCCCCTCCTTGTTTGGAGGGGAGAGAGAGGAAGGGAGAGAGAGGAGGAGAAACTGTCCAATTTTTTTTGACTTTGAAATTTTTTTTCTCTCTTTTTGAAACTTCCAACTTTTTTTGAAATTCCGAATTTGTTATGAAACTTCGAATTTTTTCAACTGTCGCATTTTTTTTTACTCTGGTTTCTTTTTCTCTGTTTGAAACTTCCAATTTTTTTTTGAAATTCCGATTTTTATTGAAATTCCGGTTTTTTTTAATTGTCCAATTTTTTTTTTACTTTTACTTTTTTCCTTTTTTTTGAAGCTTCCAATTTTTGAAACATCCAATTATCCTTTTTTATTTTCCAGTATTCAACTTTTTCAATACTTCTTTGAAACTTTCAACTTTAACGTTCCAATTTTCAATTTTCCAATTTTCAACTTTTCAATGTTCAATTTCCAATTTTTGAAACTCATGTTTTGACACTGCAAGGGCTTGAACCCACCACCGTTTATGGACTAACCACTGTCCTAACCAACTCGGCCACCGCTGCTGGTGGTGAAAGACTACAGTTTTTTGTTTTATTTAATCCTTTCTTCGACTTAAGACTTTTTAAATTTTCCAAGTTTTTGAAACTCATGTTTAGACACTGCAAGGGCTTGAACCCACCACCGCGTATGGACTAACCACTGTCCTAACCAACTCGGCCACCGCTGCTGGTGGTGAAAGACGATAGTTTTTTATTTCACTTAATCCTTTCTTCGACTTAAGACTTTTTAAATTTTCTAAGTCTTTCACCACCGGCTATCAGTGTTGGTGGTGAGACTTAGAATTTTTTTAGACTTAGAATTTTTTCACCTTATCCTTACAAGTCTTTGAAATTAAATAAGAATTTGCAACTTAATTTTTGACATTGCGAGGGCTTGAACCACCCACCGCCTATGGACTAACCCCTGTCCTAACCAACTCGGCCACCGCTGCTGGTGGTGAAAGACGGCAGTTTTTTATTTTATTTCATCCATTCTTTGGAGACTTTAAATTGAATAAGAATTCGCAAATCATGTCTTTAAAATTATTAGAGGAAGTACGAATTTCTGAGTTTCAAAGTTTTGGAATAGCGTTAAACGGTTAAAGTGCCCTTTTTCACCATTTTTTTTTTGTTGACCACAAGACTATAAGCGCTTGCTAAACGCAGCGTGTTTCACTACATCAGTGGAAGGCTTAGTATATAAGACATTTCCTAATGTGGTGATTATGGGATCATTACTCGCTCACTGCGATTGCGCGAAAAATGAAGTGAATGAACGACATTTGAACCAAACTCTTTCAGTTTGCAAGATTATTGTCTTAAGCACCAGACCATCAGCGCATGATGTTAAGGGCTACACAAGAAATCCTCACTTAAAAACTTACGTTATCATCAATACAGTGACTTTAAAAGTGGTAAAAAAATTAGGCGGCCCAGAATTGCGCGAGAAGTTTTTTGGAATATAAAATATGTATCTAACTGTATCGTTTCCATAGACATGACAGTGCATAGGGAATTGAACCCTATAACCCATTTCGGTTCCGAGACACAGGCACTGTTTTTTGGTTTTGTTTATTTTTGGGTTTCGCCATTGCAATAAATTTTATAGCTATGGCAACACTTTGTGCATGTTTTGCATGTTTGTATGGTGTGAATTCAGTTGCAGCCTTAATGTGTTAGACAAG